CCTTAAATTATTTAAAAAACCCGCAATTTGAAATTATTTGACCAAATTCAAAATAATGAACTTACACTGGAAACTAATGAAGGTAATGGAGACATTAAATTTATTGACTCATTATATCAAAACTAATCATTGTCATAGGCCAGAAGAGGTCAATTACTTTTTAGATGATACTCCATCTGAGATTCTGCAAAAACCAATTCCAGAGAGTTTATAATACAAAAAATAAAATTTATAAGGAATTTGTCTTCGCAATACCTGGTCAAAAGGACATTAATTCTTTTACATTGATTCAGGAAGCATTGTAAAAATACTGAGTGTCAAGTAAGGTTATGCTACAATAGAGTACTAATAGAAAAAAGGGATTGTCCATATTAACGATCTCTAACTATAATGATTATTATTAATAAAATTTATCCATGTTTAAAGCTAGGAAATTAGGTCCATAATCGTACTTGGATTATCTTAGAGATGAGATGCCTACAGAGAGTACCACAATAACTAAGAAGGATCAAACTTATTGGAATAACAAGTATATTTTTGATGGAATGCAAAAGAAACTAGTTCTTTTCCAAAATTGCTTTTACTCAATAGAATCCTAATGAGTCACGAAACATTGGAAAAATTGAAAACTTTAAAAATGAATCATAATTAAGACTAAAGAGGAATGAATATAAGAGAACTATATTAGAAATTAAAAGTAGATAGAAGCAATCTTAGACAAGTAAATATGTTGTATCAGATGAGGATTTAAATTTGCCTCTTTTTCAAAGGCCCCCTGCATATTTAGTAATTATCTAATTAATACTAGGACAATTAAACTGACAATTATTGGAACCATTTAGAACTACTTGACAAGAAACATTTAAAATAAGTTTATGGACCTAAAACCTTTTAAAGACAAAGATAAGCAATAAATTAAATTGATAAAAACTTTCAAGCAGATATAGAACTTCAGCAGATGAAATTACAAGCATAATTTGATTTTAGAAATAGATTGTTAAACCATCGATCTTTGTAGGCATCTAAAGGAAATGTTAAAGCCTTAGAACTAAGTTATTTAAGATAGGTTAGGCCAGAGTATAAAGGATTGGTATTATTAAATATGACTACGATTGAATAATAATATTTATGCCCTACTTTATATTAACATGTGGAAAAATATGATATTTCAGCTAGTATGTAAACGAAAAAAAAGTAATAATAATAAAAAAATGCCAGATCAAGAAGTTTGAATACTTAATAATCTGAAATTGATGAATCCTCTTGTAATCAAAAAGAGTATGAGGAGATGAAAGAAACAATACAGAAATTTGAGATCAAATTAAAAGAGAAATGCCAATTTTTGTAAAGATGATATAATTCTTTTATTTTTAATCTCAGGCTTTGATTTTGATTTTATTAAGAAAATATTTTTGTTCTTCGAATTCCAAAAATAAATCTTCATCTAGTTTGGTATTCTTGTATAGAATTTATAAGCTATTGTGAATATTGGTGTAACTTTATTATTAATACTAAAGGAGAAATGATTTATATTATGATATTTTATGGATTGTTGAATATTTAAAAATCCTTATTAGCATATGTGAAAGATTTCTTTTATTCAAAATTCTAATTGCATCCAACAAAAAATCATTAAGCATACTTGATTTTTTTTGAAATGATTCTGCAATGTTAAGAGTGTTGAATTTTATTAATAAAATAATCTCATATAAAAATTATGGGAGGCTGTGAGTTCAAATTTCGAGGATCTTGTGATGATACATGTATAGATATTGTAATAATTTTTATAGAGATGTCTCTCTAAAATTTTGAATTGATATCTGTTATTGGTCAAGGAGGGTTTGGCAAAGTTTACAAGGCGAGACTTTAAAAGACCAAAAATTTAATAGTAGCTTTAAAAGTTATGTCAAAAGTGAGGTATTAAATCATTTCTAAACTTAAGAGTCATACAAAAAAAGAGTGTTAGTTCTGTCATGAATGAATTATAAATATTGTCAACTTTAAAGCACGAGTATTATTTTACATTTAATTATTCATAGTTTTATCATTAATATAGTAAGTGCATTTTAAGATCGCTATCAATTATATTTAGCAATGGATTTCCTGGCTGGAGGAGATTTAAGATTTCATATTTGTAAATATAGAAAGTTTTCGGAGCAAATAACTAAGCATATTGCTGCTTGCATAATTATTGGATTAGATTATATCCATTCTAATGGTATAATACATAGAGACATTAAACCTGAAAATCTCGTTTTTGATAGTGATGGATTTTTAAGAATCACTGATTTTGGAATTGCGAGAATTTGGAAACCTTAAAATAGTCATGAAACCAGTGGTACTCCAGGATATATGGCTCCTGAAGTAATGTGTAGATAAAATCATGGTGTTGCCGTAGATTATTTTGCCCTCGGAGTCATCATGCACGAATGCATTGTAATTTAATTTATTGATTGATTAAGTTAGGTAAAAGACCGTACAATGGTAAAAACAGATAAGAGATCAGGGATTAAATTATAGCAAAATAAGTGATTTTGACAGACATTCCATAAGGTTGGAGTGAAAATGCAATAAACTTTACAAATTTACTTATGCATCGAAAACCAACTATTAGATTAGGATGCAATGGACCTGAAGAAGTGAAAAATCACCCATGGTTTAGAGATATCAATTGGGCACAATATGAACAAAAACTAGTTGCTTCTCCATTCATTCCAGATGGAAAATTAGAAAACTATTTAAAGTCAAATAGGTTAGAATCTTTAGAAGATTAATCAATCCTTCATTGTGAACAAATTTAATGTATAATATTTATTAAGTCTAAGAATAATTTCTAGGTTATGAATATTTGCCATAAATAAATGGGTAAACATCTTTAATGTCAGCTTTTGCTTCTCCGAGAACTTCTAACATTAGAACTCAACTTAAAGAATATTGATTTCTATATTAACTATTTATCTAATGTATATTTCAAAATATTAGTAAATATTATTTTTATTTTTTTACTTTAAATTTACATCATAAGAGAATATAAATTATATATATATATATATTCTTTAGTGTATTTCTAAATGTGAATGTTTTAAAATGGGTTATTATTTAAAATAAAAGTATAGGTTATAAATTGGACAAAATAAATAAATTTTTATACCTAAAGAAATAATTGATCTTATAAAAATAAATCTAAAATTAGGTATTAGTTTATTAAATGCAAACTGAAAACTAACTGAAAAATATGCATTATGTAGAGAATTAATTTATTCTACCCATTTCTTATTTTAGAATAAAAGAAGCTGTGGTGTTCCATAAATAATAATTATGGATTACTTTGAATTTCATTAATATTATTTTCTAAAAATTAGGTCTTCTTTATATTCGTAAAAACTATAAAATTATCTGAAAATTTAGTTATTAATCTTTCCATTTACAAAAGCCATTTTCCAATCTATCTTAGTACCTGAATTCCATTTGCATAATCAAAGCCTCTCTTTAAAAAGTATTATCTCAAATATTTTGATCTCCAATTTTTGATCAATATTAAGCTAATTCTTCTTTAATGAAGAGAACTTCGATTTAAATTCTGTTTCATTAATATTTTAAACTTCTATGTATATAATTATATTTATGATCTTCGCATTCGTGAGTTTTATGCATTATAAAGGATTCATTTTTTTAGTGCTTAAAATAGATTGAAACTTATAAAATGCATTCATAGGTGGCTTAAATTAGCAAATCGAAGATAAATATAGAACTCATTAAATTAGAATTTTAATTAATATAAATGCAAAATGAAGATTAATCAATCTCTCCCATTTTCAATATTATGTTATATAATAAAAAGCCATTTAGGTTGTTAACCATTAAAATATATTCAGAAATAAATTCTGTAAAAGGTGTTATATATAAGCCTATATAATTTATAATTTATTTAATATTATACAAGGTATTTTTATATATATTTTTTTTTATTAAATAATAAACAATTGATATAATTTTATATTTATGTTCTAAATATTGCCAAGCCAATATTTTATAAAAGGAGTAATGCTATATCCTGAAATAGTTTCTTAATTTCATACACATTTTCATTTAATTCTATATATTGTATATATGGTTTTTTACTAAAATTAACAGTGAATTATCAGGTAACTTATCTCTTTTGACAGACTTTGTTTATAAAATTCACTTTTGAAGAAGAAAAAAAAATTTATGAAAACAAATTGTATTTTAAATTTTCAGTTTTATCAACTTTATATTTTAGAAACCATAACGCAAACTTAGGTTCCAATATGAGCATTTTTAATTAAATTTCATGTATAAAGCTGCAATAATTCATATTTACGATTTAAAATAAACTATTAAATGTTAAAAGCGGTACCTTCTAATATAATAAACAAATTATCGGAATTTCAGTTTTTTTTATTGTTTATATACAAAAATAAAGTTTGCTGCTTTTCTTCCATCAGATGGAAGTGATGAACATTTTGATGATTGTTTGTATAAAATATAATATAAAAAAACTCGATCAAGGTAGTTGGAATGATCAAAATTGAAATTTGAGAAATTAGTCCATTTTTGTAATGAATGAGGAAAGCATGCCACTAATTACCGGACAACTATATGAATTAGGTATCATATTGATTAAGTCTTAATGATCAATAAATTAGCTGTCCTCGCTCATTCTATCAATCTAGTTCTCAGTTTTAGATTCTTATTCATTTTATGTGTATTCTCTACATTATCGATATATATATTACATTCCCATTAATTCTTCCCATCTATATCTTAAGTTCTTGTAATATCTATTTTTTAGCATACTAACTGTCCTTTTTGGGAATTACTTCACAATTCTTGAAAATTAAGTTCCATGCTGATGTACTAAGTTTAGAAGTCTGATATCCTCCTCAGGTTAAAACTCTTTTATTCTTTTCACCTTTTTTTTGTATTAAGTCTTCTTCATTTTAGTACTATGGATATTTTTTTTTATTTGATCTTTCCATGGTCCTTTCTTTATTGAAACCTTAAAATGCTCACTTATGGCGCTAACATCATCTTGGCAATCAAAATTAACAAGATTCTATTAATCATTTTATGTGCTATAATTAGAGAAAGCTAAGAAATAGTTATTCAAACTACCTTGTTCTTGTGATTCCTGCTCACTCCAAATGGTTTAGAATGTCAAAATTTCTTTGTTTTCGTCAAAACTCACTTCATGTTACCAATTAGTATTAGACATAAATTATTTTAAGTCAAGATATTTTAAATATTAAATTGATTTGTTTTAATACTGCCTTTTATTTCTAAGTATTTGAATTAATTTAATTAACTCGTTTATTCGGTTAGACTATATTAACGATTTGATATTTTAATACTAGTATTTTTTAAGCTAATAAAAAATTGCTTTTGTGATGTAATATATAATAAATTTATTATTTTGTATTTATTCAAATAAATTATTTAAGTTCAACCAAAAAATATAATTCAGTTTTATAATTACATTCCATCAGGTATCAAATATTTTTAAAATGCAAACAGAAAATTCATTTTCTCTCCTACTAATTAAATTTCTTAGGAATTAAAAATAATTTTACTTTTCATATCTCATTTATATATTTGGAAAATAAAATTATATTCTAGCTAAAAATTTCACTTTTAACATATATATAACTCACATATTGCCAAAAATTAACAATTTTAGATAAGGATACTTCCTTAAAAATTCCATTCTAACTGTAATTAAAAATGTAAATATCAATAATAAAATATTTATATAATCAATATTATAGATCACAATCTTAACGTTACATAATTTGTAATACGAATTCGGATAGGTTTTGAAATTGCATGTCTTCAATTTCATACTTTTCTTTATTATCCATTATTTATTTCCATTCTTCAGGTAAGTTAGCGTTGCTTTTGATTTGTTCTAAAAGTTGAAGTTCTCTCTGATTTAACTTATTTTTTTTCTTAATCTATAACTAATCTAAAGGAAAATAGGAATTTAACCATTAAATCCAAGGTATGTTGTTGAGTTCATGACTTGTGTAAGCATTACCAAAAGCATATTGTTATAAAATATCATATCCATGAGGATCCATATCTCCAAAATAATATACTGGTATATATGGGTTCATTATTGACAAATATTTAACAAAAGATTTGGTAGCATAACAAGGATAACCTTTTCCTGTAATCAAGACAGTGTTTTACAAGAATTCTTAATGCATTTCATTTATCAAGTGAAAATACACAGTCTCTTTCTCAACCACAAGTATCCATTTACCATAAATTTCAGGTAACCATTCATCCATGAACTCAGTGATATTCAATCCTTTCCCTTATGAGGTTAATTATAGCAAGTCTAGTTCAATGTCTTATTTTCTGAGTATTAAAGATCCGCAAACTAACCCTTTTGAAGCTGAGATAATGTGTAATTATTTTCTTTAAATCTAAATATTATGCGAAAATTATTTTATAACTAAATTTAAGTTCTCTTATTTTTAAAATACATTTTGATTCATATAGAAGATCTCTCTTTTTGTATGATAAGAATCATTTAAAATACCATCCAATGACACTCTCATTACGATTAGATAATGGCACAATTCTTTCAAACTTTAAAACTTTAGTTCTTATGTGCTGTTCTTGTTTATAATTATATCCAATATTTTATCAAGATGATTTCGAAATACATCAACAATTTCAGATGGTTCTTTGATGCTCCTTTCAATTTTTTCCATTTCTTCATGCAATAATGGTAAGTTCATTTTATTTACAATTTAAGGGTGTATTAATAATAATAATAATAATTGCAATTCGTTTACTAAACCTAATATTAATATTAAATTCATATTATGAATTCCAGCTCATTATCTACTACAGCATCATTTACAAAAATGAAATAGATGCTAACATAGACTGGATTTGGAGATGAAAAAAAAGAGTTACTCAAAATAAAATCTGAATGGAGAAGTTTATAAAATAATGAAATGTTTTAAGATTTTGTCTTTCTTAGAGAGGCTTCGTAAACTCGGTTGGTTACTGAAAAAATGGAAAAGGAGAGAAAAAACAGAAAGGATAGTATTTTATTACCCTTTCTAAAATAACAACAATAAAAAAGAATGGAACAAGCCAGAAAATTCACTCTCATTGGATCTCTTGCATAATTAAGTGATTTTACACCTTCCGTAACGTTTATTAATAAAAACAATTTTGAAGAAATCTAATCAATCCTATCTACTTTGGTAAAATCTGTTTTAATTCAACAATTACAAACCTTAATGCCTGATTTAGAAAAACTTGTGAATGCCTGTAAACAATGTGGAATAGTAGGGTTTTATTTTATGGCAATCTATTTTTAAACTTAAATATAATTTGTGTATTGTAGAAGGAAGGAAGGCTATAACATATGGAAAAGGTTTTTGAGAACCTGCAACTTACAAGGTAAGAGACTCTAAAAATATAAACTCTTGGCTTATAGGCAATTAGCAAGATGTGCTTTAGATTTAGGAGATTTAGATAAAGAAGCCATTTATCTTAAGAAATTATTAAAATTATCTTGGGTTGTTAAGGATAGAAACTATGAATTACTATGTTATGATATGATTGCTATCAATTATTATTATAGAGGAGATGTAAATAGAGCTTAGTTCTTCCATTCGAAGTTTGTGTCAGGAGAATTTGAAGCCGCTGAATCCAATATTAGAATTGCTGGAGTATCTTCCTATCTAAATACATAAAAGTTGAAGGCTTAAGTGAATGATTAAGACTCATTCAGCCTGGATGATATGGATTTAGATATAATTATCTAAAAAGATAATATATTAAAATGGTAGAAAGGATTACCAGTATTTGATAATAGACATATCACATAACATCGAGTGCTTATAAATCAATGGAGTTGTAATCGAGATCTAACTGTACATTTAATCAATCGAGAAAAATAAAAACATAAAACTGAGGAGGAAGATATAGGATTTGTGCCCCTCAATTAAAACATAAAAAGACTTCTTAAATTATTCTAATTTGATGTCAAATATTTTTTACAAAATGGGTATCTTTATGATTTCTGATGATAATTTATTTGACATTTAATTATCCTAACATCTATATTTACTAACAAATTTTGTATAAAAATGTGATTTAATTTCATTATATAGACATATATTATTTAATTGTTATATTGTATAGAGATGCATTTAAGCCTCCTTTTCATAATCCCTTCCGTTTTTCAACATAGTAAAAATAAGAATAAAATTTATAGATTTCTCTAAGGTCTTTTTGACTTATACTTGAACTTTGTTTAAAGTATTCTTAATGAGTATATTGATTAGAAACATAGATATGAGGTAATTTTATAAAATAATTGATAAAATATTGCATTCTAATGAGAAATTATAAATAAACAATAATCTTGTAGCATCATATTTAAAAATAATTTTTAAATAATAATAAAATGAAGTACGTTGCTGCATATGCCTTGCTTGTTTTAGGAGGAACCAACAAACCCAGTATTATTGCATCTCTATCCAATAGCTGTGGATTAAGTTACTTAATTGCTCAAAGAAGCTGGAGTCGAGCCAGTTGCTGCAGATGTCAAAATAGTTGTCGATGCATTAAAAGAAAAGACCTTGGCTGAAGTTATTAAGGAAGGTTCAAAATAACTAACAAGTTTGTCAGTTGGAGGAGGAGCTTGTAATTATAATTTCTAAGTCTTTAGCATAAAGCTCAGCCCCAGTTGCCTAAGCAACTCAAGCACCAAAGACTGAAGCACCAAAGGCTGAAGCACCAAAGAAAGCTGAAGAACCCGAAGAAGATGTTGATATGGGAGGTCTCTTTGATTGAGCATTTATTAAGTTTCATATAGTACAATAATAAATCAATAATAATAATCATTTAATTATTTCAATCTAATACTTTATAATCGGCATTTGTGGTTGAAAAGAGAATGTATAATTATTCTGAAATAGTATTTCCTAATTTCTTTGAAGTTTATTGAACAATTCCTTGAACAACTTCAATTTCACTAAGCAAATGAGGTCTCTTCTCAATATCAGTGTTCTTATAAGCATTAATTAATGATTTGACTGATGGATATTTCAAAACTATGGCTCTGGCTTTTGCTTCGCTTATACCTGGAATCTAAGTCAGCATAGCCATCCAATACAACTCATATGTATTTGTAATTCCAGCATTTTCGGCTTTAAATAAGCTAAAATCTCCTCTATCTCTAAATAAACATGGTATTTTATTTTATTTTTTCTTCCATTAAACACTACATAATAAACATTAAGCAATCTCTTCAATTGTTTATTTCTGAGATTTTGTATTAATTACATCCACTTTATTGTTTAATTGGAGATCCAATACAAATTAATCAAATTCTTGTTGATATTGTACAAATTAATTTTGTGCATAAATCAATTCTTTAATTTCTTCTAAAATTATGATTGTTTTGGAATCGTTTTCTTTATGAGTAACTACCAATTCCAGAATGTTGTCTAAACTTTTAAATTATTCTTTGGTCATGACAATTAAACACAAAAAAGGTGATCTCTAACAACTTTACATAAAAACCTTGGATGATTCAAGGTTTTTATTTTTAGAATATTTTTCAATAATTGAGGATACATTTTACTTTGATCTTCCTTTATTCATAGTTTCATTGATATAGATTTTAAATTTGTTTGGGTTATTGAAATTTTCAGATCCTTTTTGGCAGTATTCTGATTCAAATTATTCATAAAAAGATTTCACAGTTTTATTTGCATCTTTAACATTATCATCAAATAGAATGTAAAAATCATTAAATTGGTTCTTTTCTATTAGTTCTGAAATCATTATGAAGTTCAATTTTAAAATTAAAAATTTTATTACTTTAAGCAAAGAAATGTTATTTTTATAATTTGATCACTTAAACCATCTAATTCACTTAAGTTTGGATAGTTGATGCATGCATGTATATCTTTAATAATGAGAGTTAAAATGATTATGATATATCATGATTTAAGTTTAGAATAGGATTTCTGTCATAAGATGCTAAAATTCTAACTATAGGATATTATGATATTAATTTTATTCATTAAAGATATTGCTATGGTAAATAGAGGGAATTATTTATATTTAAATAAAAGCTTTTAATTAGGATATTATTTATATAAATCTTTAATCAAGAGAGCAGCGCATTAATGGAAGATATTCCTGATTTTAAAGAAGAACAATAGCCAACTGGCAAAGACATATAGTAAGAGCAAATATTGAGAATCCTAGAATTGACAATTACAATGTCTCTTAATTTAAAAACTTTGGACTTAAAGAAGAGATCTTAAGAGCAGTTAAAGAGGCTGGGTTTGAGCATCCTACAAGAGGTATCATATGTTGTAATAATTAAAGTCCAAGCTGAGTCATTAACAAATGCATTACTCGGAGAATAATTGATCTGTTAAGCAAAGGCTGGAACTGGAAAGACTGCTGTATTCGTGCTCACAGTGTTGAACACCATAAATATAGATAGCAATAAAGTTGAATGCCTTGTAATTACACACACAAGAGAGTTAGCCCAATAAGTAATATTTTAATATGAATTATTTAAGGCTCGAGATGAATTTTTGAGATTGGGAAAGTTTATGAAAAATGTCAAAGTGGAGTGTTTCTATGGTGGAGGTGAGCCTGTATCAGTGAATATCTAAACTATTGAGACAGTAAAGCCATAAATAGTAGTTGGGTATCATATCTATTCTAGCATGTAGTACTCCAGGACGTCTTAAGGATCTGATTTGTGAGAGAAAAGCATTGAAAGTAGATAGATTGAAGTACTTTATCTTGGACGAAGCCGATACAATGATTGAAGATTTGAACATGAGGTGTTGATTTTTGGAAATAATTATTTTTAGAAAGGACATTTAGGACATCTTTTTTAAGTCACCATAGGAGAAATAATTTATGGCATTTAGTGCAACATTCACAGAATCTAGTAGAACATCATTGAAAAGATTTATTGCAGACAATAAACATGTATTCATTAAAAATTGATATTTGTTAGATTTATGAGATTACTATTAAACCAGAATAACTCTTTTTGGACAAATTGAAGCAATATTACATGAAGGTGCCAGAAGCTCTTAAATTTCACTATTTGAGATAAATTTTAAACACCTGCAAATTAAACTAATGCATAATCTTTGTTAAGAGTTCAGAGAAAGCTGATGCTTTGGTTACAGAACTCAAGAAGAAGGGAGAAGAGTCTGTTAGGCAACTATATGGAGGTAATAGACTAGGTCCTGATCATCAAAAAATGAGATAAAAAACCTATGAATAATTTAGAAATGGGCATTTCCGATTGTTAGTGGCTACTAATTTGATGGGAAGAGGTATTGATATTGATAAAGTCAATTATGTCATCAATTTTGATATGCCTGATTCTTTGGAGACCTATTTGCATAGAGTAATAATTAAAATTAGCAGATTAGGTAGGAAGAGCAGGAAGATAAGAGACTAATGGTGTTGCTATTTCATTCGTTAAATCTGAGGAAGAATCCAATGATGGAAAAAAATAATCTGATGATGATGTATATTGAATTCTCTAAAATCTAGGTCTTATAACAAATCCTCAAATAATATCCTGATAAATTATAATAGTTGCCTTAAGATTTGTCTACATTAGATAAGTTCTGAAAATGATAGTATTAAAATAATATAATAAAAATAGTAAATTAATCAATATATATAATACTTCTGTTTTTAAATTCTACCTCCTTTTTGATTTTAGAGTTTAAAAGTCCAATCAACTTTCATTCCGTTTATACTTTTAAAGGTGAATAATTATGGTTATAATGAGGATCCAATCCCAATGGTTGATCCCATTTGTTTTGGCTTTATAATTATTTGAAACATTATAAAATGAATTGTTTCTTAATTAACTAAGCTCAGAGTGATAAAGTGCCAAATTAACCAATGTTTTTGAAATTAATATTATGTTTTCTTTTTAGTTATTTAGATAAGTTTTAATCGTTAAATAATTTAAATGGACGCACTTTTTTCTATGTTTGATTCATTCATAAGATCAAATTTGTCTTATTATCCGATGAATTAGCAAGGATATATAATGGAATGTTGGGAATAATTTTTGAGTTTGTTGTAAACGCAGCCATTAGATTATGGGAAAATATATTCACTAATAAATCAAATGCATGAGATAGATAAGTATGAAAGACAGAGTTCTACTCAAAGATAAGCAGCAAGGAATCTCACAGCAGCATCATCTCCCAGAATTATTTCATCATAATAAAAAAATTGTATGAAATAGCAGTTAAATTTAGCTAATAATTTATTACAGAAATTTTCATAGTTAGACAACGCTACAAGTCCAAAGATCTAGCTCTCGAATCTCACTAGTTAACAATCTTTGGTAAATAAATAGAAAGTTAAACTATATGTATTAATATTCAATAATTTAGACTGAAGATTTCAATCGACATCTATTACTGAGCAAAATCAAAGAATTAATGTTTAATTAATCAGTCTCCACAGATAAACTATATGCTATGGCAAGAATACAGTAGCATACCTCCTCTAAATCCCCTTTGAAGTACGCCCCCACTAAGACCAGAGGAAATAATCATTCTGCTGAGCATTATAGAGCTTGATTGTTTTTTAATTTATTTTCTTTTGTAGTTTAATATTGATGGGTATTTGTAAATGCATTGCCAAGAGTGCTCAAACTCCTTCTGCTTTATCTTTAGGTATATTTTAGATCGATAAGAATTTACGTCCTACAAAGATGCCTATGAAGGGAATGGCGGAAATTTAAGAGACTATAAGCTTGAAGATCCCCCTTTAGGATAAGGTACAACTATTATTTCATTGTATAGGTGCGTTTGGTACAGTTTGGAAGGCAGTTCACATAGCCAGCGGATAGTTAAGAGCTATAAAACAAATCAATAAACTGAAAGCTAATGAAGATGAATATTAATAGATAATCAATGAGGTCAATATATTGAAATCCTTAGTATTTATATAAGCACACAATGATAGGATCACCCCAACATAATCAAAATATTTGATTATTTTGAAGAAAATGATCATCTCTATATAGTTACAGAATTATGTACAGGTGGAGAATTATTTGATAAAATCATTTAATCTAATTACTTTTCGGAGAAAGAAGCAGCACTGGCAATGAAACAAATCTTGTCAGCATTAAATTATTGCCATTAATCCAAGATAGTTCACAGAGACATTAAGCCTGAAAATTTATTATATGATCATGAAGGAGAAGATAGTTAATTAAAAATAATTGATTTTGGAACTTCCTTAAAATACGGGAATTAAAAACTTGAAGAAAAGATAGGCACAGTAAGATACAATTAAATTTTAGGTATATTATATGGCACCTGAATTGATTGATGAAAAATATGATGAGAAATGCGATATTTGGTCAGCAGGAGTTGTGCTATTCATATTATTATGTGGTTCACCACCATTCGATGGGGAAACGGATGATCAGATTGTAAAAAGAATATAATAAGGAAATATATATTTCGAACAGTAATAATGGAAATCAGTTTCAAATGAGGCCAAAGATTTAATTATGTAATTGTTAAATAAGAATCCTAAAAAGAGACTATCAGCTAACAAGGCATTGTTGCATCCTTGGATATAAAAATATACATCCGAAGAATTGGAAGCTCCAGAACTAAAAAATGTACTTAACAATATGAAACATTTTCGAGTATTCATCTATTATTAAATAGACCTCCTAAAAAGTATAAGAGGCTGCCTTTCTGTACATAGTTAAATAGTTCATTTCAAAGGAGGAGAAGTAAGAATTGCAGAGGTTCTTTAAATTTCTGGATAAAAATGGAGATGGAGTCCTGACGAAACAAGAATTATTAGAAGGATATAAGAAGGTTATAAGTCAATCAGAAGCAGAGTTACAAGTTGAGCAAATCATGAAGTAGGTTGATAAAAATGAATCGGGATTAATTGATTATTCAGAATTTGTTGCGGCTACAATTAATAAGCAAAAATTGTTATAACAAGATATTTTAGAGTAGGCATTCAAAGCAATTGATAATGATAATAATGGAGCAATCACAGTTGAAGAATTAAAGCATATGTTTGGAGCAGGGAATAAGATACCTTCTGAGACCTGGACTAAATTAATGGAAGAAGTGGATAAAAATGGAGATGGAGTATTATCTTTACAAGAATTCAAAGAGATGATGTTAAAGCTTTAAATTGATTGAGTTACTATTTTAATGTTATTATTTATCAATTTCATTCAAGGTCCTTATCGCCAGCAGCAATTCTTAAAGCAATGTATTCTTTAAGATCTCTCATGTTAGAGTTCAAGATACCAATCAAGTCACTGACAGTCTATCTATCTTTGTCTCTTGCAGCTCTTCTTTATTGATAATCATAAGCAGCTTCTTAGCATTCTCCTCTTCTGTCATCTCTTTATTATGTCTTGGCTTAGATTCTTTAAAGAACATCGTTTTGACTGGCTGTGGTAGCATCGATTCTGTCTTAGAGTGATTGGATTTCAGCAGTCAAATTAGCAATTGATGAATTGTATTTGTTCATGTCTTTCATTGAGTAAACCGATATATGCTTAGAATGCTCTGGTTCTGTCATCTTCAGCTTTTCTGGCTAAATCGAATGCTTGACTCAATTAGTTCTAGAGATCATCGATCAATTTGATGACTCTTCCAGTTAAATCTTAGTTGGCAAATTGTTAAGTTCTGTTGGCAAGATTGGCTAACAATTTGATGGCTTTTCCAAAGGTTCTGACATGTTTCATTGTGCTGGCTTTGTGAGCACCTTGACTCATGTGACTAGCAACTTAAGCCATGATTTATGGGGTGACGTGAACCTTTTCTTCACCCTTTTATAAGAAAGATGGAGCTTGGAGGTTGTCTGTGAAGAGTCTTCTTGCTTCAGCCAAAACTGATGAAACAAAGGTGTACTCTTATCTTTAGGCTTCAAAGTCATCAGCTTATTCTTATCTCTTGGCTGTTGTTTCATCGATGACCTTTTATAATTCAGCCTTTTAGAGTTCCTTAGCTTTCTTTTATCCGATCTTTTAGTCTCTGATTGGCACGAGGTCATCAAGAACAGCCTATAATTCTGTATTTCTTTATTCAAGATTGGCAAGTTCTTGGTTCAAGCCAGCCAAATCAGCATCACAAACTTATTAGAAGGCTTGGTTATTGGCATCATCCTCCTTTTAGTCAGCAATGTATCTGTCTTCCAAATCATAAAGGGTTTAGAAAATTCTTTCTAGAGGTTCACCTGTTGTCATTTGAATGGCAATGGTGTTTAAGAGTGTTCTGCCCAAATCACTTTATTCGATTCTGTCAAATAAAGCAGTGTTTGTGGCGAAAGCACAAGCAACTAAGACTAGAAGCAATGTTGTTTTCATTTTATTAATTTATGAATGCAGAAAATGATTAAAAACGGTATATATAAAATGAATAAATGTTATTGTATAATTCTTTGTATTATTGATTAATATTTCAGCAAAATGAATCCTCCCATGTATTTGAGCCTGCACCACTGAACATGTCGATTTTCCAATAGGTAAACAATCCAAAAGAGTCAGCCCACCATAGAGTCACAAACATTGGTAAGAATTATCTGCTAGCGTAATTTCTTAACATTCCTGGGAAGTAATTATTGAGATTTCTGGCATACCTATTTGCATAATAACGATTTCAATTACCAAATATGAGTAGCAGCCTTTCTGTAATTGCCATCATAAGGACATACTCCATTTTGTTTTGGCCATAGGTCTACCATTTCTCTTGTAACTTGAGAGAGGGAGTAACTTGTCAAGATGGCCAAGTATGTAGATAAGAAACAATTTACAATTTTAACTGGGAAATATGGAATTTCAGCTACTCTTGTCAAAACAGAAAGCTAGTATTCTTTATGCTTTAATTATTACCTTATCCTTCATCCAATCGAAAGAGTAAAATAGTGTTAATGTTTAGAAGAAGTTTCTAGCAAATAGAGGGAATGAATTTTTGAAGAAATAGTATGGTCCCTCTTCAAATGGAATTCTCCATAAAGCATTGAAAAATGAGGTATATCCCTTTTACAATTCCTTGGGGAATGTCTTATCAGCATAATAAGCCATTCTAGCAACTTCAAAGGGAATTCCAATTGGAGCAGTAAGAAGAGAAATGAACACAGTGCCTGGTACTTTTCTCAAGAATCCATATTCGAATGTACCCCAAGTTCCTTTGTTTAATATATTAATTAATTACTTTGCCATCCATGATTGACTGCTCTAAATGCTGCCAATCTCAAAGCCCAATCTATACCGCCTGAAGCAAAAGCAAATTGCATTCTAGTGCCCATTGATCTTTTGAAATTCTCAAGATTGACTGTTGCTTTGCTAAAATTATACAATTCCTTCACAGTATTTGGTTATTCATACTATCGTAACCTTTGATAGTCTAATAATGATACAATAGTTTCCAATTCTCATAGAAGTTATGCCATGTTTCGCCAATAAGACTACCTAGTAATCCTGATATTGCTCCTCTGGTGTAATTCCATCTCAATGAACTAATTTATGGAAAGTGCAATTTACTTTTCTGGAGCGTCTGTCCATACACCAGCATTATAACAATCAAAATACAAGGAATGTCGTCTTCTGATGTCGTCCAACTCAAAAAACATGATAAATTAATTATTGAATTAGATATTTTGGTTTTGTATATATATATTATGTGCATGTTGTATTTTTTCAAATGAACACTTTCTTGTGCATGGAATGAGCTACTTGATATTTCTAATAGCAATTATAAACTCTATTCCATTCTAATTCTTCCTTGATTCTCCATCCTAGCCATGCAACAATTCCACCTGGGACTGCTGCCCAAAAGAGTCTCTACTTAATAGGTAAACCTTTGATAATTGGGAAGAAAAAGAATGAGAATGAATAGACTGCTCCTCCTACTTAACCTAATCTTTCGAATCTCGATGCATCTCTATTTTTGAGAAGAATATAAATACGCTTCAGCATGGAAGACTTGTTCTGTCAATTTCAAAGGAACATGTCTATCATATTTCAAGAATTGTTTCACTTCCTCTTTCTCTTTAGCAGTGAAGGTTTTTTCAAAAAGTCCGAAGTGTTCAGGTTGATCGTATATCATGATAAAATAAATAATTAAATCTTCTATATGTATATTATTCTAATAATCAGGGACCTAAGTTTATTTTGTATCTCAAGTATTCAAAAACAGCAGGTGAATACAACAACTTAATGGATTTCTGAATAATATCCAATTCGTTATTTATTTGTTTCACCAACTCCTCATGGGTTTATTTGCTTATCAACAATGATTGCTCTTCCAACTTCACACGTTCCCCATATAAATCGACATCAGCTTAATGGATCTTTATGATATTCTCACAATCAGCCATGAATGATTAAATGTCCTCTCTTTCCTCCAATAAATCATTCCATTCTCTCTCAAAAACATTAGTCTCCCCATCCTAAGCACTATCCCATTAAGAGAAAGCCCTTTCCTATTCTTTCTCATCATTTATTAATTTGTTTTGAGAATCTACCAAAGATTTTCGAAGCTTATTTAATAGATCCAAAACAGACTTAATAAAGTGTCTCTATTTGAAACTGGAATCGGTTAATTGCACCAATGTCTCCATCATACTTTCATAACCTTTCAATCCCTCTACCTACAGTAAATTCCAATTATTACTCTTCCTTTTATGCTCCTTAATCTTCTAGTCAAATCCTTTGATTCCTCCTTACTCAATTGAATCTTATCCATCTCAATAAAACTGCAATCGGGTCTGGGCAATAAGGATCCTACCATCTTCAAAGTATCGTCTGTAACCTTAATCAAATCTCCTACATCTCTCTTGGACTTCTCAAAATTCTCATATTATTATTTGCGCAATGCCTCCTACATTTTAAGTCTAGATTCGTTTTATTGTTTAGAATCCTTCAATCTTAATAATTATTTCTCTATATCGTTCTAATCAGATTAACTTAGTATTATTACCTTTCTTGGTTCTAGCTCTTATCCAATTCTTTTCCTCTACTTATTCTATTCGTTTTCAGCATCAGAAATTATTTATTTTAATTATTGAACTTTCACAACGCTTTCTGCTTTAATAGCCTCGTAATCGAGGTTCTCTTATTCCACTCTTTCCTATATATTATTCTTAAAAATACAATCAACTAGCGTCCAAAGCTTTTTATTGTTTAAATTAATTCATCCACAGGACCTTGTAATTTGTAATTTAACTCAGCCATCTTCAAAATTGCTTAACCAATTTTATGTTATTAGATCTCTTTAATTTATTCTTCAATTACAGAGTTCCCACTGTTCCCATCATCATATCTTAAACATGTACATATTGCGAACAATGTTATCAATAATATTAATTTCATTATTTAATAAATGAATAAAAAAACGAGTATATAAATTAATTTATTTTCATTCATTTAATCAATATTTTTTAATCAATCTAGAATCACATCAAATGTGTATAAATTAATTCATATATGTTATATAAAGATAAATTTGCTCTATTTTTAAATTCAATTAGGATATACATTTGGAAATTGAATAATCTTCACAAAATCTGATGCTTAAATTTTAACTTGAAAACAGAACAAATACAATTAATTCCTTCTTTCGTTTACAAAGAATTCATTGTAATAAGAGTATTGGTTTATAATAATAAGAATAGATGTATATATAATAGATGGAAAAGGATAATAAAATGCATGCTGATTTATTTTTTTGAAGTTAGATTAATATAATAATTTTATTAAATGTTATAAAGAATAGTGAGATATTGTTTCGCTCATGGATCACACAAACCAACAGGTCCAATCTTTGCCCCATCTGTGTAGGACAAGATGTAATCTCAAAGCCCTAATTTAGGATCTATATCAATGTTTATAATGACGGTGAGTTTGAAAGAATACCTGCTTACATTGGTGAAAGCCTTTTGACTGCGCTTAGAAGATTTCGTGTAACAAATATTCCAGGTAAAATTGGGTATTCATATAACAGGTGATTGTGAAGGAGGAGAATAATTGGATAACATTTTGGAGAATCCAGTTTAGACAAATACTTTTGGTCCATCATGTGGATCATGCCACATTTTGATACCATCACCCTGGATTGAAAAGATCAGAGACCCATTTTATTTAGAAGAATTGATCATTAATAGATAAGATTATGCTGTTGCCAAGCAGTAAATAATTATATAGATTTTTGTAGTTCCAGATTAGCATGTGCTATTAAATTAGAGAAATGGATGGATGAGATGGAAGTATCTCTTCCAATAAATGAAAATTCAGAAAATATGTGATTTCTTTAAAAATAAAGATAAAATAATATATTATAAAAACATAATCATATACCTTTTTTAGTACTTGTCCTTTAAGGATATAAATATCTAAACTTTGTGGTTGAACAGGAAATCTTTATTAAATATATCTTCAAAATGATAGTATCTATTTATTAAACAAACTTGTAATTAACATACTATGAATGAACTATAGAAAGAAGATAAAATTATCTACTTTCTTAATCGAAACGGTAGACATTAATGAACTATTATTTTACAATACTTATTTTTAATCAAGCTGTTGCTTCTATTTTAACATCAGTAGGTTTGCTTATTTGATATTGGCTTTTGTTATTGTTGTTTACTGTTAATTTATTACCTAAAGGACAATTATAGAGATTAATTCTTTTGAATAATCAAAATGCTATAGTTGGTTTTATTTCCTTCAGTTTATTATTAGCTTGCTGGTATTTCAACAGGATTTGATAAATTTTTTATCACTTTAATTAGTTTTCTTGAAAAGGTTCTTCTTAAAATCATAATTATATCTAGTTTAAACTTCACTTCAGTTTTTGGATTTTCTTAAGATATAACATATTAATACTTATAATTTCTTCTCACGTTTCAATTGATGGAATATTTAATTTTTATAGTACTTATAGTTCTCATTGAACCAGTAGCAAAATAATTTTGACTTTCTATTGTGCACTTCCAACTGACATTTTTTGATATGAGTCATTTAATGAGTATTTTATTATCTATTTCTCTAATACTCTTAAATTAAACTTTAATTCGATGCCTCATCTTAGCAAGATTTTGGGCCTATTATAAGATCTTTAAATTTTAAAGAATCAAAATTTATAGATAGAATTTTGATCATACCTTCAAGGACCCATGTTCTCTTTCCAACTGCTTAACCAATCTTAAAAACCACCATCTCTTAAGAATTTGATTAATTAATAGTATTATTCAGTTCTACCATTTAATTATATAAAAATCAATCATTAAGTTAAGTGATGAAAGCAGCGCCGTTGAGAATCCAATAGTCAGGGTTCTTCTTAGTAGGACAATCAATTGCTCTAATAAAGTTTGTTGAAAGCCCTGTTGTAGATAAAACTCCCGCACGTAGGCCTAAAGTAGAATTTAAATATATAGATACTAGTTTTATATAAAGGCATCGAATAATCGTTCTAATTTGGTTTATAATCTTGAGTTGGTATAAAATGGATTACAGGAGCTTGGAAGATCAATTATCCTGGCAATTAATCTTCTAAAATCCCTTTATTGAGATCAAATCTACACCCCTCAATGAATAAGCCATATATATATGCCCCAATTTCAGGCATTGAAGTAATCTAATATAGATTAAATGGAATTACCATCTCATAATCGATATAATTGAAGAACTTATAGCTGAATTTAAGCACATCTATTGCAATCTGATTTTTCCTGCCAAAAGTCTATAGTAATGAAGTTAAGAATCCTTAAGGAAAGAAGAAAGCAGATAGCCAATAGCCTTTTAGCTGTCCAGCCTCCAAATTGAACCAATCTCTAAAGAAAGTCACTCTTTTTATCATGTCTTCATAAAAGGCAGCAAGAGGTTTCAAAGTTGGATATGCTTTATTTACCCAAATAGATGGTACTTGATTATTGAGGAATGAGCTGTACATCATTTCAAGATCAACAGACATAACTACTTCACCCTTTATAGCAGCTTACAAATTCTTAATTGAGCTTCCAATTATTTATAATAATTGATTAAATCTTTGCACCTCTTAATTCAAGCATACTTTTAAGGAATCAATTTCCAAGGCAGCCCCTTAGATATTAATTAAAGTGAGTTTTTTTTTCTTTTCTTATTCCTTTATTTAAAATGGAATCTTTTAGATTAACGTCTCACAAATATCATATACAATTTAATCGTTTGATTTTGTCTTTTGATCTGATTCACTTGATTATTAAGCAATTTCGATTGGTTAAATACTAAGTATGGTAGCCAATACAGTTTTAGATTCTGTTTATTTGAATATTAGATTTGCATTTTCATTAATTCCAAAGATTTCTGGTTTCTCAAAATCAGGGTATTTATTAATCAATCTTCTGTAATCAATTATGTTCATCTCACAAGGTTATTTATAAACTCCAGAATCAGAAAATTAATAGCCATCATTCAAGGCATCCTCACTACAATTATATATTTTATATCAATTACTTGATGTACTTGCATAAGATTGTCTATAGACATCTCCTATCCCATTCATCAGTTATTCTACCCCCATAGGTAATCTCACCAATTACATACAAGATTGCATCCCATGGAATCTCTTAATGCAAATCTAGAAAATTCTTTAGATATGTTTGCGAGGTTTCCAAATCAGAATCATTGAATCTATATAGACATAATAATTTACTCGTAATTTATATTCCATCCCAATGGACCAAACTTACGACGCTCTAGAACTACAGCATGGAAGAATGTAAGAGAAAAGAGTAATTTCTTCCAAGATTCTTTTTTATCACAATTTTCTATCTAATCCGCAGTTAAATCAACATAACTCTTGTACATATTTTATTTCACTCCTTTAGGAGATTCAATTGCATATTTAATACTATTCTATAGAACACTTACAGGAAAGTAATTGCAAGACATACTGGTCAGTATTAATCTAAATCCTGAATTAAATTATGATTAGAGTTCTGGATCTTCAAACCATTCTAACTTCTTTTCTAGTGTTGCCATGAAAGTTTTACATAAATGACAATTTTATAATATGATCCATTCACCACTCTTGACACCACTTTCAATTGCCTTTTCTGCTATAATTGCTTAGCCTTGACCCAAAGATAAGATTCTTAATTTTTCTGAAGATATTTTCTTTTGATTTACAAATCTCATCAAATTAGCCAAAGGATCAACTCCTTGACTCAATATAAAAATAAGTGGAGTCTTATGATCTGTGTCATTAAATAGTTCTTCAATTGTAGATAGATAGTTTGAAGTATATTTCTTTCCTAAAATTGCCTCCACATATTATGTCATGGCATAAAATGATTCTTCCATCCTCAATACTCTAATCATCATTAATTTCTAAAACGGTGTCAATATATCACTTATTAGACTCCATGGATTTTCTGATTGAATCATATTTTCAATTTCTTTTTAATTTGTCAAGGCTTGATTATAAATTGACGCAAAGTTCTAATGAATAGTTGTTAACTAATAAAATTCATTCCATGTTTTCTAATTCATCTTGAAAGTGTTAGGCATAGGAGGTGGTTAAACTGTTAAATTGATTCCTCTTATAAACATATTCCATTCTCCATAACTTATCTCTTTAGCATTCAATTATATTTTAACAGCCATCAAGAATGACAATATTCGTTTATGCTAATTAAATAAGCATCTACAAATATTAGTGTAAATTGCTTCAGTTATACTATCTAATAGTGTTGCTATTCTAATTTCAATGTTATCATTTTTTTCAGAGTTCCTAATCACACTCTAATAAAGTCTCTTGAAGATATTTAACGAGAATTAATACATTGGATCTACAAGAGCAAAGTCAGCAATGACAAAGTACAGCAGACTTCCCCTTGTGGCTATTGGTAAATATTATAATCTGGAGTTTTCTATTTCTGCTGATTTCTACTCTTATGTAACTAAAGTTTCTTTAACTTAAATAGCTTCTTATTTAGATACTTTGAGACTTTCAATTAAATCTACATTATCTAATATCATTCCCTTTGAATTTGCCAATAGATTTAATATCTCATCTTCATTCTTCCTAAGACTCCTCATTCCTGCTGAGATGTTCTTAACTAAATCTTTTTGTTCTTCTTCCAAATCTGGTTTCTCAATCTATACAATCTCTCCAAGTAATTGTTCTTCCAACCCTTACTATGTTACTGTAAAATTTATCACAGTAACCCTAATAAACATTTCCGGTAAGAATTATGGATTAGAAAGTTTAGTACAGATGAACAATTTAAAATTGGAATCAAATTCTATTTCCTTATCTCCTATCTTAATATTCTTTTTTCTATTTGAAGGGTTTGCCTGTCTTAGTAATACAGGATCTAAAGAAATATCAAGTTATTCCTAAGCATCCTCAAGTAATAAAGGGACTCCCGTTTATATTGCATTTTCAATTTGTTTAACTAGCCCTTCCTAAGTACTCTTTATGATTTTAAGGTTTTGATCCCTATAAGTATTTTTGATCCAAGTATTAGCCTACAATTGAGGATCAATAAACAAAGGGTAGGATCTGGTGAACTTAGATATTATCCCATTTGACTTTGAGATTGAGTCATTAGGCAATCCATTTGCAATCCATTACTTAATTTCAAGAGTGTCTCCTAAAATAGATTCAAAATTAAAATTTTTGATTGAGGGCAATGCTAACTCTGTTGCCTTTTCTATCCAATTCTAAACTAACTGATTTCTATAAGTTCCACAAAACGGTCCCATATATGTTACAATAGCACTCCCTAAAAACATATTTCCTAAGAGCAATTAGATTTCTTCACTCAGACTCTGAACTTTGGCCTTCCATCTATCCTATTCATCAGCCAATCCTATTGTAAGTTCTTCAGCTCTTATCAATCTTTATTGAGTAGTTTAAATATTTTAATCCAAAAGGTCTTTTTCTTATTTATTTGAATTAAATTGTATTTCTAGTTCAGTTACTTTTCTCACCACTTGAGCAAGTTCAGATTATTTTTAAGCCAATTCCTTCTTTGCTTTCTCTAACTATTGATTCATATTTTCAACCTGTGTTTTTTTCTTTTCTACATCATTATTAATATCTGTGAATTCACTTACAGCCCTCACCCACTCACAGATTGATTTAGCAGCAATACTAATTTTCTAAATTTAACTTGGAATGAATTCTGGATTGCTAGTAATTTTAGTTTTAATTTTGCTTTAAGTTACTGGCCTGATACGACTCGCATCCAGTCCCTTCATTTTTTATAAGAAATTGGGATCTGTCAATAGTTTTTTAATTGAATCCCAATCCAACTTTTCTTCAAACAATATAGCCACACATTCAAAAGTGAAACGTATTATAGGTTAAGGGTTACTATTATTTCTAAATTCTGATATATCATTTCTATTAAGTGTATTTAGTTATTCTACGGCTGCATTTAGAGTAGGAATAGCTTCATTCAGAATTTTATCAGATTCCGCTTTTGTCTCTTTAATCTTAGAAGCCTACTCATTAACTTGTCTTTCCTCCTCTGATACCAATTATTTAACTCTATTCGCCTCAGTAGAATCAATTTATAATTTTTATAATAATTGTTCTTGCTCAATCGTCTTTTACTTGAGAATTGGTTGCATTTATGTCAATTTTACTTTTAAATCACTTATAATGCTGTTAACTTCATGTAATTTTTATAATCCTGAAGATAATTTTAATCTATTGGTTAGCAATTCCTCTTTTTTCATCAACAATAAATTCTTATAAGACTCTATTAAATCAAGATATGATTTAGGTGTGATATAAACTTACCTTCTAAAAGCAACTTGAAAATCTTCACACTTTTTCTCGACACTTTAATGAACATGTACACACATTTAATACAAATTTTATCTGATCTCTTTTGTCAACCCATCGAATTCAAGTGTTTACAAAAACATCTCTGAAACACTCATCAAAGCTTCTTATGGCCATTTTTATAACCATTATATTGTACAACAGTTGAGCAGACTTGGAAACATTCTCAATCTGATTCTCAATTTCCCTCCCATAGGTGAGAGACCTAAAACAATGTGTAGATTTGATCTCACTTTTTATACAAAGTAAGGATATATATGATTAATGTTTAGTTCTTTAGCTTCTGCCTATAGACCTTAATGAATCAACTCCAAATCTTCTTTCTTCAACATGTTTGGTACCTCACCAGAATTGAGGAGACTATTGATATCCTCTAAGAATCCTTCTTAAAGAACTTATGTTTCTGTAAAAGCAAAAGCAATTTATTTATTATCGATTCCAACAGCACACATCATCCTAAATAAAAATTCCTTAAACTCTTTTTTTCCATAATTTCTCTTGCATTCAATTGTTTCAACTTTACATCCAGCTAATACAGCTCCCAGTTATATTAAGGATTTCTTACCTGAACCTCCAACTCCTACTAACATATAATGTCCTCTTTGTTATCTTAACACTCTGTTAATTCTTGTTAAATTTTGAATTGCATCCTTAAAGAGTACTAAATTCAGTTTGGTTTATCCAATCATATATTCATTGATAACCTTGACAAGTTAATTGTAATCTTTGACTTCTTCATAAATGCGATCTTATAATTCTACTTTTTTCTAAAAATCAGCAAACATAAAAGGTCGTTATGAATCAAATAATTCATTGACCTTGTATTCAGTCTTAAAAAATAAGAATATGTTTTTAACTAAGTTCTCTTTAAACCAATCTTAATCCTACTAATTAATTAATCTATCCATAAAAACACGACATGTCTCATGTGCCCACAATCTAATTATTTGATCACACTTTAGATAAACCAAAGGTTTAGCTTGCAGTATCCCTTATATGATTTTGCTGACATCCCTTAAATTGAACACATAATGGGACTTTTCGGGCGTAGGCAATAGTGTCTTCTATATTTCTTAGTACATGGAGAGTGTAGCATTTACAATTGAATAGTTATCACCCAAATCAATGATCTCGTTTTTAAAATAATTATTTTTAAAGTAAGCCTTTAAAATTCTACTAAATATACAGGATAAGGTTTCATCGCTGGAATTAGGTAAAGCCAACAAAACAAAATGACGAGTGAATCTAATTGATAAAGGAGATCTACCTCCTCCAGGTGGACCACAGGCACAAATTAGAATAGTGTCATCTACATTCTTCCAATTAAATGTTCTTCTATCATAAACTCCTTTATAATCTATAAACTATCTTAATAATTCAATGGGGGGCTAGGCTCCATATTACTCTTATGATGGCATATTGACATCATCAATAAATACTACAAATTTCTTTCCAGGAGGAGGCATGAGAATAGATCTACCTTTCTTACGATAAGCTTGCAATTTTTGTTCGATGCTTAACTAAGTAGTTTAACTAGATGTTTTGGCTGAGAAGGTCATCTGCATCAAAGCGATCAATCCTCCATCCCTTAAATTTTGAATAGAAGAATTTATTATAATAGTCTTACCTGTTCCAGTCACTCCAGTTATAAAAATAGGACAATTTGTAGATATGGCTTATTCCAAAAACCAACCATAAGCCACCGTTTCTGGAGTTTCCACAATCATGTCAAAGTAACTCATACCTTTCACATATTGAAATTGTGGAACATTGTCACTCCATTAAGTATAATGAATCTCAACTATTCCATCAACTCTAGTAATTTTAACTAAGCAAGACAACAGAGATCCTCTAGGTAAAATATCAACTGAGAAAGTATCATTTACGATACCCTCGAATTTTGAATAATCATCAGATACTAATGTAGCACCAACCGACCACGCATATACCCATACGAAAAGCTTTTCTAAATGTTTTTTTGAAATTTCATCTCTTAAATTGCAGTTTAATTGTTGATTATAATATTGAATAACCATTCTTATAATCTTAATTAATCCAACTGCCATTTATGTTTCATGAACAGGGATTAATTATTTACAATGTTTAATTACTTAACTAATTGATTTACTAAATGAAACCTTAATTTACACTAACAAATGATCTATTATATCACTGGTTAGAATGTCAATAAGGGACATTGCTTCAGTTAATACAATAGGTTCATATCCTAAGACCTAATCATCTATGTACACTATACCACATCTACTTATAGTTGCAGGAGATGCAGTATTTAAATCTAAAACTTCGAAGATCATTCTCATCTAAGCATTCAGCTTGATTCTCTCTCCATTACTTAAACACAAGGTCATCGAGTCATCTAACACTGTATTCAAATTTTCAGCCCATATGGCATCAACAGGCCCATCAAACACAACCCATTTCATATCTTCCGTTTCTAAAGATGCTTATCCTCTAATTATATGAGATGCTAAACCATCGGTCCATTATTAAGTTATCATATCAAATTAACCATATAATTCTTCTATAGTTATAGCTTTCGGATTCAAGATTTAATGCTAAACCTTCTAGTACATTTTTGGATTCTCAACTTCTGCATATGAGTGTTGCTCATATAATCTAGCATAAGATTCCCTAAGAACATTTTGAACCTAAGATTTACCACCCATTGTAACTCCAACCAACACAACTCCAAATCTCACTTTCAAGGTTTCATGAAACTATAAAACCTTCTCTATGAAAGTATCTTATTATTATAGATTGTTAAGCTCTATAACATTTTTTATTGTTGTTTCTAATTCATCATTTTGATCCACTGGTATTGTTATTCCTGGAAATAAATCATTCAATATAGCATTAAATAGAGGTATATCATGAGATAAAAATTTAGGTAAATTGCTATCCCTCATCGCTTTAACTAATAGAATATCTTCATTGATATTTAAATCTGCTCGTTTTAATGATCCAGCCATAACTAATATTGATTTGATTACTCTCATACCAAAATCATAGTGATTTTACTAACTCAGTTATTCTGAACTTAATTGATACAATTTAATCATCTTCCTTGATAAATCTTTGGAATTTGAAAATCCTTCAGCAAACAACATAATTTCTGAAATTAACCTATAATCTGGAACCATCATAGCTACTGGTCTAAAAAGTACTTTCAAATTATCAGGTAACTCTGTTCTACCATCATAGCCTGGATTCCTCGTAAGTAATATACCCAAATCAGGATTCAATTATATATTTTTACCAAAGAAATAAAAATTCATTTTATATTCTAACAGAGCTTCTCTTATAGTTTAAACTTACTATGCTATAACTGATAATACTTCAATATTGATTCTATTAAATTCGTCTAAACAAACCCAAGCTCCACAATATGCCAATCCTGCAAATAGTTTTTCTATCAATTTAGCTGTAATCTAATCTGAACAATTGAACACTATACAATATCTACCCAATGCTTTAGCTAAATCTTTACATGATTCTGTTTTTCCAGTTGCAGATGGTCCATATGGAGCTGCTCCTAATTTGAGTCCAAAAGCTCCTGTGATAGTCATCCAACATCTATCAGTTAAGGGAGTAATAATTAATCTTGTTGTAGACCCCAAATACTCATAACCATACATAATTTTTGCATTTGCTTATCTTCCTAGTACACTTTCTTCATCATGATAGAATCTCAACTATTGTTGCCACTTGAAATCCAAAATGCCTTCAACAGATTCATTTCTCATGTTATCAACTATATCTCTAAAATGAACATCCTAGGTGACCAAGGCCAAAAGAGTTCTTCTTTACAATTCATTCAAGTTTCCTCTTATTAATTATGTCAATTCATCAAGCATAGTTACATTAGCATCATACCAGTCATCCAAATCTCCCTCTGCATTTGCCTATAAATAATTCTCTTCAGTAATTTTAGTCCAAAATATGGAATCAATAGTGATTATTATTTATAAGGGGAATTCAAATACCCAATCCCTTCTCTACGTATCTTCTAATTGATATTTAATAAGAGACTATCTCATTACTCCATTTAGTGAGCTCTTCATTTTATCCTCCAAAGCCTTAAACCAATCTTCTACCTCTCCTCTAGCTGTATATCCCTTAAGCACTGCAATCTCACCTTCAGCAGATATCATTCCTATAGCATTTTCTGATTAATCAAATTAAATCTTGACCAAATTTTCAAAGCACTTTCTCAAGTAAGGCTAAATGGATTAAACATTTTTTGCATTTGACAATATATCTAAGAGTTCATCATTAGATAAAAAATAAAATCTTTAAAAAGCGTCTCTTTTCTTCTCTAAAAACTCATCCAAAGCCTTTTAAATAACATCAAAATTATTATTATTTTACCTTAATTAATTAAAATATTATCTATTTAAATAATCATCTGCCCATCTTTTAGCTAGACAACTATCTCTAACAGTTCTCATTAACTTCTTCCACAATACATCAGCTTATTGAAATATTTTAGACTCTTTAACTAAATTCTTAGCACTATAAGGGGAATTCAGAATAGGTTCCAAATAAAGCCAGTTTCTTTAATGAATCATCCATTCATCAAACAATTTCCTGAAAGTATCTTAACAAAGATTGTTACCTCTCTACTTTCAGATCGTATACCTTCAACAAATCGAGAAGCCAAAATATTATAAACAGTTAAAAGAGTGTCATCAATTTTAGAAATCAAATCTTGATTATTTCCTAATATAAAGATATCCTTAGATTCCCTATACGGTTAAACAGTGATTACTGCTTATCTCCAAATTGATTCAACTTATTCTAGCATTTTAACTAATTCGATTTCCTTAGCTGCCCTCAAAGCAATTTCACTCAACTTGTCTTTTACTTAATCTAAGCCAACCTTCGTAATCCATTAAACATCATACTTTGGATCATCCAAAGGAGTGAATGGTTCTAAAATGGGTTCTTTGAACACTAGTTAATTCTCAAGAATCAATGATCTGATTTAATTCCATTGCTTATCTGAGATTGCTGGATCTTTTAATGCTTAAAGTACTTAATACACGCCTTTGAATGCTTCGATATCAGACTTGAAAACTCTTGCTACTTCATTTTTGTCTAATTCTTTGGCACACATATTAGCAGTCTTCTATAGTTTTTCCATTACATTATTCATTTCATCTAAATCGATTTCAGTGTAATGTTATTTCAACCAAAAAGAGTAATTCTGAACCCATTCATTTCTACCACACCACAATCTTTCCAGAAGTGTAAATTCATTATTAAATATTTCTAATTTTTCAAAGGGCGTATACTCCAGATTTAATGCAATTTAATAATCATTTAATTTCTAAGCATGAATCTTTAATTCGTCCACTTATTTTCTAATGCCAATCACAAATGTAATCATATCATTTAGATCGGCAGTCAAAGAACTCAATGGTTATTCTGAAACTCTTTCATTTAAATCCTTGACTGTATTATCCACCTAAGGTATCATCCTTTCCATATCCTTTCTAAATTTATTTAAGTTTTAATCATAATTTACCATCGCATCATCTACCTTTTTACGTAATTGACTCACCTATTAAATGCATTCAGCGAATTTTTGTTTATGCACATCCTAGATCTTAATCTTCAATTCATCCATTAATAAAGCCATTGAGGTGACTTCTTATGAGGTATTACTCAAATCTTCGAATTAATTATTAATTACATTCACAGCATCCATATAATTTACAAATTACTCAACTGTAATTGGAGATATGGCAATTGTAGAATATAATTGAGCAGTTTTCTTTGTAAACAGTATAGCTTTCTTATACATGTAATCTGGTATAAACCTTTGTAATTCTACAATGCAATGCATAGCACTGCATTTAATCTTTGCCTTTAACTTGTGATTATCAAATAGAATCACACCAATCTCCTAAGTAGGTTCCATATCTTGAAATAGTTGATCCTGCTTTTTGTATCTATTAATGGCATTTCGATATTCATCCACATCCTTATCTGTGAACTAGTTCTCAATGTTAACTCCAGTGTTCTCAACATACCATTACAAAAAGGGTTTCAATTTGTTAGCATACTATTCAAGATGATCAAATGCTACCTCTAATTCTCTCCTCATTTAACCACAAAGGTTCTGAAAGTTTTCGCTTCCATTAAGGATTGACTTAACATCAACCTTCTCCAATTATTGATTCCCATCATCATGTAAATATTACTATAAATCTGGCATTGACAACATTTCCTTGTGTCTATTGGTTATGCGTATTACACTATTGCTGACTAAATTTTCAAACAATTTGAAAAGTTATTCCCTTTAAGGATTAAAAAGTATATTGTCTCCTTTACCAACTGCTTCAACAATTATCCAACACTATGGTTAACCCTTTCCATAATAACCTTTCCTTTTACCTCCCAAATTCTGTCGATATTATTCATTAAAGTCTCTGATCTATTTGACAATATGTTCTACTGAATTTTGCATCATTTGTAATTTGGCATCCATAATAACATAATCAAGATATTTAACAAATTTTTTTAATCTTTTATAATGAGTTCTGATAGTAGCTTCAGTTGTAAACGGCATCTCTTTCCCAGACTCATCCCCTACTAATAGAGGGGCTCTTTCCTCATTATCATCCTCTTATAATGAGATGCGGTGGGTTTCCTTGTAATTTATTAAGGATTTTTGGCAACATTCAATTATGACTGATTAAATCTGTTTTTCATAAGTGTCAAATTATTTGTCCATTTTGGACATAAGGTGTTTATCTTGTATAATCTTGAAATTGTCAAGATTTTAAGGGATTGCAGTGGAGGTATCTAGAAATCTGATGTCAGATGCCATTTATTGACAGATTCTTTTGACTTCTAACAAAGTGATTCTTAATTGTTTATCTGTTGAAAACATATTGGAACCCATCAATTCTTGATTTTTAGCTAAAATTTTCTTCCTCATGAGTCTTTTCCATAAGAAGAAGTTTTTCCACAACTTGTATTTTCTGAAAAAGTCGATTTTCCTGTAGGTCTTAAAAGAAGATTGGCCTCTCTTTACCATTCTTCAATGGTTAGGAAAGTAGTCTCCTCGTTTTGATAATATGTAATGCCTCTTGCACTTATCGTCATGTACTCTTTATCATTTCGATCCTCAAACTCTACGATTTCATAATCATAGGCATGATCTCTTTTATTCAAATAACAAAATTGATTAGCCATTTCAGGATCTGTTTTAATGAGGTAAATGAAATCCATAGGAGACAAGTAGGATTACTGTAGCTATTTCTTCTTTTATTTTTTTAATTCTTTTTTTAATATAGATGTGTCTTTCTTTCTCTCAGGGAATTGAAATAGATTTATGATAGAATCATTGACTGATGAATTTGGGTTTTATGCATCGTCCAACATGCTCATTCCATAATCACTTTAGAGTCTTTGTTCCAAGGGCGATAAGTTCTTAGGTTTTTTAGAGTGATCATAGGCAAAAGAAGTATCATTTCTAATGTCTTGAGTTAGTAATGACAACAAATACTTTTGCCAGATTGATATGCAGATTGATCAAGCAGAATTCTACCTTATTAAATGGTCACACCCAAATTGACTTGAGGTGATATAATTGGTTCTAATCTCTATTTTGAAATTTTGGGTATCAAATATGGGTTTGATGCATTCGAGAGTGGTTAAGTAAGTTTTCGTTCGGTAGGATCATATCGATTGATGTTTTTGTAGAGTCTATTCTTAAGCTATCTTTGAGAAAGGTGATCAAAATTGAAACGTTTATTATTGTCACTATCCATAATAAATTATTAATATATGGACAGAGATTCATAAATATTTTAATATGTTAATATTAATCGAGACTCCTGCAGGATTTGCCCTCTTCCAAGTGGCTAACACTAAGACACTTAACAAAATTGAGAACATCTATGATTACTTGCAAAATGAGAAGCAAGCCAAAAAATTGTAAGCCTTCCCATCATCCTAGGATTACCCCTTTTGCTTTCCAACAATTCAAGGATACCCAAGAAGCTCTCATTGCCACTAGTAAACTCATCAATGGAAAGATACCCAAAAAACTCAGTAAGTTTTTGGAAAAGAATGTGATTTCATAGGAAGTTCAAGATTAAATAGCAGGTATCAATAGATTATATATTAATATAGTTTAGGATAAAAAACTAGCTAAACAGCTTCAAGATTAGCTCGGATTGAGTTGCATTTAAACCCCAGTGACAGAGTAATTGTTTAGAGGCATCAAATCACAACTAACCAATCTAATTGAGGGTTTGAGTGAAGCTGAACTCAAAAACATGACCTTGGGTTTGGCACATGGTCTCTCTAGATACAAGCTTAAATTTTCAACTGAAAAAGTAGACACCATGATCATCCAAGCCATCGCTCTTCTTGATGATTTAGACAAAGAAATTAATAATTACATGATGAGACTGAGAGAATGGTTCGGATGGCATTTCCCAGAATTAGGAAAAATCATCAGACAGATAACCTCATATATGCTAAGGTTGTTAAAGCCATTGGTATGAGAATCAAGACAAGCTAGACTGATCTTTCTGGCATTTTACCAGACAATCTAGAGGCAGATGTCAAATAGGCTGCAGAAGTGTCTTTTGGTACTGAAATCACACTTGAAGATGAAAAATTCATTCTTTGTTTGGCTGACTAAGTCATTGAATTGACCGATTACAGAGCCTAATTATCGGAATATCTGAAAAATAGAATGTAAGCTATTGCCCCAAATCTTACCACCATGGTTGGAGAATTAGTAGGAGCAAGATTGATATCACATGCTGGATCTCTGGTTAATCTAGCTAAATATCCAGCCTCTACAGTTTAAATCTTAGGTGCAGAGAAGGCATTGTTCAAAGCCATCAGAACCAAACATAACACACCAAAATATGGTTTGATCTTCTAAGCCAGTTTGGTTGGAAGTGCCCCTGCTAAATTAAAAGGTAAAGTCTCCAGAACCCTAGCTGCCAAAACTGCCTTGTGTATCAGATATGATGCCTTAGGTATATTCAATAATTGATGTATTCTAGGTGAGGGATAAGATGCTGAATTTGGAGTCACCAACAAAGCATTCTTGGAAAAGAGAGTTCATTAATTGGAGGAAGGTGTAAACTATAGAGATGTGAAAGCACCATAAAGAGGAAAAGCTAAGCCAGTTTCCAATTAAGCTTAATATTAAGAAGAAGCAGACTTTTAACCTTAAGGAGCTACCTGGATGTAGAAATTCTAAAAAGGACGAAGATAAAAGATAAGCACCATAAGATTTAGCATAAAACTCAAAATTCAAGAAGGTGAAATAGTAATGAAAGTACATTATGTATAAAATATAAAAAACTCTACATTTCTTGCCTATTATCCATCCATTAACTGCTTCATAGTCCTCATCTATTCTTTCATTAAGATTTACTAAACAATGCTTAGATATTCAATTTATTAGAAAACTTTCGGTTTTCATCTGCGATATGTTAATATTAAATGTTGATAATAAATTATTCGATCCTTAAATTTCTGTAAATTATTAATACTCATTTTCTTTATCTAATTACTTTTAAATTTTTGATGATTCTCCAAAACTGAGTTCTAAATTTAAGATACAATTAGATGAGTAAACTTGAAATTGCTACAATAATTGTAGTTAATCTTCTTAAATTAAAGATTCATTATTGTTACTTAATACTTATTCAATAATTCCCTAATCAACACACTTTAGCGAAAAATTCAAAAAAGACTGAAAATAATGATTAAATTTTTCATCATTTAAGGTCATATTTCACTGTAGTTTTTGTAATCAAAGATACTTTAATTAAATTTTATGGCTTATTAATAAAAAATAACAGTCTCATTTAAAGTTTAAGATGTTTATACACTTCTGCTTTTTCTCTTTATGTTTTATCTATAATCAAGAAAGTAAAGGTGTTGTTTTAGTATAATAATTAGAAACCAAGTAACCAAGCAATTCTTTTGTAGTATTTAGCATCTTCTTTAATTGATAATTCAATTTAGAATTTTTGATTGTGCTGACCTTTAAGCAGACTTCAACAAGACAGATATTATTGTGTGTTCTCTTGAGATTTTAATGGCTAGTTAATTGAGTTTAAGCAATTGTTTAAGTTCTTTGTTCTCTCAACAATTGCCTAACTTCTTGATTGAGAAATTCACTATTGTTTCAAGTCCATCTATATTCATAATTTTAATAAAATAATCAATGCATGCTTTGCTTTAGTTTTATGTAATCATTGAGAATCTTTTTCAACCACCTCCAACACTCTCGCAATTCGGGTTTCGAATTTGGAAAATAATTTTAGGGATGACACTGTATTACAAGATCCACTATTGAATTAACGAACTTTGATATTGAAGGGTCTTTGATTAAGCTTTCCAAACGAGTGATCTCTTACTTTAGACTCTGGTTTTCTTTCACAAGCAAGCTGTTTTCAATTAATTAATTTTGAAATTAAACTTCTTTTTCTTTTAATTGCATCTCAAATTCCTTTATTTTTTCTACTACGTTGTCTTTTTAATAATGGGTTGGTTCAGATAATCTATTCATCAATATTTTTTAATGAGCTCTCATTTCACTTATCATTTATTCTTTGAATTCTAATTATTTGGTGAGTTGTTCAACTTATTTTCTAAGCTCTTAAACTTCATCCCCAACAAATCTTTCTACAATTGGACTCACTTATTATTACTTTAAATACTAGGAATAGTATAGTTGTGTCGAGGAATTGTGAGAAGGTTAGTTTGTTTAACGATTCATTAATTTTTATTTAGAATTTTAATAATATTAAAAATTTATTTGGGCTCTATAAAGAAGCTATTTCTACATTGAACAGAACGATCACTCATATAAAATTCTTGCAATTTCGAAAAATTGAAACAATTGCTAAATTTAATCAATTTAGGCAAGCATAACCAAATGAAAGTAAAGGATTTGATTCTTTACTGAATTATGGCTCTTTATAGATTTAAAATTGAGGCTTGCAACAATTAATTAACATGAAGTATAATATTTTTAAATTGATTATATTCAATAAACAATGATACAATTAGTTTAATAATTATTAATTATTCAGATAATCATAGACCCTATTATATCCCATCCACTCCCTCCGATTCTAGATTGTTGATATATTTTACAGTATTATAAATAAAGCTTCTTCTTGCAAATATTAAACTCTAAACTTAGAATAAAAAAATGACAATATATTTTAAACATCTATAAATTCAATTGTTTCATATTTGAAATCCTAATGAATATTCACTTCATGAGATATTGAAATATAAATATAAATAAAAATTATATTGTAATTAGTATAGCATAAATTAATTAATTATAAAAAGTAGCATTTTTCAAATTCAAATCGGAAATGAATTTTTAATCTCCTCTTGCAAGAAATTTATTTAGCACTCCTGAAAAATAGTAAATGGAACCAGAATTGTGTAAGAAAGTAATTATTGACGATCAAATACAGCAATTCAATAATTCAGGAAAAAAATAATTCAAATTCTAGATTATGTAGAGCTATATCAATAAATAATTAGTCCTATCAAGACTTAAACACCAATCAAATAAAAGCATCATCATTCACATATTACTCCAAGCACTTCTGAAAATGATTGCATCGGAACATCCTTGGTTCAAAGATTTTAAAACCAAATGACATTAGATTAAATCCATCAAAGTCCTCCAAGCACTCCAAAAAACAAAGGAACAAAATCGCATAAAGAATTAACTGCTTAAAAACAAGGTACTGCCACACCAAAGAAGAAGAAAGTAATATTATATTTTAACTGAAAGAGTGCAATAAAGAGTATTTAGACAAGTGCCTGGGCTATGGATATCGAAGATTAATCAGAAGAAGAGAGTCCTACTTTTGAGAGATCTAGATATTATAATGAATATACTTAATTGGCAGTGATAGGCAATGGAAATTTTGGTACTGTCTACAAATGCAGAAATAATATTGATAAATAAATTTATGCTATTAAATGCGTTAAACTTCAAGGATGTGGCAAGTCATATGATGCAGCAGAATCACTTAATGAAGCACAAGCACTTGCCTATTTGACAGCTAAGGGAAGGTGTAAAAACATCATACGATATTATACTGCTTGGAATGAAAGATGTTATTACTACTTATAAATGGAGTATTGTGATTTCAATGTCACTTCTTTTTAAGTAATCTTTATTTTCATCCATTAGGAAACAAGAAGAGAACAAAACCAAAATCTTGAAGAATTTGAAGTTAAGAAGATTTTGAAGGATATCTTATAGGGCTTGAAATTTCTCCATGAGCAATCGATCACACATTTCGATGTCAAACCTGATAACATCTTATATAGCAAGGCAGAAGGCTGCTATAAACTAGCTGATCTAGGGCTATCCAGATTAACCTAATTAAAAAAAGGAGAAGATATTAATGAAGGAGATTCTCGATATTTAGCTCCTGAAATTTTATCAAATGTATATAGTATTTTAGAATTTTAGTTAACAGCCTAATCTGATTTAAGTAAATCAGATATCTTCTCACTTGGCGCTTCAATTTATGAAATTATGATTGGGGAAAGTCTTCCTACATGTGGGGAGAGATGGCTGAAATTGAGATAAGGACTGACTGTCAATGATTTTGGATCTGGTATTTATCTTAAATTACATTGAGTAGATTTCTATTCTATTAAATTAAGAAGATTAATTTGTAGAATGATGAATCCGAATTCGATTTTCAGATTGAGTGCCAAATCTTGTTTGGAGGACCCTTATTTATATATTCCTAAGGAGAAGTTCATTAAATGGGAGAAGATTAGAGGATATTAATTAAGATAATAATTAGATTTTATTAAAATTATGGAAACAAAAAAAAGATAAATGAGTGTTTGATATTTATTGGATTATAAATATTAATGAATTAAAATTAAAACTTTACAAGCAATCTAAATCTATTTCCTGAAATAGGAACCCATGGATCTAGAGGAAAAGTAAATGCTTCAATTTAAGCTAGTAATATGGTGGAAATAATATTACCATGAGAGGAACAGAAATCTTTGAAGGGCTTACGACTGGAAGACCATCAAAAAATATTATATAAGCCCATTTCAAAGTCTTAAGATTTTATAGAAAAGTTTGTCGTCTTATTCCATTTTTGTTGAGAATTCATGATATGGAAGTCACTTGCAATTCATAATAAGCAATGCTCAATGTTGCAAATGTCATCAGAAAAAGAGCATACTTAAGAGATCCAGATGCAGTTGATAGATGGGTTAGAATTCCCTTTTGATATTCATAGGTTTATAGAGGATATGAACTACTCTACCAAGCTGAATGGCATATGTTAAATAGAGATCATTTATTCTAATACTTTGCTAATCAAAATAGATCTGATGCTGGATATTCATACTTAGAAAATCAAAAACTCAAAGGAAAGAGTGAGTTCTTAAAAGATTTCTATATTGGAAATAAAACATATGAATATTGAAATTATAAGTTTAAATAACATATTGAAAACAAGAATTAATTATTAGTTATTTTATAAATGTTTTTTTGATATAAAATTAAACCTAAGAACTAAAAGTGAAAAAGAAATGATATAGATTCAAAATATTTAAATAATTTAAGTATATTGATATAATCATCCTATTTACTAAACTGAATAAGTTAAAGGTAAGTTTTATTCAATTTTTTTAAGAAAGTTCTTTAATGGTCCAAGACTGCATTTGGCATTGTCTGCTATCACTTGTGCTATGATCCCTCCTCTGTCTGCAAATATAATATCACCACAATATTTGATAATGGCTCCAGCTATTACATTTTCATGTTCACCTTAAATGAGACTTCTTAGATTTATTTCATTAAACATTTAAAGGCAAAAGGTAATGAATTTATCGTTAAGTCCAATTTAACTTGAAATCTATTTAATGAATGAATAAACAATAGCCTATAAATTATATGGATTATGAATCTATAAAAGAATTTTCTTTATTTATTTCTCAGAGACAGATGTCTTAGATAGTATTTCTTTTTATGTTATTGGAGCATTAATCTATTTCAAAGATGCTATGATGATTGCAACAGCAATAGCTTTATACTTTTTCGATTTCAAACCCTCAAGCAATTCAGATTTTAATAAAGATAGTCCTATTTTTAAAAGATCTTCACTTAATCCCAATAAAGCAATTTAATTGGTTATTTCTTCTACAATAGCAGATATTCTTTTTCTAGTAAAATATGATTCATTAAAATCTTCTATTGAGGTTTCAGACGTATTATCAAAGGATAATGCAATAAAAGAGGATTCTTCAGTTTTTGGGGGAGGGAGGAAATCAGGTGAATCAGTTCCTGCTCCAATATGTCTGAACTTAGGTACAGGAGGCCTGGGAGGTCTATGTTCTGTTCTTTTTGGAATGTCCATTGTTTACTGAATATAATAAATTTAATATAAACATTTAAAAACCATTAGAAAACAACTCTTGAATTGATTTTAAATTAATTATACATAATATTTTATCATAATATCAATTATGAACAAATTTATTCTAATTGCTATATTGTAGTATGGATGGTAATTTGGATAGTTATTTTATTTCCCTCAACAAATGTAATGTCGGAATTTAATAATTTAGTGGTATGGAGATCAGTTTTTGAATAAAACACAATAGAATTATTGCTTCTTAAATTGGTAATGCTGCAGTGACAAGAGAATCGGTCCTAGTTTTTATCGATAAAGTCATAGATAAACCTTGATTTATTTAGTTATTCTTATTCAACTTACTTTAATCCAATTTCCAACAATTATTCAGTTAGTAATCCTGATATATAAACATTATAGCATGGGATAGTATTATATATGCTATTATTCTTTTTCATTATTTGATAGTCAGCCATGGAAGGAATAGTCCTGTCACTTTATCCAATCAATTCATCTTTAATGATGACAATACATAATCCAGGAATGCCCAAATTATATTATAAAGAGGCAAAAATGCATCCAAATTTATCAACATTTATAATTTTAGATCCAAAACTTGATGTCATATCACAGACAACTATCTTATCATCACAATGAGGAAGCTAATTAATTTATATTCCTTCAGCCATTTCATTATCAACATAAAATACATAAGCGATATCTTAATGAGGAACTTCTCCTAGTGCAATAATTTTAGGATCACAAAATTTTTTTGCCTCTTCGTAAGCTTATTAACTATACTTTCCAGTGATTATATATCCGGCGGTTTGATTCTTATTTAATAAGTTCATTGGTATGGCTGAATACTACAAAGTGGCTCCACCTTGCATCAGCATTACTTAGTAATTCTTAGGAATATTAAATAGCATTCTTAAATCACTCAGCAATTTGTTATGGATTGATAGGTATTCTGCTGATCTATGACTCATTTCTAAGACACTTAAAGACGTTTAATTCCAATTCTTTAATTCTGATTTCGCTTTCTAAATAAGTTTATCAGGCAATATCATAATTTAAGAAATAATTGAAAAATAATTTATAAATCAAAAGGGCAAATACAATATCATTTAATATGTGCTTTAATAAGAATAAATGAAGAAAATTCAATGAAAACTCTGGATGATTATCATCGTTTAATAATATTAATTAAATTAAATTTATGATATTGAATGAATATATATATATTAATCATTTGAACAATTAACACTTTTAAGTGTCTCTTCTTCTGTAAAACAATAAGTAGGCAGACTCGCATACAACATTGGTACTGATAGTTCTAGTATTTGAATCATTATAATCAATCCATTTATTAAGCACACTATTATAAGCATAGGCTGTATAATGTCCTCCTGCTGAGCTACCATAGTGATTATCCACCGCATAAAGATCATACGTATAATCTTAATTATCTCCTGCTTATTTGGATAACACTAAATTATTTAAATTTAGTTCAAGTGGAAATTTCACCAATTAAGTAATTTTCTATGTTTAATTATTAATGAAAACATTGCCTACCATGGTTACTTTATTCGTTCTAAATCTCTTGAGATGAATTATTAAGATCTATAAAGAATAAAAACAATTAAATTACTTAAGGAGCCTTATAAATTTCCATCTTTTTAGATGCTTGAACATGTTTCTTGCATTTATTACAATACCATTCATCTCCTTTACCCAGAATTTCTTCTCTCGTAAAAGCTGTAAAACAATCATCAAGATCACATTCTTTTTTTCCTTATTAAGTTTTAATTGGATTTGGTGGTATTTCCTAACATCTTTGGAATTTCAAATTTAGGGTATTTTTTACTAGATAATCTGAAATAATGACTTCAATAGAGAGATTAGATCCTGGGATATCAATTATTATGTTATCCTAGAATAATAATGTATAATGATACATTAAATTAGGTTTCCTTTTTTGGATAACCTGGTGTCAGATCTTTGAATCTTAGCGTGAATGGTTATAGTTAATTTTATACTAATATTGCGAATTCTTGTATGCTTTCCTCTAAATTTTTAGGTTTGGGCAATGTTAAAAATTCGTCTTTTAATGAAAATTCTTTAGTAGTTAATTCATTCACTGCAAAAGTTAAATGAATTCTGAATTTAGAGTAGATCAATCCATAGAGTTATTACGATGTCCATTTTTTATTCATCACTACTTATCTAGGGAATGATAAAACTTTATCAGGAGTTCCTTTTACAATGTAATAGAAATCAACATTAATTTAATTCTATTTCAGATTTTACATGTTTGATTCAACTTCTTAAACAAACAACATTCCATAATGTTCTGCTATCCATTTTGCTACTTATTCATAGGTCACTCTTTCACAAATTCTATGATCCTTAATGAGTAACATATTCATTCTTTCGTGACTGACATTTGTCAGTTTTTCTAATTATTTTAATATGTCTAATCCTGTCATATCACCCCCCAATTACAAACTAATTTTACTTGGCATAATTTCATTATCGGCATATAAAAAGTACAAAGAAACTGCATAGATTTAAAAATTAGGAACAGGCAATGATAAACTCATGAAGGGATCAAATGTCTTTGATATCCTGTTACAAAGTGGACAAACTAGGGTTGATTTATATTGTCCAACCATAAGTTCCTATATTCTGCTTTGATTTCTCAAAGTATAGTTGGTCCAAAATTTTTCAGAAGCCTATTAATCACTCTCATTTGTAATTTCTATGTCTGAAACAATTGGCTTATTAAGAACTCTATTGAGATCTTCATGTAATCCATCTAAGAGATATGACAAGAATTCATGAGAGTCCTATTAACCATACCCATAAAATTGAGGTGCACATTTCCCTATCACTTTTTTTAATTCAATGGCTGAAACACTTTAATAATTTGCAAACCAAATAGATTTCATTAATTCAGCATATGATGCTGCCAAAAATCCCTTGGTTCCCAATACATTATTGGGATTCAAATGTTTAGCAAAGTGATTATACACCATGTACTCTGTAAATTCATAGGTATTGCTTAGACATTGAAGTGCAGCATTCATAAAACAGGTGTTTCCCAAATTCTGTAAACCTGTCATTCCTCTTTTGCACTCAGATACTATTTTAGGAATATTACTGATTCCAAATTTTTTATAGAGTTCTGAAACATTTTATTCTTTTTATTGATCTACATTTACTTCAGCAGTCAATTACATGCCTTTATCTTGTTTAATTTCACATATGAGAACATCTTGGGTAGTTAAATTTAGATCATCAATTTTTGTTTTTAAGTCTAATTCTATTGCTTTGATATTTTTGAGGAAAGCCCCTTTCTAGATCAAAGCCATCCAATCCAATTGGCTTTATAGATCCTTAAATTTCCACCATCTGATTTAATTTTTGTTGCCTTTAATGACATTAATTTTTCTGGTTAATTCTTTTACTTATTCAAACCCATTCACTGATAAGGATGATTCTTACTATTAATTTTCCATGATGATTATTTCTACAACTCTTGGAACTAACTTAAATATTAATCTGAATGATTACATCTACTATTGCCCTGTCTTAATCCTCTTATTTCACAATAAGCCTTTTAACCATGATTGCCCCATAAATCTTTTCAAAAAATCTAAACACTTTTGCACTCACATGAAAAAAATCAACTCCTTCTCTCAAATCATTTCTCAAAACATAGTTCAAATATTGTTTTGATTCAGTCGGATCAGGTAGCAAATTCCATTATACTTAAAGTAGTCTCGAACTATCAATTGGACCTGGTGCTACAACTATCTCTTCGTTAATAGAATCTTCATTAAGATTGAGTATCTATCGCAATTTTGCAACATTCAAACCCAAAATTGGGTCCTCTAGCACCAATGGATCTTCGTTTCTCACATACTGTCTCCACTTCTAAAACCAAGCTGTCGGTATCAGATAACTGTATAAACCATCTTATGAAAAATAATCTAATTCTTTTTCTTCCTTTTCCAACAGCTAAAATTACTCCCATTGATCTTCTTTTTGTAGATCTTCTCTCTCTTAATTGAACATTCTATCAAATCCTTAAAGTAGGCATTGAATACATTTATTATCAATACTCCTTAATTTCTCCAACTCCTATTTTGCAGCACTCAATTATCCGAGATCAATGTATATCCTGGCCAAATTAAGAATTAAATCACAATATCTCCTTGAATTCTCAAATTTTGCCAATCTTAAAATTGCTATTTACAAATCTTGTCTCTTTGTGCTTTGACCTAAAATACTATTGAGCATTTCGAGAGTTCCAAGCTTCGGACTTGGTAATTCACTCTCCAATAAATCAGTCAATTCTTCAATTGCCTCCTAAAATTTTTGGCTATCCACTAATCCTTATATTTTTTCCATTAATTAAGAATAATTTATATGAAATCTCTAAAAATTAACAATCAATTTATCGTATCTCGTAAATTAGCAGCTGGCAGTTTTGGATTTGTCATGTTAGCCTTTGATTAGAAGTCTGGATAACACGTTGCTATTAAATTTGAAAAGCCTGAGAATCAGCATCATCATTCTTTAGAAAAAGAAATAGACATCATAAGAAGATTAGAAGGAGTTCAAGGAGTACCCTAACTAATTTATGCTGGACAAGAAGATGACTTCAATGTCCTTGTTTTATAACTATTATCAAAAGATTTATCAACTTTGATAAAAAAATATAAACAATTTAGTTTAAAAACTACATTACAAATAGCTATTAAATTAGTGCAGGTCTTTTAAGACATACATTAGAAAGGAGTCCTACATAGAGATCTCAAACCTGAAAATATTATGATAGATGAAAATAACAAGTTCTATTTAATTGATTTTGGAATTAGTAAAATTTATCTCAAAAAAAATGGATCAATTTAGTATAAAATTGTTATATTTAGACCTTTCAAAGATCGACAACCATTTATTGGCACCTCTCGATATGCTTCAATAGCAGCCCATAAAGGTAATGAATTAGGAAGAAAAGATGACCTGGAGTCCATGTTCTATGTGTTGCTCTTCTTTATTTATGGGTATGCATATTATTTATATCCTAGTAAATTGCCTTGGCAGAATATCAAACAACTCCATAGTGATTTAAAAATTGAATAGGTTGGCGAAATGAAGCTTTTGAGAACTAATGAACTTTTAAATGAGCTCCCAGTTGAATTTAAAAAAATTTATGAGTAATTTTACAATAATAAATTATTAAGTTACTTAAGAAAATTGACTTATGCAACTGAACCAGACTATACGTCAATTATAAAACTATTTTAATAGGCGGCTAAAAATTCAAAAATTACATTAGATACCTTTTATGATTGGGACATGTAAAACACAACCTAGACTGGAAATTTTTCTCATTTTGGAACCATATAATTTGAGGATAACTTATAATCTGATAAGTAATCTTCTAAGTAAATTATGTACAAATTAATGTTACAATCTTAAGGCATCTAAATACTCAATCTGCCAGTCCCGTAAAACGGAGAACTGCTGGTCCTTCATTGATGAAACAACATTAACCTTTTCTATAGATCATCAAAGATCAAAAGAGCAGAGGGAGTAGTCATAGTCCTTTAAGTAAAATTGAGGGGCTGAACCAAATTTCAATAGATGAGATAAGTGAAGATTCAGAATATGTTATACCTAATGAATGTGAACATAATCGTAATATTCGAGTTAGAACTATGCCCGATGAATTAAAAAAACCTAAATTAAAACCTTTTTAAAACCAAACATTATGTTTCGATGATGAATGGTTAATAGAATCTGATAAAAATTTAGTAGATAATTATAAGAATTTAGAATCTATTAGTTATTAAATTACTACTATATTTCAAAATAAATTAAAATGAGTTTAAATAAGAATTGTATATATAATTAATCCTTATGAAAACTTTTATCGACATATGTAACTTTTATTAACAAAAAATGTATATATTAGTAATATCAATGTTCTTTGATTTAAATCCTTTACAAAACAATAATTTAATAATCCTGCCTGCTTTTAATTAAGCTTAAAATTGAATCAAACACAATTAAAATATTAATTATAATTATTTGTATTATGTAAAGACTTTCATCTTTGTTTTTTGGATTTGGATTAGGAATTATAGGAATGAGCCTATTATTGGATCCTTGGGGATAAGTATTAAATGCTATCTACTGATAGGAAAAATTTGAAAGAATGGCAAGAGAAACAGCTAGATTAGAAAATTCAATCCTTGGTAACGTTGATTTGTATCTTTAAATGAGGAATGTGCTTGGATATGTTTTTATTGCATGTTCATTTATAACAATAAATCGGTATTTGTTATTAACAATTAGAATTGCAATTCTATATATTCTTCAAATTCCTGTCTTATTTTTCTATGCTGCAATTAATTATAACCATATATTATATAAATCTGAAAGATTTGGTGGTAATTAAGTCATCTTAGGGGCTATTTTATTCCTTGCAATAAGTGGGGCAATATGTGATGGCTTGATAAGCCCAAAGGTCTAAGCTATCTCAACTGAGAAAGAAAAAACTTAAGAAAAACCCAAAATAGAATGAATAAAAGTATGCAATCAAAAAAATTAAATATTTATAATATCTATATTGATAAATCATCTCTTGTATTTCTTGCGTTCTCTCAACTTTATAATTAACCCAAGATTATTATGCTTTAAATAATTGTCAAAGTTCTTATATTGCTCAAATCCCTCAAATATTTCAATGTATTGCCCTCTAATTTTACCTGGCTCTTCCTCTTGTTCAGCCTATTCAGATATTAGAATTTTGTTAGGTGATGCAATCATTGTTCCTTGAATAATAACGTCAATCAAATTTTTATATTTTGGCATTAACGCTCTTGACCCTCTTTTATTTGAATCTTGATAGGCTTACTCAGATCCACTTGATAATTATTAGGGAAGCAATTAATTAGATTTATCAGAACCTGTCATTAAGAAATTAAAGTTTTGAGTTTTTTCCTCCTATTTTATAAACGTTTTGCTTTCTTAGCGAGAGTAGGTAGGCTATTTTTTTTTTAAATATTTAACTATTTCTTTAATTTTTGATTACTAAAATATTAAGACAATAATTACTAATTCATCATCCTAGAGGGCATCATTGCAGCCTTAAAATGAAAGTGGCCTTTTTGAGTCAATTTACTAGGATATTGTCAGATTATATCCAATCTTTAAGGATTCATTACTTTCAATGTCAGATTCATTTTCGTTTTTATTTTCTATTTTTAATATAATGATATACCATTGGATTACTAGAGATCATCTATTAATTTGTTCTTGCATATAAATAGTAATATGCTATTCTTTACATCATGTGATTCCATAAGTGTATCAATCCTTCTATTCAAGGTTCTTTTATAGCTCTTTCTATCTGAAGGTACATTTCTACGGTAATTTAATAAGACTTTTGCTCTGTTTGGGTATCCACAAACCATTGGGCACTCTTTAATTACATGAGTAGTTTTGTTGCATGCTCGACAGGTGACATCAACGATATCTTATTTATTAAGGAATATGACTTGATCTTTCATTTGACAAAATGTAGACTGAAAGCATATGATAAATTCTTACATAATCTTTTGAATTTTATAATAAAAGCTCAATGAATTGACTTCTGTGTATTTTAAGTACATAAGTGAATTAAGTTGATTTGCATGAGACTTGATAGTTCTATTTTTAAAAGAACTCTAGAACTCCAAATGGCAAAGACTCTCCTGAAATTGATTCTAAGACCTTTTGCTATTCTTATTTGTTTCTTAAATTTATATAAAATTATAACTCTCCCTTCTATAAAATGTAAAGAAAATCACTTTCCTCATTTTACTAATAGTTTTAGATAAGTAATTACTTTGTAAATGATTTATTCTGGGGCATATTTTTCCTCTATAAGGTTTTTCGATAATTAGATTAAGAATTATTCACTAAAGTTTTGAGTCAAAAAGCTGATTCTTTTAACGACTTTCATATTGATGTCTATTTTCATTTCCTCCAATAATTAAGTAGGGATTTGTTCAGCAAATTTAAAAGCTTCTCTATCATTTTCTTCCTCTGCATCACACCAAACATACTCAAAATATTTTCTAATCTTTTCTGCCAAATGCTTATCCAATCCTTTTAATCTCATATACTTTTTTAAAGCATTCATATTCTATCTAAATTCATAACTCTTTCTACTCCATTCAGCATAGATACTATTGATATTACCAATAGAGTATCCAAATATACCAACAGCAGCTACAGTCATACAGATTGTAAAAATCCTCTCCCTTAAATTTAAAGGAGTGATATCTCCATATCCTATTGTTGTCATCGTAACAATACTGAAATAAAAGGATGTTAGATATTGAGTATGCCAAGGTTCATCAACGAGATTGTTTTTAAGAACCCAAGAAATTTAATCATTTCCTGTCGAACCTACCAAAAACCAAAGACAAGCACAAAAATGAGCAACAGCGAGAATTGTATATCCTAATTTTACGAGGTCAAATATGGCAATTTGATTTGTTGTTAATTCTAGTCTATCAAATAAATGACCACTAAACTTTTTGATCTGAAATACCTTCAGAATCAACACTAAGTCCAAGTAATCCACTTAAAATCTTAAACTTAAAAAGAATGGGATTATGACGAAAACATCAAAAAAAAATGCTATAAAATAATCTAATTATATTTTTACATGTGCGCAGATAATTCTTGGCTATCTAATATCTGTTTTCTATCACTGTTCCCTTATAATAATAACAAGTATTGAACTTGAATAGTATTTCCAGAATAAATGAGTAAGAGGGTAAGACATCAAATAGTATCTATCTGAATTACTAAAAACTATCATCGAATGAATTGCTTGTGTCGAACTTAAAAGAAACTCTTGCACTCACATACAAGACATTCATGTTGAGGATTGTTAATATGTAAATATTCCAAGCAATCGAGGTAAAAGATTCTGGTCTCAATATTAATTTATTTTTGCTTAAGAAATTATAAACCTTCATTTTTCTTAAAGGCACAAAAACTTGCTGGTTCAATTAATATTTCATTTTTTCATAAGGGCTAGGTTTCTTAATTAAAATAAATCAATACTTCATATTTGAGATAATCATTAAACAAGTAATATCGGAAGTAAGCTGCCTTATCCCCTACAATTTCAAAAACATTTCTATTGACCAATCTAAAACTAGTGGCAAAGTTTGATTTTGTGATGAAACTAATAAACCTTAGGATTATCATTAAAATTTCTAAAGGATATTTCTTCCAAGCTTTATTGCTGAATCCTTCTGTGTCTTCTTCTAATTGGGAATCCATGAGAAAAGGACTTTCATCAAAGTTTTTTTTATTCTTAGGTGGTTTTCCTGCGTAATAAGGACCATAATGTGACAATTACACTTGAGAATGTTTTCCAAAGTTCCCTATAGACTGCCTAGAGTATTCAATTATCAATACGACTTGTCTGTTAATAAATCTGAAGCTCTGATTGGTTTCTAGGATTCCTAGTTGCTTTTTAAATTTTGTTTAATCTTGGTAACCATTTGATAATTTGATTTCTAACCACTGCCAAGTAATAATCTACCTGATTAACCATGCAAAGTATGATTGCCTAAGATATTGGTTGAGTTATAATTAATACAATTTTCTTAATCAGTTCCCAAATTTTCTAATTGATTTGGTTTCATATTTTTGAAATAAAATGTATATATAAATAATATCAGTAGTAGTTGGTTAAATGGATTTTAAAGATATTTTGAAATAGTTGAGTGTTAAATTTTTAATTTATAAAAATAGATAGAAATTTAAGAATGTAAAGGAAGGCCCCAAAACATTAATAAATCTATTATACCGAATAAAGAGTAAATTAATCAAATTATTTTTATGATTAATAATGGAAGCGTTGTGATTCTTCAATTTTATAAAATAGTATGACGATTTCAATATGATATAATAATTATCATAAATTAAATACTTTTTGTAATTATATTTCGCTTCAATTAAACTACCAACCAACTTGTATATCAATTTCGACCTCTTTAACTCAAATTCATAAATCAAAACCATATCTTCAAAGATTTCTATAATATTTTTATATACTCTAATAAAATAGTCTTCTAGATTATGATACTCTTTAATATTATTGATTTATCAAGATGCAGGTATAATTTTGGAAATTATTATTACATATTGATTATTAATGATAGAAAATTATCTTAGCATCATATAATAACATAATATTTGAGTAAGATGATAGTTCAGTTTATAATAATTCCCTTTTTTTAATTATAGGAATATATATTTGAAATTAATTCCATTTTCCTCTCCATTTGATTCATATAGAACCAATTGTTTTATTTTTTACAGTTAATAATTGAATAGTGAATTATTTATTAAGGATTTTCTTGTTTTCATATAATATTTCTATTATACAATAATTATTATTTAAGTTACTAAAATATGTAATAAAAAATAATAAGATTAAATAATTTTACTTAATAATCAAATAAAGTTGTAACAATTTTAATATGAAAGCAACTAAAAATATTACTACTAACTAAACAAAAAATAAGAATGTACAATGTTTGATAAGTGATTAAAGCTATCATACTATGTTACTTTAAGATGTTAGAATTTAAAGAATTCATTACTATTTATATCTAGAAAGTTGTTTTAAATGAAGATCTGCTGTTAACTATATTCCTAAATGTTCAATTAAATGTTTTGGATGTTATTCAGAAATCTTAATGAACTGGATTTTAGTTAATATCTTTATATTTTTGCTTAAGTTTTCATGTACGGATTTGAGAATTAATGAAATATGTCTCTTTATTTTTAGATAATGTATAATATTTTATACTTGCGCCCAGGTCTCCTTTAAATAAGAAGGATGATCTTAATAATATTTTATTTATTTATATATATTTATGGTATGTTGTTATTTAAAATATTAATTTATAAAGTCCAGAATGTAAGTGATTACTATTGTTATGTTTAATGACTCATTTGAAATTATTAAAATACTTTCATTAATAAATTTAAGATTTTAGAATTAATTCAGAAGATTATGAAAAAAGTTTACACAGTTCCAACCCCAAGGGAGTAGAAACCAATAGTATAACAAAAGAGTTAATAGGATATTATGATGTAACATTCAAATATTCATGCTTAGCTAGTAAGGATAATTTGGTTATGTTCCGGATTAAGCTGCAAAAAAAGAATAAGCTTCAAAGCCTTCTCGACCCTATTTAATATTTAAACCACAGTTAGTGGAAGAGATAGATGAGAACAACATGAAAAAGTTGAAGTTATCTTTCCAAAACTCTATAACTGACCTATAAACTTTTGAAGAATTAGCTTAATTATAAAACCAAAGAGAATCCACTCCAAATTTAAGCTAAACTCCTACAGAAAAGTCTAAGACTTTTGTCAGGTAATGCTTCTTTATACTAATAATAGAAAGTCTATGAGACACTTAACTCAGCTATGATGAAGATAAAAGTTATGAAATTATATATATAAATGAATTATTTAAGTCATTTAATATTGGTTTTTACATATCTACATTTTTTTTATTTAAAAAATTTACCTATATGAAGCACAATTAACAACTTCCTAATGCTCACATGAGAAAACATTGGACCCGATTTGTAAAGACATTTTATAATCAACCAGCAGCTAAAAGAAGAAGACAATTGAGAAGAAGAGCATAAGCTTTATGTATGTGTCTATCTCCTAATAATAGCTGCATCTCCCAGACCAGTTGAGCTTCTTCGTCCAGTTGTGAGAGGTTAAACTATAAAGTATAACAGTGTGTAAAAACTTGGTCGAGGATTCTCTTTGATTGAATTAAAGGAGGCAGGACTCAATGCAGCATTTGCAAGAACAGTTGGAATTTCTGTTGATCACAGAAGAAGAAATTTGAACTAAGAAGAGTTGAATAATAATGTTAAGAGATTAAAGGCATATCTCTCAAAATTGGTCCTTTATCCAAGAGTTGCAGGCAAACCAAAGAATGGAGTTGTTAAGGATTCTACAAATGAAGTTGTTGCTCACCCAGTTGCTTAAAACACCAATCCAGAGGTAAGAATCCTGCTCTATCAAAGGTCCTCACATTCTAAAGAACACCAAAAAGAGAGAAGGCCACAGTCATATCTAAAGAATTAAGAGCAAAGAATGTGTACAGAAGATTAAGATAAGAATGGTATAATGCTAAATTTGTTGGTGTTAAAGAGAAGAGAAAGTAGGCTAAGGAAACAAAAAAATGATACATATAGTATAATACAACATATATATATAGTAAACTGGGAATTATTAAAATAATAATATTTTTGTATTCTCATTTTCTATCCATTCATATTTTTTCATCAAGATTCCCTAATAATATTCTGATTTGTCTTTGAAATTAAATAAACATTAGGTTGTTATTCAAAATGCTTAGGAATTGATGTCATTATGCACTCAAATCAAGGTGAGAAATATTCACCATGCATTTCTATAGAATTTAACATAAAATACTAAAAATTATTATAAATACAATACAATTAAATTATTAACTTATAAAAAAGCTAAGGATTATGTCAATGAAAAAGTAATTCACAGGTGGTAAAACATCGAGATCGAATAGCAAACAATCTACTAGCAATCCAATGTCAGTAAGAAAACGATTTTCGTCTTTATGTTCACCGTAATTTATGTGATTTTAAATGGTGAATAGGTCCAACAACTAGAACTAAACTCCTTGCGTCTTTTGTCAAAAGTTCAAAAATTGCAAAGAAGAATCCTATGCTCCACTTTTAAACAAAGCATTATTTGCTAAATATTCGTCATCCTAAAACTATTATTATTCAAAGGACATCAACGACATCATAGAAGAGGAGTCAACTCCCGCAGTTGTATTTTATAGGGATTTAGAAAGTATGATCGAAGAGGAGGAATATTTGAAAAGGTAAAGATGATACAATAAGTTTAGATCCTATGTTAAAAAAGAGGCATAATAAAAAGTCAAGGCATTGCAGGAATATTACAAATATCACAAAGACATCCCTCGTTTGTTTATGCAAAATGTGTATCTGACCATAAATAAGTTCCATGAAAAGAAGAGGAGATTGGAATATGCAAATATTAAGAGAAAATTGAACATTCCAGATGAGGACGTAGTAATACAATCACTAAATCTAGTAACCATTGAAAAAGAAAGAGAAGAAGAAATAGAAGCATAGTGATGAAGATCTAACCATAGGATAGTTGAAATATCTATTGAAAGACTTAAAATTGGACACTAACTCTTATCTCCAAAAAAAAGTAGACATCTCTAGTAGTGTCTAATTGAGAGAGTTCATTTAGTAAGTCGGATAAAAGTATGATTGTCTTGGATAAATATCAGGATTATTGTCTATTGATTAAAGCAATAGTTTTCTCTTAAGATCACAGGATCTCTCGACAATCACTAAGAATCTAAAATCTACTTACATGACTAATCTTAAACCAAAGGTTAACAAAAGTTCTCTATTACAGAATCTTGATTCAAAAACTACCCATCAAGTCAGCTGTTAAGGGAGTTACGATAAAATCAATATGAATCGATTACAGTTCAATTCAGGGGAGGTCTCTTCCTTAAAAGCTGAGAATTCCATTAAGGCTGGGGAATAGACCAAAAGATCCAATTAAGAATAATCCCCATTAAGAAGTTCATAATAATCGTAATTAATGCAAAAAGTGTACTCACAAATTGAAGGTTTTGCCAACTTTGTTCAATAATAGTAAACTATGTAGAAACAATAAAAAGCTAATAACTGTTAGAAATCGAATTCTCAAAGAAAAGTGAGTGGCAATTTTAATGCAACAGAATGTTAATTCAGATTACCAAGTAGATAAAATTCAACATTAAAGTAGTCAGCTGATTTGTTATCTTATTAAGTGAATTTCTTGTAATTATTATTGATAATCCATTATTAGAAGAACCAGAGTTGCCTCATAACTTTAAAAATAAGAAGATGATAATAAAAGTATTACAAAAATATTAATTAGGTAAACAACCTTTGGCCACTGATAGAGTCTAGAGATAGAGTGTCTATAACACTGGAGAATAGACTTTACAGAAAACAGCATCCAAAAACATGTATTAATTAGTATATACACATTTATGTAGATAAAAATTACCACAAAAGTTCACTTAGTATGCCCTATCTACTTTAAGAGGACTGTAAGTCAAGAATTCTGATTAAAAAAAGAAATCTACTTTAATTTCAAATAATAATCTGTAGGCTCCCATTCTTAATGCCTAATTGATGCACTACAGGACAAAATCTTAAGATGCTATAGGAAATTACAAGGGGTCACCTCCAAAATAGACTTAAAAACATGAAAACTCTAAGGATCCTTTAAGGATTACAAATAATATTTGTGTGCAAGGTTCAACCAAAAAGGGAGGTGGGGTGTACAATATCAACCAGAATAATATAGTTAATATTTATATTGAAGATCTGAAATCATCAACCAAATTAAAATAAGGAGGAGGTTCATAAACTGCTCGAATCAACAGTCCCTTAAAAAGTAATCCTAAATTCGAAGTCTATCATACACAAAGATCCAATTTGAGTCCTGTAAGTAAAAAAATGGCTTGATTTATATTATGCTATTAATTTTATGGATATTATATCATAATTATTTAAATGTGCTAAATTTATGAGGATTAAATGCCGTAGAGCATTTAGCCATAGTAACTGATTATCTAGAAATAGCATCAGTCATATAGAAGTTCTATTAATAATGGTATAATTTACATCAATAAGATCCCTGAAAGGAGTGGCTGAAATGGTTTGTTTTGATGATTCAGGCTTTAATGCAACCTATCCCAAAACACTAGACTCAATGTAATCATATTTTAATAAATGGGGAGCCAATTCAGCAATTCTATATCTAACCTATATAAATATTGAGAAATGTACTTACTTCCTCTAAACTATCATAAGGCAAGGCACATCCACACTCCTCGGATAAGGCTCTCAAGATTTCCCAATCTGATTTTGCTCCTGATGGAGGAAGTGCTACCAATTTGGTGGTTTAGACTCTTCCTTCGGTTGAAACCTAATTTTAATACATAATAAGCATTACATATGTGCCATTCTTCTCAGTATAGGTAGCTCCTGGTAATATGAAGATCAGCATAATAAGCTCCTTCATCTCCGTGGCTACCAATATAAATTACAAATGCATCTTTTGGAATATCTTAAGCATTCAAATTATTATCAACTCCCAACAGAATAACAACCTTAGGTGGTACACTGCTTCTTCTAGCTGTGATACCTAATTCAAGAGCATTAATTCTTCCAACATCCTTATGTAATAGATTGAAACCATTCCATCCTTATTATGCATTGATTACTGGTGAATTTTGTGCAATCTTTTTTAATGCATTATGAATGGCATTTCCATCAACTCTTTCTAAGACACCTGCTCCTGTTAAAATCATAGGCAATTTAGCAGATTTAAGTCTGGCAGCAAATGGATGAGTGCCGTTAGCAATTTCATCAAGAATTGAAGCATTATTTCCAAGATGGACATAATTATATGTTAAATCATTTGCTGGTCCGATTAAAAATACCTTTAAGTTATTCTTTCTTGTAGCTCTTAAGATTCTAGAATTCAATAATGGAGATTCAATCTTTGGATTAGTACCAACTAATAAAAGTACATCAGCTTCTTCAATTCCTGTGATTCTAGAATTGAATAAATAATTGGCTCTAAAGTCTGCATCTAATTAGGGGACACCAGTTCCTCTAATTTCAAAATTGTCACTATCAAATCTATTCAATAAATCCTTCAAAGCAACAATTGATTCACAATCAGCAAATTCTCCAATGACTCCAACAATTTCTTCTCCTTTAACAGATTACAACTTTTTAGCTGCTTATTAAATGGCATCTGGCCAATATAAATCTGTAAAATTGCCTTGAGCATCCCTTGCCAATGGTAAAGTTAATCTTTATTTTTTCAATCCGTCAAAGGCTTATCTTGATTTATCATTTAACCATTCTTCATTGACTTCCTCATGAATTCTTGGTAAAACTCTCATAATTTCAGCTCCTCTGGTGTCAATTTGAATAAGTGGAATTATGGTATCAAAAACATCAACAGAATCATATGATTTTAATTCCCAAGGTCTGGATGTGAATGCATATGGTCCATTGGTTAAAGCACCAACTGGACAGACATCAACGAGATTTCCTTATAATTCACTAGTGATCATTTTGTCTATGTATGTACCAATTTCGGTATTCCTTCCTCTTCCACTAGTTCCTAATTCAGTTACACCAGCATATTCATCTGAAAATCTAATACATCTTGTGCAATGAATGCATCTGTTCATACTAGTAGCAACAAGAGGACCAAAATTCTTATCCTCTACAGCTCTCTTGTATTCGTTATGTCTGCTATCTCCATAACTAGATATTGAATATTAAGAAGATACCCATATTGCTCTGAAATATCTTGTAAATCACATTCTCCTCCTTGATCGCAGATGGGACAATCTAATGGGTGATTTGCTAACATGAATTCCATAACACCTCCTCTTGCTATTCTTGTCTTTTCACTTTTTGTGAGTATTTTCATTCCAGGTGCGACTTATGCTGCACAAGCTGCCACCTTTTACAATATTCATTTAATTATACAGGTTTTGGTGACTTTTCAACTTCGACTAGACACATTCTGCAATTTCCTGCTACTGCTAATCTTTCATGATAACAGAATCTGGGAATGATCACACCTGCTGAATAACATGCTTAAAATATTGTTGCTGATGGATCAACCTATAAAGGATCAAAACATATAGTTCTACTTTGTGGGGAACGTCATCTATGAATATTTCTATGAGATTCTATTGTGTTGAGAAAGCTTAGAATTATTTCTTCAATAATTGTTATCCTTTCTTCAATGAGAATCTAATCATTTTTATTTATATATCAGATATATTGAAATCTATACTATTGTTAATTTGTGCTCATTTGAAATATTTAATCAAGATTGAAAAATTTAAATTACGTAATAATAATAATAAATGGCTCAAGAGAAGGAGATCGAGATAAAGGAAGAAAAAGAATAAACTTAAGAACATCATCATGATCACGATCACGATCATGATCATAATCATGACCATTCAGATTCTGATGATGGCCATAATCAAAAAGGAGGAGATGACAAAGACAAGAAAGCCAATAGAGGAGAGAAGAAATTCAGAAAGGCTATGCTTAAATTAGGAATGAAGCCAGTTGCTGGAATTAACAGAGTTACAATCAAAAGAGGAAAATAATTCCTTCTCTATATTGACAACCCTGAAGTCTTAAAATCAGCCAATGTTGAGAATTCTTACATTGTAATTGGTGAAGCCAAAGTGCACGACCCAACTGGTTAAATTGGCAAAAAAGAAGCTGAAAATTTGGCATAATAAGTGTAATATTCAAAATATATCCTTCAGTCCAAAACAAGAAGAAAACAAGGAACCAAAGCCAGCCGAAAGCACAGAATAAGCAAGTGACGAAGGCATTCCAGCTGAATCCATCAAAATGGTCATGGAACACTGTAAATGCGATAGAAGTAAAGCTGTTGAAGCACTCAGAAAATCAGACAATGATACAGTACAAGCAATTCTCGCCTTAACTGGATGATGATTCATTATTGTTTAAGTATAATAAATAAAACATGTAATTTCATACATTAATTATTCTGCAATATTTATACTATGAATATTTAGTATATAGTGAGTTAAATATGCTCTATCTCGTTTGAAATTCTAACTAACATTGCTAAAGAACTTTAACACTTTGATGTAATTTATTTTCATCACAATTACTTATGATTTATAATTCTTATGGCCATATAGGATGGTATTTCTTTTATTTCCGAATTAACCAAAATGAAGCTGCTGCTATTTAACTACTGTTGTGTGTTTAAGGCTGTAATAATAGATAAAGTTCAATCAATAATTGGCACTAATAATAATGCTTCAAATTTAAAGGGCATATATTTTAGTATCGTGTTAAAAAGTATATTATTGTTGGAGTTGTGAGGTTAAAGTTTAGCTATTTTAAGATTAGTGATTCAGTGTGTATAATTTATTCTTTAGTATATGTTTTATCTGTGATATATGCTAAATCTTTTGCCAGTAGTTAATGAACCTCCTCTAATTTACTTGCTATAAATAATGCTGAAACACCGATTAGTTATAATATATTCTTAGAAACTGGAGTTGTCAACATGTATCGATCAAGAAAATTTATAGTTAAAAACAAGGTCTCTTATTTCAATCTGAATTTTGTAGAGACGTCTATTATCCATTCTACCAAAATAGTTCTCATTTTTTGAGTTACTTAAGGTTAATGATGAAAGTATTATTGAACACTCAATTAGTACGTCAATTCTATAGATTTCAAATATTCTTAGATATCATAGGCATAAACACTACAATACTAAGGCTTACTTGAGTATACCATGTCAATATTTTCAATAAATTGCTTATTCTATTCGTCGATTAATAATTATTTCACATCACAAAATCTCACAGTTTATATTGTCTGATTTCTGCTTGAACATCTAGAGGATTTCTATCGATGAGTGACTGAATCTCCACTGCTATGTTAACTACTTGTTCTTTTCTTTATTGACACTTAGTACCAAACATTATTAGTATTGATGTCTCTTTAAGATTTATGTCTCATTGAAGTATTAGTTGATTCCGCTTTCTTTTTCAATTGTGACAAGTTTAATTTCGTCTAAGGCCTATAATAAAGATTAGTCAACTCTTATCCGAACCTTCTGGAAGGAAAGTGCTAAATTAACTAAAATATATACGTTAAATAGTTCCATTTTACTGTTAATAATAAAAATTATGTGATTATCATAATTATTTATAATTAAAATGTCTAAATAAACTAAATAGGAGAAAGAGAAGGATGAGAAAGATAAAAGAATAGCAGTCGCCATCAACTTCATAAATACACCAAATCTACAGAATGTACCTAGGTCTGAATTAGAAAAATTTCTTAAGAAAAAAGGTAAAATCCATTTCTTAATTAGGCTTGAGTGATTCAGAAATTACGGAGGCTTTTGATAAGGCTAAATAATAAAAGGAGGAACTTAAGGCAAAGGAAGACGAGAAAGAAAAAGATTTAGTTTCTAAATTACAGCAATATGGGGGAATTCCTTAATAAAATCAGGCATCCGAAAAATTCATCAATCCTTAAGAATTAAAAGACTTTGTTGACAAAGCAAAAATATCCAATTTGATATCAATAAGAAATAGAGGAGTCACAACTATTTATGAATAGATTCTTGGTTTAAATAATCTACAAATTCTGATTATTTCGAATAACAAAATTTAAATAATACCATAAAGCATTAAAAACCTAACTAATCTGAAAGTATTTCATGCATCATGTTGTAATTTATAAGATCACAATATTGAAAATGAATTCTTTGAACTAACTTCATTGCAAGAATTAAATATGGCTAAGAATTAATTATCAAATATTGATAGATTTACATCTTTAACTGAGTTAGTGTTGTTAGATTTATCAAACAATGAAATATTCAGAATCCCATAAAATGTAGATAATTTAAAAAAGCTAAAATTGTTAAGTTTAAGAGACAATCATTTGACATATCTCCCAGTACAATTAAAACAATTGAATGCCCTAAAAAAGTTATATTTAGATCAAAATGCTCTTGAAGATCCACATAGGGTGCTTAAACAAAATAATCCTGAGCTAATATTCTAATAAGGAATATTTGAGGAATAACATTAATGATGATTTTACATAAAAATAAATAACTTGTCCATTACAAGTATTTTAACTAATGTTGTTTTCAAATACAATTTTCCTTATAAGAACCGAAATAATTTTCATAAACTATTCAGTCTTTGCAGTTATTATCTAATTCTTTTGTCTTTGAATTGATCGATCTCAAATTATTATCTTAATTTCTTAACATCTGTTTAATTAATTAAATCTTTGTTAGCACACAAAATTGCAGTTCTATACTTTTATTTTTACGAAAGATTTCCTAATTAAAAATATTTAAATCTTCTTAATGATGGAAATCTTATTCTAAGTCAAATGCATGCCTTTTCTGCGATTCAAATTATCTGTATAGTTTATTTACAGACAAATATATTAGATTTAATTTTATAATTGGCATAAATTTTCAGTAATAAAGTTTTTATAAGATAAAAAAGACATGATTCAGCCAAACATTTTTTTAACTTTTTTTCATCAATTATTGAATTATTATAATTTTGTTAAATAAAAGAGTATTCATACTATGTAAAAATAGTACATTTGCAGCTCTAAAGATTTGTACTTTATTATATTTAAAAATTTTGGTTTGATACCTTAATTATTGAAAGATGTAATTTTGAAATAATGAACAGAAATAACTTTAATTTAAAAAAAGGAACTTATAGGTTAGTTTGGCTTAATTAATCTTTGAATAATGAAACCAAGAGTGTTTATAAAACTCCAAATTATGAATCTTAAAAACAGAGAAACTCCTTTTACATATTGAGAAATAATAACTATTTTTAAATATATCTAACAAATTGCAAATGTGATTTTGTCACATTTTTTATAACAGTTAAATTCCATTTTTGAAATTTCAAATTTTCAGTTTTCTAATTGTTCGGACCGATAATTCTAAAAGAAAGTTAATTTATTTTTAAAGCATTTAATTAATTGAATTCTATTGATTATCCCAGATTTATGAAATTAAAAATAGAGTTATTTTTAATAACCTCTTTAAAATAAAATCGCTTAATTCGATTTAGTTTAATTTTGTTCTTGTATGATTTTTAATTTATAATGGAAACATTTAATTTTCTATATTAGCTTTATTTAACCTTTATTTTAAGAATTATAGATTTTGATAAATTAATTATGTGTTATTTATTACTTTTCACCTTATTGAGTTTAGATATATAAATTTTATTTTATCTGAAAAATAAGGAAAATCTTTAATGATTATATACTCTAGAGTATTTAATTAAGATTAATGACTATAACTAGTATTTATAAATATAAAATTAAATGGCTGGAGTGCAATAAAAGATCTTCAATAATTAATTTGTTGTAAAAAAAAGGATTTCTTCTGGTTCATTTGGTGTGGTGTATTAAGGAGTTGATTTGCGCTCATCAGACCATGTGGCAATTAAGGTTGAAAAGCTAGAGGTGGATGAATTATTGAGTTTAGATAGAGAGGTTGAGTAATTGGCATATCAATAGATTCAAATACTGAGATCAGTATAGGGAGTGCAGTAAGTTCCTAGGTTGAAATGGGCAGGAAAGGATTAAGGGAATAATGTAATGGTAATTTAACTGTTGGGTAGAGATCTGACTCATTATATGAGATAGAGAAAACGATTTAGTCTGCCTTGTGTTTTAAGTATTGCAGATTAGATGCTAACTATACTTGAAAACATTCACAATAAGTACATTTTCTATTCAAGCCAGGGGTGTGATTCATCGAGATTTAAAGCCTGAAAATGTATTGGTTGGAAAAGAGAAAGAGAAAAATTTAATATATTTGGTGGACTTTGGGATTGCAAAACATTTTAAAGATAAAGATGACAAACATATGTAAAAAAACTAAGTTAACAATAGTCCATTCAAAGACAACAAGCCATTCCTAGGAACTTCAAGATATGCAAGCATAGCAGCACATAAAGGATACGAATTATCAAGAAAGGATGATCTTGAATCACTAGGTTATATGTTAATGTAATATTGATACAATAAAGAGATTTTTATTGAAGGGAAGTTTGCCGTGGTAAAATGTAGATTATAAAAATGATGAAGAAAAAGTTAAAATAGTAGGATTGATGAAAATGAGAATTTCATCTCAGGAATTATGCCAAGACTTGCCAATTGAATTTATGAAATTCATAGATTTAGTAAAGAAGATGAGTTATAGAGAGAAACCTGATTATAAGTAAAAATGATTAGATAATTTAGATATTTCCAATAACTATTGAGAAGAGTGGCGATATAACAATAAGCTGAATATAGATTTGATTGGTTAGATGAAAATAATCAAGAGAGAAAATCTGGTTCTGTTTCTCCTAAAAAGCAGTAATCTATAAAAGTCATGGATTAATCGCATCTAATTTAATAAATCTATTCACCAAAGAAGTAAAAATAAAGTGAAGAATTTGATGATACTGGACTATCAAAGAGAGAATCGAATGGGAGATTCTCCATTGCCAACAACTCTTTAAATCTTGTACCTTGTGAAAGCAAATTAAATTTAAGACACAAAAGCACAAGTTCATTTAATGAGTCAAATTAACAATACAGTGACATTCAACCAGAAGTCAGTTGTATGATAGCATATCAAAGAAATGTGAGATTTGGATCATTTCATAATGAAATTAACACCCCAAAATAGACGGAAAGAAGTACGTCTGCTCAAAATAAGATTAGAGTTGTTCATAAATTAAGTTTGGATGTCAAACCAAATTGTTATAATTCTATTGTTGAATTGCAATTGGGACTCATGAACAATCCATCTATTATGGATTTTACTGTTAGGAGTTCAGATTAAATGAATGAGGATGAAAGTCCTTGTCTTGAAGATAAGTGCAGCATTTTAAAAAAAGATTCTATTGAAAAGTATAGATTACCTTGTAATTTTATAGTTAATTTAAAAATCCAATTCAACTCTTCAGAATAAATTACAAAGAGAAAACAAGAGTTAAACATAATTGAATAAACTTTATATTTATTATTTAATGAATCAACCCTCATAGTATGGTTAAGCATATCCACCTAAAGTGCTCCTCTTCCATGATCTATTGTAATGAGCAACAGCATCTAACAAGTGAGTAGGTCCCCATACGACAACAGAAATATCCTATTATATATATATAACAATATGATTACCTTATCCCAGAAGTGTCTAGTAGCAACTCTAGTCAAATGACCAGCATCAAGAGCAGAGATTTCTTCTAGCAAAATTCACTTCTTGGCACTCTTTCTTCCCCAATAGCTAAATCTTACTGGAATATAGATACAAAACTTATTAAGCAATTTCTCTTGATTATTTGGCTGAACTTTCTTAACTCAATAATTCATTAAACACTTTAGCTCTAGCTCTGAAAACTTCAACTTAGCCTACAGATGAAGCATAATCAGATAAAACCATTTGACTGATATATGCCATTTATGTTGCAAAGACTTCATTACCAATCAAGTAATTTCCAAAAAGACCAGTGTCTGAATATGCATAATAAGCGCATCTTTAGTATGTAACATCTGGTAATCCACCAAGGAGTGAATGCATAGTGTTATATTATCTGCTTGGAGAATTCAAATGGAATCCTGTGTGTTTGTCAGCTCTATAATCACCAATAAGTCTTTAGAAATAATGGAGAGCAAAAACATCAGGGTGATTCCATCCTGGAGCATCGAAGAAAACACCGACATTCAAATTAGTTAATTCATCATCTTTAATTAACTATACTATTAATAAATTTGAATACCATAATGGATGGAGTAGCATAGGGTTTTTCTGAGTTTGGTACTTCAGTTGGAGCAGATGTACCTAATCCTTTGAATGCCTTATTGACTGCAGAGACAAAGTCCTCATGATTAACATTACCAGCAGCTGAAACTATGACATTTGGTGCAACAAAATTGGCCTTATGGAATTATCTAATCTATTCTTCTGTAACATTTGGAATGTTATCTCTAATTCCTGCTGTTGGTTATCCCCAAATAATGATCTCTATAATTTGTGTAATGAGCAGCTTCAGCAACAACTCTGTATTAATCATTGATGCTAACTGATTCTCTAAAGATTCCTTCTCTTTCGGCCTCAATTTAAGCTGGTGAATATAATGAATTTGTCAAAATATCTCCCAAAAAGTTTACTGCTCTCTCAAGTTCTGAAGGCAAAAAAGTGAGGGTATATGTTTATAATTCTCTACCTTATTTCACTTTTAATGATCCTCCCAAATAATCGATTTCTGCTTCAACTTATTCTCTTGATCTTGTAGTTGTGCCCTAGAATAAATGTTTATTCCTACTCTCAAGTTTAATTTTGAAATGAAGTTTGATACTCCAGAACTTTCTAAAGTTTCAAATCTTGATCCTGCTTTCACTGCTACAGTAATTGAAGCTAATGGGGAATTGTATTATTCAGACACTACTCTGAGACCGCTCTCTAATTAATTCAAGGCTTAAAGTTCATTAAATGTGTGTACCTTAAGGTCTATCGTACTTCAAGGCTTCAGGAATTTCCCCTGTTGGCAATTCTCCAAAGTCCACTAATGCTGACTTTGAGAATTGCAATTAGTAATTTCTCTCTACATTTGTCTAGTGAGCTTAAGTTGTTGGGCTCTTCTTTCCTGATACACTTTCAGCTGTGCAAAATTAAGCTAATTTGCGTAGAGAATGCAATCTGTTCCTTAAAAACATATCTGAATTAATTTATTTATATTTAAAATACGATTAGACTTAAGACACCAAAAAAATGAATTTCAAAATACCACTTTCTATAAGGCTTTCATTGATTATCCTTTCAGGTTAGTCTGATAGTTAGCAGTTTTTATTTAAAGCCTAATACCAGTATTATTTATGAAGTATCTCAATATCCTGTTAAAGATAATCACTTATTTCTTCATTATACCTTTAATAATTCTGAGGTTCATAATTCTACATTTTCTTCAAATATATATAGCCATAGATATCTTAATCTTTTTAACCTATTAGTTTTAACCATATTTACACATAAAATAATATAATTAGAAAATTAGAGATATTAAATTTATTCTAAAAGTAAATGCCATAAATAATTCATTTATTATATTATAAGAAAATCAAACTTATGGGAATTTTTTTTGGTTAATAGTGAAATTTTCATTGTTTTAACTTGGATTCACTTTTGGCTTAGAATTTTGCCTGATAAAATATTATTCTCATAAAAACAATAAAGTCTTACTTTAATTTAATTCTGTTATCAATATTTTAGATTAAAAAAAATAACAATTGATTTTACTTTTAAAAAACTCCAATAATTAAGTAAATTGCTTTATAGATGGATAACATAAATCTTCATTAAAATCTATAATTAAATAAGAAAAGTCATCTCAACTTTGGAAACAAGCAATGGCATATATTTCAAACTGGCATTGAAGAGAATCAACCGTGTTAATAGCTTTCTTTAATAACTAAGCCAAAAATGGTTGATCCATACTAATAGTTGTAGTTACAGAGTGATATTCTTCCAAGAAATACCAAAAAATAAATAAACTAATGTCAATATTGCCTATAAAAATTTAAAAACTATAAAGCCCTTGGGGGACATATATCTAAAAAACATAAAGGAAGTTCAAAAAAATATAATTAGAAAATGAGATCACACAAACGCAATACTCAAACAAGACTCAACAGGAGAATTCTTACTCAACATATAAGAAGTTTGTTTAGATTTGAAGATTAAGTAGACTAATGATTAATATATATATATATATAATAATCTTATTATCTTATTAACATGATACAAGAGAACTCTAATATTTAAATCATCGAAATATAAATGAAGGAGGAATGCGTTCATATTTTGATAGTATACTTTATTATATTAATTTAAAAAGTAGTTAAAATAATTATATAAATTTGATAAGTATTGATCTATAATAAAACAATAATCTAATCAATAATTCTATTCCATATTATAGTTTTGACATTCAAGACAAGAACATTATTCTTAAATATTTAAGTATTGATGAGGAGAATATAATTCCACTATTGATGCTCTAGAATATTTTTATCGAAATTCATCTTTATTTTTGCCACTATCTAGATCTTTAAGATTATTGTTAGAATTAACAAATTAATGAGGCATCTTAGGCTTAGTTCTTTGATGCATTTCATCAATCTACTGTTTAGTAAATGAGTTTTTCTTTTTGCCCTTTGATATTTCAGTAATACTTCTCAACCCACAGTCATTAGCGGAAAAAGGACGAATAGAAGTACTTTTTAAATTAATAACAGTTTTCTTGTCAAATAAGCTTGCAAAATCAGAAATCTTTCGTCTCTGCTAATTCGAGCTTCCACAATTTGTTTAATTAAGTTTATTCATAGGACTGTCAAAACCACTTAAGATATAATAATAGATTATACTATAATGAATTGATTCTAAATGATGGTTCTCTATTTATTATTTCACTACTTTCAGGTATGATAATAGATTGCTTTTATTAATTCGTAGGATGTTCATCAATATCTAAAAACATATCGTCATGAATTTGTAAAAGTACTTCATTCAAAAAGTCAAAAGGTAACTCACCATACTCTTCATTCCTGAGTACAATTAACTAATTGATATTTTCATAAGAGTGACTTTTTATTCCTATTTTTCTTTTGTTTTGCTTTCTATCAGACATCATTCTAAAAAAGCTTTTTTATTTGTTTATCTAACCAGATACAGTTTGATTTAAGGGACTCTCATTTAATTCTTAATCGGAATCTTATTTTAAATTCCTAAAGATGCTTGTAATTTAAATTTTCTTTTTGGCCCTGACTAATTTATCATAAAGATTAGCCTTAACTAACAATACATTTTATTTTGTAGGCCTGGGGGAATTTAAATTATCAAGAAGTTAATCTGCATCATCATTAACTGATAGAAATAGCCTTTTCAAATCTTTAGTCAGTTCTTTAGCCATCTTATTACTCTTGTTTAATAGATCCTGAATCTCTTTATTTCTTTATTCAATAATTTGTAGTCTTTAATTAAAGAAACTAAATTCTTTATTCTTTATTGAATCTCTTCTCCCTGTTCTCATTCCCTTTTTAAGCATACTAATCTATTCTTCTTCTTTTTTGCTTCCATAAAGTTCTTGAAATTCTATATTGAGTATTGCCACAGGAAGAGAGAAAATAACTGTATTAGCCATCAAGGCCATAATGCAAGTGGTGATTATACCAATTATGGTCTTTGGGACATAGTCACCATATCCCACAGTTGTCATGGTTACTATTCCCAGCCATACTGCATTTTCAATTTCTAAATCATTTTCTATATGCTCCGAATAATATAAAACTATCGCATAAGCAAGAGTTATTTATAAAAAGGCTATTATCAAAAAATAAAACTGAGAGATGCTATCTGCAACACTTTTATACAAAATGTCCACTCCCTTCAAGTATCTCTTTACTTTTAATATTCTAATCACTTTAAACAATTTCAAAATTCTAAATCCATTTAATGCAGTTTTACCATACATTAATGAAATTATACTGAGAGGAGCTATTGATAACAGATCTATAATTAATACTTAATCTACCTATTATATTCATATGCTAAAATAAAAACTTCTTTATCGGGTAGCCATAAACGGTGTATGTTGACAATCGAAACAGATATTCTAGAACAAAAACAACAAAAATAAGGATTTCACAATCATTGCTTAAATCATTATAGGTTTAATTACTATCTCAAATTAATTCAATTACTTATCAAATAGCGAATCACAAAGTATTTAAACTTAAGATAGCAAAATTGTAAAACAAATGATATACTGTATTAAGCCAGCCAATCTACTTGATGAAGGATCTTCTAATAAAATGAATACTATTTTTCTGAATTAATTCACCTTTTCTTTAAAATTCTTTTTCTTAAAAGTACTTTGTTTTTATATTACATGCATTTTATAAATTTATTCTAATAATATAGAAATTAATCAAAATATAACCTCAGCAATTCAATTTCCTTAGAATATTGCTAATTCACAGATAATTCATGAATAAAAAGAAAATAAATTAATTTTTCATTAATATTCTGATTTATTACTTATTGATATTTACTAGAAAAACGAAGAAAATATCAGAATTCAAACTAAATTTAATTTAAAGGTAAAAAAGATAGATCTCATTGTTTTGAGGAGATATTTACTAATTTCAAAGCATTGTTTATTGATCTAGTATTAAATATAAATAAAAGGCAATTATTAATAATAAATTCTCTTAATTTAATTTTTAAATTTGATGAAAAATGATTATTTTATTAATAAATCGCTTTATGAATATTGGTAAATAAGAGCTTGAGAAGAATGAATTTTTAGAAAACAATAAAGTTAACTATAAAAAGGAATATAAAAATGTTATCAAATTGGGAAGATGCCTGTTTATGGTAAAATTTATAATGACTGGTGCAATTTTATTATACTTAGTCTGCTTTTATTCTTTATTAATGTCAGATGACTATTGGGTAGAGAATTAAGATAAGTACATTTACATAACTATTGGATTGTGTTTAGCTGACTTGATTACATTGATATAACACATTCTAGCTTTATATGCTATCATGAATAAGAAACAAAAGTTAACAATGGTGTGTGCAATGCTATCTTTTAAATCAAGTTTTCTAAGAACAACTATGTTCTATTTTATGATTACCAAAACCGAGATGAATTTTTACAAATTTTCTACATTAGCTACTATTTTTACTTGTATATAATTAGGATTTGCAATTTTGATTGTTGAGTTAAGAAATCAATGGAATCCAATCCCTTCAAGAAAATGGAAGAAGCTCTTTAGATTAATAAGATCAAAAATTCCAAAAATTAAAGAGAATGAAATGTAAAAAGTCTGATTTCATATAAATATAATTAATAAATTATTGAATTTCTTAATTTAATCATTTCATTTTTTGAAACAACATCTAAACACCTAACTCTCGATAGATCAGAAGAGAAAAAAGTTAATTAATGAAAAACCACATTACTTCTATGTTATTATTGATATTTAAAAATAAATGGCAATTTTCTCACTCTTACAATAATCGATTTTTTAGTAATGAGAAAATGTCAAAGTTTAGCAATGACTTTTTAAAAACATGACTGAAAGTACAAAAAACAACAAATGCCTATGTTTAATCACTAAATTTTGATGATAGAGCTAGATAATGATTTTTTTAAGAAAAAGACTAGGAAGACAATAAAACCTAGGTACTTAGCTATGCTTTAGAGAAAATTACTAGGAATTTGAAGCTAAATAAAATTGTTTCAATTTAAAATAAGCTATTCTATCTCAACTGTTTTATTGAATAAATTTATTTCAAAATATTTTTATAATGTATAGAAATTATGATCCAACTGCTTCGCCAGCCCTGTCACATCAATCATAGGATGATTATGAAATAAAAATCAAATAACTATTGAGAGCTAACGATAAACTCGTATATAATGAACTCATTATTAGAATGCTGTTGTTAGAGAAACACTTGCTGAGAATGAATAGCTTAAGGGAAATATTGATGTGCTCTATAAAGAAAACAAGGATCTGAATAGACTTAATATTGAACTTTGCGATTAACTTGAAAGAATTAAAAGAAATACAAGATAGCATTCGACGCATGATAAGACCATAATTGATTATGAATAAGAAATCACATAACTCAAACTATTGCTGCAAGAAAAACAAAAAGAGGTTAATTCTTTTAAAATAAGATATAATGAAGACTTATAAATAAAGCTAGATATCGTGGATAAAAGCGGAAATGTATGATATCCAATTAATTTAATTAGTCTAATAAATTGAAGTAATTGGAAGAGTAAAACTAACAGTTGATTTAAGAATTAGATTTGATAACCAAAAGACTCTTAGACAGAGATAATGCTTAAGGGACTGTTGATTATGAAGAACTATTGCGAGAAAGAGATTAAGAGATTGAAATACTTACACAATAAATTATTCAAATTTCAAATAATAAATAAGTAAAGCAGTTCGATCCAAGCAGTGATAAAAGGTAAATAACTGAAACTGAGGAGTACTATGGTTAAATAATAAAAGAGCTTTAAGAGAAAATTGAATAATTAAGAATAATAATTATCGAGAAAGATGATCATTTGAACCAAGGTTAAAATCAAAGTGTACTAATTGAGATGGAAACTTTGTAGGTTTAATTGATATAATACAAAATTGAAATTGAAGGATATAAAACTAGAATGTAATATATTCAAAATGAATTGTCTGAGAAGGACCATTTAATTGAAGACTTACAGAATATTATAAAGGATTTAACCAAAAAAATTTAAAATAGATAATCAAATGATATTTAGAATCCAATTTCCCCAAAAAATCCTAATAAAAGTCCAAGTAACTCTTTTAACTAAAATTCAAATAATCCTAATAAGAATTAAAGAAATCCTGGAGATGCAACCAAAAACGCTGCTGATGTTTTCTAACAGGAAGAAGATAATTATGATTAAAAAGATCCTAATGAGGAGAAAAAGAAGAAGAAGCATGGTTTGGAAGGAGCTAAAAAAAAAGAGGATGAAGACTCCATAAAAGATTATCAAAAGATTATTGCAAATTTAAAAGCTGAAAATTAAAGACTATAATAAGAATTGAATTAGGCAATTTTTAAAATAAATCAATAAGAAGCTCTAATAAATGAAAAAGATAACTAGTTAAGTCTTCTGGAATTAAGAGAAAAAGAAATTAGATAATTAAAAGACTAATTGAACAAATAATACAAATTAGAATAGGAGAATAAATAATTAGAAAAAAAACTTGGAGAAATGGAATAAAAAATTTAGGATTTGATGCTTGAGATTGAAAACTATGATTAGGATAATAAATTGAACGAAAAAAAATAATCAAAGAAAGAAGCTGATTATCAGAAGGCACTGTAAAAGTAAAAGGATGAATTATTGGCCAATTAAAAGAAGATTGAACAAATCAATAAATAAATGCAGGATGAAATTAATTTCTTTGAAGATTAAATGAAGGATCTGCAAGATTCTCTTAGAGTAAAAGATTAAGAAGTAAAGAAACTTCAAGAGTAAATGAAGGAATTAAACAAAACCTTAGAGAAGAGCAATATTTAAAGTGATCAAATTGAAAAATTACATTAAGAAGCTCATTCTCAAACATAACTATTAGAAGAACTTGAATAAAAAATCTAATAACAAGAGTATGAAATTAAGACTAAAGAGTAAGAAATTAAGAGATTAAAAGAAAAGAATAGGGATTTGTAATTGTACTAATTAAAATTAAAAGATTATGAAGAGAATATCAATTCATTAAAAGAGGAAATTGAAAGACTTAATTCTATTGACAAGTAATAGTAAGAGAATATTTATAAACTAGAGTAGAGTCATAAAACTAAAGAGTATTAGTTATCTAAATACTCAGAATAAACAAAAGAAATGACAAATAAAGTTAAGGAATTAAATGAAGAAAAAACAAGTGAAATTAGAAAATTCATAATTCAAAATGAAGAATTATAGGAGTAGGTTAGAATCTTCGAAATTGAGGTGAAAAAATTATAGAGCAATATCTAAGGAAATTAGAGAACTCCTGAAAGAACAACTAAGTTATAATAAGAGTTAGATGATTTATATGATAAATTAAATTAATAAATTGGAGAAAATGCAGATCTTAAAATTTAAATTCAAAACCTTTCAACTTAAATCAAGTTAAAAGAACAAGAAATTAAGAAATTATTAGAAATATAACTAGAAATTCAATAAAATTCAAATAAAGAGAATGATTTAACGAAGGAGATTTAAGAACTACATCAATAAATCAATAAATATGAATAAAGCATCAAATAACTTTAAGATTAGATTAACAAATTAGAAAACCTAATTAAATACAAAGATTAATAATTAAAAAAACATGAGCTTCAATAAGATAGTTGGAAGGATAATCTTAGCAAATTAGAAAATCAGATTGAAGAATTAGAAACACAATAGTTAAGAGAATTAAAATAGTAAGATAAATAAAATAAAGAGACTATAAAAAAATTAGAAAATTAATTAAAATCAAAGGAACATGAGATTAAGAAGTTGTAGGATGAAATTAAGTTATAATAAGAGAAGATTTAGAGTTTAGAATAAATGATAGAATAAATTAATGATCAATTCCATACTTCATAATAATAATTAAATGAAGTATAATTGAAATTTTAACTTACAATAAGAGAGAAAGATTTTGAAATAAATAAATTGAAATAAAAGTTGGGAAGCTAGAAATCACCTGAAATTTAATCAGAAATTGATTCATTACATCAATAGATAATAGAGAAGGAGACCGAAATAATAAAAGTTAGAGAAGATACTTCAGAATTATCTTAAAAAATAAGAAATTATGAGTTAGATTTCAAAAAATTCTAAGAAACTATTAAAGAATATTAAAAAAAATTGGAGAGAACCACTTAACTCGAAATCCTAATAAGTGAACTCAAAATTAAAGATGAAACCAATTAAGTTAAAATTGATGATTAAAATTCAACCATCAATAATTAAGATGCTATTATATAATCTAAAGATTAAACAATCAAAAAATTACAAGAGCAACAACGAGAATTTACTAAAAAGGGAGATTAATTAATAAATGTATAAAAGAAATTGATCGAAACTGAGTAATAGTTGCACGAAGCTTTACAAAATGCAAGTATAAGCTAGGATAAAATTAATACTTTAGAGCAATAACTTGCTTTGAAGGATTTAGAATTGAAAAAATTGAAGGATTAAATAAAAGAAATTTAGAGGGAAGTTGAAAGGCTTTAATCTAAATTATATGAAAAGGAATAATTATAATAAAAAACTATAGAACAATAAAATAAAATTGAAGAATTGGAAAATTAAATTGAAAAACTAAAACAAGAAAATAAAAAAAAGTCTTAAGAAAATTAGGTTCTGGAGGATAAAGTATAATAATTGAAAAAGTTAGAAGAAAAATATAAGAAATAATAAAATCTAATTGAAGAACATAAATAAACTTTAGAGTCACTTGAAAGAAAAATAAAGTCATTAGAAGAATAAATTTAAATAAATGAAGATGAAAAATATAGTTTAGAAAGAGAAGTTGATTTGTTAAAGAAGAAGTTAGAAGATGAGAGGAAGTAATTTGAAAACAAAATAAATTAATAAGCAAGAGCTAAGGATGACATTATTGCTAAATTAAAAGAGAAAATTGCTGAGTTAGAAAAACTGGAAGCTTAACATTTTGAATTTACTTAAGAAGTTGAAGATTTGAAAGAAGAGAAAAAGTCAAGGAAGAATATTGAATCGAAACTCTAATCAGATAACAGTATTTATCAAAAATAGATAAAATAACTTGAGTAACAGATAAAATCATTATAAGAAAAGTTAAAATCAGAGGAAGAATCTAATAAAATATTACATAATGAAATTGAATAAATCAATGTAAATATCAAAGTTAAAGATGAACTTATTTACAAATTATAACAATAGGTTAAGAAATTAGAGATTTCGATTAAAGAAAAAAAAGAGTAAATCAAATAATTTAAATAAGATATTTCAGAAAGATCAAGTTAGATATCTTAGATAGATTTGATCGATAGAGAAAAAGAGGAATTGAATGATCAAATTCGATTAAAAGAAAAATCTGAAGAGTCTCTAAAACAAACAATCAGTACACTTTAATCATAAATATCTAAGTTAACAAAATAAGTTTAGTAATTAATATAAGATAAGATGGAATTATAACAGTAAATAGATAGATTGATTGACATTGAGAATTCAATTAAATTAAAAGAGATTGAGATTCTAAGATTGGTTTAAATTGAGAATGATTATCAACGATAGAAAGAAAAAGTGAAAACTTTGGATAAGACAATTACTGATCAAACTCAAAAAATAAAAATCTATTAGGAGTACGAAAAGTAGACTAAAGAGTCAATAAAAAATTATGAATAAGAGCTAGATGAAAAATAAGAAACTATTCAACATTTAGAATAAGAAATAATAAAATTAAAGTAACAAATAGATGATTATCAAAGATAAATTACTAAAATTTCTAAGGAGAAAGAAACTGTTAATTAGAAAGTTAAGTCATCAGAGACAAATTAGTAAAAGAAAATAGATCAATTGGAAGAATAGAAACAAGAATTGCTTAATGATTTGCAAACATTAAATATTAGAGTAGAAGATTTATAAAGTTAACTTAAGGAACTTTAAGAGAGACGTGATCAATTTTAGAAAATAGATAAAGAAAAGGAAGATATCAAAAGAACAAGTGATACAAGTGAAAGGAAATATAAGGAATCAATAAAAGAATTAGAAAAAGAAATTTAAAGACTTAAAGCAGAAATGATTAAAAAAGAGCATAATAATTCCAAGGAGATTGAATAGCAAATAGATAAAGCATAAAAGTTGAAGCAATAAAACACTTAATTGGAATAAACCATTAAGAATTTATAAAATAATGAAAAGAAGTTAAAACTACTTGAAGAATAATGCAATTAGATTAGTGAGAGATCTCAAGAGAAATTAAATAAAAAAGATTAGATCATAGATGATTTAAATAAATAAATTAAAAATTTGAATGAGTAAATAAATAAACTGAATTAAAAATTAAAATCTGTTAATAAAGATGAAGAAGATGACATAGCAGATTTTGGAGAGGATGCTGATGTGGATGATAATAATAAAACGAAAAAGAAATACGAAAAGGAATCCAAGAAGGACAAAAATGAATAGAAAACAAATAGATAATTGGAAAAAGATATTGAAAAATTAACATAAGACAATATTAATAAAACTTAATAAATCAAATAGCTGGAGGAATAGCTTAAGAAAAACTAAGAACTTATTTAGAAGGAAACAATTGAGAAATAGTAAAAGACATAAAAAGAAAAAGATGAGAATTAGACAATTAAAAAATAAGAGACAGAAATTAAGAAAAAGGATGAACAAATTAAAAAGTTATAAGAAGAAATCTAAAAAACAGAAAAAAATAGTAAAGAGAAAGATAATTTAGAATAAATAAAGGTACTGAAATAAGAAATAGACCAAAAGACTTAATAAATTACAAAGTTATAGGAATAGATTCAAAAACTACAAAAGGATATCAGTGCATCAAAATAAAAAGATGAAAAAAATAATAAGTCTGAGCAAGAACTTAAAAAGAAAGAAGAGGAAATATCAAAACTGAAAGAAAAAATAGAAAAAGATTCAAAGGAAACAAATGAGAAAAAGTAAAATGAAAAGAACCAAAATGAATTAATAAAGAAATAACAAGAAGAAATCAAAAAAAAAGAAGAAGAAAATAAAAAATTTAAGGATTAAACAAATGAAAACAATAAATTAAAAGATTAAGTATCTAAATTAGAAAAAGAGAAATCTACAACAGATGAAAAAATAAAAAAATAAGAAGATAAGATAAAAGAACTTTAAAAATAAATTGATGATTAAAAACAAAAGACCCCAACCAATAATAGAGATGATCCTAATGATAAATAAGGTTAATCAGATAAAAAACCAGGTCCGTACTAAAATGATACGAAATATAAGGAATTAGTAATTAAATTAGAAAAACAAATAGATGAACTAAAAATTCATATTATTTATCTGGAAAGCTTACTAAAGTAACATGGCTATGATCCAAATAAATTAAAACCTGGAAAAACCAATAATGATTCAAAAAATTAGACACCTAAAAAAGATGATGATAAGGACGATTATCCTGAATTGTAATAAGTCAACGTTATTAATGTAATAAATTATAATATTTATTAAGATTAGAAGATTAATGGCTGAATATAAATATGAGAAAGATAGATATGAAAATAAAGTTGTTTAATATACTGATGAGTTAATTAAGTAAAATAATTTAGAAAAGGACGCTGAAGAAAAAATTAAATGTCTTGAAGATGATTAATTTGTATACAACGATCCTGATGACTAAGACCCTAAAGTATATGTTATCAAAAAAGAAGGAGAATCGAATAAAAAAGTCAAATGAAATTTATTATTCAATAGTATATGCTTTTATTAATTTTAAAAAATTCATCCCATCATTTCTTAAAGGAATTCTTTACATATTGAAAAAAAAATATTCTACAAAGTATTTAAAATATTGATATTATCAAATCCTAAACTTAGATAATGATAGAACTAAAGGTAATTGATTGATATCTTAAATTAGATTATATTCGCCTCCAATCAGATCATTTATTTTATGCAGTAATCTTTTGATGGTATTTTCTAAAAATAATGATTCAATTTATACTTGATGAAGTCTTAAAAGTTTTTGAGACTAATAAAATTGTTTCAATAAAGTGCGCTTAGGTCAATCTGTAAAGCCATACTGAAATATTCATGAGTGTTTTTAAAAAAAATTCAAATTTTACTTGTTGAATAAAAATAGATTTGAAATCTTAAATTAAAGAATTTTTTACATAGAAATCTATTTTAAACAATAGAATTAAAATGAAGCTTAATAAATATAAAAAATAATTTAATTCTATTAATGGAATTCAGGATCCATGACAGGATAGCTAAAGTTTATGAATTAAAACTAATCAATGATACATAAAACATTAAAACAATAATCAAGTTTTTCACAAATTACAATATTGGAAGAAAACTGAGTCCCCTTGAATTCTTTGAAACTCTATTAGTATTCTCTGTCTAATAAATTGTTCTAATTATCAGAATAAATCAATATTTATAGACGGTAGAAATACACAAATGCCCCTTTTCTGGAATAGAGAATTCAATAAAAAATGATAAGCAATACCATATTATCAGCAGCTTTATGATAGAGTCGATTGAATGCCAGATCAATAAATCTGCTATGCCATATTTTTTGGATTCTTAATATTTTTACTTCATAATAAATCAGGACATCATTTAATACAATCTAGCATCTCTACTAACATCTCAAAGTTCTCCTATAACTATGCTAAAAAGAAATTTAATCTAGGCACCTATTTATTTTAGAGATGATTTTATCCACATTAAAAATTAAGACTATTTATATTCTATTTAAAGATATGGATACTAAATTAGCCATACAAAATTTCTACTTAATATGCAACAAATCAATTTACAAACTGATACTTTCAAGAACGTCTAAATTGAAATAGTAGTAACTTCAATTAATATAACAAATATTGATTTAATTCAGAGCCCATTCATTAATTAGGTAATTTTTGAAACTAATGAAATAACTCTAGAAATATAAATACAATTTGAAGGTACCTTAATAAAATAGAATTATTCGTTGTCCGAAAATTCAGATTTTGATTTTTAAAATGAGGAGAGAGAAGAAATAAATTTTGTGAAGGAACCTGGTTTAATATAGATATGGAATTTGGATTAAAAGTACGATTAGGTTTATTCATTGATTTTATATTGATTAAGAATTATCGAATTAATAGAATTATAATAATAGATAATTTTAATATAAATGGACAACCTGTGCAAATAATATTTAATATTCAAGGAAATAGATCAGATTAATTTATAAGAGTATTGTTTCTACTCCTTGGATAAAGATAAGCATTTATCATTTATATATATATATGACGGCTCAGCAAAAATAGAATGCACAGAATTCGAATTGATTGAATTAAATACTCTATCCTCATATAAACAAGAGTTTCTCACAAGTGTGACTCAGAAACTCAAAGAAATGTTATCAAATATACAACCTAAAGATGAGTAAGAGATATTATGTAGTCTTTCATTAGATTAGATATTTGTACATAGAATGAGTGAAGAAATCATAATTCCTAAGTATATTATGAAACAACTTAAGAGATCTAAGTACAGAGATGTATTTATAACTAACTTCTTTTAAAATCTTTAGAATCATATAATGATAAATATTAATGATTTTTATTCTACAAACAAATAAAATGTAAAAACCATGAGAAAAATCATGAAAAATAAATTAGATTTGAATGACGAAGTTAGCGACTAGATAAAATAATTATTTGAAACATTCTTTTAAGTGTCTATTGAGAATATTCAACGAATATCTATAAAAAAATAAGAAATATATAATAAATATGATATTCAGAAGCCAGACAAATAAGATTGTTATACTACTTTAAAATCATTTCATTAGACTCATTTAGTAAATAAAAAGAAATTACCTGAAGAAGACATTTAATAAATTGAGGATTTTTTTCTTAACAAATTACTTGTAGAAGGAAAGTAAATTGATAAATAATGTATAGAAATACAAAATTATCAATAAAAAAATCAATCTGGGCTTAGATTAACTGCCACTTAGATTCATTCCATATGCTAATAAGAGAGTTATCAAAAAAAGAGTTAACCCTCAATTAGTGCCTAAAAGCATGGCGAAGAACATGAAAAAATAGCTTTAAATGAATATGCTAATTAGCATCCTGATATTGAACTAAAATAAACAGATGTTCTATTTAACATATCCTATCCATACTTATGTGGAAAGCCTGATGCTTTAGTTTATGATCTGAGTAATAATTTAATAGGGTTGTTAGAAGTGAAGTCTCCCTTTATAAAGAAGGAACTTAATATGAATCAAGATGAGAATTTCTTATTAGATTATATAGTCATGGATCAGAACAATGTTCATTAATTGAAAAGGAATCATTAATATTATTATTAAGTGTAAGTATATTTGCTGATTACTGAATTATGTTGGTGTGATTTTATTGTGTCTACACTCCGAGGTAATAGGGTAATTAGGGTGTTGAGAGATGAGATTTGCATGAAACAGATAATAAGGAAATCGGAGCTTTATCATTTTACTTAGATATTACCCCGTTATTGCTAATTGCAGAAGAAATAATTAGAGGAAGAGGATCTGGAAGCAATAAGGAACAAAAAAGTGTTTAATTCATATTGAATATAATTAATTATTAAATGAATTAACCAAAAAATACTAGATTTATAACCTTTACAATACCCTACTCTTAAAGTTAAGATCCATAGTTTCCCCCATCGAATTTATTGGAAATATCATCGACACCGTTGGGTTGGCAGAGCTGTAGGTTTTGCTAATATCCGTAAGAGTTGATATTGCAATTCTAATCTGCCATAACCGTTCATAAAATGCAAATTCTATCTCACGAGAAGAAAATACCTACAAAGATAGAGGTTTTCATTGGAAGACTGTAGGGGAGAATGGATTTAGAAAATGCAAGTTTTAAAAAGATTGGCTATTTCACATTTCATTCCAACGAACAATCAAATTGGTAAGCCAGAGAGCTGAAAACAGTATCAATCGATGAATCTAATTGCAACTATCTAAAACTATTGGTGCATCGCAATCATGAAAATAAGTTTAATCCATTTAATCAAGTTGGTATTGTTGCGATCAGAATTTATGGAGAGAAGGCAGAACTCCCTCCACCAAAAAAGATAAGTAAGGTCTAAGATAAGGTCTTGGATGAATTATACAATCCACAATAAGATAAATTGATTGACACTAAATTGTTGGCGCACATTATTGCACTTGAACATGTAAAGTATTCCTTAATATGAGAGTCCAAAGATTATGCAATCAAGTAGGAAAACTATTAAGAAGCCAAAAAACTCAAAAACAGAATTACTCAACTAAGATCATTGGGAGTCTAATTGAGAGATTTGGAGGAGAGGAAAAAGGAAGTGTTATAAAATGAGGATTATGACTAGGCAGAAGCTATCAAAGAAGAAATTTATAAATTGAAAATTGAGAATGGACTAGTAGATGAACAAGGAAATGAATATAAACCCAATATCGAAAAGATCAGGCAATAAGAATTGGGTGAATAGGCAGATAACTATGAGGATAGGAGAAATTCAAAACCATCAATCAAATAAATAGATAACAATAAGATAATTGAGGATAGTTTCGATAAAATGCCTCAAGAGGAATAAACATATTTAATTGAATAATTGAATAATAACAATAACATAACTCATATTACAAATAATTAAAATGAGAATGTAAATACAAGTTATTAATAACCTACTTCTTTTGATTAATAACTTAAAAATGAAAAAATGTTAAATTATGATGAGATGGTAATTCCAGCTTTAAAAAACAAATAAAATAATAATACTTAGATTTTGGAAGAGTACTCAGAAGTAGATAAAAGTAAATAACAAATTGAAGAGTTGAGTTCTGAAAATTAGAAATAGGTTGAAGCTATCAAACCATATTATGGAATGGATTTTTGCAAGAACTATTTCTCTAAGAATTGGGCTCGTAGAGAAGAAGGCATTCGTTGGTTGATTGAACAATTTAACAATCCAACTTAAATCAATTTATCCAATATTGATGGAGCCTTTTAAGCTACTTTATTATTGATCTACAAAGGCATTTAAGATAAAGCAGACAAAGTAGTGTATGCAAGTCTTTAATTAATGTAATAAACCCTTCTGAAATTGAAGCCAAACAAATTAAATGACGAAAGCCCTATAATATTGGATAATATCGTATTGGTATGTATCTTCATAACATTAGATTCTCATGGAGAAAATGGGTGATATCAATGAGAGACATAAAGAAGAATGCAAAAAGATTCTATTGACTCTAGCTGAAACATAGATTATGGGAAGTGCTGGAGTGATCAACCATTTAGTGAAAGGGATAACAACAAAACCAAATCTATAATTATCATCAATCAGACACATTTAAGCCAGATTAATGCTCATTTACAATTTAATCTAAAAATATAAAATTAATAATGAAAGAGTTCCTTATAATCCTGTAATGGATGTTGCAATCAAATATTTAGATCACTCTGCTGAATAAGTTAGAACTTGTGCAATTTATATAATAACAGAAGTTTATAAAAATTAAGGAGATAAAGTGAGAGAAAGCATAAAAGGAATTAGACCTGCACAATAGTAAATTCTGGATGAATTGTTTTATAAAATAGACAACGGAGGGAATGTTCAAACCTCCTTTGAATAAGAAAAGAAACCATAACCAAAGAAGAAATAATAACAAAATAACCCCGATTAAGTCTTTTAATAAATAACACAGGCTTGTGAATTTTGTGGAATCGAGAATAAGGAATTTATTCAAAGTTAAAAGCTCGATATGCATTTATGGAAAGAATGTGTTATGCTCACAACTTGTTTATCATGTGCATAGGTGGTTGAAGTCTCTCAATTAACTAATCATCATTTTGAAGAATGCGAATTTGCTAAAAACTATCGATAATGTGAAACGTAATTTATTATTAAGAATGTTGTAGTTGTGGATGTGCTGTCTTAGAAAACCAGATGTCTGAACATTTGAATAAAAAAGTATGTAATACTTCAACAGGTGACACTTGTCCATTATGTTACAAGAACATAGGTCTGAATTGGAAAATTCACTTAGCCATTTGTGAACAACAAGAGCGAAACAAACAATAGTCTGTTCCTTCAGAAAAAAAATGATTATTTTTAAATTTTTTATGATATTAATATACTTGTTCAATTTTGTATTGGCACAGAACAATTATCCTATTGTTAATAGTCTCATCACAACTAATTCGCAAAATACACTTAAAGTTTCAGCTTCTTGCAATCAAATAAGTGATATCTATTATGCCATATATTTAAATAATGGAATCAGACCTACATTTTAAGAAATAAAAATAAGAATGAATAAACAATCAAGCTATGAAAATTATGGATATAAGGAATCTGCTTTAAACTTAGAAATTACAGTTATTGTTAAATTAAATTCATTTTACAATGTAGATATCTATTGTCTGAGCTATGACTCGACTGGTATATACTCCTACTTAAGTTATCCTTTAACTCGAGATATGATAGCTACTACAGATAATAATTCTAAAGCAATGATTTTAAAACTATATTTTGATAGTGAACCAACTGCAAAACAAAGTTAAAGCATTGTCTGTTAAGCTTAGTACAAATATCCTTCATAAACTACCAGAATTATCATAGGAGATTGGTCAGTATGTTCAGATGCTACAAACACTAACAATAATAATGTAACAACCGATCAAAATACTTCTACACAAGTTGCTATAGAAAAATCATATTCTAAAATTAAACCCTACCCATTATTTTTATACTTTCTAACTGATTACACCAATTTAGTTGACATATTACCTGATGAATTGACTTTGCTTGGAGAATAAGAACTCACAACTATCTTTTTATAAAGCAGCAGTCTATCCTTATCTTCAACTTTGTAGCCTAAACTAGTAGATACAAGTAAGATCCTAATTGTTCCTGAATTGTCTATAACTCTTAGCTTTGCTCAATCAACACTTAATGCTGATATTTCAATTACTAATGTGGATGGGATCATTGCAATTGGAGTCACAGAATTAGGGGTGTCAATTGATGTCTCAGAATTCTTTGTTTAAGCATCTTCCAAATTAGTAATCAGTGATCTCACAAGCATTTAATAGAATATAGTTGTTAATTATAGAATATCCAATTTAAATATTGGGAAAGATTATTTCGTTAATGTTGTTGGATTTTTGGTAATTTTTTTGACTAAACCTTAAGTACCCTCAAGCAGAAAGTCCAAATAGTGGAATCATCAGAAAGCCAATATTGGCTTCAAGAATAAAGACTTTAGATTCTTCAATTTTAATGCTGATATTTATATTTTTTATATCATTAATATGAAAATTGTAATTTAGAAAATACTCTATAATTCGACTTTATCATTATTAATATGGGAGATAATCAATATAACCAACTTGATCTCCTTCAAAGAATGTATCTGGATTGGCTACAGTCAAAGGAAAATTATATCTAATTCTCTCCACTAAATCAGGATCTAAAATCAAAAGAATATTTACTAGATATATAAGACATTCCAAAGCTTGCAGCATCGATTATTCCAGCTTCAATCAATTGAGAAGCTGTTTCCCCTGTTAAGCCAACATTCCCTATTATTACACCTTTGAAGGAATTTCTTAATTGCTCAAATAAATTTTGAGTTTAAGATTATGATGAAGGTAAACCATGATTGTAAGCATTTTCCTCATCCTTGTCATTCATTAGTTCTATAAATGCGATTTGTCTTTTATCTAATTCTTAAAATAGATAAATGAAAAGTTTAATTGGATCATTATCATACATATCATTGAATCTCCCAATTGGAGATACCTTGATACCCACTCTTCCCTTCCCAAATACTGATATCAGTTCGTCAATCACTTCCAAACAAAACTTGCATCTACCTTCAATGGATCCTCCATATTCATCTTATCTTTTATTACTATTGCTCTTTAAAAACTAATCAATCAAATAACCATTAGATCCATGTAGTGATATCCCATCAAAACCTGCTTCTTTAGCTAACTATGCTCCTTTTCTGAATTGGTTTTTAACTAATTAAATTTCTTCTAAATTCATTTCATGAGGAATTTCATGCGGAATATTTAAAATCTAATGCGGGCCATTGATTTCTATCGCAGATGGTCCCCAAGGTTGAAGACCATCTTATAATTATGAATGAGTAGCACGTCCACTATGCCAAATTTATAATACTATTTTCCCTTTTTTATTATGAACTGATTATATGACTTTCTTCCAACCTTCTACTTAAACTTAATCCATTATTCCAGGACACCCAGGCCAACTCTAAGATCTCTCACTTATAAATGTACTCTCTGTCATAATAAGTCCTGCAGTGGCTCTTTAAGTATAAAATTCGACCACCAAATCATTTGGAGACTTTGTTACTTTATCACATCTCATTCTAGTTAAAGACGACATAATTATTCTATTTTCAATTTAAATATCTCCAAGTTATAATGGCTTAAATAAAGCATCTACTTTTGGATTTTTCATCAATATATTTAATATTAAATAGATCCTAATGGTTTATATACTTTTTGAATAATTATAAAAAATATAAGAATTGAAGTTCAATAAAAGAGATTTGCTAAATGAAGTATTCTATTAATTAGGTCTAGAATTGAATTTAACAATAAAAATAAATAAAGTGATTGTTATTTTATAAAATAATTCAATCTGCCTACTCCAAATTTAATTAATAAACGCTTCTCTTAAAAAGAAATCCTTACAGAATAATTTAGATATATATGGTTGCTCAAAATGAGAAATTTGAAATAAACATTTTACTCATTTGATTTAGAGTCAACCTATAAATTGGTGTTGCACACTTATGACTCAAAAATATTTTCAAAATAATTAAAAATAGATTATAAAATTTGTAATAAAAATTGTATGTTCAAAGATATGATCATTATATTCTACTTTAGGCAAGTCTCATAGTTTGTCTTTTAATATAAAAATAATATTCGGGCCTCCATTTAATGTATTGAAAAATTCTTAAATCCTTAAAATTTTATTTGTACTTAAACCTTTCTATTTACAATTTGTTAAAAAACAAATAATAAATTTATATCAATTCATTCTAGTATTGCTTGTAATACCTAGGACACTTAAGTCACTTTCCCACCTTACTGATTTTTTCCTTTTTTATGGGCTTCCTTATTTAGAGCTTAGTGATTTCAATGATGGCTTTATAGGATTCTTAAGAAGGTTCATATTTTTAGGTCCAATATTTTCGGATGTAGTTCTGCTTCCTTGGTCATATTTGGGTGAGTTCTCTATTATAAAACTTCGTTTTCTTTGGTTTCCTACGGTTTAAGAAGCATAATGGCTTGTCTCAACTAAATCTAAAAATATGCATTGTTGCGATGTCATTTAAGGTTGAGGTTGTATTGTAGACTTTGGTTCAAATTTTTCTTGCTTATAGAGTTCATTAAATATTGCTCTATTGCTAGTAGTCATAATAGTTTGGTGTCCTTCTTGTTCATCACTAACCTCGGTAATTAGTGCGAGCTTGACTGGTATAGTTTAGCAAACATTTCCCATTTAAATAATTGAAATAATATAGCAAGTAATTTTGTTAATTTTATTAAATTTGCTTATTATTCTAGAAGTAGACAAGGCTCTATTACATTTGGCACCTGGATTTGGGCGATTCAATTTTGTTTCATGAATTTTATAATTGATAATAAATATCAACTCTCATTAATCCTTTACTAACAAGCCTTTTAGATTTATTCATCCATAATAACTTTTTTTATTCTTCAAATATTTAATTCATTAAGTGGATAATGTAATTGAATATTGTAAATTGTGGGGTTTGCTTAAAAATAAGAAAAATTCACTTTATACATTATTAATGACAAATTTGGCCATTATTTTTATTTAGATCAAATAATACTTACAAATTTATTTATGACCCATTGGATATGCTTCTCACTTTTGCATTCTCATCATCCTTTTTAACATCTATCAAAGCCACTATTTGTAGCTTTCATATACTGCTATCTTTCAGTTTTTCTATGTTCTTACATATCTAATCAGCAATTAAAACCAACCAAACTATTTTGTGGCCTTTATAAATTGGCTCATTTAATTAATTCATTTTTGTATTATGCTCAGATAACTAATTTATTCATTTATGAATATTTTGTCTTAATATTTATCATCTATAGAAATTATCAATAAGCTTTAGTCATTTTTTTTTCAATCTTTTTGATTACGCTGAAGGTATATATTCAATCTATTATTACTTACATATTTGTAGGCCAAAGAGAGTTTCTAAGAAAATCTTATCTTTTATTTGAAGCTTAAGATTTAACAGGGAATTATTTTAAAATAATAATCCAGAATTTTTTTCATCTCTTTACCGACAATGAAAGATAAATAATCTTTATTGATACACTGTTAATATATCCTATAAAGGTTTTACAATATTTAAAGTATGATGTATTCTATTAGCAGAAATCTCAATTTTATTTGTAAGATTACGTTTTAGAGAAAATACTTGAACTAAATTATTGCTTTATCAAATTAAAATAATTTCGAATATCATCCTCAAATTTGCATTCGATTTATTTTAATTATATATGTAGAGACACATGTGCTTGAACACATTGACTTATTAACAAATTGAGTAATTTATATTATTTTGGAGTGCAAACTTTAATCTTATATTTAGGACTTGTATTCTGAAATTTTTAATGCTTTAATTGAGGCAATTAAAAAGCAGATGAAGATCTACATAGGTTAAGAATCTTCATTACTTTCTAAAGTTAGGTTAACAGTAATTGTTATGATTTACTTATTGATTCTATTTTTACTCTCATATAGTTAAACATAATTTATGTCTTTCCCAAAATAGAGTCTCATGAAATTCAGCGAAATTCCTAATCAAAATATGTGATTAATAAGTGAAACTTAATTAAATTCAAAATACTCAAAACTTTAATTGAATATATTTATTAATTTCAATTAATAAATTTTCAGATTCTGAATTTGTGAAAATTTTGATTGATTAAATGATTATCTATTTTATTTATTTGACTACTTTTATAATAATATTTAATATATTATATAAAAAGTGGAACATGGAACATTTTTATGAGGTGCAGATATCTAATCCTCGTGATCACTCACTAAGTCTAAGGGATTTCTTAATAGTTTTAGTGATTATAAAGTAATTTATAATTTGGTTATATTTTATAATTGAGAGATATAATATAAATATGTAATAACTGTGTTTATATTCTGAATATTGAGCACCACAAATACAAATTTATTCGGACATTAATAATTGTAAATTCTTAATTATATTTATATTTCATAATGAAAAAGAGAGATCTCAAACTTGTATTAATAGGAGACAGTAAGCAATTTTGATTAGTATTAGGTGGTGTCGGGAAATCATCTTTTGTTTCAGCTTTAATAAATTAAATTTCAAACAAAGCCCTTGTTTTAGATAAACATCAACCGATCAATTTACCTCCTGATATACTTAATCACCCTGAATGCATAACTACTCTAATCGATACAAAATGTGCTCCACATTAATTACCTCAAGAGATTTAGATAGCTGATGTGATTCTCCTAATGTATTCGATTGATGATGATGGATCAAGTGAAAGATTGAAAAGATTTTGGCTCAAGGAATTAAGAGAACAAGGATACAAACAACCTGTAATAATAGTTGGAAATAAGCTTGATTTATTGGGTTTGGAAGAAGATCGAGATTATCATAGGATCTTCAAAGTAATCAAACAATTAGTGAAGGACTTCAACGTATTGAATTGAATTAATATAGTCAGTTGAAATGGGAATCGAATGTTCATCCATAAAACAACAAGGTATCTATGATGTGATAAATTGTGCTTAAAGATCATTTCTCTATCCATTAGCTCCAATTTACAGTATTGCTGAGAAGTCATTAACAGAAGGATTTAAAAAGGCATTGACTAGGATATTTAGGATTTGTGACAGGGATGGGGATGGAGTATGGAGTGATGCAGAATTGGAAAAATTCTAAAAGAAGGTGTTTAAGAGATAATTAGATTATAGTGACATTACTGGAATAAAAGATATGATAGAAGAAGAATTGCATGATAACTCAAACAAAAAAGTCATCACTTTAGAAGGATTTATAGCATTGCAAAAAAGAGGGATAGAACTAATGAAGATTCAAATCTGTTGGACTATTCTACGCTTTTTTAGATACAAAGATGATTTGACTTTGGATGAGAATATTTTCACAAATGAGTATGAATTTAAATGGAAGTTAGATTAATATTTGATTAAGATGCAGGTCAAACTGTTGAATTGAGTGAGATTGCCTTATCTAAATTGAAATAGATATTTGAAATCAGATGCAATTCCAGGTTTTAATAAGGCAATACTCTAAATCAGAAACAATTTGATGATATATTTTACCCAGTGATGTATAGAACTAATTTTCCTCATCTAAGTTAATATTATCCTTAGGAATAAAATGTTATCACTTTAACTCAATGGTTGGCAATGTGGAAGTATTCAAATCATGATATCCAAGTGCCTTTTCCTTCTTTAATTATAAAGAAGCCTACAAGTTGTTGTGTTATATTGGAATTGAAATGAAATTATCGGACACCTTTAAGGAATAAAATAAAAAGGATTCTTGGTCTTCTGTTTAAAAGATTATTGATAGAAAAGTGTTTCATATTGCCATTGTCACCAGAAAGAAGGTTGTATATTCATGCTTATCTCTTAGGGTTAACTTGAGAAATAATTTGAAAATCAGTCCCTCATTATAACATCTATTCACAGTAAAACATATGCTATTAGTTTATACGATGAATTGGAAGCTGAATAACAAATTGAAAAAAGACTATTAAGCATTATAGACTTTTTACTTATTGAATAAAATTGTCACTTTTAAACTGCTTAACTTATCCCAATCTCTTCATATGATGATAAACCTTTTTTGGAACAAATCAAGAAAGTTAATGATATCTTACATCAAAAGTATTCTCCTAATTTCATTATCATTTAGTCCCTTCGGTTATTCTGACTATTAAATTTAATAGTTGAAAAAGCAAAATGGCATATCCATTGTTGATGTAGCTAGTATTGTGACACTCTTGACATTGATATTGACAGGAGGATACTTATTAAGTAAAAAGACATTTTTAAAGAATAAATGAAATTAAAAAAATTATCATATTATAAATCCTTTTTAATATATTATGTGAACCTTATTTTACTTTAATGTTTCATTATTATTTCTTTTATCTTTATTACGGTGGTTCAATTATTATGAATAGAGAAATGAATGATATATTGAATAAAGCCTAGACAACTTTAGTTTTAATTTAATATTCTTTTAGATTAGTTATTTAAAAAAATGATATAATCAATACTCTGGTTCAATCATAGTGAGTTTACTTAATTCCCTATTTAATTATCTCTCTATCGCATCTTAATCCTCCCACTAAACATGAGATTACTGTTATTGGATCTATGTTAAATCGTTTACTATAATTCTTATAGTCAAATTCTTTTACAATTCGAGTAACTTATTCATCATCTAAGTGCAATAACTTAATTTATTTTTAGATATACTTTTATTTTTATTTTGTTTAATTGAGTGTTGCATTTATCATAAGAATGAATGGCTTGCTCTTTTAAAACTGTTGATGAATCATTAATTTGAGAAACTTCAATAGATCCTCCTTATTCTTATTTTATTTATTGTTTGATTCTTTTTTAAGTTTCTCTATAAATTAGAGTCCCATTAGTCACAGGTAGATTTTTTTAGTTTAACCTTATTAACATATTCTCTAAATTTTCAAGATCTTCATTTTTCAAACCGAGAGTTATAGGACCTAATTTGTCAAGTTGATAATTATTTCGACTGCTTTTACTTGCTTGTATTCTTGCTTATGTTAAGTCAATGGCTGATAATTTATTGCTATCATAAGGAAATATAGAGGGCAGAGAAGAGATTTCTAAAGAGTCATTATGAGATAAGCTTTGTTGAATGATTGCTAAGCTATTATCAAATGATTATTCTTATTTGTACTATTTAAAGGATTCACTTAGTTCCTTCTCTAGTTATTCAATTTCTTACAACAAAGAAGCTTTCTTGATTAAATATTAAATATACTTGTAGTAAATATTCCTTCGCTTTTTGATCTAAATAATCTGGGAAGTGTTAATAATTCAATTTCTCATTAAGAGCATTTAGTCTTGATATTACCCAGGCTATTCCTGTATTCCTAACATCTTAAGCATTTTTTAAAATTTAGAAGTAGAAATTGATGAGACACTTCTATATATTTTTATTTTCCTTTTTTTTGGTTTGTAGATCTGAATCTATTTATTCTAATGTTTTTTTATTGAACAAAATTTTGTGTATATAAGCTATGCGACTCTCTTTTAGGATGTGCAAATCTTGTTGTAATTCCTTTTCTTTGTTTTGCTTACTCATAAATTAGTTGACTAAAGACTTACGAGACTAACTCACCTACATATTATATGATGATTTAGGGTCTTTCATTTCTTCTATTTCTTGCTGTAATTGCAAGGATAGTTACTTGATTTGGATTAGTTTATCATGGAAATCGTGTGTCTCCAATCTTAGATTTTCTTATGCTGAAATCTTTGCACCAATGATTTATTCATTTTATTTAATCTTTTGGATTAATTTATTAGCTATCAATTATGTTTGTTTTTAATAAAATTTTGCTTTTTCTGCCTCTGATTTGAATTATGAGAACTGAACTCTTACAAGAGTATTGTACATCCGTTAGACATCTTCATTAGTGAAATCGAAATTTGTTGAGAGACCTTTCTCTTCGTCAACATTGAGTTCTCCAATCTCTTTGAGTTCATTTAAGGCCACTGTGGATGCCTTTTAAAGATATTATTAAATTGATCGTTCTACACTTGGATCTTCATTTAAACTCTTAAGTTACTTAGCTCTAGAAACTGCATTTTTCATAATATCCTAATAAGATTTAGGAGTGTTTTAAGTATTCTAAGGTGAGTTTGATTTGTCAATTTTTTAATTTCGAGCACAATCTTAACGAACTAAAGGATTCTTTATTTCGCTTTAGGTTCTATCCTTGCTTCTTGGTAGTTCTATTATGTCACTTTCGTTCTTTTTGTTTTGTTACTTCTTTTTCAATTCCTTCATTTTCTTTGTCCATTATTTAAGATCTGTGATTTGATCTTTAGAGTCATCATATTCTTTTGACTGAGTTGCTAAGGATTCTTCTTTAACTTTTTATTTCCTCTTTAGTACTTCGCCATCAGAATTATCTTCCAACTGTTCATAAATTTCAGACAGGAATAACTATTTATCTGGCTCTTTGGCTAGTTAAGATCTAACTTGCTTTTCTATATCATTTCGTTAATTCTTTTTGTATAGCTTCGTCATCTTTAATGTTTGTAGATCATACATATTGTGAACTGATTTGAACTGAATCCCTGGTTTGTCTTCGCCTTTGGGAATATCATACATTTTAATGGAGTTAAATTAATCCTGCAGCAGTTTTTTTCTAATATCCTGAATTGCTAGTTCTCCAATACATTTTGTTTCCGATTTACTCTTTCTTAGGAGTTCATGAACATTTTAGGCAATTTTAATCGCTGCATATCCTTTATGCTATCCAACTTCTCCTTAAACTTGCATGATTTTATTCATACGCTGTTGACGAATAGATTACATTATTAAAATATTTATAGACTAAGCATTCAGATATAATATTTTATTGTTCTTATTTTTATAATACTTATGATTATCAGAGTGTGGAGTATTTAATTTTTATTTGTAGAAAGAAATTAGACTCTTTCTACAAATGTGATTAGTGAAATTAAACTTTGAGTAAGATATCCTTGCAAAATACTATAGAATAAAAATATTTCTAAGTGGTGTTTCAATTAAAGTATGATTTGTAATACTTAAGTTAAGGAAATTGTTATAATGCTCTATGTTGTTGAAAGTAGATAACCCAGATACATATGTGTCTTTAATTAATCTTTTTGAAATAGTGAACACCGAAGGATAAATGATTCATTTATTAATACATGTATGAAAGAGATATATATAAGGGTTAATAGTTATGAAGATTGAACAATACTAAGAAGATTGGAATATATTATTATAAGATTTAAATTTGTTTAATTTAATTTACATTTACTTTAAATATTAAATGTACTGAGTATTTTGACTACATTCTGCAAAATATTGATTGTGTCATGATTGATAATAAAATCTATTTGAACTCTTGGATATTTAGTGATTTTTACAGATAGAAGACGCTAAAGAGAAGAGATTCAATATATATATATTAGAATGAAGTTACTCATAGTAGGAATCAAGTGTGTAATTAAATTTTATGCATAATTTATGGAAGAATGGAGTAAAAATTACTTTACTTTTTCAACTCAAATTTTATCCATAATTCACTCATTCAATTGAGAATCAAACAACAAATAGTAGAGATAGTCCTTAAGGGACACTGTCAATCACCTTCTGGAATTTAAAGAGAGTAAAAGTGGTACCAGGATGCATTGTTGGTCAGAACTAATGATTATAAATTCTGATATTAAATTTAATCGTTAAAAAAAAAATGGATATTGTAGAGGAAGTTTGTAAGGATAAAACTGTGCGTCAATATGTAAAGGGTAAATTCTTAGGGAAAGGAGGGTTTGCAAAATGCTATGAATTTTAGCATGGAGAATAATCTTATGCTAGCAAAATAATTAGCAAGGCAAGTCTTACAAGATCAAGAGCAAGATAAAAATTAATGTCTGAAATCAAGATACATCGCAGTCTATAGCATCAAAACATAGTTGGGTTCCATAGATATTTTGAGGATGATGAAAATGTTTATATATTATTAGAATTATGCACTAATCAGACTATGAATGAGTTACTCAAAAGAAGAAAAAGATTAACTGAACTTGAAGTGTAATGTTATCTTATGTAAATACTAATTGCACTTTAGTATTTACATAAGCATAAAGTTATACATAGAGATTTAAAATTAGGCAATTTATTTTTGTCTGATAAAATGGAAGTCAAATTAGGAGATTTTGGGTTAGCTACTCTGATAGAATTCGAGGGTGAAAGAAAACGCACTGTTTGTGGCACACCCAATTATATAGCACCAGAAATCTTGGAATCTAAAAGTGGTCATAGTTTTGAAGTAGATATTTGGTCATTTGGTGTTATTGCTTATACCCTTTTGATTGGCAAACCTCCTTTTGAAACAACTGATGTCAAAACTACTTATAGAAGAATCAAAATGAATGCTTACTAATTCCCTGAATCTAGTATCATTAGCAATGCAGCAAGACAGCTGATCAGTAAGATTCTTATCACTGAACCATCTAAACGATTAACTCTTTAAGAAATTTAAGATCACGAATTCTTTCACGGTCTTATTCCTTAATTATTACCTTTAAGCACATTGGCTTGTCCACCCTCCTCATAATACATGAGATAGTATCAGAAATAACAATCTACCAGTATACCAAAATTTGAAAACACTGAAAAAAGACCTCTTGATCTCAAATAACGTCCTCAATATGCAAGTATGGATAGAATTCCATTACGTTCCAATATCGAAAGTTGTCTTAATTAGAATTATGTCATTTAAGAGCCACAAATCTATGTTAAAAAATGGTAATTATATTAATTTAATTTCAGGGTTGATTATTCAAGTAAATATGGGTTGGGATATGTTTTCAATAATTTTCAATGTGGAGTTTTTTATAATGACTGTTCAAAAATGCTGATGTTGAATGATGAGTAATTTTATCATTTAATATCATAGCAAATACATTTATATTGATAGAAATGGAGAAGAAAAGGAAGGAACCTTAAGAGAACAAACTCCAGATATGCAAAAGAAATCCACTTTGATGATTCATTTTAAGGGATACTTAATAGAAAATGAAATTGTTAATGAAACTGATTAATAAATTTGGCAAAAAATTTATGTTAAAAAATGGATGAAGGCAAAGCATGCCATCATTTTTAGACTCTCTGATAAGACTGTCTAAGTAGTTTTTAATGATAATACACAAATTATTTTGACTTAATAATTAAAGGTGGTTACTTATATCGATAAGGAATTAGTTAAATCAACCTATATGTTAAGCACTGCTTTAGAAAGCGAAAACAACTAAATGGTTAAAAGACTTAAATACACTAAAGAGATACTTAGTTAAATGTTAAGTGGTGGTAATGGCCATGGAACTTCCTCTTAAGTTGATGTTTAACAGCAAAAGCCATTGTAAGAGAGGGTGAATACCCTTACTTCGTTAAATTAGCAAAACATCTATAGTAGTACTTCAAGATTGAAAAGTTCTCTACATAATAAATGATTATTTATAATTACTAAAATTAACATAAAATTTAACTAAGATAAGCATTATTAATTTAGAAATCGTATTTTAAGTCGAAGAACTGATGCAATGGTTACTTGACTTCAATGTTAAATATTATACTTATTAAACAAAATATAATATAACTGACCTTTTTAATATGTTAAATTTAAAAAATCCTATGAGTTTCATTTATTTAAAATAGTTTCTATTTTTCCACAAATGAAGTGGGTATATATATTGAAAGAAGAGAAATGATTGGTATTCCGTTTGTTTTTATTAGATAACATAAAGTCTAAAAACAAAAAATAATCTATTATTGATTTTATAATTTTTTTAATATGAGAAGTCATGCTAAGTAGTTAACGATTATATAAGATAATCATTTCTAAAATCAAATCTTAGAAATAGCAAAGCTAATACGTATTGAGAGAATTAAAAAATAGGTTCTGGTAAATACAAAACTGGATTTGCATTAATTAATAAAGAATTCGAAAGATCATTGATTATGCAAACAGGGTGGCGAATTCGTATTCAATTACTAAGAAGAGGAATAGTGTGTCTGATCAAGATTCTAAAGCAGTATTCTAGAGATGGGAACAAATAAGAATGTTCATTAAACTTACAGAGAAAGTTACAACAATTCCTTTTGTTTTACATGGAAATGTTAAACAACTAAGCCAAGGAATATAGTAAAAATTGATTAGAAATTTAATAGAAAAGTTTTACTTGAAGGATATTCTTTATAGATTTTCATAAATTTAATTGCTGACATTTTAATTATCAAAATAACATGAAGATGTTAGATGTGTACTTTATTGGAAACCCATTTGTTATAATAAGGATTCTCGATTCAATAAGCTAAAATTCTAGTATAACTTATTAGTTGGACATCTGCATTTTTAATTTAAGTTATTTAAACCTGCAATTAATTATTACTTTGAAGCCATAACTGAATGTTAATTTCTTTTGGCTGATATAATTAATCAAGATTACCACCTTAAAAATTTAGAGGATTAATATTTTAAAGTAATTTCATGGATTGTTTTTACACTCTACATTGTTGGTTTTATTTATGAATTACAATCAGATTACAATAAATTATTGGAAACTTATAAAATCGCATTATGGTTGTCCAGAATAACAAATAATAATGGTTTGAGTACTTTTATTGAAGAATAGTATATTCGATATTCTCACTAGGTAATTTTTATATGTAATTTTTAGTATAAATAATTCATGATAGAATCAAAAGAATTGAACTCAATTTTGGCTCCAATCTTCCCCCAATCTAATCATAACGATGTTGAGATTATAAGTAATGATTATTGGACCAAAATAAATGATGGATTTTATGGAAAATATAACAAAGAGATTAATCTACAGATTTATTCCATATTACAATAACCTGAAGAATCTCTTTGTAATAATAAAAAGCAAGTTCGATTAACTGAATAAGAAACTACTATATAATCTTATATACACACTCCTCGTCAATATGAAAAATGTAGAACTATCAATTCATTGGATGATGTAAAAATTAGTAAACAGACTACTAATAATCCTTCACCTTAACATTCTCACAGAACTCCTGTTTTAACACATTAAAAAAGCAAGTCTTTTAGGTTCACGACAGATATAGATCAAATTTTAATGAGAGTTCCTCATAGGGAAATAGAAAACTTTTAATCCCTAAAGGCTAAAAAAGAACTAGATTTATATTATTAATAAAAAGTGCTCACTTCATTTTAAGGTGAAAACTAGATTAAATCACTTAAATCGGTGAAATAATAGATAAATTCATAAGAAGAAATTGATAAAGTTTGTTAATCAGATCTAATAGTTGGAAAAAAACTATTAAAATTCCAAAAGTATACTCATCAAAGAGTGGCAACTCATTCGAATATTATGAAAATTGTATCAGATATATCTAAGGAATAAGAACATCTAGAAGGTATTAATAAAGCCAGGCTGGCTATACAAGGATCACACGATATAGAAAATAAAATGAGATTATAAATACAATAAATAATTAAAAAAAAGTCTATTTATAATGAAGGAGAATTAATGGTAATTAAATTGAAATTATTATTAGAATCTTAAGTCATTAGTATCGGATTATGAATAAAACTTATCCAAATAAACTACAATACATGAATAACCAACTGAGCAATCACAAATTTCTAAGAGATTAAGGGATAAAAATAATTTAATTATTAAATCTATTGATTAAACTATAAAGAGAGTGCCATTAGAATAACTCAAAACAAGAAAGTCTTTTTTGTCTCGTGTTTAAGAAAGTATGCTTTAAAAATGAATAAATATATATAGAATATATTATTATAATTGATATATATTGTAAATAATTTACTTATTAATAAAGAAAACAGTATTGAACTAATTAATATGCAGTCCTAATAAGATAATAAAAATGTAATGATAGACACGATTATTTTTTGTTGTGCTGGATAGAATAGCGATATGATAATTCAATGCATAGAAATAGGTGAATGTTACTATTCTTTAGATGAGTGCATTAAAAATATCGGAAAATTGCAAAATATAAAATTATAAATTTAACGAACATGAATTTGTCAATCAATTTCAATACCTTAAGATTTTAGACTTTTCAAGACTAGAGACTCATAATCAATCAAGTAGACTTTTCCATCTCTATCTTAATCAGCCATTTCCATCCACATTTCTATATCCTCTCTTGTTGGTTCAATCTTCATTCCCATGTTGTTGTAAGTTTCGACCAACAATGGGGTGACATGTTTTTCAGTTATATATCCGTTATTTTCCTAATCTAGCATTTTAAAAATTCTTCTTGCTACTTAAAGACGAGCTTCAGCTAGTTTACTGTATTTTTGAGGTTCTTTTTAGGTTGTGCAAGGTACAACGCAAGATTACGTAGCAGGTTATTTGTTAGATTATATAGAAGTTTAGGAACCTTAGGTTGATTTTTAAGACCCCCATCTTCTGTAAGGAGATTGATATTATAGTTTTGAAGGAGTATCCACCTTATCTTCTGCTTATATGGGGCTTAATTCAATAGTTTCTCCTTTTTATACTTTCTAATTTGCTGAGTCAGTACCTCCTCCAAAATATTTAAAGCATAAGCGTTCAACATCGTTTACCGATATTTTTCCAGTACCATCCCCTATTGTATTATATTCTATCATTTACGATCAAATATTTTAGCATATCCTTTGATATCATTTTAGGAAGGACTGAAATCAAGGTTTATGGCTTTATAGCAATCGGATTGCAAATTTCCGGCATCTTTTACTTCCATCAAATCGTTTTTATCCTAGTCATAGAGTTTCATGATTTTTTGAGCCAACTGTTTACATTGGTCTCTATTCATCAACCCTTAGAACAAATTAGTTTAAATTGTGATTGAAATATCTTTATTATTATTCATTAATATTAATAATTAATATTTTATTAACAAATATAAATATTAGTTCTAATTTATCATTATTTACTTATTTTTTGATAATTATTTAAACGATAACTCAAGCTTTATTAACTTTACATAATAGAAAGAGTATAATTTAATGAAATTATTTTATTTTGATTAATATTAAAGTCAACTGAATAACAGTTAGCTTAATAAATATCAGTTTAATTTAAAATGTTCACTTTCTTCCCAAACCTAAGACTCCTAATAGTCATAAAATCGATTTTAGATGGCTTCCATTTAAATTATATTTTATGACTTAATTATCTGTCAAAATTAATAATAATTATTAACTTTATAAACTAATAAATTATCACATCTACACATGGTCACAAAGAGTAGATAAATTTTAAAATAATTATCAAATACTTTGATAAAATTATGTATTTGCATCAGGCATCCCATTCATTAAAGTATTTTATAATTATAAATTCATCCTGATAAAATCATTAGATAATACAATATAATTTCATCCCTATTCAATTAATTTTAGTAAAAGTCTAATTATAAATTAATTTTCTTATATGTAGCCTAGTTTGATATGTACTTATTTACATTTTGTATCACTTAGATGAACTGATATTTCTTGATGTAAGATAAAATTATTTTTAGAAATCCATGCATGTTACTTATAAGGTGACCAGATCTAATTGTTCTTAAACAATTCATATATAATATTTTTATTTTACAAATTATTTAAAGTAGTTCATATTAGTGTTATAAATCTGATTCGATTGAATTAGAATATATTTAACTTATTTCTGAAAATAATCTAAAATAATCTAAAATAATCTAAAATGATGCTCAAATACCTGAAAAATTAGAGGAAATACTTAGAAATTTAGAGGAAATCAATTGTATAATCAATGTAGTCCTATTGATATAATTTAAATATGGTATATTTATGTTATTTGTGTGTAATAAATGTTCTTAATATTGACTCAGATTGATTTAATTAAAAATAATGTTTGTTGAAGATTATTATAGGAGACTCATTAAATAGTAATGTAAACTAACTCCAAAGGAAATTAAGACTGATAGACCATGGTACCCAAAAAGACTATAAAATGAAACCAAGAAGGAGGAATTTAGATTCTTTATGTTACCTCCAAACAAAATGATCACCTTACTAAAAAAAAATAAATTGTCTGCTCCCAACGATAGGATAAAGGAATTCTTGCATAGCCATTCTTTGAAATAAATAGTTGATTTTGGTGAAACCCTGCAAAGCACATTAGACTTGAAAGTACAAAGACCTTCAATATAAATACCAATTCCTAAAAATACTCCAACGGGACGACAATTATTTCCAGTCAAAAGAAGGCCATTGTAATTACCGTCAACAAGGGTTATTACTGAGCCAAGCAAGAAATCATCGTCTCAATGCAGGAGTGTGCATAAGTTTATTAGATTAAAATAAAGCGACCATTCAAATGAAGAACTATATAACATAATTACAAAACTTAATCATTCCCCTCTGCATGTAGACACAACAAGCATTTGCAAGAAATAGATTCAGCCTTAAAAAGTAGTTTAACCTCAACCCTACATAAAACCTGAAATTCCAAAAAGCGTATTGCCATATCCTCCAAGAACAAAAAAACAATTGAGATAATTTCTGTTGAGAGCACTTAAGAAAATCAAGGCTTTAGGTCTTACCATTAAGTATGTTATGGAACATAAAATATTTTCAAAAAAACCTTATGAAAAGATGAATTCAAAGGAGTTCATTCATGCCGCCAAACAGAACAAAAAAGAAGATATCAAAAACTACCTTTAAATCAACCCTTATTTGGTATTTGAATATGATTTTTACAACATGACCGCTCTACATTGGGCTTGCAAAAAGGGTTATCTTGAAATCGTAGAGATTTTACTTAAGTATCATTCTGATATTGATGGAGTTGATATCCTATATCGAACTCCATTGATGCTGTCGATTTAAGAAAACCATCTAGATGTTGCACATCTGCTTTTGACCAATGGAGCATATCCTTGGAGTACAGCTATAACAGATTTAAAGAGTGTTCTGGAAGAAAATGAACGTGCTCAACTTCTCCTTACTCGAGTTCGAAGGGTAATTAATTACTGTTACTATTTTATAGTTGTAAATAATGGCCAAATGGACTCAATCAGGAGAATATTTGAATCTAATTTGACTATAAATATGAATTTAAAATTTATAATGAATAACTGGTTTATTAATTAATAAGTCACATGACATATTTTTGAATCATATGAGTTGATTGTGAATTATTATATATAAATATATTTAATAAAACTCAAACTTATCGAATGTATGCAGATTGTGAAGACTATCTGTCTTCTACATCAACCTAAGATGATTATGGAACTTTGAATGTAAAATTGAAGACAGAATTCTGTAAATTTTGGATTGAGGGGAAAATATGTCCATACGAAAATAAAGTAAGAAAATAATATGAGATTCTTAGTGTTACTTTGCACACGGTGATGAATAATTGTTGTCAAAAGATGTTCCCAAAAATTACAGAACTAAAGAATGCAAGAACTTCTAAGAAATTTGCTGTAAATATGGTCAGAGATGTTAATTTTCACATACATTGACCAAATATTAAATGCCTCAACTAAAGTATTGGACTTCAGTTGAGAACATAGAAGTGGGCTCAATTAAAAAAAAGTATCTATAAGTTTAGAATATTGTAGGCATCGCTTAAAGATATTTAAATCGATAACTAGTGGAGTCTATCATAAACAATAGAAACAATAATGATTTTATTCTTATTCCAACCATATTTAAATAACAAAATTACAATTATTCAATGAATATTCAATCATTTGTTTTTTAAGAAATTAGTCATAAACTCCCAAATGATGTATTAATGATCATATCCCTGTTTAAAACTCTCATAACAATCTTTGGCATAGACCTCCCTCAACGGGTTTTAAGAATTCCTAAAAATGTACAATAAAATTAAAGCATTGAATTCAGGATGAAATTGCACACTCAAAATATGATCATTTTTATATGCATAATTTTGACAGTGATCTGTGCTCATGATAACTTCTGTATCCTTGGGCAATTTTGCGACATAGTCTCCATGAATTTAATACACATTCAGATTTTCTATTACCTAATCTTTCCATTTAAATTAAGTAGATATAGCCTTCCTACCTACCTACATTCTATCTACATGGGGCATCTTTTAGGCTTCTCCACCCAAACAATGAGCCAAGACTTAATGCCCAAAACATATTCCTAATATTCTTATTTTAAGTTTATCAGCTTCTCTTAAAAATTCAAATAATGGTTATTTCCAATCTTCACTCAAATCATAGGCTGCACTGCTTGATCCTGTAATTACTATACCATCCAAACCTTGTAAGTTTGGAAACTTATGTTCCATTACCTTGAAATATAAGTACTAATCATACCAAATATACTTCCCAATTTTCGTCTTCTTCTTTATAAATCCCCAAATGCATTGCTTCCATTATGTTCACAAATTTGGTATAATAAAATGGTTCCGTTATCAATAGTGCATAACGTTTTTTATTTTCTTTAGGAATGTATTATTTAAGAATATCAGGAAGGGTATCTGATTTAAATCCAAATGTAGCATTATAATTTATTTAGATCACCTTTTCTTATGTGGTTGATTTTAATATTACTCCTTGATTTATTATACCCAAAATTTCTTTGAACTCCTTAGTAAGTAGAAGATCTGCATAAAGTTCTATGGTTAGATCTTAATGAATTTATTATTATGAGATTTAAAAGAGAAGGCGAGCAGCTGCAAAAAAGTCATTAGTATCAAAACTTGGTGAATACTTAATTGAATAGAGATCCAAAGCTTCCGATTAATATATAAATTAATCTTCTGATTTTATGATGAGGGTTACTACTTTTTGAAATTCCATATAATAATAATAATTATAAATAATACAATAATGTGAATAATTAAATTTCATTAATGCATTAATTTACTTGATTTTGATTTGCTAATTTTATCAGTTGCTGCCTAGTATATCTTACTTTTGTTCTATCTATGAGAAAAATTGTATTATTAGAGAAACCACTTTTTTCGATTTTCAATGATTTCTTGATGTACTTTGAAATCTTTCATTTGCTAATTCAAGTTAACAAATATTTTATTTTCCAAACTAAGTAACCTCCTCATCATTATGTGTTATTCTAATATGATATCAGCTTTATTTGGCTGTTTCCAAGGTTTCAATGCTTTCATAAAAAATAAATTTATTATTATATAATATAATCATTCTGGCAGTACATTTACATGAATAAGACTATTGTCTTGAACTCCAAAATCATTCAAAGTCATGTCCTTTCCTTCCATATTGACAATTTCAGCATCATCAGTTACCTAAAGTTTAGTTATGAAATTATACCTATATCGATAAAGCTATCTACTTTATTGGTATGTTCACTAATTTTGAGATCATCAGTTTCACAGGTTGTAAGCCTGTGCCTCCCATCAATTTTTTTGAAGTAGGTTTATCCTATAATTTTCCAACATGATCAATAATTTTGATTGTACAATATTAAGGTTATTAGAGTTGTTATTTGGTTTAAGTATACCCTCCTTTAACAGTGGGATCAATTTCGTAAGGATTTCCAAATTTCTTTATTAGTTCTATAGCTTTTGGATGATTTATCTGAGCATAATTGATAAAATCATCATAATCATAATAATAATGTTTGACATTCTTCAATAAGAAGTATTCTTCAAAGGAAGATTTCAAGTAGAATATCTCAGAATCCTTCCTTTCGAATTTAGTGATTTCGCTGCCATTAATGATTTAAACACTAGTTACTTCTGCAATTGCTCTTTGTCTCAGATACAACTTTCCAAATTTATCAACTAATGGATTGTGTTTTATTGAAAGAGAATTTAATTATAGTTTTCCAATTTTATTCAAAAATTATGGCATAGCAAAGTGATTGTGATCTAAAGCTAAATGTTTAAGTGCTTTAAATTCAGTAACCAAAGGTAAGTCTATTAAATTATTTTTATTTAAAATAAGTCTCTCTAAATTTGGTAGATTTCCAAATGACTTTTAAACATAATCAAAATCTTATAATCCAGTTTGTTCCAAATTTAATATCTTTAAGTCTTATAAATCTGTATTCCTAAATTACAAATTCTCATAATCAACTAAAGTATTTTTACACAACAATAACTATTAAACCTTTGGAAACGCAGGGATAATCAAGGAAATATCCTTCCAATTCAATTACATATCAATCAAAACCAAAATTTCTATATGTTTACCACAGCCATCTACAGGAATTTCTAAGTGTTTTCCTTACTCGTAATCATAAATCAAATAATCTGGAGTTTAAGTGAATATTTAATTTAGAATTTATTGTTATCCAAAAGTTTCAAGTTTTGATAATTTATTACTTGAAATAGACAACTCTCTTAAGGTTGGCAATTGAGCTACTAAAACAAATATTTGATGCCAAGAATGGAACAAGTTATCCTCTAAACCCAAAATTTTGATATTACTAAATATACTTCCAACAAAACCAAATGGTCCAATTGTTGAAACATTTTAAGACTCTAAAGATAGCTCTGACAAAGTCTCTAAATTATTTAGTTTCTTATAAACTTCATCGAATCCATAAAATTCAACCATTTTCTTTTTCATTTTCATTGTTTCAAAAAAAGCAGTGTCATCAAATTCAATTTTCACTTATTTTTAATTGATAAGGGTGATCATTTAGCTTTTCTAGTCTTTATTGTTTCCTTAATCTTAATGCTCTTAAAGGAATTCATCTTTAACTTATTCTTAAACTTGCATTTCCTGCAATAGAATGGGAGGGATTTCCTTGAAATATTTCAGAAACAATGCTTCCCATAATCTATTGCCGAATTTCACCTTCTCTTTCTTTAATAAACTGCCAGAATTGGCTCCATCAGTGGTTTTGAAATAAGTATACCCCTAAACAGTGCCATTATGTTTCCCTCTATCAATTTAATCCCATTCTACACCCAACCATATTTCATCGCCCTTATTTTCATGCATTAATGGTCCTTCATATTTAACTGTTGCTTTTTCACCTTGATACACTATTCTCTTGTTCATCCTTAAAATATTAATAATTATCTGGTTGTCCTCACTATAAACTAATGCATTTTAATAAAAGAAAATAATTTTAACTGTTTAATTCTTATTTATAAATAAACTAATATTTAGCTATTCTCATTCATTAGTTTAAATAATACCTAAAATTTGATAGAAATGTATAAATATCATCTTAAATTAAAAATATTAGTTTTACTTTAGAGAGGTCAAGGTCATCCAAAAATATTTATATTTCATAAAATTTATAAATTTATAAATTTAAATAGAAATACTTATCAGTTTAAATTCCATCTTCCTCAATTTTTTTAAATAAGATGATAGAACATAGAAAAATATCTTGAAGATTAAACAACATTAGTTTACTGATTTCTTATTCCAGTACTTCCGATTATTGAAGAAAAAGAGAATAAGAAATATTGAGTAATCCAAATCGAAAATACTTTCAAATTACCTAATCTTCTTTAATGATATCATAATGAAACTATATATCTATATAATTATTTTGATATAGTATAATGTAGATTAAATAGGTATAATATTTAATTTGTCAATATATCATAAAATCAAGGTATATGTAATGATGGACAATGTCAGATATATTGCATAGATCGATGAAATGTCTATCTGAATAGATAGATTGGGTGTCTTGTAAATTCCGGCAAAACAGAAATTGGTTGCATAATCAAAATAGCATTCTCCAGTTCTGGAATCACAATCATCTGAGTTGATGACTTTATTGCAATGGATCATGCATGCATTATTGAGATTGCTCCAAGAACATCGTTATAAGGAATTGCACGAGGCTGCATTTAACAGTTCACTACATTAAACAGAATGGCATTTATTGTTTTTCCATAAGCATATTCCTGTAGCTTCCATGCAAGTGCAAACATCAAGGATCTAATCGCAAGGGATGCATTTTTAATCTACCAATAAACATGTGTATCCATTATATTCATTTCCATTGCATAAGTCAGAAATACCGTATAATTCACATACTTACGAGGTACACATGACATCCTCTAAATAGAGATTATATTTCTGCAACAAACATGATGCTTAAGTCCGAACAGTAGCACCATTGCACATATCTGATTCCAGGCTTTGACAACTATTGTTTTCAATGCACTAACCATCCGATAGTTGGAGACAATGATTACCTAATTTTGAGCAATCTTCAAGCTAAAAGCAAGTCAAAGCTTGACAGACATTTTATTGATTATATTTACAACTATTATTAGAACAGTCAGAATTGGGACAGTAATCCTAAAAGTTATTTTAGCTGAAACATCTCTTATTGGAACCTAAACAAGGGAATCCATCAAAGAAAATATCTTCACAATAGGAATTATCAATATGGATGATATCTTCACATTTCCCTGCAGATTAACAATTATTTCTATTGTTGAGGTAACATTGTTTGCCTTCCAATGATCCTACACATTATTTTGGTGCTAGATCTTCACAATATTTACGTCTGCATATTTGAAGGAGTGTATCATAGAAACATGAGGAATTTGCTGAGCAATCAGTACTTGAAAGATTGTGACAAATTTATGGTGATAAAATGTATTAACATTAGCATTAAGTGTAGTCATAATTGAAAGCACAGGATGGGTTTAGAAGACAAGCATTCTTAGATAATCCTGGGGAGGAGCATTTCAAAGCTTAAATAACAGCCTTGCAGGATTAATTTAAGGAATCGTAGACACAGGATTAATTTAGAGATGCACATGCCATTTGATTAACAAGTTTGGCTTGACTACATGAATATGTGTTTGGGATTATTTAGCATTGATTTGACTTAAAAATACAAGGTTATCTGAGGATTGAAGTGCAGAGTTCTTGGCTGATTCCTGGAGTGTCACACTATATTGAATTTATATTATAGGTGGACACACATTAGGATGTAGATGGATCATAAATGCAAGGACCTAATGCTAATGTACAAGCTGAAGGGGAACTTTTATAAACAGAATCACATTAAAATTTGGTTGCTTATTTGCATCCATCATTCCAATATACTGGAATAGATAAGGAGATGCAGGCTTTAAGTGACACTCCATCTAAATTAGAAGGTAATTGATTCTAATTTACACTTACACATGTAAATGTCAGTTCATTATATCGGCAATCATAGTTTTTCAGCAATTAACACGTCTTTTGATTGACGTTCACATAGGAGGAGCAATTATTGGATAGTTAGGTAGTTTTTTCACATTTATTATATGCGGTATTAAATGTACAAGGTTAAGCACTGATATTCAAACAAGTAGACTTAGAAATAAATGGAGTTTCACAAACTTGGATGTTTCGATCTATGACTTCATTTGGCATGAATAAAAAGCTAGTTTCTATACATTGTCTTTATCTCCATTGTTATTTGAATTTGATACATGCTTTCAAATTGAGTTCAGAATATGTTATATTGATTTCATTATTGCTTAAGGATTCACAAAATCCAGTCCATTTACATGCAAATTTGGTAGATAAAAGACAAGATTCTCTGGTGGTGTAAAAATCACACTATTCAGTTTCAATATCTTGATTAATTTCAGTACTTGCTAAGGTTTAAGAGGGAATATTAGTAAAATAGTAATCAGTAATTTTGGGTGAGCAGGAATCATCTTTGAACTCGCAGAACTTTGGAGCATATTTATCACAAACCTTTTTATTATATTTGATGGAATCATCGCAAGTAATTGTGTTCAGATATGTAACAAAGGAAGAGCATCCAGTAACATCATCCCATTTACAATATAGACTACTTTTCATGCAACCAATCTTATTGTAAATTTAAATACAAGCAGATAACTTAATGCTTGTACATATATCCAACATATGTGGAATTTCATCAAGAGGAGTTGTCAATGACTACTATGCATGCAAACATTCAGTTTTTATAATGCATTGTGAATTTTACCATTGACAGGTTGATGTCGGACAAGTAGCTAAAGTCTTATATAATGGACAGACCTACCAGTAATCGAACTCTCCAATAAGAGAACATTCATTATTTGAAAACTAACAAACTTGATTTTAAACTTTCCTGCATGCCACTTTATTGAATCCCTTCTTACAAACCAAAGGGAGAATGTTCAACTCTTGACATGTATTGATATAGTAGCATTCCTTATTGGGTACATTCATACATTAAAGATAAGTTGTTGCATCTGAACATTCAACCAATGTGATATTTGAACATGTGTTAGTGCTGACATTCCATTGACACATTTCATCATTCATAGCTAAACATGTTTTCTTATTCACTTAAGCTGTGCAACTCTAATTATCCAATTATGCATTTTGACATTGATTATTCAACCAAATACAATATCCTGTTGTCTATTCTATACAGGCTTTCTTATTCAAACCTAATCCTGAACAAATCTCCACTGTGTAATTGAATTCAACGCAACCTTATTGTCCTACTTTTGCCATACATGCCTTCGTACTTTCTCCCTTGCTGCACAAACTAAGAGAGTTGTAAGGAGCTGATGCTTTAACATACGGTGTTGGTGGAAAGTCATCGCTTGTTATTGGTGTTGTAGGAGAAATTGATGCACAAGTGGAACTCTCAGTAGAAGCAAGACAAAAGTTTGTGTCATCCCATTTGCATATTAAGTCATTCTTTTCAACTTTCATACAAGCGTATTTATTTAATTTTGTGCAATCATTTACATTTGTAAAATCATTGATTTACTAACATCTTTGGTTTATCCATGCACACATCAAAGTCAAATAAATACTTGTACTCTTGATACAAGCATTAAAATTCAAATTTTCACATCCACTCATTTCTGTGGCAATTAATAATTTACATTCATATTCATACATGTCATATCTATAAACGTTCCCTACTAATTGAGTACATCCAAATTGATTCAATTTTGAATTGAATGTTAATGCAGCAGTCGAGCAACTTGAACTATCTGTGCTTGGACTGGCTACAATACATGGTGTTTATGCTCTTAATGCACATCCAATATTTGTAGTGAAATCAGAACATTAATTCACTTCAGTTACCAATTTACAAAACATTTATTCTTCTGAATAAAAACATTTAGAACCATCATTAGAACTCACTTTTTAACAACCAAAGTAATTTATTTTTTTATTTTAGATATCACTGCATATTTAGGTATTGATTATCTGGCATGTGGTTCCATCCCAATAACATTAAAGACTTTAATCTATATCTTAGACGCAGAGAGTCTCTGACAATTTTGTGCAATCTAAGGTTTAGGTCTTGTCGAAGCAATAATACCCAAATTTGAAATCACAATTTTCAAATCTTTAACACAATATTTTACTATATTATTGTAAATGAGGACAAGATGAAGGTGTAGTGGAGGGAGCAGAACAAAGGCTGCTCGAATATTAACATTGAACTTACCATTAATTCAAACAATCAAATTGATTTTTATAAGTTGAACAATTAACAGCATAGGTTACTAAATTATTTTAAACATCCATCAACATTGCTAGGTCAATACATTTGAAAGTTGATGAGTCGTATCTGCAATTTGGATATTGTCTACAGAATTTCTTATTAGTGTAGCTATACTTGTCACATTTGGTTATTAAATTTTGAGTGTAACACTATTTATTTGAATACACGCAATTGTAATACAAATTCTGAACACAATCCTCCAGAGTGGTTTCGAATTCACATCTATTTGTTGATATACTCTAACAACGACTATTCCTGAATTAGCATATCATATCAGAATGCAAACACACATATTAACTAACACCTGGAGAATCGCATTTAGTGATTGGAGTCTCTGCATTTAATAGCAAAATGCAAGACTAATATCTACCATAACATTTCTATATTCCACTACAGAGTGTCCATGATTACATGTCATATTTGAACTAATCACACGATTAATTGGATTGTTGTAGATCACACACTTGGGTAACATATTCATCCGACGTGATACTTCCCATATCGAAATTCAATGTGTATCCAGATAACAAGGAGCAATAAGATCTGGAATTAAGGCAGCCTAATTTATTGAGAGTGGAACAAGTAGACGAATATTCAGGGGCCTGAACACAAACATTATTGATATAAGCACATTTGCCATAAGTGGTAGTCACGCAAATTGAGGGACTGATTCCAAGTTATTCACAAGAGTAGTAGTTTTTTGGGCTGTCATCATCAACTACGCATTTAGTGTATAGTTCAGCTGGGGCAGTTGAAGGCTTACATCTTTCAATCACGCTATAACGCATGAGTGCTGAGCATGATTGAGGATTATAGGATTTGGATTTAAAATATGGTTTTTCCACATAAGAAAGAGTATCGAGACAGCTTATATTAAAGATTTTAACTTCGGCACATCTTTAATCAGTATAGCCAGCCCATGTTTGCTTAACCCATTAGCATATTCGTCCTCGAACAAATCTACATAGGGATTTATTGGCCTACTCGCAATTAATAGTGTCTAATTTATCATCCCAATATTTGTGATTCAAATTTATCTCATTGCATTTGTAATCCTAGAAAAGACAAAACCTTCCAGTTGTAAAAGCACTGCATCTTTGTCTATTGAGATTCAAACTAGTTCCGCAATCATTAACAATATCTGTTACATTAGATTTACATTCATTCGTGGTATCATTGTATTCGCAATAAAACTGATCATCCAAATAAGCAGACCTCTCTGCTGAAATCCCAATACACGCCAATTTATTCAAAACAAAAGTGGATGTACTCAAACAATTAACGCTTTTATTAATTGAAATGCACTGATCTGATTGCCAAATGCATTCCTACCCTGGAGTTGTAATTGCTTGACAAGCCTTCTGAGTCAGATAATATCCTGTACATGTGAGTTATTAAGTTGTAAAGCTTTGACATTTGTTATTAAAAAAGTAGCATTTATCTGTGCTATATTGGCAGGCATAACGATTATAAGTGTCTGAGCAATTGGTTGGCTATACATCAACTAAAAAACAGTTTCCATTTGAATATTAACATAACTGAGTTTCCAAAGAAGTACAAACCAACTTACTGACATTTCTATATGAAGTACATAATTCTCTAAATTAAGTAACTTAATTGCATTTTCCTCCTATCCATTAACATGGATAATCATCTAATGCTAAACATTTAGCCTTTGCTAAACCTGGGGTATTACAATTTTAATTAGTCTACTAAGCCTTACAACTCTCGCTTGCTTAATCATATAAGCAATCTGAAAATAAACTGCATGCATCAGCTGAAACACTCACCATTTACTCACAGCTTGATTTGACTTGATACTATGAACATCGTTAATATAATGTGTCCCAATGACAATTTGTTGTAGTTAAACACATTTGCTTAGTAAATTCACTAGGATCTTCTGTGGCACAACTACCACTTGTTGTGTAAATTGGACATTTAAAATTCTGATATCGATGCTTTCCGTTGTAATTCATGCAAAGATTTCGATTTACAATATATTTAGAAGGGAAAGCTGTAAACACCTTCAGGGCAGGAACACTCATAACATTTAAGCATTTTTCGTCCTCGTCAATCCATATACACTCTTAACCCATTGTCCTAATACTTCCACATAAAAACTTAGACATGGCATCATTGCATTCTATTATATTTAACTCGTAATCATAGATTAATTTGCACTAGTTTAAATCCACATCCCATTAGCAAGGCTAAGCCATATAGATGCAATAATGACGATTCACTCCTGGCTGGTTGCATCCAAACTTAGGAATGCAACCATAAAAATCAGGCTGTTCATCTATCCACTTACAAAGATTGGCATCACAATTGTCCTACTCTTTACTTACACAGCTTGAACTACAAACGGAGGGAACTTAGGATATATCCAAATAACTTCCTTAATTTGCATCAGTCACTGTAGCACAATCCCTATAAGTCTTATATTACTATGTTTGAGATAAGCAACCCTAAGCCTCTTGTAGTTTCAGCTCTGAAAATGTGCATGTTACTTCTTGTTCGTTATTTCCATCCAACATAATCGGATAGCACTCTGCTTCTACATATTGACATTAGTTCAAATTCAGTTGATCACAATATATCTTATTGGCTAACAAGAAATTTTTGTCTTTCAAATCTAATTCGCTGTTTAAATACAAGCATTTATAATTAGTAAAAATCCCTCCTTGATATCTACAATAAATATGATTGATTCCGATTGTCTCGATCTTTGTTGAAAATATCTACAAATAATCACTATCATCTGCAATCTACAACGCAATGCATCCCTCCCTCGTTCTATCGCTTATTTTTACTAAAAAATTTAAAGGAACTTATTACAATTGTTTAGAGCATATGACTATGCATCATTAAAATGATACCACTAAAAATAGGTGGCTTAGTTGCCATCGTTACATTTATTATACAGTTTATTGTTGGCCAATAAACCCCCATCATATTCTTTGTTTGAGCTCTGTTTCTCCAAACCTAAATCCTATCTGTAAATGTCTTAAGCTTCAGATGCAAAATCTGGAGTGTAAGAAATAAGTGGCCAAATCAAAGAACTGTGAATTATTAAGTAATCTAAATATGTGAGTTTTTTTTACTTTTAATCCTTCCACACACAGATGCACTATAAAGAACATCCTCAAAATCTTCCTAATATGTTTACTCTTTTATTTCATTACAGGTATAAGACTTTGAATCCCAATAACAAAGTTAATTGATATTCTAAATGCTCAAACAAGAGTGTTTAGTAATTGTATCAGTGCATGCCAATTAAGTTAAATCATACACCTGTTAACACACTTTCATAAAAATACCTGTAGGTTTTATAAAAACAATTACATTTAGCTATTTAGCCTGATGGATAAGCTAATTATTTTATACAGGCCATTTTATTCAGTAAGTTAGAACAGCCAAGTTCTAAATTTTTTGTGTATTGGCAATACCCAGAATCCCATACACCTATTAATTCCTTTATTTATATATACACTGACTATCTGAGCTCTAAACGCAATCCAATTAAGTTCTAAATTCAAGACATTTATCTATAGAATAAACTGATGAAAAGGATAACCATAGAAGAATAAATATCATGGAGCAAAATAGATAATAAATTAATATTAATCATAAGTATGCATGCATCTTTTAAATATCAACATATAAATAACTCTCAATAAAACGGAATTACAATAAAATCATAATCAAATATTGATCATATAATTCTCATAATAAACAAGCTAAACACATCATTTTGATTATCTCTCTCAAATACATAATATAAAGTATTTTAAACCTTATGAAAAATTAATAAAAATCCTATGCTTTAACAAAGCATATCGCTCCTTCTACTTTTTCACATAAAACATAACATGAATATTTTTTGCTCCATTCAAACTTCCATGAATCATAAACTTTACAAAATATAATATGAGGTAGTATCCTTATTAAATAAAGATTTTATATAATACTTCATCAAAACATTTCAATAGGTCTAAGGATACTGCTCAAAAATCACTAGAAAGTAGTTTTTGCACACTGAAATACTTCATTTAGTTTCCGATTTATTAGTCCTTCATCCTCAACGTTAACATATCTATTAATATTTAATATTATTTTAAATAAACAATCTCAAAAAATTCGAAATTAGTCAAAGACTTTGTTAATATGTATTACAAAATGAAGAATCAATTTCATATAAAAATAGATAGTATTTCATTATAAATGCTTTCTTATTGTGTTGTCAATCGATTTAGGTTTTTATTCAAACAAGTGTTTTTTTTATGACATACTTTGCGACTAATTAAATTATTTCCTCTCCGGAGTTGGAGTGGAATTATAATTTTAATTATTCTAAATTTCATCAATAGCTGACTTTAGTCTCTAGATCTCCTTTTAATAATTCATGTTTTCTCTCTCCATATCCTCCATTCTCTTAGTATTTTTAGTCTTAATAAATCCTGCCTTTGGTTGTTCATAGAGTCCTTGATCAGGCTAAAATAATATATATATAGAATAATTACCTATCTCCTTAACAAAATGACTTCTTATTCATATTACTAACATACAGTTTTCAACCTTTCGGTTGCCTGATGATTTTCTTCTATTTATGAAATCATTTATTAATGATGATCTCTAAGTGAAACATTTTCTTTCTAAAGTTATATAACTATTTCATGTAAATCAGCATTTTCTCCTCTAACCCTTTCTAATTCTCCATTTAATTATGAATTTGTCTACTTGAATATCTCATATTCTTATAAATCAGCTGCTGTATCAGTTTTGTGTTACTCCAACTTTTCTTCCAGCTTTAACATCATTTGATTCATTTTTTCTTTTTCCAAATCATTAGCTTCTTTTTACTTGGCTTCCTGTAATTTTAATTTCTAAATTTCTTTTTATAGCTCATCCTGTATATACTATTACTTCTAAAGATTAGCTTAGAGATCCTTGATAGTGAATTCGAACTCTTATTGTTATTGCTCGTGCTATTACTTATTCAATTATTGATCATTCAATAAATTCTTATTTTGTTGAGAAACTTTCTCTAATTACTCACTCAATTGTTTAATGAGATCATTCTATTATTCTAACCTTCTTTGTTATAAGGCGGCCTCTTATTTTCGAGATTATATTTCAACAAAGGCTGACCTACTTGATTTATCCAAATCTTCATATTCCTAATCTCTCTGTATAATTTATTACTACAATTAAGATTGCAAATGATCAAGCTTCTTTCCTGAATTCATCTTCTCTGATTCAAGCTATTCAACATATTTTTAAGTATCTGCTGACAATCTCTCATTCTCCTTTCTCAATATCTAAAGTTATCTTTAAAAATTGTTGAATTCATTTTAACATTTTTCAGCTACTCCCTCCTTCTCTGATAATTCTGCTTACAATTTCTTAATCTGCTCAATATTCTATTAATTTAATTATTTCAAATGCTCTATCTTCTTTTTCTGTCTTTCAATTTCACTCTCCTTTTATTAAAGAGTATCAGACAACTGATTACGATCAGTTTATAATTGCTCATTGTTATGCAAAATAGAATCATTCTCTAATATTAATTAATCCATTTGTCTTTGTTATTTATTTGATGATTCCAATTATGCTTTATCCACTTAAATTCTAGAAATATCAAATCTAAGTGATTAACATTGATCCTATTGAGTTTACAATTCCTATCTTAATTGATTTAACTCACTCTCCTATTATTAATAATGCACTGATAGTTCTTGATGATCCTGACTTAACTATTAATTCTACTACCCTAACTATTTTATATGCTTTTTCTGTTCATTAATTGTTTACTTTGCTGTCTACAACTATTAGGTAACTTCCTTATATTGATGTCCCAAATCCTATTGAGTGTTATTCAACTCCTGTTCCAACTCTGATTTTTCTAGTAACACCCTATCCAACTCTGATTATTACTGCAGACTCTATTTCTTTAATTTGTCATACTCCAATTAAGCCTTTTATTAATAGCTATTCATTTTGCTATTAAATTAAGATGCAGAATTCTCCTTAAACTCCCCATATTCCTTTTATAGAATTGCATAATTAGTCTCCAATTGTTCCCTTAATTCAACTTGTGCTGAGTGTTCTGACTCAATTTGACTTATTTAAATTTTAGCCTAATTAAGACTTTTTTGAGTTTCTTCCAACTAGGCTTTCATCAAATCTTTTTATTTGCGTATTTTATCTATTTCAGAGTTGAAATTAGCTTCCTTTTGTTTTAATTGATTCAATTAAATTTCAAATTCCACCTTGGAAGTTTTTTCCAAAAGAGCAGATTGATTCAACTCAATGAGTTCTTACTACTTCAACTCTAGTTATTCTTCATACTCCTTGATTAAATCATCTTTCTCCTATTCAAATTTATGAGAGATATTTTAGCTTTCTTATTCAAGTCTTTCTATAATTTAATTCGATTCTTCTAATTACTTTTCTAAAATGTTTTATTTTCGCAAATGCTCTTGTAACTTTTAATCTTGTAATTTATTCTAAGAATCAGTGTTGCGTTATAACTTTTGAAGCTGCAACTGCAAATCCTTATTACCAGATATCTATTTCTGTAATTCTTAGTTTTAATTATATAAATCTTATTTATATTTAGCAATCTATTCCTATTATTTTCTCTAATCTTATTGCAAATTATCTACCATTAGCTTGTGTTCCTAGAGTTATTAATTCAATAGATTAATCTGTGATCTCAATTCATCCTCTAAATGTCTTGCCTAAAGTAATTCATCATTCAATTAGTAAATTTACACCTAATATTATTCAACAGTACTAGACTGCTTCCTATGAGTATTGCGTTATTATTCTGAGGTTGGAATTTGTTATTTATAAGATGGTTATCTTGAATGATCTTATCGTTAACCTCCTCTTAATTCAATTACAGCCTCCTCTTGATTAGGAGAGATTGATTTTCTTTAAATATCACCTTGTTTATATGATTATTATCTTTAGTTTTATCTAATTGAATTAAGTTAATCTTATTATTATTATTCAAATGTTGGAGATATGGATTTTCTTTGGACCTGTTCAGGTTGTTTATAAGATTATTATCTTTAGCTATCTTTTCTAATAGCTCTTTGATCTTAGGCATTTCCTTCTACTTCATATGGTATGACATTTTGTCTTTGACAGTCTTATTATGTATAGGATTATCGCTTGGAATGTTAGACCGATTACAAAGGTTAATCATAAGCATAATCATTTTTTATAGGCGAAATTTATTTCTGATCATTACCCTAAAATGCTGAGGAGAGCTTTCTATGGTGTTCTTAAGCTGGAGGATTCCTGGATTACTAATTGGTGTATTCAGGAACTTCATATTATATTTAATTTTATGATGGGGGCTTCTTTATGCTCTTTTAACTACCTCTTATAATTTAACCTGACTATTATGGTTGTTAACCAAATAGCTCTATTTATTGATTGGGATTAGAAATGTATTATTGTTGATAATCTATATTTTAGAAGGATTGATTTTAAGATGATTGTGACTCTATGACTTCTTTGAGCTAATGTATTTGATTTTGCAAATATTGTTTTTCACTTGCATATTATTATTCGAGTAGTTATTTCTCGTACATAATTTATTCAGCCTTTCTATCACTCGCTCTTGACATACTCCGACTCTGACTTTTTATTCTCATATCCGTTAATGCTTCCTCCTTCAAATCTAGGACTTTCTTCAACCTAAGACTATAGATAATAAGATTACTTTGTGATTTCCTTTTTAGCAGTAAGTAATTCCCCTTTATATTTTGAGGCATGTTCAGTCTTCTCAAGAACCAACTGCAACAATTTTTCATTTTCCTCGAGTAGCTTTTCCACCTTCCCCTTAGTTGGAGATTGGCTTTCTAGATTTTACACTCTGGATTCCAATTATTTCAATTTCTATTCACTTTGTTATTTTAATGGTGAATCCGTGTGAAATACTTGTGAATGATGTATGTTAACGACTAAGAAAATGGGTAGGATTTCTTACCTCTATCAACCATCACTGGTGTTGCCATTACTGGCAAGGGAACTGGAGGCAATGATCTTGAGATTTATAATGGCGCAACTGTAACTCTCATTTAACAGAAATGTTATAATAATAATCACTCATACTCCAAACTTAAATCAAATATATGTTCCTAATTGATTACACTCTTTACTCCAAAATACAATGCAAAACCAAAGTAAGAATAAGCTAAGCCTCTAAAATATATAATAATTGACTACTTCTTGAGTTTTGGAAAAGTTATTAGCCTGTCTTCGAAATAGTAATCCATAAATTGAGATTGTAATTTCAGAAGGAAATATCTCAATCCAATGGTACTAACAATTGCCAATAACACATTTGTATTTAAATCCATTAATCTGCATAGAATAATTCGATGATCAATAGGATTTTGAATCTTATCTTTATTGAAAACACTCCACATCATAAATTTTAAGGCTTTCCATTAGCGATATTACTATTACTATCTCACAGTCATTAATTCAAATTCCTAAGGAATATGAGGGCCGATCTTTTTATATTTTCCAACTTAATATTGATATTTGTAAATTGTGAAAGTCTCAGGATTTGTCACATAAAGAAATGGTTTTTAAATCATTCTAATTATTATTATAATCAAATTCTAGTTTTTGGATAGGCACTTTAGATTCTCTTTTTGCCTGTAACATTCAAAGTTTGTTATTATTCTCTAAATGATTGATCCAGTGACATTTTCAATTGACTCAACTAATAAATTCATAGATCAAACATTCTTACATCCTCTTAATGTCGGACTTCTTCTATCACCTTCAAATGATCATTCAATCTGCTTGTTGATTAGATCTTACTAATCATAGCAGTCTATGGTCGTTTAGCCTATACATGCTGCTATTGCTCATTAAATAAGATTTCTCCTGGGTTTATGAAAGGTCTGAATTCTATATTTTGAGTGGCAGCTGCACTGTGGATTCTTTTTAAACCTTTTGGTAGAAACCCAGGAGGAACCCTGCTGCCTTTCAAACCCACCGCTGGGGTTAGGTACTATGGATACCCAACATTTATTTGAACTTCTTCATTTTAGTTCTCATTGCTATCTACCAATTTTTCAAACAGTTAATTTCTGAAATCTGCATATTACTAAAGCAAATGTTCTGAGATTCCTTTTTCAGAATAATTTTTAGTCGAAGAAACTGGTCTCATAGTTGAAAATGCAGAAGTCGGTCTATGTTTACAAAGGGAAGTTGAGACAGCCATGTTGTATGATCTCCCTTCTACTGACAATAAGTTCTCTGGTTCATCCATCACTACCTATCTTACAGACTATGATTTCTTGGGTTTTGGGTGGAAGGTGTTCCCCTTCTTGGTCCTTAGTAGTGCAGCTTCGTCTATATCTAGGTTCTGTGACATGATAAATCGGACAGCGCCTTCATTTGCCAACATACATATATCATTCTCATTCACACACTATTTGGCCTTATCTGCAATCTAATAATACAATTCTATAATACAGCCAAACACATGTCGAGCTCCTCTTTTTATTTTTTCACTTTCAAAAGAGCAGAATGCAACGCAGTTGTATTAATTTTTTATTTCGGTTTGATACGAAATCTCTCTTCCTTTGGTTCTTTCTTTCCCGATACTAATTTTTGAAAGATCTCTTGTGAATTCATATTAAGAATCGATTTTGTTTGTTTACTTTTTTTCTAGTAACCCTTTAAAAATATGATATTACTTTGTCAGGACGATCATATCGAAACCTCTTTTTGTATTGTCCCTCATCCATCTTTTCATCAATATAGTTCATCATTTCGTCTGGGAAATCATGACGAACTACAATTGGGCATCTTGAAATTGCCAAAGTACTCATTTATTTTTAATTAAAATTATTTTACTTAACTTTATTTTATCAATTCATTTATCAAATCACTTCAAATATATTCTTCCTTATACTAACCACATATGTCCTTAAACATAATACCAAATAATCTAATTAGGGATAAACATTATGAAATATATTATTTATTAAATTTTCGTTTAAAAATTATGCACTTTTTATTTCCAAATCAATTTCTGAACTTAAAAAATCTTTATATTTTAGTATTCTCATTATTTTTTCATTTATTAAATTTAATTGAAATATAAAAGATGTGAATTATTATCAGATTGTCATGCACTTATTAACATATTACTAATTATCTGAATATGATTAAACTAGTTCATATTTATAATAAGAATCATAATTTATATAGGTTTTTCAATTCTTCCTTATTTCTAAAATTTAGAGCCCGCAATTATCTAATGATTATTCCAATAATATGAATTGAACCTTTTCAATAAATCTATTTGAATTGGAATTTTCTTCCATTTTATCTAGCTGATACTTAGAATACAGGTCAGATTTTGTATTATAAAAGATAATTTTAGCAATTTAGAATGAGTTTGTAATCTCACTACCATTAATTTAAAGGGGTAATTAAAATATTCAATAATATCTTCTATTTTGATCTTGAGTTTGGATAATATTTATTGAAATTGAAAGACTATATCATTTAAATTTATTAAGTGATAATATAATTATTTATTTTATATAAAGGGAGAGGTCAAGCGATCGAAGAGACAGTAAAAATAACTCAAAGCATCTAACCTTGGATTAAAATATAATTTAATTAATTATTATTTGATAAAGATAATAGATGGGCAGGTATGTGATTTTATAAATATAAATAAAATATTATTATATATTATAATGTTCTGTTGCGGTTCAAAAAAGAAGAAATCGAAGTAGTTTTTTGGAATTTTAGGAAGAGTGCCAAGCCAGAAGAGCCATCCACCAATTCCGACACGCATTCTCTGAAAAAGGAAGAAGAATCCCAAAAAGTTTATGTTCCACCACCTGCCCCTGTAAAACAAATTGACTAAGTTTTTATAAAAATTAACTCAAATTAGGAAATGCTGAGACAAATGAAATAGATTAAAGACTTACGTGAGCAAGGTTAATTTGAGAGAAGGTATTTAAATCCTAAGTTCTTAGTGTTTAATATGAACAAAGTTACATTACCTAGTTGATAAATAAAGAGAATGTACAACAGTAATATGCACTCGAATTTACATGGGCAGTTAATTATACAAATCATTTAAAAGGAAAACCTGGAATTGGATAAATAAATAACTCAAAACTTGTAGGACCTAATTAGTAATTGAAAAGTGGATTGAAATAGGATGGAGACTATGTCGCCCTAAATGAACAAGCTTGGGTCTTCATACAGTAGATGTATGGAGGAGGTCCAGAATTAAAAATCATGCCTCCTCCGAAACCCGAATCTTAAGCATAACCTAATAACACTCAATCTAAACCACCAAGACAACCATAATCCAGTGTTAATAACACTCAATCTAAGCCACCAATACAATAATCATCTATGAGATAAACATAAACCAATTCAAGATTCATTCAATAAAACCCTATGGCCTAAACCATTTCAGTCATGGCGACTCCAAAATCTGTCGATAGACAAGTATCGCAGATTGTACAATCACAATCAAGAAACGACAGTGCTCAAAATTCTAGAAAAGTACATTAAGAATAAAAAATAACTTACACTTCTCAAGGCTAAATTCCAATAATTGGGTTGTCAAATCCGAGATATTATTGTTATTTGAACTCAGCTTTACAAGTTCTCTTGAGCATTGACTCCCTTACTGAAGGTATTTTAGCAATTCAACCAAAATATGGATAGAAATTCCTTACTGCGTATTAAGAATTATTAAGATCAGTATTATATTTATTGTTATAGCTTTAGATTAAAAAAACAGGCTCTTATTCTTCAATAGCAGCCAAGAGTGTTTGGGATGCATGTTCTGGAAAATTCCAATTTAATTAATAATAAGATAGTCATGAATTTCTTTTGTTTTTTTTGGGGAAGATTCAGGAAGAACTGGTTGGCAAATATAAGAATAAATAAGAATTCAACTCAGCCGAATAAGCTTGGAGTGATTATACATCCAAAAATCAAGATATTATTGATTTAATCTTTGCAGGGTAATCTACAAGTTAATCTTATTGTAAATCTTGTAATTAAGTTTGTGAGGGGTATGATCCGATCTGGGATTTGTCTTTGTCAATTAAGTAAGAGTATTAGAAGTATTCCTAGTAAATCATATACTGGAATTGATTTGATGGACTGTCTAAAATCTTACTATAGAGAAGAAGTTATTAATGACACTTGGAAATGTGACAAGTGCAAGAAATCAAATAAATCAGTTAAAAGGAGGATGTTTATTAGTTAGACTCCTCGATATCTAATCATTCAATTCAAAAGGTTTACTACTTTTCCAACCTCTCAAAAGATTAATGATTCTATTTCCTACCCTGAAAAGTTGGATATTTAAGAGTAGTGTTATTATTTTATTGTAGATTCTGCTCCAAAGGGTTGCAAACTCAATATAAACTAAAAGCTCTTATCACTCATATGGGTTAGATTAATGGTGGACATTATAAGGCCTATGCTGAAAGATATGATAATTGGTATTTATTTGATGATGAAAATGTATCAAAGATTAATGGGAAATAATTATCTGATAGATCAGCCTATGTATTGCTTTATGAGAAATATTGATATTTAATTCATTTGCTTTTTAATACGATTGGAGATCTATATAAATTTTTTATCTTGGTATCTAATTATTATTACTTAAATTTTCCAATTTATAAACCCCTATTTGCTATAATCACAAATTAATAATAAAAATTCTAAGGCATATAATAAACAATCCTCTAAATAAATAGAATAAACTATAAATAACTCATTTAAACGTTTTGTATGCCTTCAATCTTTTGTCATTGATATCAATAGCCTCTTTTAATAACTTAGTTAAAAAGTCATTTTTTGTCTTAGTAAGTGCCTCCTTAGATAATTATTGATAAGCTTCTAGATTTTCACCTACTGGATATAGATTGTTGAAGAATGCCTTAGCATATTCAGATTCCTTTGTCTCAAATATTTAAACGATGACTTCAAAAAATCTTACCTCATATTTTTCCAATTAATCTATAAATTTCTCATGATTAAATGCTCTCATTACTTAAGATACTTATTAAACACTCTCGTTCTTATCAAAATTCATGAAATATGACCAAAGCTAATCTCTATCCACACTCAAAGACTCTAAGAACCTTTTGTGTTTCTTATGGTCTGCATCCTTAAGAGCCACTTTATCATAGAGATTCCATTGAACTTTATTATATAAAAACTAATTATAAATATAAGTCCAACCATCCTTCACTCCAATCTCCTCAATATTAATAGATGACAATCTCTCAATTGTTCTAGACCAACTGATGTAATGAGATCTCAAGGTTAGCAATTTGCTCTATTCTTAAGTGCAATCAATCAATTACTTTACTGTAGATGCTAAGTTTTCTCTTACTGCTGCCCTATAACTATAGGGTGTATAATTATTAACACCTGCAGCACACCAATTCAATATAATTTTTATGACTGTATCATCGGTCTCATGCAAGAGAAAGTTAGAAACACCTTATTAGAAATCCAAAAAGCAAGTTTGTCCATCTCTAACCTAATCAAAGATAGATTGAAGAACCAATAATCGATTCAAACTATTTTAAATTGTTGATAAATTTTGTAAGATTTATTAGGTTTAATTCTTTATTATAACTTACTTTGATGTAATTTTCATCATTATAATTGAGAATGAGTAAGCTCCCTTCTTTTAAATTGTTAATTTTTACAGTTGTGTTTTTCTTTAGCATCAACTTGAATCTTGTGAGTGATCCATGAATTATTAACGAATTAACCAATAGTAATGGCATGTTTTCTTAAATGTGAACCACTTTATTTGATGACTATCTAGTTAGTTTCAGTGGTATAAGAAAGAACGTTAAATCCTGATGTCATAATCCATTCTTACTTAAATTCTTCCCAATTCACATTTTTATTAATACTCATAGATTCAAAGAAATCACTTAGTTTTGTATTCCCATAAGCATGTTTCTGAAAGTATAATCCCATTGCCTTTGAAAATCCTTCTCTTCCCATTGTAAAGTAAATCTATTTAATCAAAGCAGCTCCCTTGGCATATGTAATGCCATCAAATATATTTTCAGCCTAATCTGTATTGTCTATTTAACAATAAATAGGATGAGTAGTTGACTTCTCATCTGTTACGTAACCCCATAGTTTTCTTTCCAAAAATTATACCCAATAATTTACTTTTTCTCCTTAGCAAACATTATCCTAACATAAATGGGAAATGAATTCAGCAAAGCTCTCATTCAACCAAAGATCATCCCACCATTCCATTGTTACTAAATCACCAAACCACATATGAGATAATTCATGGATTATTGTATTAGCTCTGGAAGCCACTTAAGATTTGGGCACAGGTTCTTTGAAAACATACAAATCATTAATTGTTACTGCTCCTGCATTCTCCATGGCTCCAGTCGAATACTCAGGACAAAAGATTTAATCATATTTTCCAAAAGGATATTTGTATTAAAATAGATCATCGAAAAACTTCATACTATCTGAAGTCACTTTGAATATAGAATATGCATCATTCATAACAAACTTTAATAGGGATTTTCTGCAATATAAACTTTGTGGAATTTAATTATGTAACAACTCCTCAGGTGCTTTGATTTCTACATAAGGTCCTGCTAGGATTGCATATAAATAAGTTGATAGAGGCTTTGTCTAATCGAATTCCCATATTTTATATTGTTAATCAAAAGGAAAATACCCTTTTTCTTAAACAAACTGAGGGATTCTGGGATTTTCTAGATATCTTTCATTACTAATGACTTTCCATTCTTTGGGTGCATAGGCAAATAGTTTAAATGTTCCCTTCAAATCAGGCTAATCAAAACACGGAAACATTTTGGATGCATGATGAGGTTCACATTATGAATAAACATATTGATCTTCATTGTCCATAAAACTGTGCAATCCATGACCTGTTGTTGAGTACTGATTCTGAAAGTAGACTATATACTGATATGCTTATTATACCTTCTATTCTATTTTAATCCTTTTTCAAACCTTACTCTATCCATACTTTATTTCCATCTTGCTTAACATTTTAGAGTGTTTAATTATTAACAATCAATGAAGATATATCCTAACCCTAGCAGTCAAGAAATAATGACTTTGCTTCTTTCAATTAGAAACTCATCTAAGCTATTCCTCTGTACTTTTATCCTTTTAATAGCTCAATGAACATTGTAGTTTCAATTGGAGAGTTTGAGAATAATGATTTTCTCAACTTGGCTTCAGAATGTGTTAAGGAATACCTCACTTTATTTCTGAACTACTATTATTATTGCAGTATTCTAATCATAATTAAATTTATTAAACAAAATAATTATAAGTTCAACTTAAATGTTAATTCGTATGGATTTCATGATCTTAAAATTCCAAAAATTTAAGAAATTATTTGTGAGATTAATTTGCTTGGAATATTTATGTATTGTTTATTATAAAATATTATTATATAAATCAGGGATGAGATCCAATATCTTTAAACATTTATGCAGCCATATCGGCTAGCTAATTTTTTCTATTCAAATTAGCTCTTACAATATCTTCTAAGGAGATAACTTATTTTTCTGCTAATTCCTTCTTGATATACATAAGATATGTTGATCTGCTCATTTCTGCAAATTTCGGCATAAATTTTAAATATGTTCTCTCATCATCATCAACATATTATTTGGATCCCCCCTTCTATTTAAAAAGCATCTTCTTCAACTCTTTATTTTCAATATCCATTTTCCTTTCAACTGCATCTACTATCATTCCAATAACTTAATGAGACTTTTTCTATTGCTTTTCAACTTGATCCTTTATTACTCTCTTTGCTTTCTAAAGCTTCTCTTATTATAATATTAAGTCTGTTCCTTAAGCATCCATAGAAATCACAGTTTAACTTATTTAAGGACTTTCCTTAACACTTTTAACTTCCTTATGTCTCTTTAGTATGGTTTTAGGTAAGCTTGTTTATGAATTTGATTTCTGCTAACTCAAAGATACTTGGCCTAAGTTCTTTGGATCCTCTGCCACAACTTGAGATTGGTGCAATTAAGAGGGTTATAGAGAGACTTGTTATGTTTATTATTTATCTCCTTATTGTACAACTATTTTCACACTCTTCTTTTGTTTTACATGTTGCTATTATTGGCTCTAATTATCAGGAACATCTAAAGATAATTCTTTTTCTAAAGCTGATTTGAGTTTTAAAATTCTTTCCTTTTCTCTCATCTCTCTTAATTAATTGGCAAAGAATTTAGCTAATCCTAATGATTCCCTATGCTTATAGATTAAATCTTTAAGTTTCTTCTTTTTGCTTTTTTCTAAGACCTTTTTTAAATAATTAGTTTCTTCTGGATCCTTTAAATCTATATTCACATTGGTTTGAACTATTTTTTTGCCAGCAACCATTTTATCAATCTTTCTTCTTTTTAAGTCTCTTAGATCCTTTTCAGCAGTAATTTTACCATCTATAATATGAGCAAGATCTTTAACTTTGGTATCAATCTCAACTTTTACAGGAGGAGTCTTAAAAGATTCTTTATAAAACATAATCTCTTCTTTGGCTTTCAGATTTAACATCCTTTTTCCAAACTAAAACTCTTTTTTATCAAAATCTTCCTTCTTTCTCAAAGTGAATAATTGACCTAATATACTAAAATACACAATTATTTTACTCATTATAATCTCTGATCTCATTGGATTGAATCTTTCCATTTACCATTTTGTTAACATATACATCTAAATCCTACTTGTGATGTTCATCTCTATCTGGATGTTCTCTATATTCTAGATTTTCCAATTGTCTTTTTAACAAAGCTCCTGTATTGCTTACATTCCTCTCTTCTTATACTTTTGGTTTCTAATATTCATTAAAATATTGAGTGGTTGTCAATATCCTTGACTTATAATCTTATGGTCTTTCTAGACCAATTTTAATTAAACCCACAGATTTACCCTTCTATCTGGTGGGTTTGACTATTTTTCTATTATTAGGCTTTCTGGAAGTTGATAATGGTCTTTTTTCTTCAAACAACTTCGAGTCGAATTATAAATTGTCCATAGATGGAGCAAAGAAACTGCCTTCAAAAAAGCTATCTTTACTATTTGAATCACTATCAAAAATATTGATTGAAGCATCAGTGCCATGAGGTTATGATTATTCAATTATTTTATTATCAAATTATTGTTTTTTTTTCTATTCTTCCTTTACCTAAGTCTTAAAATGCAACTATTCGTTCAATGATTTGATTTAGAAGAGATTAAACATGTCACTATTGAATTTCTTTAGATAATCAGATTCTGATTACTCTCTCTAATCTCTTTGATTCTTTCTGATCTTATGTAATTCTGAATCCAAAATAGACTCAGCTATGTAACTCAAATCTGCTAAATCCTTTAGATTCTGTTCCAATTTATGTTTGCCTTCACTTGCCAATTTAATAATGTATTTTTTGAATTCATCAATCCCTTGAATGTATTTGTCAGCCAACCAACTGGCCGTAGTTAAGGTTTCAACAATCCTATGATAATTATTTTCTGCTTCATAATTACACATCATAATGATTAATGCTGACAGTGTTGTTATCACACATCTTTTCATTCTTCTTCTCTCCCTATTTTTGGATAAGTAACACTAATATACCTCTATTTGTTTTTCTTCTATACGAACTTTTCCTAATTAATCCTTATTCTCATCTCCCCACATAAGATTACTATGGCTTCCTCTGCAACTCTTAATGACTCTTTATATTCACTTATTTCGTACAAGTAATTGGCCAAATGCATCTTTACCCTGGCACATGCATTGACTAAATTAGGATTGGGAGTGTCAATAATCTGCTTGGCAATTCTTTGAGCTTCCACCAAATAATAATAGGCCACTTTTGGTTTGTTTGCTTTCTTGAAAATTAAATTGGCCATTAATTGAAGTTCAATCAAATTGTAAAAGTACTGATCCAATTCAAATTGAATATTCAAAGGTTTGACGGTTTTTACAATCATATTTGCAATTCGACTGGTTTCTGAAATCTCTTGTTCATAAGGGTTCATTAACTCCTTAACTTACTTTTTACTTCTCTCCTTTTTGGGCTTATCGTATTCGTTGATCTTATAAAAGAGTACTGTAACTTCGTGTTCCTTTATTCTCTCTTCCCCTTCCTCATCAGAGCTTGTCAAATGAGACACTTCCTCCAAACTAAATAGCATATTTAATTGCCTTACACAACTCCCTTCATTTCGTTCGGTATAACTTTTTAAATATACAGATTAATGTATTTGTATAACTCAAAAATAGCTTGGCTTCCCCTATGAAATTTCTGGAGCATAATCTCTGGCCTGTCTTATTCAATATCAGGCTTAAGCAATCCTTACTTGAGTATTTTGTTGATGCAATTAATCATCCTTCGATTCAACATAACCATTTCTCCTAATTCAAGGTCCTTTCGTTGATTGTAAAATTTCTCTAAAAGCTAGAATGCACGCTTATAGAGTTTCTAATCAAATAATTTATATCGAATTTACTTTCTAAATCATCTTGCCAGTCTCCCTATGAATGTAATCATAGCTGCCCTACAATAGACTTTTTAATTTACTCTCCTCCTTATTTTGTTGTTATTGTTATTGTTATTGTTGATGTGAAGTATTAACAGAAGAAGTTTCTTTTTGCATTATTAATTTAATTATAAAATGGAGACAGATGTAATAGATTTAGGAAAACAAGTCTTCGGCAATCACTCTCTGCTTGTTTAGTAATGTTTTGTGGACCTCAAGCTGAAACAAGCCAACAACGCAACTTTAATATTCTACCAAAGTAATTCAATAGCTAAAGGCTAATAGAATTTCCCCCCCTATAATTTTAGATAATAGACGGTTTTATTCTACAAGAAATCAAATTGGATAGGATATATCATCAATTCTTGAAACCAAGTCAACATGTCATTCCCTATACCACAGATTTTTATTTGGAGAATCAGGACCCAAAGATTCTCTTTTAATTATTTTTGTCATTTTTATACACAGGAAAGTTGGTATACAAGGTAAGGGAGCACTATATACCCTTACTCAAATTAGCCATCTACTTCTAATGTGACATTCTCATCCAAAGTTTACTCAATTAACCAAAGCAATCAGGAATAATCAGGAATTTTTTCCTAAAGTTCTTATGTGATATTTTTAATGACGAAACTTACACCTAAACTTTACTCTCCAAATAAAAGGCATAAAAGTTCTTAGAGAGAATGATTATAGATAATTCCCCCATCATCATAAAACACACAGAATTACATAATCATAATAAAAAGGATGCCCAAGAGTAGATTTAAAAATGTACCATCATCACCTATTTTTAGCCTTTAAACAAGTGAGTCCCCAATTATTCAATGTGTTTGCTGATACTCTCAAGGCCAATCCTGAAAAAATCATCTACCTTAGTGCATTACTATTCTTTATTAATAAGTACGAAAATCCTTGGATCAAAACGATCGAGGGGATTTATTTGGGAAAAATGTATGATTTAATAGATGAAGAGTTCTACGATTAACACGAAGAGTGGTTAACTGAAAGATGCAAATTAGTATTCAGAATATAAATAGACAAGTCATTAAATCAACCTTTTCATATGAACCACTCAGTCGCATGTGATTTAGTGTATTTCTTATATAACTATTAATTAGGAATAAATCATTTGTAGCTTCTTGTTCTCATCATATGTGCTTGAATTGCTTCTATGAATATTTGAGACACCGATCGCAATTCAAATATCAGAGTTTGGAAATCCCTCAAAAAATCAGATGTTTGACAAGACATCTTAATAAAGATATATGTGACTGTTTTTATTAAGATCAAGACTACTTACAATTAAAATAATATGGAATTAATGAAATATTAAATTTATACCTTTAAGAAAAAATCTGATGTTATAATAATAGTTATTAATTTTATTCTAAATTTATCACTCATATCTGCAAAAATGCTCTATGAGGTCAGATATGTCTTCAAAATCTGCTCCTAATTTAAGAAAATACTCCTTCGACTTCTGACTCATAATTTCGATCACTTTTTCAGATTATTTGAGTGCATGATCGTGTAATTATTGTAAAGATGTCGTTTCCTTAGATTTCTAATGCATAAAATAAATTGGTAATCTTTAATTTAATGAAATTTAATACGCTATTTTATCCTAATAAAAATTGCACTCGTTGTTATTCACTACAGCCTTTATTAATGTATTTGACATAGTTGGTAGATTCCTTACAAAGTACTTCATCTGATTCTAAAAATCAATGCACAACCCCAAATATACGCCTGCTTTAAAAGCATCGTTCAATTTATTCAAATCTCCATTCTACACCCAATAGGTCAAACTTGATTTAATAGTACTCATACATTGTTGTAAATGCAAACTTACTGGCACATTGATGATATGCCAATTGATACACTTCTTCAGGCACTATGCTATTTGCTCCATTTTCCTTTATCTTCTAAAACAGATCATATTCATAGAAGACTCCTTTGGCTGCCTCTTCTTCCAACATTGACAAAAAGAGGGGGACCTCGACTTGTTTCATTATATTAGCACTTAAGACTGATCTACATTGAAATTAGGCATGTCAATACGCTTTTGAATGGAAGAAATCTCCTCCTAAAACCAATTTCTTATCTGATAATTTATTGTAGATAATTCTTTCTAAACTGAAGATAGAGGGCTTCTATGCGTGGTAGCCTAAAATGTTGGAAATTCTAATTCATTACGATCTACCATCATATGTAAACTAAGTGCTATTTGTATGTTCTCTAAACAGGCTGCCAATTTCAATGTTTACTCAGATAAAGCTGATTTTCTTAAACTCTTGGATATTTAAAACACTGTCTTAGGCAATGCAAATCTCATTGGGTATCTGTACATTCGATAAAAAATGGATAAGTTTTTAGGACTTGATGGTATCTGAGTAGTATATATTTGTTTACATTTTTCATTATTCTTTATTATGTTTCTGATATGAATTTTGGATCTATTTTTACGGAATCACTTTGCAAAACTTCATATTGAAATATTCATACATTAAGGAATGGGAAATTTGTAAAGAGTGTGCTTGGACTAAAAGAAAGTAAAATTATAATATTACATATTTTCCTACAATCTTAACCGTCTCCACCATCTCTTCAATATTAATCTCAATATCAAAAGGCCTCAGAATTTTTATTATGTTATCAATCTGGATGAGTGGCTTCTGTCTTTAGAATACATCTTTGTTAAAAGAGCAAAATCTAAAGGCAGATCTAAATAGCATAATTAATTTATATTAATCTCTTTCATAAATTTATAGCATAAATAAAATCTCAAAATATGTGATATTTATAACTTCAATTAGTCAACTCATGACTGGACCACAATTAATTTCACGACTAATGGATTCTGACTTAGTAATTCAAAATAATTCTTATTCAATGACATACTATTATATATATTCTTTAAATATATCATAAGATACAATCAAAAATAAATAAAAAAGGTTTAACAAATATAAAATTTATTTAATAGTTCTTTTAACTATTCAATTTTATGCTTTTCCATTACTTAAACTAATTTATATTATAAGGACTCGAAGAAATAATGTGCTTTTACCTTTGTGAACTCTAAAGAACTTTACTCTTAATTAGAATATTTAGTAAAGATAATAGCTTTGTTGCTGAATTCAAAAGTTCAGAAAGCTAATTTTAATTATTACAAATTTGAGATATTCAATAATTATTAAACTAATTGGTTTTATAATGAAAATTTATAGTTATTTTGTTTCCTCAAATAACAATTCTTAATCAACTTAATAGAGGTTGTTTGTGTAATTTATCCAAAAATGTTTTTTAGGAGATTAACAGCATAATTAGGATATTTCTCTTACTGAATTTTCTTTTATTAAACCATAGAAACTTCATTTATAAGGATTCTGCAAATGTTTTTAAATTTAACCCTAAAAAAATAACTAAAAACAAAATAGGATTTGATAGAATATTTCAAAAAAATAAAAAATAAAATCATATTAAATAATTTAGAAAGATAAAATGCTAAACAAATTTATAGATAACTGAATGAAAAAAGTTTATAAAGAATATTTATTTGAATAACAACTATTCAATTAAATTATATCAAAGAATTAACATCAATTATTATATGTCAAATGTTCTCTAAACTATTAAACAGAATGGATAATCAAGTTTATACCTAAATCTAATTTTTATTAATTTAACAAAGCAATTATCAAGAATGCAAATTTAAACATTGCTTAGTTGCTTAATCGAATAATTATAAATAATCACAGTAAATTATTATTTAAAGAATTATTACAATAATCACAATCTAATTTTCTTTCTGAAACTCATATAAATATCAAACATATCCTAAATATTATTTATTATGAAATACTTTTATTGCTACTATTTTAGTTATAACGTAAAATGAGTGCAAAATGACTAGCCACCATGAAGAATCACTCACAATTACCATAACTACACTTAAAGGTACAAGCATAAACTCATATTTGCATCTAAAATCTAAAAAAAATTCTTTAGTTTATTATATTGTTATAACAAAATTCTTGCATGCTGTAAAATATGAATATTTCTTACTTTGATACATAGATCCTCTTCGTAAATTGATGTATTCTGAAATACCAACTATATAATGTATTAAAATAGGTAAATGATACATGTAATTGTTGGTACATTTAAAAAAACTAATATTCATTAAATACAGTATATTCATTGTAAAATCAGTGTGAATGGATTTTCTCCTAATCATCCCTAAAACTGAGCTTATTATTCCAATATAACAGGCGTGAAATTAAAAGGATACTAAAACAATATAAAACAGTTTAATGAAATTCTCAATGGAATAAAGATGCCTTTTAAGGGGAGGTTCACATTCTAGTGTATACGATTGTTGTTCATTTGATTTTTTCATAAATTAAATTATTGGTATATATCAATCAAATAAAATAATATTCATTTTGAATTGGAAAGCAAGGATATTAAAAGCTTGATACTAACACATAAAATTAGATACGATCCTCTAGATAAAGATTCTCTTAATTGAGTTATAATAGTTATGCATTCAGAAGGGGAATTAAATGAATAATACGTAGATTTCACATTATCAATGAGACCACAAAATTTATTATAAGATGGTTAAATCAATTTATGCTTTTGAAGAATATTCTAAAGTACAATCCAACTAATTAATAAACATCTAAAATTTCAGGAAGTTGAAAAAAAATAAATTAAGGAGTAAGAAAATTAAAAAAAATTTACAAAAATATTCCTCTTATTATAAAAGTATGTAATACCTAATTTATTATATAAGATGCTTGTAGATCAAAAGAATAATGATAATGATTATTTTAAATTTTATGCTATATGTTATTAAATTATATTTCATTTTGTTGTTTCAGCTGCAACTCTTTTAGCTTCTTCAATGACATCCTCAAATGTACCTTACATATAGAATGCATTTTCTGGGTATTCATCACCTTCACCATCAAGTAATGCTAAAGTAAATAGAGAGATAGAATACCTCTGAATCCAGAAATAGTGTCATTAAGTGAAACGAATTTACCCTTTCTTCCTGAGAAGACTTCAGACATGAAGAATGGTTATGAAAGGAATCTTTATACTTTTCTAGCTCTGGCAACAGTAAGTTTATCATCTTCAGACAATTCATCCATACCCAAAATAGCGATGATATCTTGGAGTGATTTGTAATCTTACAACAATTTTTAAACTCTCTCTTGTGACTGTATAATGTCTAAATAATATTAAATCTAATATATTATCTTTTCACCAACAATATTTGGGTCCATCATACGTGATGAAGAATCCAATGGATCGACAGCTGGATAGATACCTAATTCAGTCAATGCTCTTGACAACACAGTGGTGGCATCCAAGTGAGCAAATGTTGTGGCAGGTGCTGGATCTGTAAGATCATCTGCAGGTACATAAATAGCTTAGACTGATGTGATGGATCCCTTCTTGGTTGTTGTGATACGTTCTTACAATTGACCTAAATCTGTTGCCAATGTTGGTTGATAACCGACAGCTGATGGGATACGTCCCAATAAGGCTGACACTTCTGAACATGCTTATGTGAATCTGAAAATGTTGTCAATAAAGAGTAACACATCTTTTCCTTCTTCATCTCTGAAATATTCAGCAACTGTCAAACCAGTCAAACCAACTCTGGCTCTGGCACCGGGGGGTTCATTCATTTATCCATAAATGAGAGCACATCTTGATCCACCACTCAAGTTGATGACACCAGAGGCAACCATTTCATGATATAAGTCGTTTCCTTCTCTTGTTCTCTCTCCTACTCCTGCAAACACTGAATAACCACCATGGGCTTTAGCAACATTATTAATCAATTCTTGAATTAACACAGTCTTTCCGACTCCTGCACCACCGAACAATCCAATCTTACCACCTCTAGCATATGGAGCCAATAAATCGACGACTTTGATACCAGTGATCAAGATTTCAGCACCACTACCTTAGTCAACAAAACTTGGAGCTTCTCTGTGAATTGGATATCTGATTTTAGTTTCGATTGGGCCTCTTTCATCAATTGGGATCACCAATCACATTCATAATACGTCCCAATGTTTCAGGGCCAACTGGAATTGTAATTGGACCACCCAAATCTGAAACTGGTTAACCACGAATAAGTCCCTCTGTTGAATCCATGGCGATTGTTCTGACTCTGCTATCACCTAAATGTTGAGCCACTTCCAATATCAATTTATGACTTGTTCCTTAAACTTACAAAGCATTCAAAATAGGAGGTAAAGGACCATCAAATTACACATCTACAACTGCACCAATGACTTAGGCAATCTACCCTGTTGTTGCAGTTGCCTATTTTGTTGAAGTTGATGCTTCCTTCTTTGCAGCAGAGAATGCTGTACAAAAATTACATTATAATTATTACCTACACGCATCTATCTAGCTAATGCTTTTGTGAGCATAGTTAATTTTAATAATTAAGGATATGTTTCTGATTCAAATTTTTTAATTACCTTATATAATTATAGCAATGATAAATAATAATCTTGTCAGAAAGAATTGCAAACCTGCACCTATCTATCATGCATACTCGTCATTTCTCATAATGGTTATTTCAAAATTCTAATAGTCCTATCAATTTCTTCCTTCTTATTATCCAAGATCTAATACATTATTTTAAATCTTAGATATTAACTATTTCTATTTCACATTTAACAAATCTATTCCAAGTTAACTTCACTATTTAATACTTACATTTTAATAAAAAAATCTAATCATTAATTCTATTCAAAAAGAAAATAAATTATTAGTTAATTCTATAAAACTATGATGTAATATATTAATAGTATAACTTGAACATAAAAAGTAAATAATTGAATCTGCCAAAATTAATTTAATATGTAAATAATCAAGTTTAGCATTAAATTTATAAGTATTGCTTTTTACATTATTTTTTATATTTCAATAAAATGATTTTTTCTTAGATAACAATAAATAAAGGATTCAATATTTAATAATTTACTATCTAATATTATAATTAAAAATGAAAACTTTTTTTACAGAAGTGGACAGTAAGAGTGATTAATCACATTTAAGAGAAATCAATCAGTTGCTCATGAGACTAAATTTGGAATCACCACGTACATAGCTTGCCATGAAAGAACTTAATTTAACAAAATATGATTGCTAACTTAAGTAAAATAGTGCCCAAATTATCATACAAGAACTTTGTCCAATTTCTTACAATATCATCATGAATCGCGAACCATGTACATAAATCATCTACAATAACTCAAAGGTAGTCATTTATTGTAAGATTTATTTAGATAACCTCTTGAATTTAGTGAATCGGAGAAGAGAAATCATAGGTCCATCAGTAAAAATAGTACTAAGAACACCGAAATAATCGAAATAATATAACTTTGTTAAAAAGATTTTTGATCATGATCTCAAACAGTTATATTAGTCTGAACTTTAAATCAAAGAAGCATAATAGAGGAATTCTGATAAAATTTATAGGCAAGTCGAAGAAAAATTAAAATCCATCTCTCATAAGGCAAAGTAACATAATAACAGAGTAGAGCGAAAGTTATCTTTGTTAAGAGAGCGGAGACAACACGAACTTGATGATAGGCTAAGTAAAAGTCTTGACTTTGACTCTAGATTTGAACCTATCTAGAAGACCTTGTAAGAATCTAAAATGAAATTCAAAATTATGATGTAATCCAAAACTCAATAGACTTTGGATTATCATAGATAAAAGAAGAAGAACATCATAGAACAAGACGAATTGCGAAGAACGAAATTATAATATTCAATGGAAACTTCACAAAGAAGCACTTTTATTCGATATGGTATTGCAAGTCAAGATAGAATACAATAGGCTTAATTGATTGAATAAGAGCAGCAGAATAAAGTCATTTAGAAAATAGGAAATTATGTTGAAAAGACTGCTTAGGTGACTAATAAGAATTAACAAGAAATATAAAAGACACTATAGAAATTTAAGGATGAATAAGATCGAAAGTTTACTAAGGTTCATAAAAATCTAACATCAAAAACATAGATGTAATCGTAAAGAGAGAGCATGATTCATCAAGAATTATAGGATAAAATAATGTTTAGCAATGCAAAGGCGAAATAACGATTAGATGATATTCAATCAAAAATGAAATAGGTAGCGCTTCAAAAGTAGTAGAAACAATAAGAATTATTGAATAAATATATAATCAAAATGGAAAGAAGAAATGATAGAATTCTGGAAAAACATGTTAAACTAAGATAAAATCTTAAAAAAGGGCACAAATCTCATAATCTCACTTAATAATAACATCAACTGGTCATTGAAAAGGACGAATTGAACTAAGATATCACCAAGGTGTAAAGATTAGTAGTTAGTAAATCATCTAAGAATATAAAGGAATTACTCAATAATTTAAGGTTCAATTGAATATCAAAATATTTATAAAAATAATATCTAAATCCTTATTAAGTTTGAAAATTAAAGAATAATACTACTAGATTCTTTTGTATATCATTGAATATTATAACTCACTTAGTTGATTTCCTATATAAAACAAAGGTTAAAAATCCAGCCGTGACAGTTGCAAAACAAAGTTTTTACCACTGTTTTTCTGCGAATAAACATGATGCTGTAGTAGAACTTAATACTATAGTTTCAATTAAACCCGCCTTTGTGTCGAGTTGTTCTTCCAAAATATATTTAGTAATTGAAGAGGCAAGAACGGCTGAAGCTGTAGTTTTCCAAATAATGTCAGCAAATCGAAAACTTACTTAATTATTTTAATTGGTGTTGAATCTTGATTACATTTCACTGGTTGCTAATTTCGAATCAGTAGTTCTAGATTAATTTACAGTACTTTTATTATCAGTTTGATTCTAAGTATTGGTATTGCTTAGCATAGTTTAATAAAGTTAGGCTCTTTCTTTATTTGATTATCTTAACAGTTCTCTAATTTCTTTTCTTTTTTCGAATATTTCTTAATTTTAGGTGGTGTTCTTCACTAAATTCCACGCTTAATCAATATCTCTCCAGGCTTCTTCATAATCTTATTTTTATTAAAATGCTATGGCTCTTCTATACCAAACTTTCTAATTGGAAGGATCAAGTTGGATTGCCTATTAATTAAAATAGTATTTACAATATTAGCATGAGTGATACAAGAATTAAAATCTCCAAGATTCAAATAGCAAGCACTTAGATTAGATAGCAAGTTTATTCGTAATTTCTTGAATTATTAAAGTTATTCTTCAGGACATTACATTAAATAATATGGATCGCATAATCCTAAAGATAGATTATATTATTCAATAGCTCTCCCATAGATTTTCAACTGAAAGCATTAGTTTCCTTGGTTTTTGAGAAATATTGCTTCATCTAGAGATTTTTAGAATTAAAGAATGAGTTATGATTTCTAATCTATTTCTATTACTTAAGGTGAACTTTGAACTTAAGAATTGAATGAATTACTAGCAGGAAAGCTTTTATTTGTTTCTTCAATAATGACCCCTTCTTCAACTTGTTTTTCTTCCTCTTCAATAACTTCCCTTTAAGGATTAATTTGTGCATCAAAATTTAATGTTGGCTAAATTAATTAAGGTTCTATTTAATTTTAATCTTCCTTGGATTCGTTTAAAGCTGAATAGAGTTTATTATCAAATAATTGAATCTATATTTGTTCTTGCTAATTTAATTACTAAGCATTAGATTTATCCAAAATTTCAAATTGAGAATATGCATTATCTGCTTTTTATTCCTATTCCAATTTTTAGAGTGGTTATGAATCATTCTCATATATAGATTCAACAAACTATGAATTATGGTTATCATGTTCTACTCTTTCTTAATGGTTCTAATTCTATTTTATTGAATCACTGTCATTCTAATTTTAAGGAACGTAATCTAATTATTTGGTTATTTCTGCTTTATCCTTACTTATATTTATAATTTCTGAATGCTATTCGGTTTTTAACTAATGTTAATTCGATTGATCTATTTTAATATTATTCTAATGCTAGACATTATGTTAAAGTTCCTTATTTGCTTGGTTCATGTTGTTTTCAATCAGTAAATGTTCCACTTCATCTTAAGTTGAATTATTTTAAGCTTAATTGGAAACCTTTAGATCTGTGTATTCTTGTGAAGAATCCATAATTAAAATATAAATTTTATATAAATAATTTATAATTGAAATCATATTGTCACATTCCTTCTTTAGGTTCATTATCATAATTAGCTCCAAATTAGACTTAGTCAAGTTCAATGACAGGTTACTCTTACATCTATTCAATGACAACTAGAGGTTCACACAATTCTACAATCTCTTCCTCTACTTCTTGGATGAATTGGGGATTGTGACTTATCGATTAATATTGTAAATACTTATTAGATTCACCTATTACTTGATAATGTTCCTGTAAATCCATTTTATGAAAAAAAATATCTAAAATTTAATTATAATTAAATGCTTAAATATTCAGTGTTGAAAATTAATACTGAAAATAATACTTTGAAGCATTATATTGATTTTGTTGGGATTTTAAATATAATTTCAAGAAATTCTAATTAATTCAAGTTGTTCATGACATTTCAGTATCTAAAATATAATGGGCAGTATTTGTATTGAAGGCTTGGTATATTAATTTTGCATTATCGAAACCCGAAAGGTCCATTAGTTCATCTTCTACTGGTACTAATCTCCACTCTATTTCAATGTAATAAAGCTTTTTGTAGCAATATAATGCGATCAGGGAGAGTAGTAGAGTGATAATAAATAAGAATATTGTGATTTCTGCAGCAAGCGTATTCCAGAGTACTCCTATTACGATTAAGAGAGTGGCAATTAAGATAACTAGTATGATTGTGCAATTTCGATATGCTTATCTTTAATGAAATCTATAGCTTCAAAATAAGTAATACTTTTTATTCTTAATTTCAGTCTTAAAGAAACATAAACAAAAGAGACATTGCAAAGTTGATATTGAGGATGAAGGCTTCTTGAGTTCAGCAATCACACAATCAGGATGATATTATATATCATCGCATTTACATAATTTAATTACACAGCTTTTACGACAAATATAACAAATTTTGGATTAAGTAAAAGGTTGATTTGTTACAAGTGATAATTTCACTTTTTTACTTGATCTTTTAGGCCGATAGATAGGAGCAGATTCCAAATCCTTGACTTGATCTGCTAGTACAAACCTTCTCGATGATTTGAGGATGATCTCATCTTGGTTTGAGGCAGTTGAATTCAACATATAAATAATTTAATAATCATTAATATTTAATTTCAAGTAAATTTATAATATTTGCAGATTCAAAATTGGAGACTTGTATAAAAATTAATCGTCAACATATTTTTTCCTTTATCTCAATTATTTGGCAAATATTATAAAAATATAACATTTGATAAATTATGAGTAACAATTGTATTAAATATTATTTTAATTAAGAATAATTACTTATATTTAACACTATATACCAAAACAAAACAAATTACTCAGACAGTTATTATAATATATTTCCATTCTTTTATGGCTTCAATCATCCATAAAAGTGAAGTATCATATTATTAGATAACTTTTTCGATAATATAAATAAATTCTTCAAATACCTCCTCACTAATCATAAGTCTAGAATGTATAGCTTAGATATCTGATCTTTTAAAATATTTCCTACCAGACAGCAAATATTCAAATTTTTTGAGCAGAGTTTTTGTGACATTTGCATCATTGCTATCAAAAATGTTCTTGATCTCGACATTAGATTGCAATTCATCAGAAATCAAAGGAACAAACTCACACAGTCTCTTTTATCCCACAATATCACAAGGTAATTTTTTATTGATAATGTAAGGCAATATGAGATCAAACTCTTCTTCAAAATCCTAAAAGATGACTCTTTAAGGATTGAGTCTTGCCAACAAATTTATCAACTTCTCTTTTATACTCTGATATAATTGTAAATTGATTTAATGTTAACAATGCAATTAACTAAGATCTTCAAGAGTAAAGCAATTATTTTATTTGTTAAACGCGTAATGTAAGGAAATATTTAGTATGTTAAACAAATTGATCATATCCGATCTTATGTATGAAATTCTTATTGATATAGGGATCGGTTTAACATAGCTTAATGAATTCACTACAAAAGTTATCTATGCCAAATTATTTATAAACTAAATCTTTGATGCTATCCTAATCAATCACAGCAGCTTTGTAGGCATCTGTTTATTCAAGTATATACCAGACTACATCTTTTTCGGCGTGTTTAGATAAAGCACCTGATAAGTAGTATTTGAAAACAGAGTATTAAACAGAGTTAATCCGAAAAGCTTTGTGAAAGTCTCTCATTGAGTCCATCACATAGTTAGTAGATTCTGAAGATCCTAAGATGAACCCAAAGATTCTACTAAATTTGATCGCTTGTTCCTCTTGTTTAGTTCCTTTGAACAATGGAGTCAATGAGAAATCTTCAAAAATTTAAGCATACATATTTTTGGCTATTGTTCTTATACTATCTTTCACATTTTGAACTGAGCGAGACTATTACAATAAATAGAATGGATACATTGCATATAATAGCTCCTCTGTAATACTCAACTGTTTATGCACATTTAAATATGACTTCCATCCCTATTTTCATATCTATTAGTTTTTTTATATAGAGATATTTAAATCGATTGAACATCTCATCAGTTATGTTGAGATTCAAATGCAATTGTTTAAGACTTTCAAAATGATATGGCAATTTGTTTCCATTGCTTAAATCTATTAATGCTTTAACAACTCCTTTCATCACATGAGCATCTCCAATCACCTGTCCAACTAATTAATCCTAAGCCAAGATTTATCCAAATTCCTTTGCATAGTCATCCAGTCCTTCCATTTTCTCGAATTCACTATGTCTTGTAGTTCCAATTTTAGGTCTAAATTTAATTAAATTTTATACTTTTTATCTTTAAATTAAGATAGAATATCTTTAAATGATTTTCCTGATTAAAATGGACACTACTAAAATTGGATGGAAGATTGTGTTTATGATAATTAAGTATGATGATAGTAAGATTTTTTGAGAACCATATTACTGTTGACAATGCTTGTGTTTTCATCTCTTGATGTCTTAACACATCCATTAGACGATTTAACTTTATTCTTTACAGTAAATAATCTTTAGAAATGAAGACTTGAACCAAGATCAAATTGGTTGTTCTCTTCAATTTGGATTACTTAACTTTTTTGTTTCTATAATTATTAGGGAGTAAGTGGTTTTTGTGCAGTTGACAATCTTTCAGAGTCGAGAATACATTTTGTAGATCCTCCTTTTTTTACTTACCAAATTTTATTAGGTTAAGTGCAATCTAAGGAGGGTAATTTTTAGAATAAATGATCTCTTCTTGAGGCTTATCCATCTTAAATTTCTTTGCTAGATTTGCAAATTACTACCTAGCTATTTGCAAGATGCTTGAACTCAATGGAGTCTCCTCTAATCATTATAGAAAGATAATTAATTATTAAATTATTTATAAGGTAGTAATTATATAATATCATCTGAGAAATAGATTTTTGCTGGAACACATTTCTTACTTATCTTAATTATTTTACTCAGTTCCAAGTCTCCAAAATATCAAAGTTTCATCCCCAGCAGCAGAACATAACATAGACTAATCAGGAGATATGCCTAAATGCAACACCCTCGATTTGTGAGCTTAAAGTTCTTGGACCAATTTGGCCTATTGAATTACTTCAGCATTCCATATACTAATTTAGAATTTGGAAAACCCATGTGATGATATCAGTTCTCTATATCTTGGTAAAAACTATAAGGCACAAACTTATGATCCAGTGTCTATGCTTTTGAAACATAAACCTGTATCGGAATTCCAAAACTTGATGTTTTTGTCATTGGAACCTCCTCCACTAACTAAGATGTTTGGCAACCATGGGCACCATGCCATAGCTTTGACAGCTGCACAATGACCTTCACATGATAAACGCAAAGACATTTGCCTTTTATCCCATAATAAGAGTTAATTGTCATTTGCTCCACTGCTTAAAGTAGTTCCAGAGGAATTCCATTTCAATCCACAAACTTCTTAAGTGTGTTTCTGAAATACGCCTACAACATTATTATTCTTCTCTCTTAGATCATGATTGAAAATAACGTTATCTCTACCAGAAGTTGACAATAATTCAAAACTGCTACTCATCGTTGACACTCTCTCATTATGATAATATAACTAGGTTATTGTTTATTAGGAACAAACATCCACTATCTTAATGGAGGCATCATCAAATCCTACTCCTAAAATATGATCATTGATCCAATGAACTGCTGTAACATTCGAAGTTGCTTATAAAAGTTATTCAATGTGCTCTATTTTATAGTTATATTAAGTTACAATTTGAAGCATTCCATAAATAAACTTTATTTTGCAATCCCACAGATAACACATTGTTATTGCCCCATTCCAAAATATTGAGATAGAAGTCATCTGCAATATCTGGTGCATCCAATATTTTCTCAGGGACTGAACTAATTTACCTAACAGTTTATTAGGTAGGCAATCTGTATTAATTATGTAACTAGTCTAAAAATGATATTGGATAATTCTGCTGTTATTTTTGATTTCCAAAATTCAGCACTTTTTCCTCATTTATATGATACAATAACTAGGATATTGAATTCAAGTACATCATTATAATTTGATTAAGTGTGTGATTGATACAACAATTTCGATTTACTTTTCGGAATAAATCTGTCCATATATATATCCGTTAAATTAATAATTATATTTTAGAATTATATAGTTTTATTTTGTTTCACACTCAAATATTAACTTTAATTATGTGATTTTCGATTTTATACCGAATTCGAATTCCCCTCATTTTAAAATGAATGAAAACGATATCTTTCTTCTTCCTTAATTCTTAATTTAATTTAAGTTTAGCAAATTATTAATAAAAAAAATTAATAATTATATATAAAATGAGTAATGCAAAGTATTTTACATATTCATACCTTTAGATCTGATGGCGAGAATTAAAAATTTATTATGGGTGATGAACCTTTGAGATTTCAAAATTATGTTGCTGGATAGGATGAACAACAAGGTACAAACATATTCAAATCTTAGTTCCACAATAAGATCAAAATTTAGAATACTACAATGAATATCTGAGATCTATACATAGCTAATGTCGTCTTAACAAATTAAGTACTCTTTAGAATTTATATTAGTTAAAAGAACTTTTGAATGAAAAGAATGAACTAGTCACTAAATTAAATAAATTAGAAGTAATTTTTAATATCACCAAAATTCAAGCGTCGAAATCAAGAGCTCAATTCGAATGTTGAAGAAACTGGAGAAGAAAGAAAGAAAAGATTGAGAAGGCCAGCATAAGAAATCGAAAGACATTTTACTTGTCCTGTTGATAATTGCTAAAAGAAATACGGGTAAAACTCCTTAATAAGTGTTTCCTAGAGCTGAAGGGTCTCTCAACTAGCACATAAAACTTAAACATCCAGAACTAGTGAAGGATAGAGCTTTTTATAAATCAAATGAATAATCGCAATAACAAGGAGAGCCTGAATCATTATCAGATCTTAAGCAAGAATAAATTTAATGACAAATAATTAACATAATATAAGTTATTTTAAACATACCTATAAACTTTGAAACAAAAATTTAATGTTCCTACTTTCTTCTTTTTTAATACCTAATATAAAAATAATTCAAATTATTTTATGCCAAATTTTTAAATTCACATAAAAATGCTATAAATATATCCCAATTGAGATTCCATTTTTATCAAAGTGTAATCTCACAATATTTTAATGCAATAAATAATAAATCTATAATTATTCTAAATTCTATTTATATCTGTAAGAATCTATTTTAATTTTGAAAGTATGTCCCATTTTTATCTTCATTTTTTATACTATAAATCAAAGCAATTTGATGAAATCGTCAATATTTAACTTACCGCATATTTAATTGACGATTTTTTTTAAAAATTCAAAACCTCCATTATAAAATAGACGGCTTACTTATAGCAACTTCGTGGATTGCTGTAAAATTTAATCTAATATCAAAAAATCAACTTTATTTTATCTATTAAAGAAATTAAAATCTATTTATTTCAATAAATTATCTATCTAATTTTAAAAATCTATCTTAATAATTAAGTAATTTGATTGAATCAGAGTTATATTTAGAACATATATATTTGCAGAAAAGGATTTCTATTATAAAATTTAAATGTGAAAGACTCTGTCTATTTAATAAAAATACAATTTTATTTATTTTTAACTTATTTTCTTCATAATGTAGGATAATCCTTACTATTGAATAGCATAATGTTTGCGAAACATCTATAAAATCATTATGTCAAAATTAAGAAATTAAAAATATTATATGATAATTAAATTTAGATCATAATATGAATACCATTATTTATTTATTTTGAGTGATTTTAATATTAACGTGATGATAGATTCAACTAAAAAACTATGTTCAATTAGTTTGTCCATTTAAACATATTTTTGATTTTTTTTTGATTTTATTTAATACTAAAAATTAAAAATAATCCATAATTATATGAATCAAAGTCCAACCAAATTTGACACTCCAACAAAAATGCAATCTAAAATAGATCTGAAGATGAGAAAAAGTGGAGTACCTATAGCTCTTAAGAGATCCCCTTAATTTCAACTTTTTGATTGCTTCATGTTGACATATTTTCATCTTCCATCTTTTGCGGAGTAAATTTTACAGTACGATGTATGAAGATAATATAAATATAGGATTCCATTATAAGTGAAGAAGGTGTGACTTTGCTATTGCAAAAGTTATTTGTGTAATTGATATATTGCAAGAAAAAGGACACATCAGCTTAAGAGGTTTATTAATTTATGAAGGATGATTATAATACTAGATTTAAAAGTGTTGAAGAGTTTTTAGTGAGATTCTTCGAGAAAGTTGATGAATCAATTTCAAAATACAGAACCATGCTTAATTAATTGGTGGAAGAGCATCCAATTAGAGAATTGTTTATTGGTAAATTCATAAAAGGAAATGACGAAACAACATTTAATTTGATTAAGATTGATTTAGATGAGGAATCGTTTATGGAAGGATTGTAAAAGAAATTTGAGTAAGAAGATTGTTCAATAAAAGAGTTACCAAGAGTTTTGTAATTTGAAATTACACGGAAATAAAATTTGGTATTAATGCCAACAATATATTTGGATTAATTTATGTATTCTAACAAAGGAACAATTAAACAACATTAATCTGATATCAAAGAATTAACAATGAAGAGAGAAGAAATTGCTCAAAAAATTAAAAATATTGAAAATTATTAACAAACCTCATAAAGTATTCCTTCGATCTTGCAAATGACGATTGACATTATATAAGAGTAAAGAGCAGAATTGATTGATGGAGATCCAGCAATAGTGGGATTTATATCCTTGATCATGGAAGCAAATTAGGAATTAGAAAAATTAAAAGAAGAGCTTCACAAAATGGATTAACAAATTAAATAAATAATGGGTAGTTTCAATAAGGTAGAATATAACTTACATGCTGTTATTGTTTATGATGGCGATTATGAATGCGTGTACATCAAAAACAATGAGCAATGCTTTTTTTTTGAAGATGGATTTGCAGAAGTGAGAAAGAAATTTGAAATAGAAATGCAATATTCTCCAGACACTGTCGTATATTTGGTTTATCAAGACAAGAATCTCAAAAGTGATTATAGTTTTACAGGGGGTTAGGGAAATCTTTTGGATATGGATGATAGGAAACCTTATGAATCCTTAATTAGAAAAGACCTCTAGTAATATGCTGTTCAATTCAATCAAAAAGTTGATCAGGAATTGCTATTCTTAAAATAATAATAATAGGCAGAAGAAGTATTCTAATAATATCTGACAAGATTGAATATTGTGATTCAATTGGTTCAGCAAAAAAATACTATTTAAGTGCCACATCTGAATAATTTCGCTACTTTCCTCTGCTTTACTTAGAAAAAAATTGATGATTATGTTAAATGGTAAATATTGGATTGTAGCATAAGAGATGTTACAGGTTAATCAATCTAAGATATTAAGAATATGAATGCCTTTGCTTAAAAGTTAAGTGTGTTACTTTAAAATCAACCATAAAAGGCTCCCACTTAATTAACAGTCAATAAGAAAGATATGCAGTACATGCAAATCAGATTGACAGATTATGTTTAATATGAGTAACTTACTAAAGTATTAACCTATTCTTTAGAATGCATTCTTTAAGAGAAGAATTTATTAGCTCTTAATTCTATTCGATTAATTTATGATAGTTGTTAAAATAATATTATTGCACATCTCAATTAAGAAATTTTAAAGGCTTTAATGGTTCATTTGGCTATTTTGACATTTAAATTTCATTAGTAATCAAATTATTGCTAATTTTGGGATCATATTTAGTGGATTATGGCTTATTGGCCATATATTAACCAATAAGACTTGGTTCATTAATAAATTTTTATCATTATAAAAGACTTGAAGAAGAGGGCTAACAAGAAAGCCTTGAACTCTGATTAATAAAAGATTATCAAGAAGTTCATCACATCTGTAGAGGATAAAAAACCAACAGATGTGGGATACAATTTTTTATTAAGATAGGATCCGGTAACAATTTATTATATTCTTAGGTCTTAGAAGCCATTGCTGTGATTGATTGGAATCAGGATCATTATTATTGGTTACCAGACAAATCAGAAGATATATCATAACAATTGTTGACAAACACTGCATTAATCTAATAGTTTCTTTAACTTGAATTTTAATTTGTTAAAAACATTGTGTCATAACAATAAACTTTTACTTATGACGAAAGGATTAAAATGATGCTACACAATTAATTATGATTAATTTTATTAAGTTGATTAGATATATTATTAAGCTTTTTGCAATATTTATATAATTATATACAGCATATAAGCAGCAATCATATCTTTTTCTTTAATAAGGAATTGCAAATTAGTATTCTGTCATAAAAGATTGTTGATTAATCGTAGTAACCTTATAACTTCGCTTTTGGATATTTCGATAATATCCATATGTTTTTTAAAGTAAAAACTCCACAATCATGTGTGTTGCTTTGTTATGGGCAATTAGCGACTTTTAGTTCATATTCTTAGTTCTTTATTCTCTATGCTATTTCGACAAGATTGTGGAACAATTAAGGATAGTTACTTCTTTTCATACTATCATATATGGTGATAACTGATTATTCGAAGTCAATTTAAAAAGTATACCAATGTACATTATTTTAATTAAAAGGAGCTAGTATTTATTTAGTATTTTGATCTATTTTGGCCTTTGAAGTTATTCTTTTGAACTTATTATCATCAGCATTTATTAATAAATCAAATTAAAATGAGTTTTAAGATGACAGTCCCATTTTTGAAGTCTTAACAATTTTGTAAAGTCATTTAATAATCTAACAATTATATTTAATGTGATTACTTCATCGTTTAACCAAACTCCTGGTTTCAACCTAGAGTATTATGGTGTTTTCAGAGCTGCTAAAACTATATAGTACTCCTCTTCCGTTAACAAATTGTAAAATTCCCTTTATTTTTTTGTCAAAGTCGAATAGACTAAAATAAGCCAAATTAATAACCTTATTTAATTGCAATCTTGTAATTCTCACTCCCTTTTGGTATTTAATTGTCCTCATTTTGCAATTTTGTTGTTTCTTAACTTTCCAATGAAAGTTCATCTAATTTATTTTTTATTTCTTAATATTAATCCTCCATTTAATTAATATCTTATAATTATTCTTTTAAGCCTTATAAAGGATCAGGAGGCTTGATTAGACTCAAACACTTTTCCTTTATCTTACTCGCAATTCTAGTAATATTTGACCAAAATTTCATAATAATTATATTAAATATATTAACATTTAGAAATCAATTTTTTGGTAAATCTGTAAATTATTGTACTTGATTGTTTTGCTGATTTTCAACATTTTATTATGGAAGCTCCAATTCTTATATTTGTTCCAGATCCCTTAGCATTATGTTTTAATATTCCTTCCTTAATCCTATTATTATTATAATAGCACAAAGTGCTAGCCAAATCTAATAAGCTTTAAATTATATAAGGTCTTACATACACTAATTAATATATTTTATATTTTACAATTTTATTAATTAATAAAATTCTAGTTATTTATAATCAAATTCAACAAAATAGATTCCTATTTCTCATTCTTCATTATTGGATATTATATTAATAAATCTTAAACTTTTTGAAATTTAAAAATTAGATAATTAATTAAATTAAAATGATCAATTAAATTTCTGCTTGCTTCAACGTTTATAGAATGCTTCAACTTTAATTAAAATTAGTGCAAAGTTATCAGTGCTTCCTCCTCTATTATAATATCGAATTGTATCGACTTGTTATTCTGCGAATTTTATGTAAATACTTCCTGTAGCCGCTAAACTGTCAAATACTAGGTTTTCAATCCCATTGAAACTAATAAAAACCTAAAAATTGTATGTTCTATATGTGTAATCCCACAAACTTAAGAAAACTGTGTTTATCTCATAAGATTACATTGTTCGAAATTCCAATGACTAAGTTAGTGCACAATATGTAAATCCAAATAAAAAATTTACTATATAAATAGTATCTCTGGTTGGGATACTACTATAAAAACCAGGTTAATAATAATTAATCCTTGCTGTGGTGAGTAAGCCACCACTTTGAAAGGATAACACATTTTTAGAGTTTCCTCTCAAAATTTTTCTCATTTTCTACTCTCTCAACGTGCATGGCGTCTCTATGGCTGTTTAGACATTATAAAATAACAGCAAAAAAAATATGGTGTTCTAAAAATTCATTCAATTTTCCTAAAAATTATTTATATATTTGATTAACCTAATAATTTCTTGAGATATCTAAGATAATTAATCAATTTACTGTTAGTACATTTACTTTATTTGATCAAAATCACAAAGTATTTGTCAAAATTTATTAAAAGTACTTTGAAATTTGCTTAAACCCAAGAAAATTGTTAATGTAAAGAAAAGATCAAAAAATAACTATTCATCTTAACTTAATATGTTATTATTCAAATAAAAAATATTATAGCTTAATAAAAATTAAATAATTAAAATTTGATGGAATAGTGAATAGTAAAATTCGATTAGAAGCCATAAATTTGACATAAATCTCTAAGGTTTTATTCGCAAATAGAAAAAAAAATGAATTTATAAGGTTTTTATTATAAGCGCTAAAAATTGTAAATCTAGCACTGCTAAATTCAAGAAATAATTCTAAGTGTTTATACCAATTGAATATTAATTAAATCAGTCATAAAATAACTCTCTAAATTATCCTTAAACCATATTTATCACTTTCTTATATAGTTCGAAATCAAATGTTTGATCTAATTCTGTAAATTCTTTTGCTTCTAAATAACCATCCTCATTTAATTTGCCTCTTATTTCCAAAAGGATATCTTCAGTACTTTCTGGAACTTCTTCAATCTCTGTTACTTTTACAATTGCTACATAAAAATATATTTTTACTTCCATCTACACTAAATTCAACGTAATCACCTTTGCTTTAAATTAATTTTCCAACAAGTGTCACATATTACCCTTTGAATTTTGATATCATGTCTGCATTTATTCTCTAAAAACTAGTTGGATTTTCTGTCATAAATTTATTATTTAAAATAAAAAATGCGCTCCGTAAATACAATTCACAAATTTTGATACTCAATTTTAATTATATTTTTTATACTAATTATATAAAAAATATCCTCGATTTAGAATTATAGAGTCATAACAATTCAAAGGGAACTAATATATTTATATATTTTATTTTAAAACATACGATATATCTATGCATCAAAGAAAAGAATAACAAGAATAATATTAAATTCAAGAAAATACAATGAATATTAGTATTTGGATTCAATTACAACTATAAGGAGTGATTAGTTAGATTTTAATTTTTATTCTAATCCCAACTTTACTTTAAGGTGATTTAAAATAGTGAATTAGTTTGATAAATAAAGCTATTAAAATTAGTTAAGTTATGTAATTGAATGAAGGCAGAAATTCACCCAAAATCATTATTATTTAAGTAACTTTTCATATAATTGAATTGATTTTAGAAGGGTAAATTAATTAGAAGATTAGATCTCTCTTCTTCAACATCTTTTGTTTTATTAAATTGTATTGCGATTGTTCCTGAAAGATCACTTTAAATTTCAATGGAAATAGACATGAGTTTTGAATCAATTATTTCTATTCTTTATAAACTAGAGATTTAATAAATTTTTTGCTTCTATTTGTTGGATATATAATAAATTAAAAATTATTAGATATATTGTTTTAGAATTTATTTTATTATTGTAAGTAAATGTCTTATAAACTTATAGATCATGAATTCATTAAGAAAGTTGTTGCAAATTTATTTTCAGCTTGATAAAAATTGCCATTTATAAATATACACTTACAAAATTGAATTTTGATTGTTTATAGTTTTAGTCGATGAGTTTTGGTTTCAAATTAAATAAAAAATCTGAATATATGAATTAGACCAGACTTCTAAATTATGCGAACATTTATTTTTAATGCTTTTGTGATTTTAGTTTTATTGATTACTTATTCTTGCTCCAAATATTTTCATAAACTACAAATAAATCTTTATTTTTTCTCTACTCATTTATTTAAGGAGAATTGAGTTTCGCTTTAATTGAATGATTATCAATTTTTCATTCCAATTTAAAATGTACTTTAGTATCTCTATTCATTAGTTTTTGATTTAATTTATTGATTAGCATATCCTTATGATTTGATTATCCTCTCTTTATATGTATATAGTATTTATTATTATGAATTCTTCATCTTATTAATATGATCCTTTGCTTATTAGTCTCTGTCTTATTTCATGAGAAATGAAGCTTTCTCATTCTTGAAATAATATTGATATTATTTAATATATAATAATTCTTCAATCGTTTTCGATTGTAAACATTCTCAAAGTGCCTAAGGCTACACTGCCTAAGAATTGATAAAATTCTTCCTAATAAATTTTAAGTGCATTTTACTTCAGTTTTGAATGAATCTTCTTACTATAAATGTCTTCTATAATTCCTAATTGGTCGAAGAACATTTCTTTCTAGCTTTCTATTAAAAGGTGGAACAAATATATATCCGAGAGTAACTGCTCCAGCTGTTCCTAAAGCTACTTTTGCCAAGACCATTTTATTTATTTTAATATTTTTATAAAAAATAATTAATCTCGATTTAAGAATATATAGCAACAACATATTGTGACTCCTATGTTACTAATTTAAATTTGATCTAATAAAATCAATCGATTTTTCAATTCCCTATAATTAAAATAGCTAAATGAAAATATTGGGATACTATCATCATATTTGGAAAGTAATTTAATAGAGGAGACTTTTTATTGATTTTCCTTATAATTTTACTTGTAAATTGGAAGTACATGTAAAGTATGTTAAATTGATATAAAGTAAATCAAAATCGGATTCTTGAACTTTGGGATACTCAAAATAATCCTAAGTATGTCAATTATAATAGTTGAGAACAAAGACTACTATTTATGCTTAAATACTGATGGATCACTAAAATTTGAGATGAAAAATTAGAACATATAAAATATTAGAAAAATAAGTCTTGATTTTTATCTACTTAAAGTAAAAATTAATAAGCAGGTTCTTTAAAAACAGTTTGATATTACTTAGAATATCTCTAAGGGTTTAGACATATGCAGAATGGATTTCTAAAATAAAATTGGGTTAATAAGATTCTCTTTCTAAATTATTTAATATTATTTTAATCAGTTAGAGAGCTATTTTTTTGAAAAATACTTATCTGAATTCGGATTGATCTTTTTATTTTTTGAATAATATTGAACTTTCTTTATTTATGACTTAATTAATTTGCTATTTCAAATTAATATTGTGAATTAATTTCTCTGGTATAATAATTTTAAATATTTAAAATTTTATTATTTAAAATTCAAACCTTAATGTAAGGTATTTACATGAGATATTGTATTTAAATTGAAGATTACTTCCCAAGCGTAACTCTGAAAGAAGGCGATAATTTAAAAAGTAATTTTAAAATATATAATTGAATTCATTAAAATAATGACTTGAAAATTATACAATTGAAAATTTTATGTAAATTTCTCAAAGTTGGAGAGTATAATCAAAAAGTGCAAAGATAGACATAATTTTTAGAAAAGAATGCAACTTGGCTTTCAATACTTATTGAATTGTCATATTTATTAAAAATCAATATAATTAATAAGTATTAATCAATATAAATTATTTATTAATTACATATCTTTTCTTGATATTTCCTAGTAATATATTTTAATTAACACACTTAAACTGGCATTCATAATTGCCAGTTTTAACACTAAAATCATTTATTATATTATTTCAGCTTTATGTCATCTATATATTCTATGCATTCCACTCCTAAATGCTAGCTTAAGTAAGAGGCTGGCCTTGAAAAAATACATAACAGAACAATAAAAAAATAACAAAAGTAAACTCTCTAAACGAAGAAAAAGTCTGAGCAATCTATTATTTTAGCTTATCAAAATAATAGAAAACTGAGATAATAGACCTATGAAATCACTCATAACAAATATTTAGATCAATCCTGTGGTTCAATTCAAAACATTCTAATTCCTTTGGGAAGATTACAAATTGATGAATTTACGATAAATAATAAAATTTTGGAAAGGAAAATTACTCCAGAGTTTGTTGAGTGCAAATTGTCATCAACAAACTCTTGTGAAGAGGAAAATGAACTTAAAAAAAACAATAGTTTTTATTAATATGAATTATTACAATTATACAATAGTTTACCAGTATTAGCTTAGTAGTAAAATGAAAGAAAAAGATATGAAGACTCATTAAATCTACCTTATGAATGTATCACTTTGTAGTTTCACAATAACAAACTAATCAAAATATAGAAAAAATGGAACTATGATTTTCTTAGAATGATGGGAATTAATCAAGAAATAATCGATGATTATATATTTAATCACAATTTGTTACCTAAATGTTGGGATCTAAACAAAATATATTAGATAATTGGTGAGTCTAGATTTGCCACAAATATCAAAAATTATTAAGGAAAAGAATTTATTTCTAATGTTGATATTAAAATATTTACAGAATAAAATAAAAGTACATCAATTAAAGAATAAGTGATTTATTTCTCATTTAAATGTGAAAGACAATTCCTAAGTGTTGAGTAAATAGAAACAAATTTCTAACACTATTTTAAGTTGGATTAAATCGCTTCAGATTGTTAGATGTCCATCCATAGATCTAGAATTACAAAGAGATGTTCAATAAGATAAAAAGCTAATTGAGATAATGGATGACTGATTCATTTATTAATTTATTTAATTATAATTTAATTTAGTAAAATTAAACTTAAATGTAAATGCTATAGAATAACTAGATTGCTATTAATGATTTTATTGATCATTCACTCTAACATTTTAGCGTTTTAGTTCCTTTCTGTAGATATGAAAGGCCTAGTTGTATTTTGTGACAAAGGATTTGAAGCGATAAAGCTAGATTCCTTGATGCTCAATTAAACTTGTCTGCTATTGATAACTTTCGATTGAGTTTTTAAATATTGTTTAATCTTCCTAAATCTAGTTTGAATTCTTTCTTCTTGCTCCTTTCTTAATAAAAGATACGGTTTAAGGCATTTCATTTCTTTAGCTATAGATGGGAATCTTCTAAGAATGATTTTTCTTATAAAGTCCAATTACAAGTTTAATTTTGCTATGTATGCAATGAAAATTCTATGCAATAGGGCTTCTGCTAATGCCAAAATTAGGAAAATTATAATCATTTGAATCAAATAATTGAGGTACATGATGTTCTCTTATTAGACCGCATAAAGCAAGAGACAACATATAATTGTTACAGATAATAAAAATGATGTTTTAACATCAATGGTACTAATGGATTATAATTTATATGGCTAAAGTTATTAGCAAAGCTTGTAGTAAATCAAGATGATCAAAAATATTATGATTCCTTTGACTAATATAAATTATTCATAGTAGTTAACAATAAGGATGATTGATAACTTATAAAGCATTTTAATGATTTCCCAATAATAGGATTCGGCTGTATATTCGTTATATAAAAAAGAATATTTTGTTCTTGCATTCTTATCATCAAGGCTATCTTTCACTTTGTTTAATTGCAGAAACAAAAATAAAGGAATTAGGATACCATATAATATTAAAATGGGATATATAAATCTAATAGACCATTCTTGGTGAACTTATGTATCATATCTATGTTCTACATTAGCTTGAATCCAATCAATTCCTGAGAGCGATCTTTTTGTTATCAATGAGACACCCCTAAAATAAATTAGTATAATACCATTTAATAATATTTTGCTAATTCAAACAATATAAATAAATGATTGAAGAGAAAATGTATGATTTTGAAAAAGTCACTTATTTCCTAATCAAAAATATAAAAAATATAAAGCATCCTAGTGCAAAATGCAAGATAGGCAATAACAACATTAAAATATAATGGGCGTATTCATAATTAATGTGAGTAATATATGGTATTGAACAATCGAGTTGATATGTCACCATATATGTGGAATCACCTAAAAATAAAATGGTATTAGATAAATTGGAAAATATAGAAATTTAGAATGTGCTAATCAATGATAAAATCTAAAAGATGTTATTAGCCAATTTAATTAAAGTACTGGTTTAATCAATCATCTATTTGTGAATGGTTCCAAAATGTCTATAAAGGCATTTTAATTTAAACAGTTATCTATTAGAAAAATGATTACTTTTTATAGTCAACCCAATCAGCAGCACAATCCATATAGTTTCAATAATCATAAAAGCAAATTAATAGCTGAACTCACCACATATTTAGCAATTCTAAGCTTTGTTATTCAAGAAAGAACCTTGTCCTCTTATATTATAAATATCACATTATTCGCATAATGCTCCTAGTGCTCCAACTTCACAAGATTGATCAGAGACCTGCCAGCCACCAAGGCATCTACTAGGATAGATTTTACACTATTCAATTTAATTAGATCTTAAATTCGGTCTCCAATATCCACTTTATAATTCAATTAGTGCTCCTGTTGTGCTTTTTATCATTTAAATGTTTATTCGTTAGCATGAGGTTGCCTTGTATTCTACAGAATAATAGCCTTAATCACTATCACATTTGAGGCATTTGTTATCTTAGTAATATTCTCCAATTTGGCATTTAAAAGATTTGCTATAAAACCTTAAGAAGTAATTATTTGTTTTAACACTATCACATTGGACATCAGTTCTAAGGTAATTATTACTCTCCAAGTAAGGATCAAATGTAAATATAAGGTAATTTAAATTATATAAGGAGTTAGTGTCATCATAATAAAGTGATGTTTTGGTTGTGTCATTAAATACTTATTCATCATTTCCTACTTATTTAACATGCTGGGTGCTAAAGTTGCATCTAGTGTTGTGTTATTCAATCATTTATTCATTCTAAAAATTAAGGGTCTTTATTGCTATATCCAACGGATATTTGGAAAATGAGGTAGTATTCATATTAAATTTTTGAAAGCTATCTAAATCAGTTCCACTTGGAAAATATAAAAATTTTGCTAATTTTGATTTATTATAGTATAACACCTCCTCAATAGTTACGTTATCATGTTAATAATTCTATCTATGCTGAGGAATATCATTAATTAGTAATTACAAGATACTAGCTTAGGTTGCTACATTATTGGCATATAGTGAGGCCTTATTTTCTATAAAATGAACAGTATCAGAATTATTATCATAAATATTCAAATCGTAAATGGCTCCACCAATCTGAGCTTAATTTGAATAAAATTATGTTTCAATTAGTTTAAGATTTTAATTACTATTTTAATAATAGATTGCACCTCCTTTGGTTTTTGCTTAATTCAAAATGAAAAAGCATTATTTAATAAGAAAACCAAAATTATCTGATCTAATTGCTCCTCCAATGTAAGCTTTATTATTAATAAATTTAGATTTTGTAAGTCTATGATATTTTTAAGTACCCTAAGATTTCATCAAAAAACAAGTATCAAAACCACAAATATTAGATAGAAAAACTAATTCTTGTAATTTTAATTTAATATTGCTTTATTGATTATTTAAATAGAATACACCGCTATTACAAAAAGTGCAATTATTATTATTTAAATTGAGCAATTTAACATGGACAGAAGAGATATTTTCTTAAAAATTCATTTGTATAAGTGATTTCAATTTATCTCCTTGAATCAATGATTAAAAATAATTGTTTAGATTAGCAATTTGGAGGGCATAGTTTGGATATTACCTTTGTTAATTTTAATATTCGGAACAATCACTAATTTGAAGACTTTGTATTTAAATTATGGATTTCAAGCCTTAACATATATATTAGAATACTTTATTCATTTTCAAAATAAACTAATGCTGAAGATAAATGAGTTATATTTTGAATATTCAAATTGTTAATTAACATTCTCTTAGCAAATTTGAAATTAAATATTGGCTGAAATGCAAATCCATCATATTAAAAGTTCTCTACTAGAACTTAGCTATTAAATAATTTATAATTTTTACGAGTCTTTTAAGGAAAATACAGCTGAATCCTAATTAATTTAGTAAGCATTAATATCTAAGTTAAATTATGATAAATATTATAAAAACTCTTCAAAGTGATTTTCAACTCTGATATTTTTCATTGAAATATACGAAATTGATCTAGAGTTGAGTTAACTCATCTAAAACGAAAATACAGAAGACTAAATTGCAAATACATTATTTAAATATAAGTTTTTAAGAGATATTTGCACTTAATATAACGAAGGTTTGAAATAAATTACCCCTCCAACAAAACCACTTTTTGAATTTATAAAGCTTGTGTCGCTGATATGAAGATTTAGATATGAGTTTTCTGAATTAATAAAAATACTGCCTCCTTTTCCATCCTAAGCATTACCAATACTTGTCGATTGATTAATGAAATAACAGTTCGATATATTTAGCTATCCATGTTATTTTGTAGTAATACTTAATACACCTCCCAACAATCCGGTTGTGTTAATAAAATAAGAATCCAACATGAACAAATACTAAATCTACAAATTTATTAATCCACCTTGCGAATTAACTAAAGGAGAATTCAATTCCATTAATATTAATTATTCCTTTTGATATTTTTCAAGGAAGTAATCAACATTATTTACATTTGTGCTTGTTAGATTAACAATTTCTAATGACAAAATTTATATCAAGAGAATAGAATTACTAGAGTTTAGCACAATTACATCATTAATTACATTATCAAAAAGTCTTACATAACTTTATTCTGACTATATAACAGCCAAGGCCGCTGAAGAGATCTTAGTATCCTGCACTAATTCATTTAAAAATATTTCTTAAAATTAAGAATTCGAAACTGTTATGTTGTTTTAAACATTGCCAGAAATAAATAATACAGTTGTAAATTCTGAGAATATAGTTTTAATTAGTTGGATGCCTGAAAATAATAAATTATCTAAGTTGACATATCCCTATTTCATCTTTATCATCTCAACCAAATTTACCTCAATAATCTTACTATCCACACATAATTGATTTAAGATTAAAATGTCTCTCAATTCTATAATTTATGCTTCTATGTATAAGATTTAATTAAGCGACTCTTCTTTTAATTTATCAAAGTTAAAAGTTTATTGTTTAAGAGAGGAGGTTGCATTAACATTAGTAATCATTACGCTCTAAGCATTTCGAATTGAAAATTCTCGGCATCCAGGGGATCTTATTAATGATATTTCATTTGCTTTAAAAAATGATGTTTATATCAAAAATAAATAGTAATCTCTCTCTCCTGGATTATCTAGTGATTCCAATTCATATAATTAAATATCAAGTAATGAAACGCTTATGTCTTCTAAACCATATTAAGGGATTTCTACAAAGAGAGTTTATTAATATTAAGAATCATAAATAACGATTTTTTCAAAGTTATAATCTTCCTTAGTACTAGAAATAATTGATTATGCGGATTTCATTTTGTGAATAAGAATGAAATTTTTCATAAAACTTTGTTTGAGTGAAAGGTTTATAATTGTTGATGACGATGTCAATCGAATAAAATCGGTATCATAAAACGAACAATTTTTAATTTAAAAATCCCTTATGAAAATAGTTTGACTTTATGGGGCCAAAACAAAAATAGAGTTTTTCATAGTACAATTTTAGAAAACGAAATCTTGGAAGAGAATACTTGCACTTAATGATAAGCCCATGCTACTTAAAAATGAGCTGTTTTAGAAAAAGCAATCAATAAATCTCAGGCTAATAAATTAAATCTTATTATAGTTATTTCGATCAGTCAAGCTTATTAGATTAGTAGATGTAAATGAACAATTGAAAAAAGTTACATTTTTGAAATTCAAAAGGTCTAGACTTGTTATTTTATCAACAACTGATGTCAAGTTGAAAAATAGCACATTAAACAATGTTATATTCTAAATGATAACATTGGTAAAATTAACTTTATCAGGATTTTACACTGCTATTTAATAGGATCTTTGGGGAGTTGTATCATCATATATAATTTATAAGTTAGTAGGATATTATGCAGTATCTGAAATGATTACATTTTCAAAAGTCAATTTCACATGCAATAATGATTCTATTTCTAAAACAGATTATTATGTTCGACTGAATAAAATAGATGTTTAATTGAATAAGATCTCTTAAAAATTTATGAATTTGTATTTTGCAAAAATAAAAGCAATCTATACATTTTAAGAGTAATAAGTTAACTTAGCATATTTAAGACTTGCTATTTATTAAATAAATGAGTTATATAACTTATTTTAACTTAAAAAGGAATTATAATCTGAATAAGTCGCACTCATGTTAATATTAAAATCAATATAGGTTGGGCTTTTGAGATTATAAAATAAAAATAGGTTGTTATTAATACCAGATTTAAGCAAACTTTAAAAAGTGCTGTAGGCTGAAAAATTCTAAGTTTTATTAAGTAAAATAATTTACATATTTTATTTTTAATTAGCATTTTGGAATATCTTAGGAGCACTATCTTGCTAATTATTTTTCATTATCAAGGAATACAAAATTTTAAGTTGTTGATTTTAAGATGCATCTATAAGTTAGCCAATTTTAAATTTAAGTTAAGTTCAAGTAGGGATTCAATTACTGTAATTCTAATTAGTTTCTTGGTTTGCAATATTCGCAATAATAAGGACAATCTGAGCATTTTAAATCAATTATTGATAAACGTTTTGTTCCTTCCAATGTGTTTTCGCAAGTTCTACATCCTAAAAAGTAGGTACTGCAATGCAAAGGATCTACTAAATTACAATTTTGAGAAGTTATTTATTGATAACCTGGCGCACATTTACTTACTGAAACAGTTATAGATTCAGTTTTTTAAGAACCAGGATATTATTTACTTAGACTATATAGTAATGGCGTCATCTCATATTTAAAATTCTAATTATTTAATTAAGAAGAAAAACATTCACTGTAAGTAGGATTTAAATCCACACAGGACAAACAAGTGCCATAAGTTCTTTATAAATAATATCCAGGTTAACAAGCCACGCAGTAATATTAACTGTTTGTTATTTTAAGACAGTTAATACAATTCTATAAGTAATTGGTACAATCACTAATTTATACTCCTTTGGAAAAGTCATTATCAGTAATACATACAGAAGTCTATGAAGATGTTATGTAATATAAGGAACAAGAAGTGCTCAACAAATTTTAATTTTATTCACACTGCCCAGTATAAAAATTAAAGATAAATCCATTATAGCAGAGAGCACATCCAACTTCTAGATCCTCTTGATCATATGTGATATTTGAATATTTGAATACTGAATTATAAGTAGGATTGGATTTTAAATATTAGAAGCAGTACTTGCAATTAGCTATCGAACATAAGTAGCAATCATTTTATTCAAAGTTAAAAAAATAAAGGCTATTATCTTGACAGCCTATGCATGAAACTAGGGAACTTTTTACACAAGCCTTGTTTACATAGTTATATTCAGAGATAAAAGCACATTAAGGTTCATTATTAATTAGAATACATTTTGCGCAATCATTGTCACAGAACTTACATTCTCCATTCACCAAAATTGCTTTATAAATGCAAATTACCATCACAGGTTAGTTTAAGTGATAGTATGCACTTTCAAGACATTGTGAATTATATGGAGGAGTTAAGCATAATGAACTACAAAAAGTGCAAAAGGTTAGTTGATTATCATTAAATAAGTAGACATTATATGGATCTAATTCTAATAGTATAATCTAAGCACTGGTTGTAATATCTTAAACAAATGTGTTATTCTCATTCTAATTAAATTATGAATATTTTTTTGTGCATATTGGAGTTAAGACCCAAGTATTTGGATATTAGATGCATTCAGGACAAAAATACTAACGGTTAAGTTTGGGACTAGCTTAATATGTTTCAATTACCATTCAAAACATTGATTATCATGAAGGAAGTATCCATAAGAGCATACTACATTTGGTTCCTCTTAATCATACCCTTGCCTTTTGGAAAGTGGTATCAATTCTTCTGTATTTGGTGTTCCTGCATAGCTATAACATGTTGTAAGGTTGGTATCCAAATAACCAGATTTACAAATACATATATTATCTTTTGTTAATTATCGATTAGACGTAGTAGAACAAGTAAGACACTCATTTTTATTAGGCCCAAAACAAGTTGCACATGTTAGATAGCACTTTGGAGTATAAGTCGTTAGACAAGTGTAAAAGTATGGTAAATTAAATTATCCTTAATTAGTGCTCTTGTTGTATTAGGTTCCACCCAAATTAATGACTAGGTTTAAGTCTGAAAATTAGTTAATGCTAGTCAAAGTTTTTGAGAATTAATAATTTTGCAGCACAAAATTTATATTCAAATAGATTGAATTACTCTTAAAAGAATACGAAAAGTAATGCCAATTATAAAGGGAATACTAAATTGGTATTTCATAACTAACAATTTTCTCAGTGGGGTCTGCATTGTTTACAAGAGAAGGAATGGTTGGAAAGGTAAAAGTGGTGTAAATTATTTCAACTATTTATTTAGTGGATGTAATGGAGTATGATACTTAGGCTAATCTTCCACCTATTTAGGCTAAGTAGTTGTATATTAAATTCTATTATATATGCAACACATTGACGTAGTTAGTTGCTAAATTGCTATTCTTTTCCATTTTTAACCATGTAGTCAATCCGTATGATTTTGATATTATATCTTTGATTGTATAATCATAGAAATTAGTAGAGGAATAGTTGAACGTCCCTCTCAAGGCCAAACCAGATGTGGAACTACATGAAGTCTGAGTCTAGGGTGTGAATTTTGAAGTTGATGAAAGGATTTGATACTTAATTGGTCCTTGTAACTAATTGTACCCAAGATACCGTGACTAAATTTTATAATTGAATAATAAATACAATTTTTGACTCACCGAGGTAAAATGAAAAGTAATCTTGAATTGGAAAATACTCATTTTTTAAAATTTTTTGGAACAATATATTTTTATTAAGGTTTTAATAAAACGTGATATTTAATTACTGCTGCTTTACGTCATTTCTTATTTCTAAACTATACCAGAATCCTTCATAATTTAAGTTCTGAAGTGTAATTTTTTCTGTATATTTTTGTGTCTGTGTTTAAATTTCAAAAAAATGAGTCAAAGTTTTTAGAGTGTTGTCAATTTTCAAATATGTCAAAAATACATATTATGTACTAATGTCTAATATTTTTGTATTCTAAATGCAGAAAATTAAATATATATTGCTGGTGCTTGAGGATTTGTTAGTGTACAGGATCGAAGCTGGAACAAATTTTGATTCTATTGTAAAATACAACGAATTGTTCCATTCTGCCATTGAATACTCCGAGTATTAGATTTGCTGAGTCGGATTTATTGTCCCTGTCTAAGCTTTCGCTAGAGTTACAAGAAAACTTATTAATATAAAGAACAACATAGTTTTTATTAATTAAATATCTTAATTGAAGGGTTTTATTACCTAATGTATTATTAACATTTTATTCACTGATTCCTTATTATTATTTTAATATGCTACTGTTTTTTAAATACATTAATAATTTTTTTTTTATGTTTTAATTGTGTAAATCCTTTTACAACTTTTCCAAATTAAAGGTTTTTGCAAATCAACTGACAAAATCAATAGATAATGCCCAAAAAAATGTAGCATTCGCTTATTTCCTCCCAAAGGATTGGAATGAAAAATAAGTAAAAGAATATTTTGATCCTCAAGATAAATTGATAAAAAGAAGTAGATATACAAAAAAATAATAGTTCAGCTAATCAAAGACTCATTTGATAATCCCACTGGTAAAGCGATTATTGAAATGGAATCAGAATCAATTGCTCAGAAATTTATCAAGGAGCATCATGAAAATTATATTGACACTAAAGATGTTTTATAATAAATCGTTGTGAAACCATTTAGTTTGAAAAAAGAATAAAACAAATTAGATATTAAAAGAAGCGATAAATAGGCTTATATTACAGGTTTACCCAGATAAATGAAAAATGAGGAGCTTCTAGATTTGTTGATTGATTTTGGGGAAATAGAAAAAATATAAATTCCTAAGGATTAAAATTAGGAATTTAACAAAGGATATGCATTTGTTTTATTTAAAAAGGTTGAGGATGCCTAAAAGTTTTAGACCTTTATGAATGGAAAGGAATTTATGGGAAAGAAATTAAGGTAAAATTTTGATTAATAAAATTAGCGTCTAATTGAGAATATTTAGGTTTGATAGCTAGAAAAAGAGTTTCAAAACAGAAAAGGTGCAGGATGGAGACGTTTAATATGAATAAAATAAAGCCAATTATGGTCTTTTATAAAAGGAGTTTGAAATAAAAAGAGAATGATAATATTATAATATTTCCTTATAATTAAACTTATATATTTGACGGGCTATGATTAATCAATCTTCAAAATTAAGCAAATTTCATTAGATGTTAAATCAAAAGTTGAGGTGATTCTAATATATATAATTCTTAGTTAATTTTATTTATATTTTCAACTCAAATTTTAATTTTTGAGTTTTCTATCAATTCTAAAACTTATATTAATTTTATTTCCATTACTCTCTTTGATTTTTATTCTATCTTTTAAGATTTAAAATGACTTAATAAAGATTACTCAATTTTAAGTTTAGACATTTATTTTTCAAATAATATCAATAATATGACTAAGAATTTTTAAGTTTTTACTTAAATAAAATATATATTGATCAAGCTTTTCTTTTCTTTACTTTTGTAAATGCAAAATTTGTATCAGAAGCAAGATAATCGAATTAGGAAATTTTAGAATTACTTTTAGATTAATTTAAAATAAACCTACTGGTCTTTTTTTATAGTAAGCCCGTTTCGTCTGTCATCTATTTATGTACTCCTTCTATATTATTAATTAGTTATTGAATTTACTAGTTATAGTTTCTTTGAGATTTGGGTTCAGTTTTTATTTTAAATTGAGATTTTTAAGGTCGTAATTCTAACCCTTAAGGGTGTTTAGAATGAGTGTATTTGGAATGTGATGAATCTCTTTCAGAATTTAAAGCAATATAGTGATGACTAGATGATTATCTAGGAGAGAGATGGATCATTGAGTATTTCTTATTAAATATTCTCGTGGATTACCTGTTTAAATTTGCTATCATTCTTTTGGATTTCTCAGCAAATTGTTTACTAACTAATGAATAATTAGGATGTTTTGATTTGAATTCGAGTATTTCACTTTTGCTTATTTTCTTTGTTCCAACTGTTATCATTTCTGATTATTCTTTTTCTAAGTGATTGATCAATTAATCAACATCATCATAAAAGTTATCAGAGTTACCATCTCCATTAACAAATGTGCTTTTGTGTTATTATTGCCTTTGAATTTCACAAGGGTTTAAGGGGTCCAATATTTTATTAGATGGCTTTACTATTTATCTGAGTATAGATTTAGCATTTATGAAGGTATCAAGTTTTGTGAATGGAATTAAGAGATCATTAAATTTCTTTTCTTTATTGCCTACTAGTATTTTAAACTTTTGTAAATTCCGTTTTACGACAGAAGCTACTCTTTGTTACTCAAATTACATGTTCATATAAAATAATCATAAATCTTTAATATTTACTCCTCCTTTCTAGTATGGATTTTAATTAGGATAGCTCATTTGGGATTCCAGTAAACCAATCAAAATACTAATTGAAGAGGTGTATTAATACTTATCTTCAGATTGTTGCTTATTTTCAATATTTTTAGGAGGCATTTGAGGTGCACTAGCATTTTTATTAGTATCAGGTTACAACTGTTAAATGAGATCTAATTAGTAATCAAAATATCTAATACTTTGAATAGGCATTTTTTTATAAGGAGCTCTAGCCCATTGTATTTTACATATAACATCCTTTATAATAATATTATTATAAAGACTATTAACTGCATTTTCAGCATCTGTTCTTTTAGCAAATTGAATAAAGCAACTTTGTCCATGTTCCATAATTTTAATTGAATTTACTTTTCCATACTTTGAAAATAAGTGTCTATTGATTATAATTCCAAATTACTTTAGATCTGATTCTTTGATTTCTGCACTCATATGTGAAATATAGAGACTGCATATTTTAGGGTCATCAGGGGCAATAAGTCCTTTAGGTTCAAACTTCTCCTTGTAAAGTAAATCAGCATCTATGGGATTTTGCAAAGGTTCACAAACAACTTGATTAGCTGGTTCTAGTTTTCCATCATTCAATTGCTAATTGACTTCTGCTAATCTTGGTTCTTTCAAGATTTAATCTAACATCGGCAAAGGTTTATCATATGGTAAAATTAATCTCTCTATTTGTCTATTTGCTTATTCAGCCCAGTAATCTCTATTTGCTGTGTGTTCAGGTATTTCAATCTTTTCATCGCCCAAAAATTTGTCTCTTGTGCACAATCCCATATTTAATTCTAAATCTTTGAAACAGGCCTAACAAATATTTTTGATTTTTCCACAGGTCTAACAAATTTCAGTCTATTTCTATCTTGAATTATGTCCAGGCTTCCATTTAAAAGTAGTGAATGGTCTTGCACAGATTCTGCACTCTCTTCCAAATCTATCTTTAAGCTTCATTTGACAATAAGATTTTAAATTACCATTCGAATATAAGGGTTCTCACCTAGACAAACATTGCAGACAATCGGAAAATCGGTTTCTTCCCATGCTAATTTGCTAATGTCCTATTTTAAGGCATGTCCTCTTTCTGCCATATTATTATTTATTTAAATATAATTATATTTTCTGGAGACTAAATTTAGAATCTCATATTTGTAAATAGAAATGAAGTTCTTCTCAGTTTATTTATATAGTTTGGCAATCCTAGAATTTTGTTTATTTTATTAAATAAATAATGGATTTTATGCTTGATTATTATTTTTATTACAGGTTTAATACTCAACATATGAAATAGATTTCTATTGACAACAAATGATAAGACTTAAAGAAATCAAATGCTCCAAAGCAATTATAAGTGTTTACTTATATCTACATCATTTGTATGGCTATATTTTTGGAGTAAAGTAATCTAAGTCAGACCATCAACCATTTTCAAAAAATCAATCATTTATGGCTTTATTGTGAGCACATTTTAGGCCAGCTACTATGGAACACCTAAATTAGATAGATTTTTATATAGACAGCAACAGAAATGAATGATATATATTTCAGAAATTGGGTGAATATAAAGTAACATCATTACAATCATCAAAAAAGTGTTATGTTTCTGATTCTCTTAACATTAGTGAATCTGTAGATTCCATTTAATCTGGATTCACAAAACTATCTTTGTTTTGGAAACTAATCAACACTTACTTTTTCAAAGGTAACTTGTTTACACAGTTTTGCTTATTAATGATAATGTCAAATTGTTGCAATCTATTTACATAGTTCTGCAATATCATCTGGAAGGACTTCGATTCCACATTTTGGATGATATTTTGAGCATTGTTTATAATATCTTAACTGATGTTTTCAATTTCTGCAAGAATTTCTTAGATGCTATACTTTAATGAGACTTCTTTTTTTGTTTTTGCAGACTCATATAATTGTCTTGCTAAATCTAAGAATTCATTCAATTGTTATAATTTTCTATTCTATTCAGTTGTGATTGGTTCATCATATTTCAAAGTCCAACTTCTTTAGCTTTTTTTCTTAGGGATTAACTAATTAGTTTTCATGTCATAGATGAGACCTTCATATGCTTCTTAAATAGCACAGAGAGAACATAAGTATTGTCTCTCTTGCTTTTCGTTGGCTTTGAAATATTTAGCCTTTTTCTCCGAATGATAGATGCAACAAATAGTTTATTATTAGACATTTTGAATACTTTGTTGTCTTTATTTAATTATTTATTAGTACAACTCTTATGTTTATACTTTCTCAATTTTATTCTGTTCTTCTTATGAGATTTACTTTTGGGGAGTAACATTGTTTGATTTGTAGGTTTGCTATTAATATGACTATTGTTATTGTCTTAATTTGATGTTTTGATTTAAAACATTTAGGATTGCTTAACTAGATTGGATTTGAGAACTATTTGGTGATCTGCTATGTTTACTCACATTTAAATTAATATGATCTGATTTTGTTGGGGTTTTTGCGAACTTATAAGTATTTTCTTTATGTCTAGTTGTTTTGATTGATGGCTGAATAAATGAAACATAGGTCTACTTTTATTATCGACATGATAATGGATGCTAAATCTCAATAGCAGAGGTTAGATTAGACAATTTAGGAATGAGGGGCTGCTTTTTATATGCAGTTTTAATCATTTCGTTAATAATTTAAATAAATCAATAGTTCAGATATTAGTCACATCCAGTTTTACAAATTGGGCATTTGCGACTTTTGGCCAGCCAGAAATCTATGCATTCACAATGGAAATAGTGGACTAAATGTTAATTAATGTAGATATTTACGACAAGGTAATGTTCTCACAACTTCTTCGTCAGTGTAATCCATTAAACAGATCATACATTTACAAAAGTCAGCATTCTCATTTTTCCCTTTATTTTGAATCCATTGAAGATCAATTTTCCTCTCTGGGAATTTGTTTATGATATTCTATGAAACTCCATCATGAATGATTGGCAACCATCTTTGTGAATTAAACTTAATGATAATTTGGAATGAATACTAACACGATTTCATCAAAATATCGAGGAAGAGCTATCAAATGAGGTTGATCTTCATGAATGAGAATAGAAGTTTCACTTTATTATTACTGTCCATTATTGTCCGAATCTATAGATCTATCTAAAGAGGAATCATCAGAATAGGGTTATTCAGGTTATTGTAATCTTGATTATCTATTGGCTCCATGTTTATTGGAGATGAGTATATTTTTGAAGAATACAGGCAGAGTCATCTATGACAATTTTTGATTCTACTCATGAAGTCCAATCCCTTAATAGGTTTCATCACTATCCATAAGATCACTTTCTAAATCATGAGAGACCTCGTCAATCTCTTTGTGTAATTGCGAAAGAAATGTGTTTGGGAAGATGGGGAAATCATTGATGGATTGGCTTCGACTGCTTAGGTCCCTTGAAGACAACACGATCTAATTTTCTTTTTCGTCATATTGACAATAGTTCTCCATCATACTATACAACTTCTTTCTTTTTTAAACGAATTGATTTCGGGAAGCTGTTTTATCTTATAGAATTTTGAGGGTGTTTATTTAAACCTATAATCCCCCAGTTTCTTCATCCTCATCGTTCATGGATTTAAATGTAAATTGCTCATTATCAAACAACTGAATTATGGTTCTGCTATCAATGAATCCTTTCTTTGGCTTACACGATTTAATCATAAAATCTACTTCCTTAATCCTTAATCTAGAGCCTTCTCTCACATACCTAGGAATCATAAAATAAGGCTATATGTAATTTTTAAGTAATTCTTATTTATTTGGTTCTTACTAATTCTGAATTACTATCTAGATTTCCTATAACATGGGTTTCCCAGAGTTCACAATCCTGCATTCCTGTTTTATTAACATAATTAATTACAGTTTACTATCGAAATATTCCATCCTCAGGCTAGCACCGTATAACTTGCATAAGCAGTCCATCAATAATTATCTATTGATCTTGGCTAATATGCTGGTTTATAGGAAGCCTGGTAATGTGTTCCTTCTTCTCTTGGGACAGATTCAGGAATTGAACTTGTTATAATGTTCGATTATTGCTCAAATCTCCTGGATAACACAGAATTGAAGTTGTGTCACCTACATGACCATGCAGAGGATCCAATAAAAAAACCTTGAAGGGATTGCCACTTATCATTATTGTCTGCCCCAATTTTAGAGCCCTGTTTTTTAAACTATCATAAAGCTATTTCTCTGGCACTTGCATTTGAATTAATCTATCATATTAAAAGACAACAGTTTGAAAGGACTGAGTGTTTATGACAAAGTTTTATTCGCTTGATCGTATAAATTGCATGTCTTATACAAACATACTTTAATATAATATATATAAATTTCATTATCCTAAGCACAATTTAAACCATTAGTTCTCTCCATCAGCCAGCACCTATTCAAATTATTCCTATTGTTTCTGGCTCCTCAATTTTGATCTTTCATTGCTCTTCTTTAAACGAGACTATATCTTGAATTCCCAATCATTATTAGAAGTTTAAATCTAAATATTCAATGCATCTTACTCTTAAATTATCACTCTGTTCCTATTCTGACAATTTGGCCAACCGACTCTGTTTTTTCGTATTATACTTCATTATCTATCTCTTGTACTCACTTTCAACGGGAATGAGTGCCCTCTCTAATGTTAATTTAATTTGCTATCGCTCATCCTACAATTTATCACTGAAAAATAAAGTTAGAAATTGATCGACAGTCATGTTTTGAGAAAATGCTGCATCCGTTTCTGGTGAATTGGATCTCTAGATTTTTTGATCCTCTTAATCAAAGCATTTTAAACTTTTGCTTTACTTTCTCAACATTTATGGATAAAAGAAACTAATCAATTAATCATTCTACAGAAGCTTACTTACATACTTCCTATTATCTTCTATTGTTGATATATCATATTTTAAAATTTTAATTATTAAAAGTGGTAAACCAAAATGATCTTTGTGTTATATCAATCTTTGCAATAAATAAGCCATACAATGAGATTCCTTAAAGTTTCTACTGTTACACAATTACGCAAATGGAATTCCCGATAGTATATCCATCAACTATTGTGGATCCATTTTATATTTTATTATCTGCAATGCCAAATTATCTCTAAATTCAAACAGATTCAACTATTTCAAGACTGATCTTATTTCTGGAGAATTCTTAGATGCCATCAAATTGATTATTTGAAACAGTAAAATATCTATTTCTTCATTGAAACCAACCAACTCCTCAAAATTCTTTACTAAAATGTCAAAGTTCTTTAAAAAGGTCACATGATCATTTTTTATCACTGGGTTCTACAATAAATCCTTTAAATAATCTATTAAAATATGAGATGCATCATCATGTCGTTTTAATATATCAATAATCTTCAATTTTGTTGACTTGCTTAAATCATACTAAATAATTGTTCTAATTATTGTATATATTTGCTATACAATTCTCTTGTCTGTATTTTACAATAACATACATAAACTCTATATTATATTTGAATCTAATAATGTAGCTAAGTTTTGATTATCCAAAATTGATTCAAAAATCTTCAAAATTTCAATTATATAGCTTTAAGATTGATTTTTACCTAACATCAAAAAGAAAAGTTCCAGTGATTCTAAATTTGTTATGTGTTAAATGGGTTGTTTATTTTCTAAATACTATTTCTGGGTTTTTTAAATTATTTCTGCAAATTCACTTCTTCCCATAACTGAAGAAACATTACTACTGTTCTCTGTGTAGAGGAGATGATAACTATCGAAATTCCAAAATACAAGTTTGAACACAGTATTACATAGTTAATTTGAGAACTCTTCGCCATTTATCAGTTTTTATATCAATTAGAAGAATTTTTACTTATTGCTGTAAATGGGGTTCTTGGATTATTAAAATAATTACCTTGATCTTATTGCTTTTGGCATTCAACAAGTATAATATATTTGATAATTTAATACTTTACTCCTTAGTTGTGTCATACTGGAGAGTGGCAAAAGAGTTAGTCAAATATTCCCCATTGATCATCTTATCGAACACTTTTTCTTAAAACATACTGTGAATTGAGAGTAAGCTCAAGATATCACTCATTGTTGCTCCATAATTTTGTTCATTTAACTTTTTAATAGTTTCTCCTGAAAACACAAAGTCGAACCATAACTCCAAATCAACTTTGTTTAAGTAAGTTTCAATATATTATATTAGTACAGGATATAAGTTAGCCATGTCATAATAATAAGGCAGATTCTTGCAAATTGAAATAAGCATATTGACAATTAAGTCTTGGTTTTTGAAGTCAAATTACTTTAAAAATGATATAAGATTTTCAATCACAAGAGTGTTTTCATCACACAATTTGATTTTGTAAAAGAAGTGGGAAATGCATTGTAAGTATTATGAACTGAGTTTCGAAATATCCATTAAGAATTCTAGCAAGGGGGTGATTGGATTTTGAGGCTATTGTTCTAAAGCATTCCACATTTCATACTGAGAGTAGACCAAGTATAAAACCATTTGAGGTTCTATCTTAAAATCATTATGCCTCATAATTCCTGCAAGTGAATTAAACAACACTTAATTTAATCGAAATTATAAGTGAGCAATCGCCAAATTACTCTTTTCATTATATTCAAAATCGAATAGTTCCAGTATTTACTTACTTTATATTAATTTAAGATTCGGCTTGATCAAATTCATAAACTACTCACATCTATTTTAACTAACCATATTTTTGAATATATCTACTTCCTGTTTCTAAATATTGTGATCACACACTAAAAATTTATTAATAATTTCAGCTATTTATATAAAAAACACATAACTGGATTAATCCTTTGCATCTTGCATATTATTTTTTTTTGCCTTTAAGAATGAATGGTAAATTTAATCAAAAATAATACTAAAGTTTTTAAATGCCAATTCACTTTGATGATCAAAGGAATTCATGTATCTGCACTTCTTGCTCATCTTCTATTCTATCATTTTGAATGCGAATCCAACAATTTATTTGAAAATATCAACATCATCAAGAAATAGAATGGCTAATTAACTTTAAATTGCTTCAAATTCAAGACTGTAGAATCCTTCTAACTAATTGAGTTATTCATATAATTAAAACAATTGTTAACAGACTTCCTCAGATTATTGAAATTTAACTTTAACTAAAATATTTTTAAAATTAGTGAAAATGTACTCGTTATCAATATTACAGAATTTCTCAGTGATTTACTCTGATGACAAGTATTATCTCATTTAAATGATAGCCAAATAATAGTATAACTTTAATCTTTTAGCAATTATAACATTCTTCCAATTTTAGTTTAATACTTCTACAATAATATTCAGAAGTTTATCCTATTATATAGGCAACAACTCAAGCATAAGTGTGAATGCATCTAAATCATCAATCTCAGAATCTGTTGTTGATATTTATTTTAAGAAATTGTAGAATTACTATTAAAATTGCTCATCCTATTAATCCTTATTAGTAATAAAATCACTTAGTAATTGATAACCATTGACTCTTTTAAACTCAATTTTATTTCTAGCATTATTTTAAAGGATCTGCTGAACGGTTTAAAGCAAATCCACTTAAACTTCGGACGTTGCCTTTTCAAGTGTTTCCAAAATGGCTTTGAATCCTCCTTAGAGTACTTGGAATTCTTTAAGTATGTCTTCAGATTGAGACCTTTCAGATTAGGTTTATGATAAGGCCAGTTTGTCTGGAGGTGTGCTACTTATGCTAATGATTTTCTCATAAATTTCATTTTTATTCTGATCCTAATCTGAAGTGGATCTGCTTATTGATTATGAATTCATGTAGTAACTTAAATCCACTTCAAAAATGGATTACAAACTTATTTGTTATTCAATGGCTTGTGATAATGTTAGGATTTCCTTCTTTTCAACACAAAACTACTTTATGCTTAATTATTTATTGTTTTGAGTAGGAAGGAACACCTTTGACAATTCTGAATAATATCAATAATGATTAAATACCTTGAAATGCAAAAGATCTCAATGACACGGCTATTTTACTAAATTTTTATTTTATAGTTTATTCTTGTCCATCCTCAACATTGCATATTACTACTTGATTTATATCTTCAATGAGCAAAAAATGCAAGAGAGCCTTCGATATTACGCGATTAAGTTGCGGATCCTTGTTCATTAAAATTGAAAGCAATTTGTGGAATCCTTATTATTCAAAAAATTCAATCCTCTAATTGAGATTCTCTGAAAATAAAACCTTTGTTATAAAAAAGCAAATACAATCAGCTTTATGATGAGAACCTTGGATTCAGTCTTCTGTGCTTTTTCAATTAAATTTAGAAAGTCGGACAAGACATTATGAGAATTTTCGACACTTTTGCGATACTTTGGTTCTCTTAAAATTTATTCTGCCAATTAAATACACTATTCCATTATATCTTAAACTAATTGCCCTTAGTCCGCGTTTCTAAAGATAAGGTTAATATGAATATAACCTTTTTTATATTTCCGGAAATTTATTCAAATAATCCAATATCACAACCAACACTTAATTAGCATCACCCAGGATGACTTCTAGTTGCTGATCATTGCTTTTTAAAAAATTCTTAATTGTTATGTTCGCCTATTCAAGGAATTGTTGGAATCTTTCCATAAAAATACACATTACTTTTTTAGTGTCTGGGGATCCTCTGATAAATTTGAAGCCTTCTTATAATCCTCCCAAAGGTCTTTCAGTCGTTTTTATAGTGTGTAGTTTTTCCATTTCTATTTAATAGTGTCCATAATTTATATATAATATTTAAAGTCTATATAACATACAAAATTAAAGAAATAGTATAATTAATAAGAAACTGTTTAAGGCATGTTTGAAAATTTATTACATTATATTCTAAATAATTTATATCCTCTATCTTAACAATGGCTTCCTACAGAGATCCAGGCTATGGAATTAATAGCAAGTCCGCATATGATCCAATAAGATACCCTCAATCAATGAACATAGATATAAATGCTTAGAAGCCTTTGGGTCCAGAATCAGGGCCAGGATTGCCAATTTAATTTGGATCTGCCTCTGCAAGAGCTTATGCAAAAGAAGTACTCCTCAAATTTAGTCTTAAAGTTCTAAGTATCCCCTGAAGTTTAAGCATTAAATAAATAACAGCAATTTTAGCAACCAACTCAAGGAGCTGCCATTATATAAAATATTGTTCAACCTTAAACTATTTACTAAGAAATTCAGCATTATGATAAACCAGTTTAGGTTGTACCTCGGACTGATATTGAGGAGCCGTGGAGAAGTATAAAATGATATTGATTACAGCCAAATGCACATTCTTAGAAAAATAAATATACGATTTGCAATAAGAAAACTTCAGATTGAAAGCTTAAAATATTGCATCTGAAAAGATTAGCTATTTTGAGGATACAGGGAGGGTTAATTAATTGATGCAAGAAGTGGATAGACTCAATAAGACCATTTTAGATTTGAATTCTGAGATTGATCAATGGAGACTCAGATACTCAAATTTAGAAGACTAATTGAAAATGCGATCTGTTGTTGATATGGAACTAGAAAGAATGAAGAGAGCTGTTCAAGATAATGAGAATATTGTGTAAATAGAAATGAACAGACTCAGAGATTAATTAGATTAATGGTAGAGAAGATGTTAATCTCTTGAGTCTTAAAGATTTGAAGCCCAGGACTTTCTATCCAAATCTAGAACAAAAGATCAAAATATCTGTAATATAATGATTAATTTTGTAGTCAATTTATAATCAGACTTGAAGAAAGCAGAACTTAATTTGAAGTTAAAATAAGACGATTTAGATACTGTCTAATAAAAATTAAATAGATTTGAGAAAATAGTACGAGAGACTGAATATCAAAACTAAGAAATTGCCAAGTAATTATTCAATTTCAACTTTTTTAAGTCTTAGGAAAATCATTGATGATCGCAATAAGGAATTAGAAATCTTAAGAAGGTCAAGTCAATCATAGTAGGCTAATTAAAACCTGAAGGATTTAGAAAGCAAGGTTTCGTTGTTTTAAAGTGAATGCAATAGATTAAATTAATTGTTAAATCACAAGGAATAGGAACTATAATTATACAGAGATTAATTAAAGAGATAATCTCATTATAGTAATAAATAATGACTTAAATTTAATCAATTTTATATGTTTTCATACGTAATCAATCAATGGTTTAGCTTGGCTTCTCTGACAAACAGTTTATACTTACTGAATATAAGTGTTCGTATAATAAGCATTCCGGTTGCTACAAAGGCAAAATGAGCTATTGTCATCTTGAGTTAATCATAGTTATCATGTTTTTTTTGAATCCCCAATATTTAATTGGCCTTTGGATGCTCTAAAACAAATCCACTCAATTTCCATAATCCAACCTGAACAGATGCAAACTATAATTAAAATAAATAATTACAATCACTAATAGACAATGCCATCCTGTGAAGAACTTGTTTTTATAATCATGTTTTTTTAAATCTATCTTATTTGTTAAAAGATCAATGTTATTTTGAATACCTCCATCATGAAAGTTTCCAATAAAATATCTAATTATAGATCTTCTGCCATCTTCCACGGCACCTAAAAATGTCCTCTTGCCTTTTTTTGTTGAATCTGTCTTCAAAGCACCTGTTCCAGTATACATCAAAGAAACAGTATCTGCATTCAATGTCCAAATATCTCTAAATATCTATTCTAATTAATCTGGGAAGGGTTCCATTGCTTAGTTCTATTAAAATATGATTTAATATATTACAGTGCTTCTTCTTACTCCTAATTTTTATAATGTATTCCAAAGTTAATGTCTAGCAATAACTGATTGAACTACATTAGTTCTATCCAAACAATCAACGCAATTAGTTCTAATAATGGATTTCTATGTTGTCATCAGTGTTATTATATTTAATTAAGATGTTCCTGATTTGAGATCAAAACTACATTAATCTTCTAGTTTTAAATCCTATGCCATCATGTTTATTAGTTTTGATAAATTCTAATATTTCATTCCTCTGCATTCATGATGAAAATCAAACCAAATATACTTTAAATTGTCATTTTTCAATCGATTAATCACTTCATTATAATAATTTCCTAACACATTCTACGTTCCTTTTTTATCAATTAAGTTAACAAGAATATGCTTTTGAATTCCCAACTAGAACTAATCAGAAAAGTGTTTTTAAGCTATTTCAGTATTAGTGGTTATATCTCCTAAAATCTTAGCCTTTGGTGACCATTTTAAATCTGGCTTCTAAATCCATTTAAAAGGCATTGAACCTCTTGATTATAAAAATGAATAATAGGTTGATTGATATCTGAATATTTATTCTGTCTCTGCAAAATTACTACAATTTCCATCCAGATCTGCTCCTCTGCTAATGAATCTTCTACCCATTCTTCTCTTATCTCTTCGACTAATTAGGCATATCTAACAATCAGTATCATTCAACTTAAAATATCTGATTGCAATGAGACCTGAAATAAATGTGGGTATCCATTATTCTGGATTGCATAGACGAAAAGGTTTGCAATTTTCACTGTTCATCCAATACTGAGATAATGGCTTACGAATTCCTTTATTTTCTATGTATCTCTGCAACGAGTTTGTAAGATCATACTATTCTGAATAATAAAAAGTTTTCGTATTAAATATCTCCTGTAGACCAGCTATGTATGAGGCATCTCTAGAATTTATTCTTGATTTTATTAATTTCATATTACTTTTTATCTTCGATAGGAATGAATTAGAATTTCTCGGCTTGAAATATTGGTAAATTCATTATTGAACTAATCAAAGCAGCCTTTACAACAACGACTAAATAATTCAACTGTTTCAATGTTACTATCCCATAAATTGCATTAAATTCTAAGCAATCTGATGATTATGGGTTGACATCTTAAAACTTTTACCTCGATTATACATCAATTGATCCATTTAAAGATCTTATAATCAATTCTTTATCATTATCATTAAATCGAATAAATAATCCATCCTGTCTATATAAATACTTCTTTTGACCGTAGATTTATGCTGCATCCGCCATCTCTAATTATTAAGATTTTAATTATAATAAAATTTATTTGATTTATAAATTGCCGCATTGCTTCTCTGTTGTATATAGAATTAAATCAAAAATTTCAATTTGATATTTGATATTTGACTAATTAAGGACTTTTATAAGTATTCTTTTGAAAAACATCTAAAATCTGAAAGAGCAAACAAAAGTGTAAAATGATCAAACCTTTAATAGAATTATTTCATGATAAGCTTTATACATAAATTCACTACAATATCAATAATAATAACAACATCAAAACTATGATTTAATGGCTCTAATTCTCTACTATATTTTCTTTGATTGAACATTAACAAACTCCATCAATGCATCTTTCACAAACTCCCTTTGAAATATAAAAACTAAATTGAATATATAATATCTATATACCCATAGGTGCATTTAAGACATATATTTGAATCAACGCATCTTTCACAACCAGTACCACATCCTTGACATGAGAACCCATTAAAAAAATAAGCAGTAGCACACTAATTACAAAATGAAGGTCCCGAACATTATAAACAGTTATCACCACATGGACTGCATGCACCATTTTTAATATAATAACCACTTTCACAAGTAGTACATGCAGTTTCATTTTATACTTAACAATTTTTGATTGAATTGGCAGTGCAAACTCCATTTTTAATGAAGTATCCAGGTTTACATTCAACACAATGTCCTGGAGTATCACATTATTTACAATTGATATCACAAGCAATGCAAGTTTAATTAAGCAAATAAAACTTAGATGCACATTTAGTACATTTAGTTCTATCTTCTTATTGACAACTTTCACAATTGATATCTGGACAACCTAGACATTGATTATCTGTAGTTAAGACATAACCTGTTTGACAATCGGTACATGTATTCTCAGAACATTTCTTGCAATTTGGAGTACAAAATTCACATAGCTTAGTTTCCTTCAAGACATAGGCATCTTCACAACTAGTACAGGTGAAATCATCATCGCATTTTAGACACCCAGTGGGACATTTTGTACATTGCTCTCCAACTAGATAGTATCTATCAATGCATGTATCACAGACAAATAATGATTCTTCAACCTAAGTGCAACTTTTACATCCATATGGACAATCTTTACAAACTATACAAATTCATAATTATTCTTTCTTACTTCCTTTTTCTACATAGAAAGCATCTGCACATTGTGAACAATAATCTGCCAAAGAACAAGATACACAATCATCTCCACATTTCTTACAACTACCATCTTCTTATTTAATATATCCTGTTTCGCACTTTGAACATTTAGAAAATAAGCCATCAGGTTCACATACTTCACAGTTAACCTTAATATGAAATCTTTAAGTACTGGACATCTTATGCAAGTGGAAGTGGTTGAATTAAATCTGTATCTGTATTCACATTCATTACATAATTATGGATCACAACAGCTTTTGCATCCTTTCTAACAAGTAAAACAGAAAGAGAGATCGTTAATCTTGTACAAATAGTCTGTTCCCAAACATCCAGTACTTGTAGGCAAATACTATCCTTAAACTCCAAGCAACAATAAGAATGTTATCATATTTATTTATTTATATATTTATATTTAGTTTTTTTTCTTTTGTTCTCGATCAATTAAACACTTTTATATATTAATAGAAAATCTATTTATATTGATAAGAACTGCCAACTTATTCTTAATATAAATATAAAATTCTTCTCAATAATTATCACAAGAGTATAATTTTTATATGTCTAAAAAAAAAATCAAACTTTACGGGATCGATATTGAAAGCGATGATGATTAGGAGTATGTACCAGATGAATAGGACATTTCTGAGAATAACAAAAACCTGAGTCATCCGAAAACATTTAACATCGATGAAATCTATTCAGAGATGAAAAAAATTGATTTGTATTAGCCTAAGGTTTGCACCAAGTCTGCCTAATAAATTGTAAGAGAAGTACTTGATGGTATTGAATAATCATATTGAAAGAACAGAATCGAGTGTAAGTGAAACGTGTCAAGTTTGCGGGAAAATCATTTTTAATAAATGATAAAGGTGAAATATAAGAAGAAAACATAGAACCTGTATAAACCAAATAAATCAAATAACCTATTGGAAATTGTATTCTATAATCTATAATTAGCAATGTCTATGAAAGAGCTGAGAGAGAGTTTTCGATATTACAGAGAAGTAATCAAGAAATTGACCAACAAAGCCAAGACTATCAATTCTGTGACTAAATCTAAATTAGATTGGAAGCAATATACGACCAAAGAGAAGTTAGAAACATAAATGGAGCAAAAAAGAAAGAGTGGATAGGGAGTCCTTGAGAAAGCCAAGTTTATCAATAGAACTAATGAGAGAGTTAAATCGATTAGACATAATAAAATAAAAAAATTATGAAATTAAATACATAAAGGTTTATTCCCAGTTTGATCGGCAAGCCAAGGTTGACCTAACAATAGCAGCCAAAATAGGAGGAGTGTTCTAAGAAAGTCTATCGTGGCCAATCTGCTGAAAATAAAATTATGAATAAAGCACAGTAATCCTTATTTAATATATTCAGAACAGAATTGATAACAAAGCCAATACTCCAGAAATGATTAGAGTTTAAAATGGCAATATTAGCCCTACAACAAAATATACAGATATTTTAAAAGCATTTAAATAGAAAAATTTGAATTAACCCTCTAAAGTACCAAACACTAACAGACCCACCAAAAGTTATTCAATTGTAGTTGAATTTGATTAAACAAAGAATAGAACATCTTCATAATTCAAATAACCAAAAGAAATAACTCCAACCAAAAAATAGAATCAGCCAACTATGCCATAATCTTAGAGATTGACAATTAAAAATTAAGTCTTAACTACATAATAGAAGATCACCTAAGAAAAATCAAAAATTAACTCAAAGCACCCTGATGTAAATAAATTGGATTAAAGAATAAAAACCTAATAAAATGAAAGGTATAAAGAGGAATAAAAAAATATTCAAAAAATGCTATTGAAGAAAGCGAATCCAAAGAAAGACACAAACACTAAACCATAACTTGAGAAGCATCCACAACTTATGTCTACTAGATAAATTCCATCCAGATAATCATTCTCTCCTACTACTCAAATTGCGAAGACTGCTAATACAACACGAGGTCATTCTCCTTCTAGCTATCAGAGTGACAATTAAAATGGAAAGTTATAAGCTATTCTAGTAATCTTTATCTTATATTAGACTGTGATTAGGCCGATCTTTAAAGAAGCAAAATACTATTAGACATCTGTTGTTCATTTCCTGAGGGAAGAGTTTTTTCCAAATACATCTCCTTATTAAGTGCAATTTAAAATTGAATTTCAAGAGTAAAAGGACTATTTTAAAACTAAATTCTGTGATCACTTTAATTTAACCTTTAACTCTTTAAAGCATTGTTCTTAGTTGAGTTCATAGAAGCCTTTGACTACAAAGTTATTAAATCCACCAAAAAAACCTCACTTTTCATCTGATACCGTTAAAACACTAGTGTTTGATCTGGATGAAACATTAATTCACTGCAACGATATCAATAACAATTCCACTGATCATACAACTGTTATTCACATCCCAAATGAACCAGAGACAGAAGTATACTGATTTAAATAATAGTAGATTCGTTTTAATATAAGGCCGCATTGTTAATAAATGTTAAAAGCTTTATCATAGTATTATGAGTTGATTCTATTCACTGCATCTTATAAAGAATATGCTGATAAAATTTTGGAGTACATTGATCCAAAAGGAAATCTCTTCTCATATCGGTTCTATAGGGAAAGTTGCTTAGAATTAGAAGAAGGACTTCTAGTTAAGGATCTAAGAGTGATCGAAGGCAGAAAATTAGAAGTAAACTATATGTATATCATTAGAACATGGCAATAATAGATAATTCTGCGTATTGTTACATTTATTAGTTGGAGAATGGAATTCCAATTATACCCTTTGAGGAAAACAAAAAAGATAAGGAATTACTTTTTATGGCTGACTATTTTATCAAATGTGAAAAACAGCTAAATTGGCTCCAGCACCATAAATTACATTTCCAAAACTAACTCTACCTGCAGTGCTCAACAATAGAAGAGTGTATACAAAGATTATTATAATCATAAAATTATTGATTTTAATTAATGGATTTATTTTTAAATAAACCACCTGAAGCTCCACAACGACAATTTATTCGTCTTTTCGTTAATACAGGACACAAACAATTCATTGCAACAGTAGATCGCACTTAATAAGTAATTTAGTATATTATCAATTAGAATCTGGAAGTACAGATAGCTAATTCATTTGTATATACTTAAAGAGAGGATCCTGATGCCGAGGAGATATAGCAATTCTAAGTCAAAAACATAAAATAAAATGGCTATTTGGTTGTGATTCCTAAACAAATGTAAATTGGACATGTCCTTGATGATCAAACGTTTATCACTTGCGAAATTATAGAACCAAAAAAGAAATCACAAGTTAAAATTGAATAAAATGAAGGATCAAAAAGAAGAAATAAGCAACAGAAGGAGCAAAACAAATTAGTAGAAAATTTACCGGATATTTCCCCGCCAAGAACTTTACCATAATAACAATAATCACAAGATGATAAACAAACAAATAAAATACCTCAAAATAATTAAAATCAAAAATAGTTATAATAATAATAACAAAAAGACAAGGAATAATTGACTAAGAAATAATAGAAATAATAAAACAAAAACAAACAGGAAGAAGAGAAATCAAAGTAACAAGCATAGAATCTATAAGAATAATTACAATAAGATAATACAAAAGAAAATAAAGAAACAAAAAATAAGGAGAATTAAACTAACAAAGATTAAAAAAATTAAATCTAAGAGGAAATTCAATAACATGAATCGACTAATGTGAAAGAAAACTAACAATAAAATGAGGTATAAAGTAAAAAAGAGACTAAGGAGCCAACCAACTAAAACAGAGACAAAAGCAAAGAGTAAAAAGAAAAAGAAAATGCTTAAAACTCTGAAGTCATCACAGCATAGAATTAAAAGGAGGCATCAAAAAAAGAGAAATAACAAAATCCAACATAATCTTAAGCATAATAAAAAGTCTAAGAAAATTAATAAATAAAAGCCTTACCCTAATAAAAATAGGATCTTGAAGAAGAAAATAATTTTGGAACCAAAAAACATCCTAAACTTGCTTAATCTAATGAAGATCAAATAAATAATACCTAATAACAAATCGTAGATAAAGCTAAATTAGATAAATAAGCATAGAATGTTGGATAATAAAAATAAAATGATGAAAAATAAAAGTAAAATAAGTAAAGTAAATAATAATAATAATAATAATAATAATAACAATAACAATAATAATAATAATAATAATAGTAATAATAATCACATAGTTAAAAATAATAGTAATAAACAGTTTAATAAAAATAAAATTAATAAACCAAGAAGGTCAATAAAGTTATCAAAACAGGATATGATTCAGATGAAAATTCTGACGATCAATAATAGCAAAAAGTTAAGGTTGTATAAAACTAAAAATAAGTTAAGAAAAATGATAAGAAATAAAGTATTGACTTTGATAATAATTTATTTGAAAATTGTTGAATAAGGTGTTCCAATAATTAATTATAATAGTAATTTTTATTTGTTTTCGCTTTATAAAAATGGCAATATAATCTTTCATTTCTTTTTTAGTTCATTCAATCTTTTATCTTCCTTAAGTTTTCTATCCATTTCCTCATATTTAAGAAGTGCTTAGGATTCAAATCTAATAGCTCTTTACTCCAAAATATCAATTCTAAATTGGATATTGATATATTCATTATCATCTGGATCTGCCTTTTTCTACTACATTTATTCAGCTTGATCTAATTTAGCTCTTTCTTCCTCTAATTTTTTTTGGATGATGGCTGCTCTAGAGAGCAAACTAAAAGTAAAATGTAAATTAAAACCGCTCCTTCAATTTAGTCATAACATCTTTTTATATATCCAAAGCTTCATTGTAATTAAGTACTTCCTTCCCTAACAACTTTCTCTTTTCCAAATATGGAAATAGGTAATCTTTGTCTGCTTATTCCCTTTATTTTTCTTCTTCAGACTTCTTTAATGTTTCTTTGTATCTTTCTCTAGCTTTGTCATGAAGTGTTTTTTCAAGTTTGAGATCTTAAGATCTCAATTGTTCTTCATCCTTCTTTACTTCATCTTCTTGATTTTTAATATGGGTTAAACATTCCTTTTCTAACAATGAAACTACATATACCTAAATTTGCTATTCTTTGATTCTCTTAAGAAACCAAAGCATCTTCATTTTTTTTCTCCACTCCCGTTTCATTTAACTTTCCTAATCCGTGCATATTCTCTCTCTTCAACTCTTTGACTTATGGATTGATTTCTCCTTTATTCATATGATAATAGACTCTAAAATCATAATTCTTATTATTACCTGATAACATTTTTAACCAAGTCTATAACAACCTTTTGTGGCTACTCACTAGCTGGGTACAATTCACTCAATTCATATTTTTAAGTCATTTTAGTGATCTTGACTTATCCCATATATCTATCATTATGAATTAAATCTCTTTATTCAAATTTCTTATCTTTAGCATCAAATCTAACAGACCTATATATAACTCTATCATCTCTGTTCTCGTATTCTTCAATTGTTTTCTCTCCAATTTTTTCAATTCTTTTTATTAAACCATCGTGATTTCTACGTTGGATAGATATAAAATGATCCTTAATTATCTATCTATTGTAGTAATAGTCTTTCTTTAAGGTTTATTTCCTGGTTCATACTCTTCAATGGTCTTAAATTCATAGGGGAATCTTCTTTTCAAAACTAATTTGTCAGATCTGTGTTTGTAGAAGTATCTAATTTCATAGACTTTCAATCTTTTATAATCCTGATAAATAGTATATCTCTAAACTAATCCATCCTTTTCTTGCGAATATGGGGCATAGGAATCTATTTTACATTTCTTATAAAAGACTGTAGACTCTCCTAGGGGAGTTCCTTTGAGAAAGGCCTCTTTGTCAATAAACAATTTAGGAGGCCAAGGAGGTGGCATATCTAAGATCTGAGCAATGTCTTATAATTATTATTATTAAGGATCGACTTGTTTTTATTATTGATTATGATCTTCACCATAATTGTAATCTTCATCATCTTATTAACTCTGTTCAACGAGAGTATCCAACATGACGTATTCCCAATTCATAGAGGTATCCATTTCATCGAAATTTAAATCTGCAACTTTGGATTCAAGTTTCATATTGATCCAAAAGTTCTTATTGTTAAAAACTGCATCTACAGTTAAAAATGGACTTTCATTGATTTGATAGATCCTTCCAGTTGCAGGTTCAATAAAGAGATTTCTTTCAACTCCTCTTTTCCCTGCTTTCAAGAGAATCCAGCAATGAATTCTCTTCCCAGCATAGTAATCTGCTCCCATTTGATCAGGTTCATCATCATCAATAGTAAGAGCTATTCGTTTTTATTCTTTTTCAAACTCTTCCTTTTACTTCTATATTTTGGTGTCATATTTTGAGACGATTTCTTCTTTTGGAAGGATGGCAAATTCATTATCTTTGAGTTCATCATTGTCTTTATCTTTGTCTTCATCATCCTCTTTGATTCCATTGTTGATGAAGATGTATTCAAGATCTGATTCATTTTTACTAGTTATTGATCTAGGAGCTGTTCCATAAACACAATAAGCATCATAGCCAACTCCTATCAAAACGCTGCATAGGAGCATGGCTAAATCAAAGCAATCACCTTTCTGCCACCTAGCAACGTTGGTTGGACTGGGAATAACCTTGGGAAATTGATCGGGAGGATCCAATTATTCATAAGCAATGAAAAAACTCATATATCTTGCACATTATTCGTAATTATAGAGTTCTAGATAGCCAATTTTTTGGGGACGCAAGGTTGTGCAGATAAATTTATAGAGATCGCACTCATTTTTGGGATAGAGGAAAAGATTTCTTCTTTCATCGTAATGCAATTGAAACTGTTTTTAAAATTATTGCACATGCTCCAATACTAATTCCTCTTTGGGAGAGTTTTCTAGGGATAATGTGGAAGTTGGTATACCTTTATAACAGAAAGGGACTGGGATGTCTTTGCCCTCTTTGAAATCTCGACATCTCTACAATTTCTCATTGACAACAGTTGCGTTGCCAGACTTCAAGATGGCAAGTATATTATTTTATTGCTATTGGGCTTGCTTCTAAATTTCAATATCGCTAACTGCATTATTTGACATTGGAAGTACGATTATAAAATAATAATTATTATTATGTTCTAAACAAATACACGAGCAATTCAAGTTTGTAATTTTTAGTTTCTTAGTATTTGAATTTGTGATAATATAAATAATTATGTTAAAGAAAGCTTAATAATAACAGCCGACAAAACCAAGTACACGCGTTGCAACATTGGCAAATGATGAAAATCAGCAACAATAGGTTTGTTATGCCATCTATATTTTAGAGATCCGATTAAGCCCAAAAATATACTCTTAACTAAATAGTTGGAAATGGCACTTTCGGAATGGTTTATTTAGTATGACACATTATCCATCGTCTTAGGCCACCAATTCAGTATCAGGAGAGAAAGTAGCCATCAAGAAAGTGTTTCAGGATAAGAGATACAAAAACAGGGAGCATTTGATCATTTAAGAACTCAATCATCCATGTGTAATCAAGTTAAAGGAAGCCTTTTTCACTTAAGGAGATAAAGTACATATGCATTTGATTATTAGGGTGATGATGTTTATTTGAATTTGGTTATGGATTATATACCTGATACATTAAGCAAAGTAGTTAGATATTACAGAAAAGCCAAATAGCAATTTCCTAATGTCTTATTAAAAGTTTATGGATATCAGATGTTCAGAGCTCTAGCATATATGGAAGGTAACATCACTAGTTTAAAAATAGGAATCGGTATTTGCCATAGGGATATTAAACCATAAAATATATTAGTTGATCCAGCAACTCACGTACTGAAGATATGTGATTTCGGATCTGCCAAGAAACTCCAAAAAGGGGAGCCGAATGTGGCCTACATTTGCTCTCGTTATTATAGAGCCCCTGAATTAATTTATGGAGCTACTGAATACAGTACAGCAATCGATGTTTGGTCCATCGGTTGTGTAATTGCAGAGATGCTTATTGGAGAGCCTCTCTTTCCAGGAGAAAGTGCAACAGATCAGTTAGTTGAGATTATTAAAATATTGGGAACTCCAACGTAAGAACAGGTCAAAATGATGAATCCTTAACACAAAGATTTTAAGTTTCCCCTCATCAAATGTCACCCCTGGCAAAAGGTACTGGATAATTGTCAATGACATTCTAGGTGTTTGCTAAATTCAAACCAGACGCCTTGTTTATTGATCTAATTTCTAAGTTGATGGTGTATCCTCCTAAAGAAAGATTGAGACCGTTAGAAGCCTTGGCACATCCTTTCTTTAATGACATAAGACAAGCAGGGTTCGGCATTCCCAATTAGACTTTACCAGACTTTTTTGATTTTACTAAGGGTAATGAATGAGTAAGTATTATTTTTAGAGGAACTCTCAATTCAACCTGAAATCGCCCCAAAATTATACCCAACTTGGTACCAAAAGAAATAATGAAAATTACATAACTTATTATATATAATTTATATAATGAATCCGGTCAGAGTATTTCCTTTGAAATTCAATGACTAACAAAATACTCAAAGCACTTCGAGTTCGCCATAGTTAAAGAAGAAGCAGACTCCAAAACTACTTGAAAAACCATTGCTTTTAAATATGTCTCCCGTATTGTAAAAATTCAAATTTGATTCAAGAAATGGGCAATCACCAATTAAGGGTAAATTTAATGTGAAACGATTCACGGCAAATCCCAAGCAGGAAGACAAATTCTAATTTGTAGCTAATAATACGATTTTCATAGACCCAATAATAAAGACCATTATAGTCAACAAGTTCATCCCCAAAGAAGAGAGTAATTAATGGAGCAACCAACGTTGAAGTATTTCGAATCTATATCTAGTCATTATCTCCAATGAAACTACCAAATCTTCGAAGAGCAGACACTCAGATAAATAGCAATTTACTAATCAAAGATGAAACCTTGTAAGAGATCCAAAGTTCAAAAAGAAAGGATACCAAAACAGATGGAACCCCTTCAGTAATTAGTTAGCTAAGCAATCTAGTAATTAATCAGAGGATCAATAATAAAATTGATCTCTGACGCCACTCCTAATTCTAGACCCTCAGTTTCAAGGGCAAAATTGGCATCCCAAACCATCGATCAAGACATTAAACCAAAGCCCACTAATTAAATGATGATGCTATATGGTCGATCAACCAGTCAAGCAGGGTTAGTAAACACTATTGTGGCTGACAATGAAATGCAAGATTACGTCACTTTGTATTACTCTAAGTATTGAGATATGAATATAAGATCCCAAGCTGGCTAAAATGGATCAGGCTAAACCAAAACCAATTAAGACAGTGTGATTGCTACTAACAGTTTGGGTGGAATTAAAAATAGATACATCTTTTCAGTTTGTGATGGCCATGGTGTCTATGGACATTATGCGTCTTAATTAGTTAAGAAGTTGTTACCAAATATAATAGATCAACAAATTAAATCCAATGTCGGAATGTAAGAGAAAGACATAGGCGAAAATCATTTCACTGACATATCAAAAGCCATGATTTAAGGCTTCTCGAAAATGCAAAAGGATTTATCCAACAGTGGAATTGATATTACATTTAGTGGAACAACTTGCTCTTTGGTTTTAGTTTCTGGACCTCATTTATGGTGTGCCAACATAGGAGACTCAAGATCAGTAAACTTGATTTAAAATATTCCTTTAGATTTTAATTCAGTAATAGAATAATTAAAAATGGAAAACTATTGAATTGAGCAATGATCATAAACCAGATCTACCTAATGAATACAAAAGAATCATCTCATCAAAAGGAAGAGTTGAACCATTTATCAGTGAAAACGGAGAGATGATTGGTCCACCAAGAGTCTGGTTATTACATGAACAAATTCCAGGACTGGCCATGAGTAGATCCTTTGGAGATTATGTGGCATCAACTGTTGGAGTGAGTTGTGAACCAGAAATCATTCATTACAAAATGAATGCCAATTGTGCATTCTTAGTTGTAGCAAGTGATGGAGTGTGGGAATTCTTTTCAAATGAAGAAATCTAAAAGATTGTTGTTTCACATTGGCAACCCAATATGACAGCTAAGAGAATAGATGAGATATGCGATCATATTGTAAAACTCTCAACTTAAAGATGGCATTAGGAAGATGAAGTTGTAGATGATATATCAATTGTCATAGCTTATCTCTAAAAACCATGATAATTTAATTTAAAATATATTTCCTTATTATTCAAGATTTCTGATTTAATTCTAATATAGATCTCTTTTACACGTTGGTTTGAGGAGTTTATTGAGTAGATTCCATAATAGGAGTCTAAGTAGCATTGTCACAAAATGAAATCTTTTGATTAGATTCACCATCTAATAAATCAACTTCCATAACTGCTGTTTTTAGTTTAATATTTGTAAAGCTGAAAATTGTAACTGAACATAATAGGACAATCACTTCAATTGAAAATGTGAGTGTGACTCTACCTTTATTGCTATCAGATCCACCTACCACAATAGCCAAAAATTATGAAAAAAATACTAAGAATATTCGCGATCCTATGTACATAATTCCAACTGCAAAACTTGCATTTATAGGAAATATAGAATCACAACTCATATCCATCAATAATGGGACATTTGGCATAATAAACAGTCCTACTATGCCTATCGAGATGTATATTGCAATTTTATTCTCACTGATTAGACAAAAATAAAATAAAACCAATGATGAAATTGAGAGTATCATCATTAAAATTGCTATTTATTTTCTTCTGTTTGTATATTTCTTTAATATTCCCGCTAACAATGCCAATGATGCAACAGCACTGATATTCACAATTGAACCTGCTACAGAGACCTGTTCCTTGCCCTAACCGCAAGCTTTTAAAAGAAAGGCTAAGACAATCATCAACGATTTTGTCAATCCCATAAACAGAGCGTAGGCTTAAAAACAAAACAGAAATTGTTTATTAGTAAAAATTTTGATAAGTGTCCTTTTTATATTTTTAGATTTTTCTTCTTATTTAACCAACTCTGAAGGAGGTGTTGGAGGAGTATTCTTTAAAGTCAAGAGGCATGGCAACAGAGCTATTGCAAAGTAAAACAATGTCCTATTGAGTTTATTTACTAATTCCATTCCTTTTTCTATTGATTCATTTGATCCATCGTACTTATAGCCCGAAAATATAAACTTACCCGGTATCATAAACGTAAGCACACTAGAGAAAAGGTTTAGCACATTCATCACCGTTATTATGATGGGTCTTGCTTCTGGATAAAACCAATTTTAAGCCATTGTGGCCTAACAATTAAGAATGAAGGGCTTTCCAGCTCCAATTAAAATTTAACCAATCACAATCAAGTAAAAACTATATAATAAGTAGATGATACTCTGTTTAATTAACGAATAGTTTTAATAAGCTTCCAAGAATTGTTAAAATTACTCCAATTTTTGAGGCTGCTGCCCATCCATAATTTACGATGACTGATCTATTAAACAGGATTATGTACATTAAGAACAAGGAATCGATAAAATTGGGTGCATTATCATATAGCTTGTAGCTGCCATAGTCACTAAAGTTTCTGAAGTATCATAAATTCCTATAAGCTCATTAGAAACGGAAACATAAATTTCTCCAGGGATATTGTTAACGAAAACGGCTAAGATATAAAATGACACTATGATCCATCTGTATTGATATAATTTAGGTCTTTCACAGTCTAATTTATGATTTGTGGGTGTTTCTGGGTCCATTATTAGGGATACAAAATTAGAATCTCAATAATAATTTCATAAATATGTATTAGATTATTGATTTTATCACTAATATAAAAAAGTAAATTTATGAATAATCAGATATTTTCATTATTTTATCATTGAAATGGAATAATAATCTGATTATCATATAACAATTAGAGCAACTTAAAATTAAGTTGTTGGCAATTATTTATAAAAAATTTATATTTAATTTATGGATTAAAGGCTTTATTTATTAAGAAATAATATATCAAAATTTTAAAGGGAATGAGTTCTCTTGAGTGTTTCGTTTAGACATTGTTTTTTTCGTGATTTCCTTGCAAGTATGAAGTCAGAATGGAGAAGTTTTTTTGGCACGCACTCAGAAATTGCATATTTAAAATTACAAAAGAACAAACCAATTAAAATCAAAAATCAGAAAATTGCACATTTATCACAACATGAACTGTTTCCGCTTTATGGTTGATCCACAACGACGACATGTAAGACCGAATTAACCATTTGTCCCTATTATGAGCCTGAATCTGGAACTCCTGAATTGATTTGCTATTAAGTTTAAATGGTTCCTTGGCTCTTGTTTAATAGTCTTCTTTGTCTTAGTTCCTCATGCATTTTCTAAATCTTCTCTCCTTGAAATATGACGTAAATCCTATACCTTCAGCTAGAAAGATATTATCTGCAACAACCGAGCCAGAGTATTTAGACATTTCAAATTTGAGCAATCGTGCTTATTCGATTATGGGATGGAAATATTCATACGCCTGCATTTTTTTTTCATCATCAAATTCATCTTTCAAGCGGTATTGTGGCCTGTCAACAGTGGGAGGTTGGCTATCAGGATATTAAATAAGTATGCAATGATCTTTGACAAACTACTAAAAAATCTTGATAGTATCTATAAATGGGCCAGCCTTGATGTAACTGGGTAGTAATTTAACTTTTACCCTGCAGAACCCTTTAGAGTATGGCTGTTAGTCATAGCCTGCACCCAATCCTTATTAAGCATTCCTTAAAGAAACGCCTCCATTCTCTAATCAAAGCATGTAGACTCAAAGTTTTGGATGATCATTTAGGCCATATCTTTATACTCATTCTACAATTCCGTGTAATTTATAATCGTATCTGCCATATTTATATTATTTAATTAATTCATTTTCCATACTGCATAGCCAAGTTTTGTTATCCTGGAGGAAAATACTTGACAATGTCCTCCTTGTTTAAATCATCGAAGAATGGATGCTTCATCGCCTCCTTAACATAGATTCGTTTCGCTGGATCCAAAGCTATCATTTTGGTAACCAAGTCTAAGCCAACCTATCCATTAATACAATAATCCTACCTTATCAAAGTTCTTAAAAAATTGTTCTGGCGGTGTTGCTCTGAAACGAGGGAATGTAGGTTTGAAATCAGGTAGATCGGCGATGTTTGGCCAATCTTGGACAGTGGGTGTCCCATGATATTAGAAAATTTTAAAGATCTAATCGATTTCACTATCACCACAGAAGAGTCCATGTTTTTCAACCATTTCTGTGAGAATACATCCGACAGACCAGATATCAACTCCCAAAGAATATTATTTTTAGGATAATAAGATCTCAGGAGCTCTATACCAGAGAGTCTCGACTTCGTGAGTCAGAGTTTTTATTGGAACACCGAAGGCTCTTGCCAAACCAAAGTCTGCCAATTTGATGATCCCTGTTGATTTGTCAATTAAAATATTCTATGGTTTTAGATCTCTGTGAATGATTCGTCTAGAGTGACAATAATTGAGACCATTCAAGATTTAGAATGTGAAATGCTATTAATTATAGTGTTCTTATACTTACTTTGATTTAACTAATTGTGAGATTGTGTTTATTTTAATCAAGGAATTTTTTAAAATCCATTTCAACATATTCAAAAACTAAATAGAGTTTCTTCTCATTAGGCTAATAAATGACCTCTTTCAAACCCACAATATTTGGATGAGGTTGAAGTTCTTTCAAAATTGATATCTCTCTCATAGCAGTGGAGGGAACACCCTCATCTTCATTTTCGAGCTTGATTTTCTTAAGAGCCACTAATTCTTTTGTCACTGAATCACGGGCCTTATAAACAACACCATAGGTTCCTAAACACATTTGAATTACACAATACCTTCTCCAATTTTTTCCAATTTCTCATACCTCTCCAATTATCTATTATTGCTGCTCAACTTATCGCCTCCTCTTAAATCATAGAAATTTTGTGCTTTAATATACCAATAATCATACTTAGCATTTCTGTAAAATAAATTCAAAAATTAAAATATTAACTGTTATTTATGTCAATCTTATTAGAGAAAAACTCATTTTGCCTAATTCCATAATACACCCTTGCTCTGCATTCAACTCACATAGTTTTTCATTTATATTTTAATATAATATCATTTCTTTAAATAAATCACACATTTATATTCAACGCTTTATTCTAAACTCTCTAATCTTCCAATTCTATACCCTCCCTATCCATGAAACAACCACAAAGAGAACCTTTAATCACCCTCTTCATTATCCACATCTGGATATCTTTAAATCCACTTTGCTCATAGGACTGAAACCAATACAGCGATTCCGAACCATAATACCCAATATATTTCCCCATTACGACTCCTCCTAGCCAGCTTTAAGTCTTAGGTTTTCAGTGTAAAACTCCGATGCATAATCGGTTGCACATAATATAAATTAATCTGGATCATTTACACTGACTCCTCCGATGCATATTTAAGATTAAGCAGTGCATCTTTGCTTTATCAATTCGATATGTGTCTAAGTGAATGGCTTGTTGAATAATTCGTCATAGACTTTAGTAAACCCTTTCATTTCTAAAGTACTGAACCTAACTTATTTCTAAATGCAAAAGGGTGACTGATTCATTGTACCGATTACACTCTATTAATCGAAATCGATTCTTTGCATAGATTAAGTTTCACTTTTATCATTTGGAAAGATTCGACGACTTTGCATCAAATAACTCAATGGTTTCTCAATCAAATTAGTTATGCTATTAATCTAATACAACAAATCCTGTATTTGTTCTGTAAAGCTTTAGTGAACAATGCTAGATTTTGTAATAAGAGAGATATCTTTGCAAAAGAGGGTTGCATCAAAAATCAACTTTTATGCAAGACCCTAAAATTTATCATTTGGTTCATAATCGATTGGTTTAAAGTCAGGTATACCATTATTGTAATGGATAATAGCACAAACATCTTTTGCTAATTATTCATAATCTTTTTCTGTTAGATTTGGCTAGTCAATGTATTTCCGTTTTAATATGCCTACCTTACTCTCCTACATCTCCTAATTAGCATACTATGATATCTGATCTTGAAGTAATCTAACTTTGTTCAGAATTGCATTTATGCTCATCTAAATAGAATCTGTCAACTCTTTGTTCTTCTAATTGTATTGCTTGATTTCTCGATTACATTCATTCTTAATCAGAGTGTCCAAAGTAGATAGATTGATTGATTTATGACCATAATGCTCCTCTCCAAGACATAGACCACACAATGCCTTTCATTGGAAATCTAACACTTAGAGTCAAGACAGAGATGGATAATCTTTTAATCAACTTCTGAATGTTCTTAAACAGAACAAATAACAGTCGTTGCTTTTTTGAGTAGATTCATTAATTAAAATAATATATATTCAATTCTCTGGATCTCTCGATATTGAGTTATAATGTTTGTTAAGTGTATTAGGAGTTTATTCAACTCTTTATGTCGAGATTTTGACTTCTTGTTAGACAGGAAAAATCTTTTGGGATCCAATTTAACTACAAAAATTGTCTTCAGGGATGAATTTGAGAATAAAGCATCCTAATAATGAGATACTACCAAATCCAATTCCAATCAACCATTATTTTATTTATAAACCATAACAACCATACAATCCAATGGCTGCAGATCCAAAAGTAACCATCAACACTTAAATGCAGAAGATGAATGGAACTATAATGAGGAAAGCAGAGTGATTGCTTATATTATCAAGGAAATTGATTTCATCAGTTATTCTTCTACTATTCAAGAAATTAAACAATTGCAACATGATAAATACATTAAACACATAAGTAAACTAAAAATTAGATTATAATAATAATTACATGTCTACTTCCTTCATGTTCTATGTTGTACATAATGTAATAGTCATAGTCACCTTGAACAGTCATTAATCTTCCACTAGCCACAATTGAACATGAGTCTTCATTATAAAGACAAGGAGGACATTAAATTTCATAGCATTCATCATTTGAACATACACATTTAGTTTTTAAACATTTATCAGAATCATCTGGATTGTCAGTTGAGGATGTTTCATTTAATTTAGTTAATCCCAATTATTTTAATGATTCAAAATCTGTAATGCAATTGTGATTACTATATTTAAACCTTATTTTTGGACCACTAAATACAGTTGTATCATAAGCATCTTCATATTCAGGTAGAAATTTATCACCTAAAAACACTATGACAAGTACAACTCCCACTTGAATGAGAGCTGTTCCTACTATAAATTTAAACATCTTTTTTGATATTATGTATTCATTTCTATCATGAGGTTTTCGATTCAACAGTTTCTCAGATGGAGGTTCAGTTGCCAAGGCCAGTGAACCTAATGTGTCCATAATTAAATTGACCCATAGCAATTGAATTGGTCTTAGAACTTCCTATCTGAGTACTGCAGCTCCGATTAAAGTCAATGAAACACTCACTAGATTAGCAGTCAATTAGAATCTAAGAAACTTCTTTATGTTATCGTACACATTTCTACCCCACATAACAGCCTTAACTATTGAATTGAAATTGTCATCCAACAAAATAATAGCTGCAGCTTCTCTAGCTACTTCAGTTCCTGATACTCCCATTGCAAATCCGACATCTGCTTTTTTTAGAGCTGGAGCATCGTTTGTTCCATCCCCAGTCACAGCAACCACATGATCTCTTTCAATCAAACCAGTTACTAATGCATATTTATCCTCTGGTCTACTGCGAGCCAAAACATCAAGATTTGGATAGATCTTATCAAATTCTTCAGGATTTGCCTATAGTGTCAATCCTTAACCTTTTGCCTTCCTTTTAAGCAGTCTGACTATCCCTAACACAATTACAATTTCCTGGATGACAATTCTTACAAACGACTCCTCCAATTCTTCTAACGAATTCAGGTCCTTCCATTACAATGCTATCTTCAGGATTCGTAATGATTCCACATTCATTTGCTATGGCCCTTGCTGTTGTTATATTATCCCCAGTAACCATTCTGACTTTGATTCCTGCTTTCTTACATAATTAGATAGCTCTAGGCACTTCTTATCTTATAATGTCTTTAATGCCTAAGACTGCTAATAGAATCAAATCATTTTATTCAATATTATATACACCTTTATCATCTTTGCTTGTCAAATCAGCACTATTTGAAATATTTTTATATGCCAAGCATATTGTCCTTAAAGCTTTCTTAGCCATACTCTCTATAGCATCTTCAACCACTTTAGAATTGATTGTTGTGACTCCATTGGATTTTGAATGATATTAAGTACATGCAGCTAATACCATTTCTGAAGCTCCTTTGCATACTAATCTTTGCTATCCTCCAACATCTAAAATCATAGACATTCTCTTTCTTTAACTACTAAATGGATATTTAACTATAAGAGGATATTTATCTCTAAATTCTTCATATGGTTTTTGACATCTATCCATAAATTCTAGGAATGATATTTCAGTCTTAGATCCTTAGGTTTCTGGTCTAAGCATTGCACTTGAATTTACAATGGCTGATTATATAAAAATATCTGCCAATTATTAAGGGAGATAGTCAGTCAAAACACATGTTTAATAAGTTTCCAATTCAATTAAGGTTATCATTCCAAATATTAACAAGAGTCATCTTATTCTAAGTTAAAGTTCCAGTTTTATCAGAACATATCATAGATGCTCCCCCCATAGTTTCACATGCTGCCATTTTTCTGACTAGATTTTAATCTCTCAACATCTATTTGGTTGAATATGCTAATGAGAGAGTAACTGCTAAGGGTAAACCTTCAGGAATGGCAACCACAATGACTGTGATTCCAATAATAAAGAAATTGACTATCTCTACAATATACTTGTTTTCCCATTCAACTTATGACTTCTCAACTGCAAATCTAATGCACATAACGATCACAATTATTATTGCACTGTACAGTCCAAATTTCCCTATATCCTCAGCAATAGCGGCTAATTTAACCTATAGAGGAGTAGCTAATTAGATATTATATTGGAATTACCTTCTTGTTCGTCTTAGCGAAGTAAAGCACTAATTTTGCCTGCACATGACAAATCTCCAACCACTAAAATAACCATCTTACCTTCTCCTGTCAAGACCCTTGTACCACTCATCATAATAGGCGATGGGACTTCATGATGGCCAGCTGTTGCAGAGTCAGTTTAATTCCTTTTAACAATGCAATAGTCTAATGTGTTCTTTTTAATGGGATCAGTTTCTCCTGTCATTGCTGACTCATCAGTTGTAAGATCGGAGGCTTCAAGCACTAGACCATCAGCTGGTATTTCCATTCCTTCGAATATCATCACAACGTCTCCAACCATTACTTCACTCATATGAATATCACATTTCTATCCATTTCTTATTACTGTAACTCTTTTTCGCTCATCTGCCACTTCATTTAACTTCTGAAACTATTTTTCCTTTTAATAATCATTAATTGCATTAGCATTTGTTGATATTATCACTGCTACCAGAATTGCAAAGCCTACTCTCTTAAATTTCAATAGTTTTACCCTCTATCCATGCATAAGCACGGTAATCTGAGGATGCCGTTGCAACATCTACTGCAATACTCACCAAGGCTGCCAAACACAAGATTCGCATAGTAAAGTCTTCCAAAGCACCCCATAATAATTGAAAATAAGACTTAGGAAGTATTAGTGGTTTACGATTATGTCCGAAATTCAGTTCCCTCTAACTCCAATCATTTAATTGTAATCCATCTTTATAATTGGAACATAAAGCCATCTAAAATTAAACTATCATGAACCTCTAGAAATTCTTGCCCTCCCAGTTCTTCTAATTTATCTATCTCTTCTGTGAATGTCCTCTCTTGACATGCATAAGCCACTTAACAAAGTTACTCCTTTGATACTCTGAAACTCATAGTATATGGCTCAGTTCTCTATGTAGCGTCTAATATCATAATAATATTAATTTAATTTAATTTAATTTTTTCTCCTCCATTGAATAAACTTAATATTTTCAATCAACTTCAAGTTTGTTGTTAGTAATTTTACTTTCTTTTATCATCAATTTATTTTCAATACTGATTTCAAAGATATCTTAATGAAATGCTTATATCTTTATAAGAGTTTAGTTAGATATATAAACTAACATAATTATATTTAGAATCAATTATCTTTATTATTGATAGTAAATTTCTAGTCTATGCTAGATTCTTCTCCAATCATCAATCTATATTCCACTTATTTAAAGAAAATATATAACTATAATTTTAGAATTTTAATTTAATTACACTAACTATTTGAAATTGATAAGATAAGTTAAATTCTTATTTCAAATATTATGCAAAACGATTGATATACAATATTTGTTATCAATACTTACCTTAAATTGATTATAAACATTATTATTAAAAAGACTTAATGAATTTATTTATTAAAAGTTAAGATTGAATTAATTTCGAAACCATTATTTTTTATGAAAGTATTATAAGTATATAATAAAAAATAAAAAATGAATTATAAGCCCAATTTAAAGATGGATAGCACTTCTGGATCATTTAAAAAATAAGAATAAGCTTTGTCTTTAGAGGGCACATAAAAATCAGATTCTACTGTTATCAATTCGAAACCCAATTTTGCCAGCAAACCATCTTTCAATATTCGCAACCGTTCCACTCAACCACTAGAATAAGAAACTTAGTTAACAAGCACTAATGATGAATTCTTTAAAACAGGGACGTTTCAAGAGAAAGTACCTCTTAAGGATAGAATCTAACGATCAGACGAAAAGAAAAATACAGCTCCTCTCAATCAAGGACTTTACTTACCTGGACAGGAGGAGTTATTTAGGAAATAAATCTAAGTCGAAAAGAAGGAAGTCTAATAAACTTAAGAAAAAAAAGAAGTTTACTAGGGTAAACAAACTTAATCAGATTCCTATATGCCTTCTATTGGTAATCAGAATAAACGAGAAGCAGCATTATTAGGGTCAAAAAATCCCATTGAAAATAAATTAGCAGTGGCAGATCAAACCAAAGTGCAATAATAACTTGGTATTCAATATGGTAATACAATTAGAGGAAGCTGAACCAATTGAAGATCTAGAATTAGTGCTTTGTCCTGAGGGTTGTGGAAGACAATTTAAATAGGATGTTTTAGAAAAGCATACTAAAGTGTGCAAACAAGTTTTTCAATAGAAAAGATAAGAATTCAACTCCAAATAAGCAAGAATAGTTTCAAATGATTAATAAAAATTAATGCGACAAGGTTAAATAAAGGAGAAGCAATTATAAAAGAAATAGGGCAAAGCTCCTCTAGATCCAAATTGGAAAAAACAATCTGAAGAATTGCGAAATATAATAAAAGATCAGAAGTAATAGCAATGATTATTTAATGATTAATAATATTAAACAATCCCTATTTCATTCTTCTTACACTACATAATCATAAAATCATTTCATTCTAAATTTGTTTAAGGAATAGCTCAATGTGGAAACCTTATTCTAAATTTTGAACTCCAATATCAAATATGACAAATAAATTCTGTTCAAGCGGTGATATACGATCAGAGTAACCTTCAATAGATCCTTAAACATTAACTAATTAATATTAAAGCTAATACTTGCCTGAAAAGAAGCATAGCAACTAATTGAATTTTACACTTAATTTTTAATAGATTTTAAATAAATAATTAATTATTAAGTTGCATTTCAAAATTTTGTCATCATACTCAAGGATTTTCAAACTCAATTGAATAGCCAAATATTCTGCTTCAATATCAAATCACATAATGAAAAACTTGACTTATTCACTTAAGTAGTTGCTAAATAGATCTCCATCGGTAACAAAACTTTTCATAATAAGTAAACCGTTTAGCTCTAATTATATATATATTCTATTGCAATTGATATAAAAACGACTAGATGCTTTGATATTTCAAACCAATAGTAAAAGAATAGACCGAAATCATTGTCAATTATATATTAGACATTTTCTAAACCAAAGCGAACGGAATGATAATATCATGTTTTATGAATCATTAATATAATCGATTACTTGATTATTAAGTCTCAACTTGGTTTTGATTTAAGAACACAATGATTTGTTAAACTATTTAGATTTTTACTCTTTAATAATTAAATTTCATTATGATTTATAAAGTTCTATTCTCAATCCTTGTTTTTGTTAATTGCTGTACTTTAAATTAGATGCAAAAAAAAGCCAGAATCTTAAGAGGATACTATAAGGATGTGGTTAGTTTTAAATAGATTAATTTAATAAGTCGTAAAAATACATATTTCTATGGTGGCCAATTGAATTCTTTAATAAATCGAGACGCTATTTATTATGTGAATTCATCAAATGGGTACTCATATTGTCCTCTTCATAAATCAATCGAAATCTTTTTGAACAAGAAATATGAAATCAACACTGTTGTTATTTAGATTTGGGATCGTCTTGATACATCCCATTATGATTTTGAAGTTTACATTAGCTTCGAAGAAAATGAAATAAAGATTTATGAAAATGCCTCATTTGCAGGATTCATAAGAATTAAGTTTGAGGATCAATTAGTTGATAAGATTAGAATTTACAATAGAGGAGGATCTGGTTTTAATGGAAATTTATCAGTTATTAAAGTTTAAGCATTTTACTCTATTTAAAATTGAAATTATTTTAGAAATATATAGTTGAGACTTTTCTATTAGTTTAAACCCTTCTTATTTGGTTCCTTTCAAATTTGAGAACTATGGATCATAAACAGTATTTTTCTACTTAGATTTTCTTGCAAAATTAAATAAATATGGATGAGGCTGCTTGTATAAATAAAGTAACATCTTCCTTAAATATTATTTCTTCAAGTTTCATTCATTTGTTCGTACAACTTCCACTGAAAGTACATCATAAAAATAATATATTATGAAAAAACTGATTGAGAATGCAATGCAAACCTTAATACAATGAAACATACTAAATAAGTTATAAATGCTATGAAAAACAAAGTCTTTAAATATCTATCATATATAAACTTCATATTTGATTCATAATTGCCAATTATTAGGTTTATTTTTTACTCCTCAGGAAGAGAGGGTTTTATCTAATTTTTTAACAATAATCGATCTCCGTTTCCTTCAAAGTGTTACCATAAGAAGACAGGGTCCTTGAAGTCAGAATATCAATAATTTAGTTGTTTTCTTTCTCATATTTAAATTATTTTCTCAAAGGATTAGTTTTCATTTTAAGTCCCAGATTTTTTAAGTACATAGTAATATTCTCTTCTATTTGATGTGAAGCTTTTCCCTAAAACTGATTGAGAACAATCTCAATGGAGTTATCAGAAAACTCATCATATTCATCCATTCTAATTATTAATGAATTTATTTGACATATCTTTAAATTCATTTTATCATTAATTCAGTGTTTTTACTGTAAGAGATAAAACCTCCCTCTTAAATTCTGATGAAAAGGATTTATTTATTTATTATAAAGTTATCAATAAATATCGTTTCTAGTCTTTCCTAAAATTACTTTAAATTTACTATAAATGCAATTTAGTTAGCACCAGTTCAAGACAAAATATTTTGATTCATTCTAGAGAAAGGATTAAACATCAAAGTTTAAAGTTAAACATTTATGCTAATCTCACCTTTAAGTTGATAACTCTTCATGTAGATTTCAATTTTATCAAAATATTATTATTCTTTATAATTTAATGGATACAGATGATTGTATCCATGTAAAAACATAATAAGGGATCGATACGCTGATGTAGGTCATCGAATATTATGGTTCATAATAATAATAAAGCAGAGTTAAGGATTTTATTCTAGTTTCGAGAATTATATTATAACATATTATAAATGAATTAAAAGGAACAAATTAACCCTTTCAAAGCTTATGGAACAAAGGAAGTTTGGGAAAAAATAAATGAATCTGGAAAAAACAAGGAAGTAACTATCAGCTTTTAAGAGTTAGTATGTGAGATTTCCAGGAATTGGAATTGAACAAACTCCATTCTATTAAATGTAAAAATAACATGCAGAAAAAAACCAAAGCAAGAAATAGGATTTCTTAAGCAAGTTAAATAAATTTGAATATTTTCCTTCAGGAAATCAGAAGAAGTTAGACATACAAGGAATGGTATAGTTACATAATATAAAATCAGTTTTCTCAAATTGATGATGTTAAAAAATACTAAGCAAGAATGGAAAGGATAGACCCAATTAACAAAAACTGTATTTCTATGGATCTATATAATTTAGTATTGTAACATAAATTGCACAAAGCATTAGAAACAGCTTCATTTTTATGGGGTGATTAGATGAGACATGATGGGAGTTTGGGGACTTTGGATTCAATCAACAATTTATTGAATTAGTCATAAAAGAAGCTTGAATAACGAAATCAGAGTTCATAATTTATATTTACAAAGGGACATCATAAGGTAAGGCTTGGACACGAAATATGAATATTAATCAATATGTATTCTTATCTGCTTTGGTACCAACTAAATGATAGAGGATTATCATCACAACAATTCCAATTCCCAAAGTGTTGCATAGCAGCATAATTTCATATTCCATAGTTTAATTTATATATATAATCAATCAGAAATAAAAGTCCAATTATCTACTGCTTTTCTCTATTGGATTATAGAATCTTCATCAAAATTCACTTGCAGAGTCTGATTGGCTTGATTCATAATGCTCGGCATGGGAACTGGTAATTTTTTATTGATTGCCAAATCCCAATTGATGTCTGAAAACCAAGGATGAGCCTTAACTTCTTCTGAGTCCTTCTTTGCGCCAAGTCTCTTTGTAGGATTTCTCTCTAATAACTGAAAATAGATGTATAGTTACTTATTAAATGAATGAAAGAGCCTCTTTTGATAGATTATTTTAAGGAAATTTAAGTTATTTATTTTTGATATTCTCAAATAATTCTTCTCTGTTGTGACTATAATACGGAGGCATACCAAACAGCATTTCATGTGTTATGGTACCCAATTGATACCAATCAACTGAACGATTGTAGAATTTTCTATTGACAACTTCTGGTGCCATATAGGCAGGAGTACCACAAAAGGATTTTGTATTCTCATTTTCAATATCAGTTTTAGCCAAACCGAAATCAGTTAACATACAATGTCCTTTATTGTCAATAATAATGTTTTAGGGTTTTAGATCTCTGTACATAATCTTATTTTGATGCAGTGCTTCAATGGCCAAGATGATCTCAGCAGTGTACATTTTAGCAACCTGCTCTGACAATCTAGACTTTAAATCTAACAGTTTAGTTAAGTCTCCCCCAGGACAAAAATCCATTACTAAAAATAACTTATGTTGGGTTTAAAAGGCATAATGTAATTTCACAATAAAAGGATGATCAATCACAGAGAGGATGGATTTCTCTGTTTAAATATAAGGTAATAGTTTCTAACTTATTTTCTCTTTTCTCAATACTTTCATTGCATATAAGCTATTTTATTCATCTTTTTTCTTAACCAGATAAACTATTCCAAAAGCGCCTTTACCTAACTCTTTGTGATATGTAAATGAATCCGGCCCAATATTCTGACCTCCTATTTGAATCACTGATTATCTTGCCTGATAAGTTTACTTTTATAAAGTATTGGTTGGAACAGATTACCCCAAAAACTTCATTATTCTATTGATGCTTTGACGATAGGATGAATTTGAATCCTTTTAGTCTTTTGATTCCTTAGTGCTTTTAACCAGTTTTTCTATAACATATTACTTTTCATATCCGAATTATTTGAATATTTATTACTATTCAGTATTTGATATCAACTAAAGTGCATTGATATTGTCTGCGTTCTTAATATAGGGATCAGCTTTATATTTAAGCAAAATTTATATTATTTCTAAGGAATTATTCTCCAAAGCAACATGAAGAGGAGTATTCATCGAAAAATCCTATCTGTCTACATTTGCTTTGTTGTATAATAACAAGGTAACTATGTCTATGAGGTTGCCTTTAACACATATCATCAAAGGAGTACAACCATCGCAATCTTATTCATTCAAAAAACTCCCTTTTTATATTAGATGATAAGCAATTTAGAAGTTACCAGAACTACAAGCAAAATGGAGACATGTTTGATCATTGGAATCCTTAGCATTTATATCAACAAAGTGTTAAGATTGCAATGTTGATTCTACAATAGAAAACTAACCTTATTTGCATGCTTTAATTAGCTCCAACGTTTTCAATTGAGATTCTTTCCAAAAATCTTGCCAAGCATTTTCCTTTTAGAATTAGATTTACTCATATTCAACAATCTCAGAAGTTCTCAGGTCTATTATTTCCCCTGTGTCATTATCAAACATATAGAATTACTTAGTCGAAATCTCCATGGAATCAAAGATGGCTCTAGTTTTGAATGATCTACATAGTATAATAAGTTACTTCGATGGCTCTAAGGTTGTAGAGTGAGATTACTAATCATTAAATGATTGCATTAATTTTAATAATCATCAATTATCATTAAAATTAATCAAAATAAAATACTAGAGAAGGGCCTTTAAGCCTCTAAAAATTTGCTGCTTTTATGAATATCATAGATAAATTAGTCTTATAATGTATAGATAATCATAATTTCTATAAAATAAAGAGAGCTTCTTAATGAATTAGTAAATTTCTATTTTAAGAACCTTTATAATTCGGTTAAAATAATAGTATAATTTATGAAATTCATACATTATTTTTATATTTAATTGTCTTGATTCATCCAAATATATAATACTTTATTCTATTAATAAATTGAGAAATATATGTTTAAGAGACAAAATAGGAATATTAAATAAGTTTAAATTTGTCTTCTTTCATTTTTATTTGATTAATCTAATGGCACTGTAAAGTATAAATTATTAAGATACTAATTCAGTTAATTTAATTTATTTTGGTTACTTTTACTTTGCACACATAGTACTCATTTTTTATGAGTTTTTCTTTACAAAGAAGCTGAAGTATAAATTTAGTTTAATTTCAATAAAATTAAGTAATATTTTAAAGATTCGATTCTTTTTCTATAACTAAATTAACTTTCAAAACTTATTCGTCATGAATTAGAATAGTGGGTAATCTAATATTTCAATAATAGTATTGATTTATTTGGAAATTTTATATTTAAAACAAAAAAATATACTTTCAATTTTGATTTTATTTCCTTTAAAATCCACCTGAGTATCTAAGTTTTACTATTAATAGAGCCTCATAATCCAGTTTTAAATCAGATAAAGTTGAATTAAACTAATTTGGTTTATAAAGTTAATTCTCATATGTCAATGCTAGGCCAACTTATTCTCTATAAATAATTATATTTTCTACGTCAATATAGAAAATCTCTACAAAATGAAATTTATCACGTCTTATAAGGAATCCTAGGGGGCGAAATATTATGAAAACCTTAGGAATTATGATCCCTCCTGTAATTGTATATTTAATTTAATTGGAACTTTTACTATGATCTCGTCATTATCAATAAGATTTAAATCAGCTAATGACTGTTTAGGTTGACATATTTGTCCTTTAACTTAAAATTAAATTTTAAATGCTTCCCTAAGTGAATTATTTAATATACCTTTCTATTTTAAGCTCTTTTAAAATTACATCCTCTATTTAGCTTATTTTATCGAATCTACTCATTTCTAATTTTTGTTATTTAATAGGTTTGCCTAAATAACTTTAAATTTTAATTAAGATAGTAATTGATTAAAGCTCCGATTATGATTATGAAAAGCGCTTTCCAATTTCAATTTCATCAAAGGTTATTCCCTTTAAAATAAGACCAACTGTGTCTTCTAATTAAACATTTTTATTCAAAGCTTTACTAAAATAATAATTTTGATGAAATTCACCAGATGTCTTATTGCTAGAATTACGAAATTTTTTTACTCATTATTTGCAATTTATTCAATTGCTTCTACCAATTCTCCAATTTTTAAATCCTCTTTTACATTCAAAGAAATTTATTATTAAGTTATGTAATTCTTAACCACTAATCTTTTTGTTTAATCGTTCATTTTTTATATTTTAATAATTATAATAAAATTTTAAATTCACATCTTTGTTAATGATTTCAATTCTTATATCCCGATGATATATCACTGTTTACTAGATGTATCTCAACCTTTTGCAATTTCAAAATATTAAATAAAGTGATAATTAGAGATCTTAATGATTTTTAAGGGTTAGGATTTCTAAACAGGTCAATCGTTTTACCAATATTGTCTTGCTTTTTTCAAAATATATAAGATATTGTATTTATAAGGATACGCTCTTTTCTTTTGAGCTGAAAAGTTCGAAAAATTATCTAATATTATTTTTTGAAGATATCATAATTAAGGTTTTAATTATCAACATCGATCTTTTTGTTAGGTAATTAATTTGATTAATCAAGGAATTATAGATGTTTTAGTAAACATTTCGAATGTATAAATAACTTTAGTATATTAATTGAAGATTCGGATTATTAAAATTATTCGAACTTTTACTTCAGCAATATATGGATTTCGTTGATATAGGTTTACAAAATCTGTTTCTCATTATTTTAATAATTGAATGTAAAGTGATAATAATATGACCCATATTTTAGATATAAAAAGTCCTAAATACATTCGATCTAATTCAAATAAGATAGCAAACCTAACATACTTATAAAGACTTGAAATTTAGAGGAAATATTTAATAACTGAACCCAGCAATTGTATTAAGACATTAAATAATAATACTTTATATCCTTATCTTGTTGAAAAAGTCGAAAATCAAATCGAAAGAAATCTCTTAACCAAAAAAACAACAAAAAGGGATTCTCATCCTACAATCAAAGACTCATATTTGATTTCAAGATTTCGATTAAAATTATCTAAATCTATTGAAAAATATATGAATAAACAAGAAAATCAAACATTAATAAAAGTCTAAAGTTATTAAGAAATGGATCCATCACTATTGACTCCAAGATAAATAATGTTATCAGCTAGAGCCTAAAGTAGAAGCAAAAACTATTCTGTCTTTTTTAGAAAATTGAAAAGGGTGTAAAGTGATCATGAAGATTAATATACTACCTAAACTAATACAATTAATCATAACAACTCATCAAACAGACCTTATTCATATTACTTTTCTAGACAATCAAATTACTTAAAATGAGTTTATGATGATTATTTTTATAATACCTAATTACAAAATACATTATGTCAGTATCATCATTCTCACAATTGTTTAATATTAAATAGTTAGAAAAATAAAAGCTAATTTATTCTGAATGATCTCTATATATAAAATAATTAAAAACTTTCTTAATTTATTAAAATGAGAATTCTACACACTTTATGATCACTATTAATTAACTTAAAGATTGAGGCTGTGAGTTAATGAAAAGTGTTAAATTTAGACAATATTATTGAATGAAGAGTGACATCTTAGTAGTGATAAAATATAATCGATCTTTTGTAGTTTTTAGAATTCTAATATTAAATAATTTCAGGATATTTATTGGACTGTTGTTTTGAAAAACAAATTTCTTACGTTTCTATTTCATCATCATTCAGAAATCTTCAAAGTATAACTAAGACTCCAATAGATTGATTGCTTGACAATAATTCCATTCTCACATCCAAAATTATTCTATTAAGTTTATTATATTTTACTTTATTTACATAATTATTAATGAATTAAATATTTTTATTTGAAAATTCTAGATATGAATCTCAATAATCAAAGACGAAGCCCAGCGCAGTCTTAATCATAGCTATTGATGAATATACACTAAAATCTAAAAAATGAATAGATTGATTTCGGTTTAATTCCAATACATCACATTGTGAATTAATAGGAAAAGAAATTCTAATTAGCTAAATTAAAGTCAATTCAAAGAAAAAGTGTTTTGCCGCAATTAAGATTATCAATATTAAATTTTAAAGATCAAATATAAAAGCAAGTTCAATAATTACTTTCAATAATTGATAATATTCTCATAAAAGAAGCAAATTCATCATACTAATATTCAGAGTTGGATGATTAAGTTAATAAATTCTATTTATTAGATTATGAACCTTTATTGAAATAATTTAAAGAATTTGCTAGTGTTTAGAAGGATGGTCTCCTTTAAATAAAAAGATGTGTAAAAGTGTTTGAAGGAGATTGTATAAGTTATAAAATTGTGGAATCTTTGGAATAAAATAAATTGTCAAATGTGATACTCTTCAATCATTAAAACGATGTTTTTTTCCAAGGAATTGGAGAAAATGTAAAAATTTGGTAATTTAAAAATGGGCAGCTCTATAATAGCTAACTATTGTAGGGCCATAGTCAATAAATTTATTGCTTAGCATGTAGCAAAAATAATAACATGTTTGTTTCAGGAAGTGCTGATAAGTCAATTCGAGTTTGGGAAGAAATAAGTCATAAGAATTGGTAGACCACTTA